CCCGTGGTGGCAGCCGCCAAAAGTGCAGATCGCCGCAAGCAAAGACACAGCAATCGCGCAGCATAACGAAATCCTTAGGGCCGCTGGGCCCTACGGGCCTAACACCGCAATAGCTTATACCGACGGTAGCAAGCTCGATAACCCAGCAGGCGTAGGGGCTGCTGCCCTCACCTCCGTGGGGAGAGAGGTGGCGGTGCTACACCCCACAGATTCGATCTACGTGGCAGAACTCCACGGAATCAAGCTCGCACTCCGTCGATTCGACACGGAGATAAGCTTTCGACAGACGTGCGAGGGCTTCCGCGCAGAAACAGATACTACCGATACTACCGATACCACCGCTACTGCTACGATCTTCACAGACAGCCAGGCTGCGATTCTCGCTTTCGCACGCCCGCGGCGAAGCTCAGGCCAGTACGTGCTACGAGAAATCGCGGAGCTACTGGACCGAGTACAGCCTGTATGGCAGGTCCGCATCAACTGGCTACCCGGACATGTCGGGGTAGCCGGCAACGAGCGGGTCGACCAGATGGCCAAAGAAGCAGCCGAATCCACAGCCACGCCTACGACGACACCACTACTCCTTACCGCAGCCAAAGCCACCTTACGTGAGCAAACGTTAGAGGCGTGGACACGCGAGTGGACGACCTCCGCCCACGGTGAATACGTCCGAGACCTCTTTCCAGAGCCCACAAAAGCAGTATTTCAGCTCCATGAGCCACTCCGCAGACCCACTAGCGCTGCACTTATCCAGATGCAAGCAGGTAAGCTGGCCCTACCAGCATATCTGTCAACCATCTCCGCCTGGCGGGACGAAAGGGTAGCTCGGGCACTCGAGAACGGGGTGCCGGACCTAGACCCGTCGGCCTGCCACCACTGCGAGCGTGGTAAGATGGACACGAAGCACGTGCTGCTGACCTGTCCCCGCTTTGCTACGCTCCGCGCCAATACCCTTGGTATCGACCGCCCCCCGGGCGTATGGACGTCCTGGCTCACTGAGCCAGAGCGCGCACCTAAAGCAGCTTCCTTCATACTAGCCACACGCCTTCTCGGCCAATTCCGCCACCTACCAGAGACATACCACACCATAGCAGCCGCGTAGCGGCCACTCATTCCTTGGAGTGCCCACGGGCCTCCAGAAACCACCGATCCACTAATCTCCTAGGCCCTTCGGGCGCCTAGGGGCCACTGCGTTATTCGAAGACGGAGGGATAACACACGATCGAACACCATGGGAGATGCTTGCGGGGACGTCTCAGGCCTGCGCACGGTCAGCTGATCACTTTGCTTCTACCAGCGTTAGCGGTATGTGAGTACGGGTAAGGTTAAACTGCGAGACACGATCTGGCGAGCGAAGACGGGCGCGTTGAAGGGGTGCAAGTGAAGGAGAGAGGTTGAGCGTACGCGGAGAAGGGGCGTGCCGAGGTTTTGGTGTTTGCACTGTTTGGCTATTTTGGTCTTGGCGGACCTGTTTGCACTATTTGCCTTCCTTCCCCCCCCCCCCCCCCCCCCACCCTATCCGCCTACCAAATAGCCTACAGTTGCATCCGATTAGCGTTATTACCACTTGGTGATATAGTTGTTCCGGCTATCCTATAGTGCCCTACTGGCAAATCGGGCCAAAAGCCTGACAGATCCATGAATGAATACAAAAAAAAAAAAAAAAAAAAAAAAATCGTATGGTGTATATATGAGGGTAGTAACAAGGCAAGTCAATTCCCCGCTCCCTGAATCACCCGAATAAAGAGCCCAAGACCTTCAGGAATTCCTCTACTTTCCTCATTCCCTACGCAATTATTCCATTATAAGGGAGAAGATAGATAAGAAAAGGCAAACCCCCCCATAATGAGCAATCATCAAGGTCATCTGTGCTTGCTCGGCAGAAATCAAGGCAACAAGGACCATTCCTGAACTCGGAGTGAGATCAGCCTGGCAGATCGACACGATCACACTACCCAGATGATTAGACTTGATGAATGATTGGTGGGATCCCAAGGGACGTAGTGGGGCCTCAAGGCAGCCATTGGCGTATCGTGAGGTCTTATACGATGATTGCCCGCATGGGATGTTGTCATGGGGCCCAAAATGGGGGCGATCTGTGTGTCATTGGGTATCCAGATGACTTTATAAGATGACTACGCGCCACCCCGCACCTTTGAATTCAATGGAGGTCTGGACACAGCCCCCCTCTCTTTGACTCATACAGTAGTCATTATTTCCCCCCTTTTTCTTCCCTGTTCCCTCTTTTCCTCTTTACCTTTCTATTTAATTCTCCATTTATTAGTTCCTTGGTTGAGGGCTCATTATTCAAATGGGAATGATTCATATTGTACATTGTACAAGGCCCTTTTGACTCACAAGACCTCGGCCATTGGATCTCTTATCCCCGATTATCGCCACCTTGTGACAAATCCCCTTCCCTCTCCCAATTTGGGGCCTGCATTTCCATTGACTTCCACTTCGTCATCCGACATTCAATTCGGGACATTCAATTCAACTCATTAACTTCACTTCTCCTTGCTTTTATTTCCCTTTACATAACACATACCATTAACCCACCCATTCCCCCTCAACCCCCCCACCTTCTTCATTTCTCTGCCCAAAGTACTCGATTCTTCTGCCTAACTGAAATCAATCAATCTCCTTAACTCAATTACCAACAAATTGATATCCCCCTTTTCCCCAAACATCAAACCATCCCTCCTCCCCCACCTTTTTGGTATGATCTCTGGTATACAACAATTGGGCAAACATTCTACTACAATGAATCGTCTTCCTGTTTCAAGCCTGATGTCACCGCCGGAGACGAAGCCATTGGAGAATTTCCAACACTCTCCATTCGCCAGAGACTCTTCGTCCTTAGACATCAAACTACCCCCCATCTCAGCTGATCGCAAACGTACACAGTCAGAGATGGATCTACCGTCGCCGCCGGTGACCCCATACACGGGCACCAAGAAGCGAGACTCCCATGCAGTGGAGCAGATGGAGCGTGAGGTGGGTACCTCCCGGGATCCAGTGCTGTTTCCTCGACATGAGTCGATTGCGGGAGAGGAGCAACCGCTTTTCGGTCCTATTCACTCCACTCCCGAGGCTGTCGTGGAGCAGCACATCACCTCTCATATGGCCCGCTTTGACAACAAGCGTAACAAACCTACTCGCGATGAATATCTGCTTGCGCTGTCGTGTGTGCCCATTGTTTCCTCCCAGTACAATCGCAACCCAGTGGCCTGGGCCCGGGAGGAGCGCGAGACGTTAGAAAGGCAGCTGGCCTTGATGAATCGATACCGACCGACTGATCTAGCGGCCAAGCTGAAGAAGATTGCCCCGGCCCCGAAGAAGTCAACCATGACCCCCCGGGCTCAACGCACCCGAGTCAAGCGCACCCCAAAATCTACCCCCAAGCAACAGACCCTGGATACCTTTGATTCCCCCCCTAGTGCCTCCAAATCGCGGGCATTGGGCACCAACCGAGATGACACCGACTTCCAGTCCCTGCAGGACTTCTCACCTCCACTGGACACGTTAGGCAGCAATGCCAAAGCACTGAAGGCGGACTGGAAAGGTCAAATGTTGGATTTGAGCAATGACCCGGACAGACACATGCTCAGTCCGGCCGAGCTTAATCTGGCCTCCACCTTGCGATTGTCTTGTGCCACTTATTTGTGCAGCAAGCGCCGGATTTTCGAGGCTCGCGTCCGTGCCCTGGGCGTGGGCAAGGAATTCCGCAAGACGGATGCTCAGCAGGCATGCAAGATTGATGTGAACAAAGCTAGCAAGCTCTGGACTGCCTATGAGCGCGTCGGGTGGTTCAAGCCTGAGTTATTTCAACAGTATCTGAGATGATCGTATGGGTGGAAGACCTCTTCCCTCCCACCTTCCTCTCCTGCATAATGCCTCAATGACTTCGGTACAATCGCAACTCGGTTGACAGCGGATCTCCTGCTCTCTGCGCTCTATCTACCCCCTTTCCTTCTCCCTCCCTACCCTCTCCCTCATTTATTCCCGCTTTCTCCCCACAGCTCGATGCTTGTGGTTTGTGGCTTTTTCATGGGGTCGGTCCATCCCCGCTGTCTTCGATCTTGCTGTCTCGCAGCCAAGAAGTGCTCGAGTCTTTGGCCGTGCTTTCCCCATCAGATCGAACGATTATTAATCCTCATTGACTTAACCTTTGCTGTGCCCCCCTGAGATGAATTTCGGATTGTTACTAAGAGCCGTGCCCTCCAGCAGTGGTGCTTCCGGTTCCATCGCTTTTCATGTCCGCTACACGCATGACATAACATGACATGACATGACATGACATGACGACGCTCAATTCTCAGCACTAGCTCCCAGATTAACGGTCCATATCGGGACTGTGGAATGTCTTCTTCTCCCTTTAGCTTTTATGGCTTTCTTTGCATCGCACAGCTGCTGCCAGCTCCACTCACGGTCTTTATTCCATTTGTCTATGTAGCTATTGTTGCTTACAATTTTTATCTGGCGTTTTTCGGTGTTTTCATATTCGTCTAGAATGGCAGGCTTGGGGCTCCAAACGCACCCACACATACCCCCCTCTTTCATCACATGGAGTTGTGATATTTCGTCTCGGCTTTTGTTGATTCATTGCTTTTGTTTTACTTGCATCATGACTTGCACGATTTCTGTGATAGCACCCGGGATGATATGATACCCTGACCGAATACGATTCCTTCGAATGATACATTTTAAATGAACCTTTTCCTGAACATCGTAAACTAGGATGAGCCTCCTAATTTGCAAGAATGAGATGCCTTAGCGTTGTACATATTGTACATATCATACACAAATAGAACTTAATACGATCAGATAATCCTAGATATGATGCAAGCTGTTTGCCTGACATGTGGGGCGCAGGTGGACACCAATCCAGTGATCTGGCTCCGCCCGGCGCCACCTTTTCCTGACGTCCTCATTTCACCTTTCGTATCACCTTTCCCCCCACTTAATCTGCCTGATACGCGTGAACATCTATCGCAGTCATGTCTCAGGCCGAGGTGCCCCGCGCTGAGTCCATCGATGAACAGGAAAATGCCAGGGCCGAAGGCGACAAAAAGCCCAAGTCTCGGCGACCAGCCAGTGCGTATCCCCTGCTCCGACACACCCGTTCTTTTTCTATTAGCTAACTAATCAATCTCAATCAGATACCGCTTTTCGACAGCAGCGATTAAAGGCATGGCAGTGCGTGCTCAATCATTTCCCCCCTGTCCTGTTGCCTTGCATCGTCCATACTGACGCGCCCTTCCGGCTAGGCCGATTTTGACACCGAAGAGTGTCCTGCCTCTGTTCTTTGTTGTAGGGATTGTATTCGCACCCCTAGGCGGTGTCCTCCTGTGGGCGAGCTCTTTGGTACGTTTCTTATTCATTGCGCAATCTTAAGCGTGCCAGCACATCTGACGGTTCAATGTCCGTGCAGGTCCAAGAGATCACCATTGATTACACCGACTGTTATAGCGCAGCCCCAACAGCCAGCCAGGCCTACATCCCTGATCGAGTCTCGATGACGTTCAAGGCGAAATCATCCGGTACTCCATCGTGGCAGAGGACTGTTGATGCGACCACCAACCAAACTACTTGCAGCCTTTACTTCAACATTCCTGAATCAATGGGACCTCCGGTTTTCCTGTACTATCGCCTCACCAACTTTTATCAAAATCATCGCCGATATGTCCAGTCTCTGCAATTGGACCAATTGAAAGGTAAAGCTCTTAGTAACAAAACAATCGCTGGCAGTGTTTGTGATCCCCTCACAACGGATCCGGTATCGAAGAAAGCCTACTACCCTTGTGGATTAATCGCGAACTCTCGCTTCAACGACAGCATCGAAAGTCCTGTCTACCTCGGCGACCAGGAGACCACCTACAATATGACAAAAAAGGGTATCGCCTGGGAGAGTGACAAGGAGCTATACCAAAAGACTCAATACCAGCATTGGGAGGTGGTTCCTCCGCCCAACTGGACCAAATACAATGGCAGCTACACGAATGAGTCCATGCCTAATATCCATGAAGATGAAGACTTCATGGTCTGGATGAGAACTGCTGGATTGCCGGCCTTCAGCAAACTCGCTCGTCGAAACGATGACACCGCCATGGCCGCGGGAGATTATCGTTTGGATATTCTCGACCGTTAGTTTCCTGCATTCTTCCGTGGGTTTCATGTTGCTTACACCCTTTTAGAATTCAAAGTCACCGAGTATGATGGAACAAAGTCGATCTTGCTTTCTACTCGCACCGTCATGGGTGGTAAGAACCCCTTCATGGGAATTGCTTACGTGGTTGTCGGCGGTGTTTGTGTAATTCTTGGAGCTTTATTCACCATCGCTCATTTGGTTCGGCCAAGGTATGTACTCATGACCCTGTGTAATATCTTCCAATTGATTCTTATTCCTCATTTTAGAAAACTTGGTGACCATACCTATCTATCTTGGGATTCAACTAATCAGCCAACCACCGCCATGGCTACTGGGCGAGATGATCGAATGCGACCAAGTTCCTAGATATGGAATCAACCAAAAATAGCAAGTGACTATTGACATTTTTCTATTTCTCTTCTGCTCCTTCTCATTTTTTGTTTAGTATTATAAGGGGTTTCAAATCGTGTGAATACATGGATCCTGGACTGTTCCTGTTCCTGTTCCGGCTTGGGTGTTTGATAAGGAGTTTTTCTGTATCTAACCAATAACCACAACAATGAGCATTCTTATTCTTCTTCTCCCACCCTTGAGTGACCTCATATCACCCCAGGAATTAGTCTAATATATGGGGATACCAATGATTTGCATGTTTTTTTCTCCACTCTGCGGGCTTTTTGCTGATCTTCTATGGATAGATATAGGGCCCCTTGCTGGGGATATTACATTCCACCGTGACGCAGCATTCCTAGGGCTCATGGCATCGGAGAGCAAGTTGGTGGCATCTGAAAACCAAGACTAGGCACAGTAGGAATGAACTACCGAATGTGGCTTTGCTCTTTGCTTTCCATTCGTCATCTCGTTTCTTTCATTCGCAATTTTTTCCGTTGTTCATCCACGGGCGGAGGTTCACGATACCAGGGCATACTATACACCAAACATCATGGTCCGTCACTCTTTTATGTCACTGGTGCTTTTTGCCATAGCCCTTTTCCTCCTGCAGGTTCAATCGAGCCCCTTTGTATTCCAGAAACGCGGCATTTGCGCCACCGAGGATCCAGATGCCTCTTTCCTGAATGCCCTCCAACAGGTCAAGGTCGATGAGGCTCATCCAGACCCCACAGCGTCGCAGGCCCGACAGGCCCCTATTGAAATTGAGACTTGGTTTCATATAGTCAGCAGTCATGCCGAAGTGGACCAGGTTACGGATTATATGATTAATTCTCAGGTCTGTCTTCAGATGCCAATCTCCCTTGGTTCGTCTGTTGTTAATTATCCCCAGCTTTCGATTCTACAAGACGCATATGAGGATGCAGCCATACACTACCGCTTGCAGGGTGTCACACACCACGTGAATGATCTCTGGGCACAGGACGGAGATGACCTGGCCATGAAGCAAGCGCTCCGGAAAGGCAGCTATCGAACCCTAAATGTGTATTTCCAAACCGACCTACAAGCGTCTCCAGGACAAGCTGGCCGAGCAGAGCACCGCGGGGCCAGTCAGTCCAATTATCTAGCTTCAAGTGTGCTGGGCTTTTGTACGCTGCCTGATCCGAGTGTGAACGCCAGTAGTCCTCGACCCGACTATGTTAAGGATGGTTGCAACATCCTCGCCAAGACAATGCCTGGTGGTTCTTTGGATCTGTATAACCGGGGAGGGACGGCCATTCATGAAATTGGACACTGGAATGGTCTCCTCCATACTTTTCAGGGGGAATCATGCTCTGCGAGCAACCCAGGCGATTATATTTCTGACACCCCTCAGCAATCCACCCCAACAGACGGATGCCCTACACAGAAGGACTCATGTCCTGACTCTCCAGGTTTCGATGCTGTTCACGACTTCATGGATTATTCATCCGATGTCTGCTATGAGAGTTTCACTCCGGGTCAGATGAACCGGATGCGCAACATGTGGGTCACTATGCGTCAAGGCAAATAGAATGAAATATGATCGGATTCCTGCAAGACCTTCAAAGTTACATATATATTCCAATGATATTACTGGTATCATCGGCGTTGGTTCTTCATAACTACAGAGTATATATATATTTCTTTTATTGATAGCGATGATTACAAGAAATGTGATAAAGAGCATCCAGGATTATCCATGATATATTTAAAAACTAGAATTATCAAAAATCACTCTGGGCCAATGGGAGGGAAAAGCGACTTATCATAGCTCTCCCAACCCCTCCTTAACCCTAAATTGAGAGATAGAGAGGAAGAAAGAGGGAGACAAAAAAAGAAAATAATTGCACACCAGGGTAACAAAAAGACATAAGCATGGAATAGAGCAGGGAAAGGAAGGCCAAAAAAACAAGCGAGATCAACACATATTTAGCGCTTACGCTTCGTTCCACGGTCATCGTCGTCCGCCATAGCTTCCTTGTCCTGGCGCTTGGCTTTCTTTTCCAGCTCATCCCAGTCCTCACCACTCTCTTCATCCCCACTGAAGTCCTCTTCGCTGGCATCCGCACTGGCATCATCATCAAACTCGCTGTCCTCTTCCGAACTCTCATCAGCCGCAGCCAGCTCCGAGTCAGACAATTCAAAGGCTGACTCTGCTTCGTCGTCCGATCCACCTTCAGAGTCGGACTCGGCAGCTAAGAAAGACCACCCACCATCGGCAAAGAAGCCATATGGATCGCTGACAACGGTTTTCATGATGGTGGTCCAGTTCAGATTCAGTGGACCCTCGGTAAACGCAATATCCACCGAGTCCAGCCAGTCCTTGACACCTTCCAGCGCCTCAACTGGGATCGTGTTGATATGTACCGGTGGTCGATGGAAATCCTTGTAGACGAACACAAGATCGAAATTTTTGAGGCCAAACTTCAGTCATTTTTAGCAGGGGAACGTGGACTCAAAACCAGAGAACAAGAAATGTAAATACGTACCTGTACTCTCTCCAAATGCGCAATCTCAATTTCATTGAGTGTGATGGCCATGAAAGGAGGTTCAGTGAGTTGGACGAGCGCATCCGTAGTTGGTTGGATCAGTACGTTGGAGCGATTGGGGACACCAGTAAAACCGATCTCTCGGAAGGGAATATCGACATCCACACCCTCCTCCTTGCCAGCATCCGCAATCTTTTCAGCAAAGGCCTTGAACTCACGATCGAGTGCAGCCCTCCGGCGTCGTTCCTCTTGTTCGGCCTCGAATTCTTCTTCGTCTCCATATCGGTGTTTGCGCCGACGGTTTCCAGTTTCATCAAACTGCATTTCTGTAGCTTCTCTGTAGAACTGCACATCCCGAGTTTTTCTTTTTCCGATGATGATTGGGGTTTTCAAATGCACGTGGATGAGGACGATCATCTCGTGGGCACACGGCTGGAAAAATAGATGCTTGACATTGCTGAAGAGCACATCGACATGTTCGTTGCGAAAAGGTGATAGGTACCGAAGACCATTCTGATGGATCTCCACTTCACCCGGAACACGCTTCCCATCCAGTGGGGGCCTAAGGTAGACATCGGGCAATTTCACAGGACGACGATCTATCTTCAGTTAGTATAAAGGGGGCATTGCATTTTCTGGATGAAAACATCGTGACTGACTTCTGATTTCCACAAGTTTGTCTTGCTCGACCACGTCTTCCATCTCCTTTTTTTCCTGCTCTCTTCTCAAAGCATTTTTCCGAAGCTCGGTGATGTCTTGTGCAACCTGTGCCAATCGGTCGTTACTCTTAGATCGCAGGGTCAAGTTGCGAACAAAGTGGGCGTTCGGGTCTTCAAATGGCTGGTCATCTTTTCTACCAACACCCTGACCAGGCGAGAGAAAATTGATCCGCAGATACGCGTATTCTCCTTCATCACTCTTGCTGGCATTCTTGATGGTATTGATATGGAACGGCACGGGCCGACCCATGATTGGCACGATGACAGTAGACGCTTTGTGGTCAACGTACACAGTAAGATCCTTGACTTTGACGGGCAGCTGGTTGTCCCGCTTGTAGGACTCGAAGCGCTTGAACTTCTTCTGGGCCACACCATTGTCGTCTCCTGTCGTCCCAGTGAATCGATCTAGACCTTCTTTGGTTTTCTTTGTCGCCAATTCCTTCTGATGCTCCCGTCGGCGTGCTTCGGCACCCTCGTTGATCTGAGTCGGCCGCTCCGCTCGAAGCTTGGTGCGTGTGACATTTCTGCTAGCAATTGCACTGGATTTGGCCTCCTTCTTCTCCTTCACCGGCTTCTCTGGCTCTTCATCGTCCCCGAAGTAAAAGGAAACCGAGTCCATATCGATACCCGCATCCTTAGTAAAGATGTGAGGACCATTCTCTCCAACGCGAACGGTGTCGGTGATGACCATGGAGTAGACGTCTTTGCCCTTAGAGCTGGCGTCTTTGACATCGGTCAGGCCAATGGTGATCGCCAGGGTCATGCCATTTCTCAAAACGCGAGTGTTCTTCGCATTGAGAACCATATTGGCATCACGGATCTCGATTCCGATTGCAGCGCCAATGTTCTTGGTCAAGTGGTTCTCAAGTTCTGGCTTTTTTGATTTAACTAGACCCAGAGCCTTGTTATACAGATCCTTAGCAACGACCCCATCCCGAATCTCTTTCATGACCGTCTCGTGCAGGGTCACCAAGAAGGCGTAGTTGGCTTCTTGAGACTTGCTAGGGTCCACCAGATAGGTTCGCCCGATAAGGGAATTGTATGTTTTGTAGCGGATACCAAAACTTGAAAGAATGATGCCCGGCTGAAGGTTCTTGTTGTCGGGGGTTGCGGTCAGCTTCAGGTCATAGACCCCACCACTCTGAACTACTGGACCATAGGCCCAGTCAATCTGGTCGGCGTCAAATTCCGACGGGAGCCGAGCAAGCTTGTTGAAGAATTTCCTGTCATCAATCTTCGCCTCCACCTTGCTGGCAAGGGTTTTGTGCGTCATCTGCTTTTCTTCATCTAGCAGCTGGGACATCTCATCCACGAAGTATTCTGACATCAACCCGCTACACGCCCTGGAGGCATTCCGAATGCAAACCTTTTCATAGTATCAGTAAAAATTTTGGGAACATGCTAAACGGCACAATCAAACTCACCAGTTCCTCGGGATCCTTGATCGAGAATGCAGTTGAGAGTGCTGGGGTTATATCAACTTCCTCAATCTCCTTGGAAATTTCTGCGAAAGCGCGCTTCCAGTCATCGGCGAAAGGACCTGATGTTGTGTCTTTCGGCAGAGTACCAACTTTCTTCTGTGATAAAAGTTTAGCGACGTATTCACCTCGACCAACCACGTATATTCCCGGATAGACCTACTCCTGCACCTTTGATGACTTCCAGACATTTTTCAAACGCCTTCGTCTTCGATTCTGGGTCCTTTGTGGTCACTAGAAGTTCCACGGGGATCTTTCCACCTTTCAAAGGCTCAAGAAGCTCCGCTACTCCCCCAATCGTTGCATTAGTAAGCTGATGCGAACAGAATTATAAAATGTATTTCGCGCACCTTTCTTGGCCGTGGTGACTACATAGATAGCTTCAGTAGTTAGGACCAGGAGCGTAGCTGGGAACTCGTATCCGAGAAGCCAAAACTAACAGTAGATCCAAGTTAGTAATCTATGCCACTGGAGTCTGTAATGAAAGACGAAACTGGAGCCAAATCAAAAGACCGAGGACTTACGTGCATCGCATTATTCTTCTGAAAGGCACTTTCATCGGTTCTGGTCTTGCCCATGAGGATGACGATGGAGCCAGCCCCTCCGAACAGGGTACTGCCCGAACGCTTGTCGGCTTTCCATGATGCATAGAAGTTGGACAAATGGTTAAAGAAGTTACTTTTGTCAATCGCAATCTTCTCGGCCATGGCGGGAGATCCGGTGCAAGCAAGCTGTGCTGACAGCAGCAGCAATGGAAGTTCACGATGCGATAGCTTTTCTTGAGAGCAAATCTCAGATCAATGGTGCAGTCGAAAAGAAGGGGGAAAATGGGGGTGATGGATGGGGTATGAGAATGGGGAGAAGGTGAGGATTGATAAGCGTTGAGTGGATGTTAAATGAATCTGTCTTTCCTTAAGACGGAGAAAACGCGAAAAAGCGCGTTTTGGCATTGTTGGTTACTCTGGTTGACCGGAGCCTCAGTTTTACCTCTTTTAGGATTAGCTCTGAAAGCTAGGTCATTCATGTTCACGCTCTCTCGACGAACCTCTTAGGATTTATTATACTTGGTCGCCAATATGCGTTCTACCACATTCTCTACCTGCTTTTGTCTTTGAAAATAAAAATCTCTGTTTATTACGACCTTGATTGTGTTTCCCAACCGAGACCAAGCCCACCTCGACTCTCCGGTGCGATGAAACCAGAAGATCTGCAATGAATCCAATCTTCCTGGAACCCCATCTTCGGGACCCAAGTGCTCGAAAAAAATCCCGCAATGATGCAGCGACAGGAGCGTCAGCCGCTGGTGTCCGTGCCGTCAGTGCGCAAATGGTGGCCTTTTACTTCCGTGCTCCAATAAAGGCTTTTTTTCGCACCCGTGTCGAGTAGGTCCTGATGACATGAAAATCCCCCCGTATCATAGCGGATGTTAACTTTTGTGTGTTAGTTACATGGTATATACTCCCCAGGCCTTCATACCTCGATGCTTAGGCTAATCAATTTTTTTGATATTCCTCATCTGAATAGGCATTTGCCCGAGCCGTGAATCCCCGAGTCGCAGAAGGCAAATGGTCCATACATACCACCACCCCCGGATTGTTACTTCATGCAGTTCGAACATATGGCTGGCAGTTTATCCCAAATCAAGTCTTGCCACCCCTATTGGCGAATGCTGGGTGGGGACCACTATTTCCTTCCACTTTCATCCACCGTGGAAGCTAACCCTCTACAGTGTCGGAGCCGTTCTATACACTTCATATTTACAGGTCTTAGGGGCCCTCCATGAACCTGTCTCTCAGGGGGTCAAGCGTGTCTGGCCTCCTGCGCCTCCATCGGCCACTTTCACCGCTGGGTTTACCGCAGGAACCATCCAATCGATTGTGGCAGCCCCTTTGGATGCTCTGCAGGTTCGTTTGCAGACCAGCGACATGCTGGAGGGTCAGTACCGGAGTATGTGGCACTATGGGCATCACAAACTGAAACAGATTGGGCTTCGTGGAGTTTTTGCTGGCTGGAGCCTTTCATTTCTCCGCGACTCACTCGGCTATGCTGTGTTCTTCTCCTCCTTTGAATACGTCAAATCTCAGTCGTACTATTCATTTGTCACTTGGTATTATGGGTCTCTTCATACCAACCATTTGGACCTGCTTCCTTCCTCTGGTTCCAGTGAACGAGGCGTGCCGCTTATCAAGCCTCATTATGCCCTGGAACCTTGTTTCCTAATGATAGCGGGAGTGGTAGGATCTGTGGCTCAGCAAGCCATTCAGCACCCTCTTAGCCGGATCCAAAACCTCCACTTGGGCCGATTGGAGTATTTGGACCACCAAGCGAGCCTGGACCCCTCGCGAAAACAGATGCTCCGTCTGTACTATCATGCATACCAAGAGACCTGGAAACGCTGCCGGCGGAAGGCGGATCGGGCTGGAGGGTGGCGGGCATGGCTTTTCCGTGGTTTTGTGAGTAGCTCCCTCCGGCAGGTTCCTAGTACCAGTGCGGGTCTCATCATCTTTGAATTGGTACGTCGACGATATGCGAGTCTCGCAGACAGCGTGCATATTCAAAAAGATGGATATGATATTCTATTGAACTAGCGGTTTCGATTTTTGTACAATTCTTTGCATCATATTTGGTTGGGAATGGTACATACTAACCAATCATACCTGTTCGTTTCCCTATTCGTTTCCCTATTGATCTCAAGTGCTGCAAGTGATACCCAATTTGCGATTGCATTTTAGAATTGGAATATGATCAGTTAGCCTTTCTACATCGCCAGATACAGGTACGACGTGACACGCTCTTAATATGATAAAATGGTGATATACATAGTGTAGCCCTTAACCTAAGCTACATAATTTTAATGATATTGTATATATATTATGGATATATAGAAGTTTAGGTTGGTAAATACTACTAATATCTACTACCATGTCCGTTCTTGGGGTTCCTCCGCTGTGGATCTTTTACCCCGTAATTGATGAACTTTGGCTCTTCCCATCTTTCCTTTTCTCTCAATCTCTCTCTCTCTCTCTCTGTCTCTCTGTAACATTGGCAGCACATCAGCTTCTGGACTTATAGTTTACGTCAAAGCACCTTACCTCATCCAACCGCAACGCTTCTCGATATTCCCACCTGACCTACTCCGTCATCCGAGTTGTGCAACTTCTTGCGACCGCTCCCGTTAGCTCCCCACCAAGAAAAGGGGAACTTTCAGTATACTAACTGTGAAATTGTACATCGACAAATTATCCTGATTTCTTTTCTCTTTTTTTCTTCTTTTCTTTTCTAAACCTGATTTCTTTTTGGTCTTTTTATTTTGCCCTGAAAAAAAGGAGGGCTTCCGGCCCATCGACCGTCATCATTCTTTCGCCAACCTCCCCACGCGTCATTCCCCTCCGATCTCTTTCCCGCTCCCCCACCCAATCCATCGTACTAGAATCTGCCAGCGAGAAAGGTAGTCGTCGCTCTTCCCACTCGTCAACTCGCTCTGGGTCTGGTTTCTCCGTCTGGCCTGATACCGGTGATATCACCGAGCAACTTGCCGAGGATCCCCTCCAGAATTCCCCACACGAGTCTCTCGAGCGTGAATTCTTAGTCGGAAAAGGAAGACAAACCCCCTCCAAGCGGGTGCACTACCCGCGAGATTTGGAGACCCATACTGCATTTCTCAAAGAAAACATCAAGATCCCCAGTCCTTTACCACGGCGGATATCCCGACTAGAAAGGCTCTTGGCCACCGTTATGTCCCCCAACAATAGGCAAAATGCACAAGTCCATGGCTTGGTGGGCAAACCCTTGCTGTAAGTGTCCTCTCGGCCACTAGTCTCTAGCTCAGGTAGCGGCAACTGTAACTGACGGTCTTGTAGGTATTTCACAAGTGTGTTTGTATCACTAGGGGTGTTCCTTTTTGGTTATGACCAAGGCGTCATGTCCGGTATCATCACGTCCGTATTCTCCACCCTACCTGGCCTTCCATATCCCAAGAACCAGCAATACATCTAACCAAGAAACAGTGGGTGGTACTTTGATGATTACTTTGACCAACCCTCGAGAGCCACCATTGGCACCGTAGTGGCCATTTTGGAAGTGGGAGCATTCATATCTTCCCTCATGGTAGGCCGGATAGGGGATTTGATCGGTCGACGAAGGACGATCCTCTATGGTTCATTGGTGTTTTTGATCGGTGGTGTTCTCCAAACCGTGGCCACCAGCATGCCTATGATGATGGTGGGCCGGATCATTGCCGGTTTTGGTGTGGGTGCTTTGTCCACAATCGTGCCCGTCTACCAGTCGGAGATATCGGTATGTCTCCTTGTTATGGGTAATTGAGTGCATACTGACCATGTCAGCCTCCCCACAACCGCGGAAAATTGGCCTGCATCGAATTTACTGGAAATATTGCCGGATATGCGACCAGTGTCTGGGTGGACTACTTCTGCAGCTTCATTGAGTCGAATTACTCCTGGCGGCTGCCTCTTCTTTTCCAATGTATCATGGGTCTCGCCCTTGGAATTGGAAGTCTGCTCATCTGCGAATCTCCCAGGTAGGGTTATATTTCAAAGACGTATCGAGTTCCGTGACCTGACATTGATTTTACTTCTAGGTGGCTCTTGGATAATGACCATGACGAGGAGGGCATGGTGGTTATCGCCAACCTCTATGGCGAAGGCGACATCCATAATGACAAGGCACGTCAAGAGTATCGCGAGATCAAAATGGGGGTTCTCTTGCACCGTCAGGAAGGAGAAAGATCCTATGGAGACATGTTTCGCCGCTATCGCAAGCGAGTTTTCATCGCCATGTCAGCCCAGGCACTGGCTCAGCTGAACGGTATTAACGTCATCTCGTATTATGCACCCCTTGTTTTCGAATCCGCTGGCTGGGCTGGTCGAGATGCAATTCTGATGACAGGCATTAACGGGATTTCGTATCTTCTTTCCACCATCCCTCCATGGTATCTGGTCGATGGCTGGGGCCGACGGCCAATTCTTCTGTCGGGGGCAGTAGCCATGCTCATCTCTCTATCCTTGATTTCTTACTTCATTTATATCGAGATTAGTGCCACCCCAACCCTGACTGTGATCTTTGTCATGGTCTACAACGCTGCGTTTGGCGCATCTTGGGGCCCAATCCCGTGGCTTTACCCCCCCGAGATTCTCCCCTTGAGTATCCGTGCCAAGGGTGCCAGTTTGAGCACCGCAGCCAATTGGGCATTCAATTGGCTTGTCGGAGAGGTGACACCGGTACTTCAGAGTGCTATTAAATGGCGACTGTACCTCGTCCATGCCTTTTTTTGCGCGTGTAGTTTTGTGGTTGGTACGAACTCCTCGTTTCTCATTCCTCCATCAAGGTTGGTTTGTATCACACGCTGACGATTGAACAGTGTTCTTTCTGTATCCTGAGACTAGCGGTGTTCGATTAGAAGATATGAATGTCTTGTTTGGCGATGCCTCAACCGCCATGCCAACTCCGGCCACTGACGGCGAGCGAGGGTCGCTTATCGGTGCAGGGTCACCTGTCCCGTCCCTTGATATACGCCGGCCGTATGGTCAATTTGGTGCCGATAGCGCTATTCCTGGTCTCGATATTGACCCCCCCTCTTTGACTCGGAGCCATGATGGGCCCAGCAAGTCTGGACAATCAAATTCTCCCCCAGGTGGGAGTCGTGGTGAAGGGATTGGTGGCTGGATTTCGAACATGGTTAACCGTCAACGAAGCACCAACAGTCAAAGTTACCGCCGCTTGGAACAGGGGGAAGAGATCAATGAGTGATAAGAAAGACCGTCATCTGGCAACATGTACCTTCGCTTACTTCCTGAATCATCTGGTCCTTTTTCAGCTCTAGTTTTCTTTTCCAGAGTTGGCCCTGGTGAGGCCCATTCCAGCGCTGTACCTATCATTTTCACATCTTGCTCTAGTGTCATGTCATAGAGGGGACGAAGGGAAGGCCTTATGTTGTTTATATGGGGGCGTGGCCTGTTTATATAGACGATCCCCTATTTTTTAACGGCAATTCTCCTCACATATTCCATCTTCCGGTGTATATAGTCTTTTACATGTACCGCGATACCTCTAGGGCTGATAGCCCATGGGATTTATCTATATTCAGCATTTGTCATTCATGACTTGTGATTTAGTATCAATTTTGTTGAAAAATAGTCCAAATAAACATTAAGTTTTCATCCATTGAACTAAATCTGGAGAATTATGTTTGCATGCATTGTGGAGAAGGGACCACGTTCACTATCCCGAAAACGGCCCCATTCAGGAGAAAAGTAACCCCAAAGGCGGCAAAGACCAAGTTGTTTATCCTTGTCTGGCCTTTCGACTTTCAATCTTTTCTTCAATCCTCAACTTCACTTAATTTCTTTCTTTCTTCTTCTTTTTTTTTCTTTTATTTTCTTTTTATCCTTCTCTCTTATTTTATAAGTCTTTCAAATCTCCTGCATTCGGTCATTCCCCCGTTAGCTTTGTTCAACTGTGGCCTTTGTGGCCACTATGACCCTTTGAGCTGCGGCCTCTTCCTCTCTTTACCCGGGTTTCCTCGAACCCTCTCCTACGACCTCGATTTTTCACTAAAACCTTCATTTGAATTAAAAAAATCAACATTTCCCCAACACTATGGCCGACACTGCCATAAGTACCGGGGCTAAACACGATTCCGACCTGCGCCGGAGGAATGTCCCAGATACAGCCAGACCCCAGGCGTCTATGCCCTACATCCCAGAAGATGTCAAGAAGCAAAAGGCCCAGGTAGGAACTGACAAGGTCCTGACCCTGATTTCACAAAATACTAATTGTAAATTTCGGATATAAAGGCCTCTTCATTCTTGCAGGTATTAGCTGGCTGGGAACCAATTCTGGCACCCGTCATCTTAACAGCCCTTGCCCTCTTTACTCGACTCTACCGCATTGGTCGTTCCGATATTGTGACTTGGGATGAAGCTCAGTAAGGATTCATGTTCCGTCAGAATTTATATTTATGCAGCGACAATTGTCTGACTACTTCCTGGTTCATAGCTTTGGCAAGTTCGGTTCCCACTACTTGAAACGCGAGTTCTACTTCGATGTCCACCCTCCCCTCGGAAAGATGCTTGTTGGCCTCTCGGGCTACCTTGCTGGCTACAACGGATCATTTGAGTTCAAGTCTGGTGAAAAATACCCCGAAGACGTGAACTACACCTTCATGCGTGCGTTCAACGCTTTGTTTGGTGTTGTTTGTGTTCCCCTGGCCTACTACACAGCTCGTGAATTGAACTTTCGCAAGGCAACCGTGTGGTTGATAAGCTTGATGGTTCTGTTTGAGAATTCGTATGCCACCATTTCTCGCTTCATTCTCTTGGATTCAATGCTGCTTTGCTTCACCTTTACAACCACATTGTGCTGGGCACGATTCCACCGCCTCCAGCGGGAGAATTTTTCACTGCAGTGGTACATCTGGCTTTGTCTGACTGGATTGAGCATTGGATGTGTTTGCAGCGTGAAGTGGGTTGGCTTCTTTTGCACCGCCATCGTCGGTCTTTATACCGTTGAGGACTTGTGGAATAAATTTGGTGACTTGAAGATGCCCCAAGTGAGTGTTGTCCGTTTATCAAACAGCAGAATGATCGACTAATGGGTATCTTGCTAGACTGTGCTGGCAAAACATCTCTTTGCTCGTGTAGGAGGTCTTATTGTTATTCCAATTCTGGTATATATGGCTTCTTTCTATGCACACTTCCTGGTTCTGTCAAACAGTGGACCGGGAGATGCTCAAATGAGCTCTCTGTTCCAGGCCAACCTGCGAGGCACCGAAGTTGGCAGGGATAGTCCCCTTGAAGTGGCATACGGGTCCCGTGTGACTTTGAAGAATATGGGATATGGGGGTGGCCTCCTACATTCTCACGTCCAGACATTCCCTGAGGGTTCACAGCAGCAGCAGGTTACTTGCTACCACCACAAGGATGCAAACAACGACTGGTTCATTTATCCTAATCGACAAGACGCCGACTATGATGCCGAGGCAGATTTGAGATTCATTGGGGATGGTGATACAATCCGTCTTATCCACGGACAGACTGGTCGGAACCTGCACTCCCACGCAATCGCTGCTCCGATCTCCAAGTCCCACAACGAGGTCTCCTGCTATGGAAATCTCACCATTGGAGACGATAAAGATCACTGGAAAATTGAGGTAGTGGATGATGCTGCGTCTCGGGATCGCTCTCGAATCCGGACGCTGACGACTGCATTCCGACTTCGACACCCCGTCCTTGGCTGTTATCTTCGGGCTGGAAACGTCAACCTGCCCCAGTGGGGTTTCAAGCAGATTGAGACCACTTGTATCAAGGAAAACAAACCGGGCGACGTCTATACCCACTGGAACGTGGAGTCGCACACCAATGAGCGATGTAAGCAATAGTAATCTGGAATTATCGAGAAAGAAACCCCACTAAACTGAATGATAACACAGTGCCTCCTGGAGATCCTGGCTCCTACAAATCACCTTTCTTGAGGGACTTCATCCACCTAAACGTGGCTATGATGACATCCAACAACGCCTTAGTCCCTGACCCGGATAAGCAAGATGACCTGGCTTCGAAATTTTGGCAATGGCCGATTCTGAATGTTGGCCTACGCATGTGCTCGTGGGATGACGGTGTGGTCAAGTACTTCCTTCTTGGAAATCCCCTCGTCTACTGGGGCAGCACTGCGGGTCTCGGTGGGTTCGGTCTGTTGTTGGTGTGGTACCTTCTTCGGTGGCAACGAGGCTACCAGGAGCTCAGCCAGGCGGACATGGACCATATACACTACTCCGGCGTATACCCTGCCATCGGCTGGGTCTTGCATTATCTACCATTTATCATCATGGCCCGTGTGACTTACGTTCACCATTACTACCCAGCCCTCTACTACGCTATTATCACCTTCGGCTTCTGTGTTGATTGGATTTCTCGCAGCCTGAATGCTCGTCTTGTGGTCGTCCTCTACGCCGCCTTATATGCGATCATCATTGGACTTTTCATCCACTTCCGTGCCATCGTGTTCGGGATGGAAGGTCCTAACCAGCAGTGGGCTTACTTGCGCTGGTTGCCTGGCTGGCGCATTTCCAACTGATGAGGAGCGACAACAGAGGTACCTTTTCTTTCCCTTTTCTGTCGTGAGATGGGGCGTTTTGACTTGTTTTTGTTGTTCAGTCTGTAACCCTTGTTTGTACGAAAGAGAGACAACCTTGTAGAAGGTGAAATATTAATGTTGATGTATTTTTCTTAGATACATTGACGTGTGAATGTAAATATACTTCCATATTTGACGCAATCTTAATCTCGACCTTGGTCTATTCTCCGCAAAAGTTAGATCCCTAACATACAACGGATTTTGCAGTTACGAAGTATAAGACTCTTAACAGCAACCCCCGCTCCAGCCACTGCCTTTGCGCATTGCGTCATCCATGCCCAAAGTAATTGTTTTTGGTACCCCGGTGTTACTGCCACCAGAGGCGCCAAACCCTTTCACTCCGCTGCGACGATCATTAAGGTCATATCTGCCGGCTTCAATATTACGATAAATTCGCTCCGCGACTTCCAAAAAGGCTTGTTCCACCCCATCCCCAGACTTGGCGCTGGTTTCGACGTAGCGGACGATGTTGTTCATGCGACACCATTCCTCTGCCTCCTGTTGCGTCACCTGTCTTTGGTTCGATACGGATTCCTGTCCCGCTAAGTCGGTTTTGTTGCCCACTAAAATTACCACGATTCCATCTTCTGCGATCAGACGTAGATCCTGGAGCCACTGTGTACAGGAGACGAAGGTTGAGCGTCTTGAGATGTCGAAAACAAGAAGAGCTCCAGATGCGCCGCGAAAGTAAGATCGAGTGATGGATTTGTATGTCTCCTGTCCAGCTGTATCCCACAACGACAGTTTCATTCGCTTCTGGGGGGAAGAAGACTCCGGCTTGCGTGGCGGGCTGGGTAGACCCGAAGTTGCGGACTCTGATGGAGATGGATCTCCACCAGAGCCAGACGCGTCGCGAGAGAACTCCTCAATGCCCAACTCTCGCGAAGCAGGTGGTCCTACTGGAACAATCCTTGACCCGAACTCAACCCCAATGGTGACATCATGCGACGAGGAGAAGCGACCTTCACAGAGGCGGATAGTGAGCTTTTGATAACGTGCTGAGTTAGCTAAAATCAACATAATCAATATATATACTCACGCTGGACTTGCCGGTGCCGGAATCACCGATGCAAACGAGCTTAGCAATATAGTCCCATGGCTGGGACATGGAGGGAGAGTGTTATGTATTTTTGCCCAACTGTAGTTGCGATGATGCAGTTTCAGGGAATGGAATGTGTTATCAGGATGAGTCAGCTATCCGAGGGGGGGGGGGGGGGGAAGACCTGCCCAGATGACGCTTGCATCGTCTGAATGACCTTTTTATTCTCTCGCCCTCCCTTTTGATTTAGCCTACAACTTGTTCCTTTATAAGAGGGGTAGGGACTTATCTGAGAGTCAAGTTGACCTATTCTTCTATATTCTTACTATTAACTCATTCTAAGATTTTCGACCTACACATTTGCCAAAAGAGCTACAATAATATCCCCAATCTCCACACCTACTCCAAACTTCCCGATAGCGGGCCATGTTCTCGGAATGTAGGTGATTGATATCGGGTTATCAATACACTGTTTAGGATCATTCAGCTCAAGTTAATCGTTCCGCTTTCTGTTAGATGCCTCACGCTTCCTCGCTCAGTCACAGTCACGAGTAGCATCTCGTCCAGATGAACTTCAGAGAACCGGTCGTGCCCACCCCATCCAGCGGCAGGGTAGTTCACGGAATCCACCCTCACGCTCTTTTTTGAGGACTGGGGACCCTTATCGACCGGGTGCCTCACAAGTATCCAACTTCCCATTTGCCTCTCGGGCGTCAGCTCAGCCAGCTCCTCTGTTCTACAGTGCCACTGATGAATTCCGGGAAGAAGACGATGAAACGGAGCGGGAACGTGAAATTGCAGATTTCTATGCGCTGCAACGGTCACGGCGACATTTTGGAGACAGTCACCTGAAAGAGTCTTCTGAACTTGATGATGATTCAGAACGGTCCATAGGGTTTGACGAGGGTCACTCGCCATACGGCGATGATCGGCCCGGCAATGGGAAAGGGATTAAAAGTTCATGGCGAGGGGAGAAAGGGGTCAACGCTCCTCATCAATCTCGGATCGAAGCTGTGGCGGAAGCGACAGAGCCAGAGCCCGGGCCTAGCTTCAGCCCAGGAAATGGTAAAGCTCGAGAGAATCTGGTTGACATTGGGTTGGAGGACTCTATTCGAGACAAGTTGGATGAGGACGATCGTGGCCCCTCCGAGATGCTGGGCGACGAACCACCCATTCAGCGCTTCCGAGAGAGACCAACAACCAAGCACAACCGCTTTGGGCTGAACCAATTTGAAGCTTCCGCGGAACATACTAAACCGTTCTCTCCAGATGGCCCACGACCGCCAAGCTCCGCGGGCTCATTCCCCACGTCTATCTCCCCGCTCGCATCCGAAACGTCAGTACATGATGTTTTTTGGGGCCAGTTGTTTTTGATCTCTCTGGCCGGTCTATTTGCCACGGCGTTTCTTGTCTATCTTCATACATCAAAACCATCCGGGGACCAACGGAAGTGGGGTGACACGATCTACTTCACCGTCCACCGGTCTTTCTTTCTTCTTGGAATTTATACTCTGATCTCGATCTTCGTGTCACTTGTTTGGCTTGCTTTGCTGCGATCATACGTTCGACTTCTAGTCTACGTAATAATCGTCGCGGTTCCCGTCATTTTATACTCTTTTTCCTTATACCCATTTATCTCGAGCTTCAAGGGCGAATGGCATGGATCTAGCTTCCAGGATAAGGCCATGCGCTGGGCTTCGCTCGTCCCATTCCTGATGGCGAGCCTCTGGATTTACAATGTTGCGCGAGGCCGTCAGTCCATTGGCAAAGCGATCGGCGTGCTAGAATTCTCCTGTCGAATCCTGGCAGCGAACCCGGAGCTTCTTGTCCTGGGGTTGTGTGTACTTGCTTGCGTTGTCTCCTGGACCTGGATATGGATGCTCATGTTCACACGTGTGTTCTTGGGCGGCCACCTGGCTGAACCGAGATCCTTCATCATTGACCTGAGCAGCTGGTGGCTGGGGGTCTATTTTGTGATAATCTACCTGTGGTCGATCGGAGTGATAGCTGGTATTCAGCGTGCTGTCACGGCTGCCACAGTCAGCCAATGGTATTTTCACAGACTAGCAAGTCCAGCGCCCACCTCCAGGCAAATTGTTCAGGCTGCCATCGTCCATGCTACTACAACCCTGTTTGGTACGATCTGTCTGTCTCGCCTTCTCAGTCTACTGATTCGGCTTCCACTGCTCTTGCTCCCTAGTCGTGTATCATCATTACTAGCTCTCTTTGCCTATTCCCTTATCCCAAGCCCCATTACCTACCTCACAAACCCTCTCTCCCTCACCTATGGAGCTATTCATTCACAGCCACTGGCTGCATCTGCTCGCGGACTGAGCCAGATGGCTATTCTTGCTCCGTCGGCCGCTTCATCGTCACTTCACCCCCGCGCTTATTCTCGCTCACCGGGGACTTCGGCGTCACTGCTCTCATACCGGCTCTCTAAACTGATCCTCCACGCTGCCCGCTTCATGATGTCATTGGCGCTGGGATTCGGTGGCTGGGTGACCACGGCGCGTAGCCTGACCACAGTCGCCACTGGGAATACGATTCGGGGTAGTCTATACGCCTATATCGTGGGCCTTATTGCGGGTATGATTGGCTGGAGTATTCTTGGTGCCATGGAAAGCGTCATTGCGGATATTGTAGATGCTTCAGTGATATGCTGGGCAAGCGAGGTTGGCATTTATGGTCGCGAGGCCCGGTACTGCCGTGAAGCTGGATGGCTATTTGGTGATTCGAATTCCGATTTCCATCCGGAGTACCGGGAAGTTTGATCTACCTTTTTTTTCTTTTTTCTTTTTTGCTTCTATAAACATGAGGTCTCTGGAAGATTTTCTTTTTCTTTTTCTTATCATTGATGGCCACGGCCTGATCATCTTTTGATTTTCTTTTTTTCTATACTTGAGCGACTTTAACATTACGATTCACCTAGCGACTGATGGATTGGAGGCGTTGAATGATATTTCTTTATCTTTCTAATAGAACTTGTAGGCATGTATTGAATCATTGTTTATTTGAACGTGATATATTCAAGCTTTGAAATAGCTACATTGGAACGGCATTCCAGGGCTTCATGGTATCATAGGAATAAAATCACTCGAAATGGCAAAGAAAACCAGGAACGCCTTGAATTAGCCATTGCTCTCACCTTCAAAATGACGTGGTAGAAAGAGAAAGATAAAAGATTAGGGAAGAAAGAAAGAAAAACCAAGGGGAGAAAATGCTGGAGTTTCTTCAAAACATATTAAAGACCCAAGCGACCATTCCACTCGACCTTCTCTTGTGTACACCACTCTCGAAGAAGAGACCAGCCAAATCGAACTACTTCGATAGGCGGAGTGGTCCCTCCCAATGGAAGAAAATAATCACCAGTATAATCGCCAGGTATCGGAGTGGCTTTGCCTCGTTCCCCATGGTTATGAGATCGTAATGACCAGGTGTTGGGGAAATCACTGCTCAAAATTTCTTCGGATAGACTGCGAATGCCCTCTAGCCACAGCTTCTGGGATTCTTTCCAACACTCGGGGAGTCGATTCTTCAACTCCAAAAACTCCTTCCGACTTTTCTTGTTTTCGTCAGATAGGACGGTATTCCCGTCACCCCCAGGAGTTGGCACCGGTGTATGTTCCCCCGGTAGAGGGATAACGGTGAGACGTTCAAGATCTAGGGAATGAATGGCCCCATAGGATACAGCACCCAGAAGTAGGCAAAGGCCATGCAGTGCTGGATATGAGACACTGTTCTTCTTCACTACCCGCCAGTACGCCAGGATTGACTGCCAGGTCGAGGAGTCTCCGACTTGCCGTGTGAGAACCTTGCATTGGTCATCAGCTACAAATGCAAGAATGAAGCACATGATAGCCTCTATGGCTGTCACGGCCGCTAATTTGTCATCGGCGCTTGACGAGTCTGGCTTGGCGTTGTACCGTACCGCAGCATGCTTTAGTTCTCGGCCAATATTGGTAAACCGTTGAAACTCATCACGCCATGCCCGTCGATCAGTGTTTCGAGAACGGCCGTCGGGCTGAGATGGTGAGCCCCTTATACCTGGATCGGTAGAATGGCGTTTAGCCGTAGGGCTCACAGGGGTGCTTCCTTCACCTTCACCGAGGTCGTTTCGTCGTGGTATTGAGGCTTTAGGATCCTTCATCGGTGGCACTGATGAAGGCTTCACCTTGTCGTTCGTCGGTAGAGAAGCACGAGAAGGATGGGAAGCTGGAGTGGGAAGTTTTTCGTTGGTGCCCTTGGCATCCTTTGATCGACCAGCTCCCCGACTAGAAACTTCGTCATTATGCTTGTGTTTAGGCTTTGCTCTATCAGATGAACCATTTCCATGAACCAATCCGGATCGTTCTCTGTTCCTTTCAGCGTGGGTGATCTCCCCCGGGTCTGTGTCATGACCAGGCGGGGAATTAGGTCTATTTGATTTTCGTTTACCGGAGAACTTGAGCAAGGCTTCGATCCGTTTCTTGTTTCCCTTCCCATACCGCAATCTGACAATCATCTCATGGTTGGTATCCTTGGATATAACGCCCGCGCGGCCATTCTGTAGGCTGGAAATTGAACCGCTGCTGGTGATGGTGGTTGGTGTTCGGGTTTGGGCTGGTTCATCCCGCTTCTGTTTTGGTATTATGATGTCACGTTTGGGGGAATGACGAATAGGTGAACGGTCTCCAAGCCTGGCCAGTTCTTTTTCGATGTCCGGTGGAAGGGTAGGGGATAACAGTCGTGGTAATTTAGGTCCAGTGGGGGGAAGGGTCGGAGAAAGAAGCGCGGGTAGTCTAGGTGAATTGGACTTGCTTGGAGTAGGATCCCTACGGACCTCCTTCTCCGGAGAGAGTCGGCGTTTTTTGAATGAATTCATATCCTGACCTCTGGAGGCTGATGGATTGACAGCTTCAAGATCAGACGTTGACGGTCGCTTCTTCAGACCCTTGTCGGCAGAAGTATGCGGTTGTGATTTGGGAAGATGATAGACTGGCTCTATCTTGTCGCTCTTCTTGACCAGGCCAGGTTTAGGTGTTTGCTGTAATTTTTCGCGTATAGGTGGATGATATCCGTCCCGAATTTTTCGATCATGAGTTGCTGGGGAGGGCCCACTGATCTTTTGGTTCTTGTAATCGTTCAAGCTGATCTTCTTTTTGGTGATGGTGTCTTTCGGGATTTCTGCGGTGGTCGGCGCTGTAGACCGGTCGGCCATCATGCGCCCCTTCTCGTCAGACCAGTCTCCAACGGCCCTCAGCAACGAGTCTGTATCGTTGTGGGTTAGAAAGGTCATGTATTGAAGTTCTTGTTCCTCTAGGTTGAACGGTCGATCATGTCCTATTGCCCAATTGTTCGCGGAGCGGGAACCCAGACGAAAAGGCGCCTTCGTTGGGAGGGTCAGGAGGTAAGGGTGAGGTGGCAGCACGTCGTCTGAGAGGCGCTTCAATCGCTGGTCTAGAATCTGAAGTTCTGAAGCGGGTTGGCTTGCGCGTAGGGAGATTGTTACGTCCACAGAGGGGGGTTGATCGTTCACCGACATCGCAGTCCGCGGGAAATTGTGAGTTCTCTCACCATTGATAGAGGATTGCGCGCGCGCTTTCAATTTGGTAAAGGCCTGAGAGAGGAGGAAGTATCACGAGAAGCACCGCGGTTTGGTATGCGCCTGGCCAAGTGATGGGGGGGGGGGAAGCGGGTCAAAGCATGGAGATCGAGTCGAGGGGTAGCGGCCTCGAAGGGGCTCATCAGGGCATGTCTCGAAGCGCGCGACAAACACCAGAGAAGTTTATAGAAGAGGGAAAGCGATACGGAGCCGAAAGCAAAAAAGTGGCCGATGAGAGGAAAGAGAGAGATAGCAAATGGGGGAGTCCGGGGTTGCCAGTTTAGGTATTCGCCTCTTGCCGCTTTTAGGTTGGCTCCACTTGATGTCAACAAAGTGGTTTTTATAGAGATTTATATAGTAACGTAAGAGGGAGATACTAGTAACTGCATGCACAGATATATACATCAGGAACGGTCATCCTCTGCAAACTTCTCTGGCCAAAATGCCCGATAATGATGTTGTTGACCCAACTGAGATATCTCAGCTACCTCTTGAGGGGTGAGTTTGAAGGTCAGGGTGCGCAGATAACTAGCTAACCGTGTTTCCTTACTACTGGTGGTGATTGCCACACAGCCACGGTCTAGGGTCCAGCGCAACAGAATCTCCGATTCGCTCACAGCGTACTTCACAGCTAGAGCCGATATCAATGGATCCAATGGCCCCCCACGAACCCGAGTAATCGGTACCAAACCACCATAGCCGGCGGTTTTGATCCCTTTACTCTCGTGGAATGAGAGCAGGTCTCCATGTTGGAGATATGGGTGAAACTCAATCTGATTCACAACAGGGATAACTTTGGCAGTCTTCAAGATGCTTTCCAGGTGACTCTGCAAGAAGTTGGATACTCCGATAGATCGAGCTTTCCCAGAGGCCTGGACATGCTCCATGGCTGCCCAGGCTGCCTGAAGTTCCCCCTCAGTTGTAGCGTAGAAGGGAGCATGGATCAAGTATCTGGATTGACGCTCATTAGCTCCGATGCTTTTGCTCCCCGCAAATGGGGGGAAGGTGTTCCTTACAGATCGACGTAATCAAGCTGAAGCTTCTTCAGGCTCTTATCGATAGCAGCAGGAATATCGGCGATACTCGGATAAACCTTGGTGGTCACAAAGAGGTTATCCCGAGGGCGATTGATTTCTTGGATAGCAAGACCTAATTCTGCCTCGGTTCCGTAGACTTCTGCTCCATCGACATGGTTGTATCCCAACTGGATGGCGCTCTTAGCCGCATCCACTAGTTCACGGTTGATTTCGGTATCCTGGGAGCTCTTATACCATGCAGTTCCTGTTCCATATCCAAGCTATAGTAAGATTAGCCATCTTATCTCTCCTTTCTGGGGGTTTCACATACTATAGGAACCGAGGTTCCGTCATTGAGTTGGGTTGTTGGGATATTATTGCTGACCATGGTAAAGAGAATAAAGAGAACAAAGATGCGTATATCACTCTTTGGTGTAGAGATGAAGCGGGTCGAGGGGTTTGGATCCGTGTGTGCGGAAATCCACATGATGTCATTCGGGCCGATTTGACGTGGTTTTCCCCTCTCGTGGTTTATCAACTTATCAGATTCCCTAAAAGCCCTGGGAAGAAAAACATACATGGAATTTCCACGTACTTCATGATATCGATCTGTACAATCCGAACCACTTCATATTCTTCCCGGACTTGCTTTAGATATCGATCCATGTCCATTCGAAGCCTTCATCTGAGTCGGAACAGATTGAATCAAATGACTTCTCACCTCTCCCATGGGTCGTCCCTGGTAGACTTGCCGAAATCCAATATATTTACCTCCAAGTTGCCTCCAGACCCGGCTTTTGAGACACCAGAATCCTCACATAAGGCACCTCGGGAAGCATTGGGACCTCGCATGGTGAAAGGGGCTCTGTTCACCTTTGTCCGCCCAAAACCAAATGAGGCGCCGGAGCTGCTCGGGGTGAGTCCTAAGGCTATGGAGGATCTGGGCTTGAAGGCCGGTGAGGAAGAAACTGCCCAATTCAAGGCGTTGGTCGCGGGTAATGAAATCTGGTGGAATGAGGACAAGGGGGGCATCTATCCATGGGCCCAATGCTACGGCGGTCAGTGCTCATTCCTTATTTGACAACTACTATAATCTGATGTTGATTTGATCATAGGTTGGCAATTGTAAGTAAACGTAACGTTGCCTGATTCAAATCACACACAGCCTGACTATTGACAGTGGCTCCTGGGCTGGCCAGCTTGGAGATGGAGTATGTCCAAGTTTCTTTCTTGCATGTCAGACATGCTAACCATATGTATAGCGTGCAATCAGCCTTTTTGAATGTACAAATCCCTATTCGAACACTCGGTATGAATTGCAGCTAAAGGGCGCGGGGAAGACACCATATTCTCGGTTTGCGGATGGAAAGGCCGTTCTTCGATCGAGTATTCGTGAATATATTGTTTCCGAAGGTTGTTCCCTCTCTTCCTGCTTTCGTCATTTTAAACTGAACATCCTTCAGCTCTCAATGCCCTTGGCATTCCTACAACTCGTGCTCTGTCTCTGTCTCTGCTGCCCAAGTCAAAGGTCCTGCGGGAGCGCCAGGAGCCCGGTGCGATCGTGGCTCGGTTCGCCGAATCTTGGCTCCGCATTGGAAACTTTGATATTCTAAGGGCTCGTGGCGACCGCGAATTGATCCGAAAGCTTGCCACCTACATCGCAGAAGATGTCTTTGGAGGATGGGAGAATCTTCCCGCCATCGTATCTGTGCGAGAAGGGCAATCCGCCACCGAAATCGATACTCCCCGCCGTGGGGTACTTCGGGATGAAATACAGGAGCATCAAGAGGTTATGGAAAATCGCTTTGCTCGTCTTTACCGTGAAATCACCCGACGCAATGCAAAGACTGTCGCGGCGTGGCAGGCCTATGGGTTTATGAACGGGGTGCTAAACACCGACAACACCTCAATCTACGGCCTGTCTCTTGATTATGGCCCCTTTGCATTCATGGATAACTTTGACCCCCAGTACACCCCAAACCACGACGACCACATGCTACGATACTCCTATAAAAACCAGCCTAGCATTATCTGGTGGAATCTAGTCCGACTGGGTGAATCTCTTGGGGAACTTCTTGGTGCCGGGAAGAAAGTGGATGACGAGAGCTTCATCAAAAATGGTGTCACCGAGGAGATGGAACCAGAGCTTATCAAGCGTGCGGAGACAATTATCGACCGCACTGGCGAGGAGTTCAAGGCGGTTTTCTTGAACGAGTACAAGCGACTGATGTGCCAGAGACTGGGTCTGAAGACGCAACAGGAATCCGACTTCCAGCTCCTCTTCTCTGAAATGCTCGATACGCTAGAAGCGTTGGAGCTGGATTTCAATCACTTTTTCCGCCGACTCTCGGGACTGAGACTATCTGAACTGGAGACCGAAGAACAACGGACTGAAGCCGCAGCCATCTTCTTTCACGCAGAGGGATTCGGAGGCATTGGCTACACTGATACCTCGGCCAAGGATCGCATTGCGAAATGGCTAGGAAATTGGCGAGGTCGGGTGCTTGAGGACTGGGGAGATCAGGATGATGAACGACAGAAAGCCATGAAAGCGATCAATCCAAACGTAAGATTCCCTTCCCCTTACCCTGCTGCCTATATCTGATTGAGATTTAGTTCATCCCACGGGGGTGGATTTTGGATGAAATCATCGAGCGCGTAGAGCGCAAAGGAGACCGAGAGATACTGGGACGAGTGATGCAGATGAGTCTGAACCCATTCAACGACGAATGGGGTCTTCTGAAGGAGGAAGAGGAGCGCTTCTGTGGCGACGTCCCGAAATACAAGAGGGCGATGATGTGTAGTTGTAGTTCATGATCTGAGTTGGCCCTTTTTTTGTGAAATTAAAAATAAGAAAGAGATGGGGGAATCAATATGCATTTCCCCATGCACCTTAAGTATCTCCTGTAAAGCGCCCAAATAAAGCCATTCCATGCACACCCATTTTTATTTTGCAAGTAAAATTGCCCGTTGCACTTCCCGGTCCGGTGGACACGGAGCGGAAGTATGACACTGCAAGAGGGGAAAAAAGCAACATGCAAGACGACCATGGTCGTGATTCAAGCCGTGAGTGATAATACAAAGTCAAAAGAACCCGGGGAAAGAGACATTTCAGATCGTGGCGCATGTGAAGTTATCGTTGGTTCCTGGAAGAATCCCTTGGGAAAGCAGAACGAAAAAAAAAGACACCAGTTCTCCACCATTTTAGTTGCTGGGGCAAGCAGCCTGGACGTGACCGGGCTGCTTGCACTTGTAGCAGACACGCTCACCCCGAGCCTCGGTAGTGCAGTCGCGGGAAACGTGGCCAACCTCGCCGCCTATATATTCCTTATTAGTCTTGAATCGTAAGGGGAACGGGGGAAAAGAACAGCTTACAGTTGTAGCACTTCTGTCCCTGAGTGCAGTCACGAGCCATGTGGCCGAATCCACCACAGGAGTAGCAGGTCTGAGGACGTCCACCGTATGAGGAGAAACCGTTGCCACCGTAGCTACCGCCCTGGGAGCAGTTGCGGGCAATGTGGCCAACCTGACCACACTTGTAGCACTCCTGTGAACCACCACCGGGGGCGGGGGCACCACCGCTACCAGCCTGGGGGCACTCGCGGGAAAGGTGGCCAGTCTGGCCACAGCGGTAGCAGGTACGCTCCTTGGGAGGGTTAGGGCATTCGCGGTCTAAGAGCAGTGTAAGTTGGGATGTTCCTATATTCCTTCCCGAGTTTTGCCCTCCAGTATAAACTTACTGACGTGGCCCTCACCACCGCAGTTGTAGCTGGGAACACGTTAGCATTGAAACGCATCGTTTGAGTAGTAAAGTTCAACATACCAGGTAGGCGTTCCCTTCTTAGGGCAGTCCTTGGCCTAGAAGAGAGGTCAGGTCAGTTTTCCAGTCCCATGTCAATTGAACCACTATTCATGTTGAATTTTCCCTGGTACGAGTACCGATAGGACCAAGGAAGATAGATGGGTGTATCTTTACCTGGTGAGAGGCGTCACCGCCTACAAGAAAGAAAAAAAAAAGGTCAGTCACCAAGTAGATTGGATATCGCAGAACACGCCCAGTCAAATGGCAAGGGAAATAAGGATTCAAGCAAGTAAAAGCACAGGAGTGAGGGTTTGACATATCAAATCAAATCCCCCAGAACTGAGACTTTCTTCCTGCGCTTACTGTGCGGGTCATATAGGCGAGAAGGAGCAAGGAACGAGAAACGCACAGTTGTAGCAGGCACGAGAGCGAGGATCCATGATTGTTTAGATTGGGGTTTTTGGCGAAAAACTGATAATTTTTTCTGTATCGGATTGGGTGAGAGAAATGTTTGGGAAAGGGAGGTTGAGAAGGAAAGAAATTTGTAGTGCGGGGGCCTTTCGAGGAGAAAACTTCCCGCGCAAAGATTTCGCGGGATTTCAAAGAGGATCTGGAACCGGGAAGCTACCCAACTTTCTTGCTTTTGTATGAAAATATGAGAGTAAAAGAATAAGAATTAGAACTAGAATGAGAGAAGAATAAGAAAATGAGGGTAGAAAGAGGGAAGGAAAAAAGGGAAAAAATTGCAAAAGTTCTGCATACATTTTGCATGAAGTCAAATACTTATTCTGTTCTCCATTTCCATCTCTTCCTCCCCCCCCCCCTTATGCGTCATATAGGCACTCTGTTTTGAAGATATTCGAGAATTTTCTTATGAAATGCTAACCATCAAAACAAGAGTCTCAAAGGTGGAGATTCGAATTCATAGTCGACTCTAGCCATTGTCAAAAGGGGGCAGATTCCGCGGATAGAATGCTGAGTACCGAATGCAGTTACAAAGTACACAAAAGGCGGGAGGAGAAAGAAATAAGAGAATTGGAGAAGTTAACAAGCATCTTTATATACTGCCAGGGTCCCCTGTCTCCCCCTCTCCCCCTGAGTACCTTGTGTCACACCCGATCAATATGCTTTCATATTTCATATCAATTTGGGATAAAGGTTACATTTTTACATATAAACTTGAATTCTAACCTCTTGATGGTTTTCGGGCTTTGAATGGTAATTTTTACCGTAATAATGAAAGTCATATGGTAGACATCTATAGTAGACATGGTTTAAGGCGGGGTATATGTATGCTCTACCTAGGTATATAGTGGACTTTGGGACCATGTGAAACCTTCACCTAACCTTTCTTTCCCCCCTATTTCCTCTTCTCTTTTCTTCTATAAAGGACAAAAAATGTCAAACTTTGTACATGCCCGGGGTTCCGGCTTCCCGAAAATGTTATGTGAAATCGTAACATTCTAGTAGCTGAGTGCCGACCTTCTTCTCCCGGAGCAAGATAACTTTTTCCTCATCGAAGCCAACACATTCATGTATGCAGCCACAATTTGTCCTAGAAACAAGATCCAACTCATCGATCTCTTGAGCACCCACTTTGCTTTCTAGGCCTCGATTGTTAGGATTGACTTGAATGCTGCTCTCTTCTTTCAAGGAATTATGAGTGCCGAGGGAAGAAACGGTTGTCTCAAGCTCCCAAATTCGAATCTCATTACCCTGCGAGCTCACAGAGACGGCCTTCCCTCGGTTGGTCACCTGGACTGCAGAGACCGAGGACGTGTGACCCCAGAGTCGCTGGCCACCTCGAACAAAAAGACTGTTAGAATTCGACACAAGCAAATACATGGTCAACGTATTATCCGCGTGTGACGTCAGCAGGTATGGATGGGAATAAGACATGGATGTTGGCGGCTGCTGGTGCAAGATGGATGGCTCGGTACGGACCTCAGAAGGGGAGGTCAGATCAACGGTGGCAGAATGCTGCCGTTTACTGGATTGTAAAGAACTCGGAAGGGAACGGATGCCATACTGGGAATCCACTGTGCTGGTAAGCCGGGACTCTAACTGTTGACCATCTTTGTTGAAACGCAGCTCTTGAATCCCCAGCGACCACCCACACCCAATGTGATAGAAGCTGTATACAACGGTGGCCACTATCTCAAATGTCGAAACGCGAAGCGAGAGAGTCATTGGGGCGATCATGTTTTCCGCTTGGAGGGACACGATTTCACACGGTCCTACAGCATCTTGATCTTTGCCACCGGTGGAACGGGGGCGCAATTTGTATAAAGAAAGCATCTTATGCTGGGAGACCATCAAAAGATAAGGCGATGACAAAGCCATGGCGGTGATGGCGCCATCTCCGAATCCAACGTGGGAGGATCTTAAGCTCAACCGAACTGTCCGAGCATCAAACTCGTAACGACTGAAGCGGCCATTCTCGAATCCTACTACAATATCTTGCACATCTGGCAGCTGGCTCACAGCCAAAGAGGTTGGGCGAGTCGTAGAAGGCTCTGGGTCTGAGAATGAGATGCCACATAAGCAGCTGGTTGGATCTTGTGCGGCCCACGCTCGAAGCCCACGAGCAGCATCAGCGGTAAAGACGATACCAGCACAGAGTTTGACTAGCACAGGAGGGCATGCTGGTTCAATAAATTCGACTTCAGTCACTCGACAGGATCCGTTGGACCAGTTATGTCGTAGGCGATATTGTCGTTTCCAATTGGTCGCCCTTCCCTCTTCAGCTAGATGGCTGTGATCGAGCCAGGTTGATACTTTAGGTGAATACTCTGCCCGAGCTGGTAATATGGTGCGTCTTTTATTAGCCAGACGAAGGGCACGAGGTCGCACCCACTGCGAGTAGTACTGTCGCTTCCAGAGTTCGGAGTCTCCACCAAGAGCATGGAATCGGCGGGATAAGCTGGAAGAATCAGCGACCTTGAGCTCTCTCACAAAGAAAAAATAACTTAACAAACCTTTGACACACATTCAGCGATGATATCGGAAGAAATGAAAGTATATGTAATAGAATTTCATTACTCAAGGAAGATAGGCGATCGACCGGAGTCGTTGTTACGCGCTTGGTAGATGGCAAATCTGACTGTATATTTTCTCGCAGACGTTTTGGCATAGTGATGGGCCGTTCTGGGACCCATTAAAAACATCAAGGCATGTGAGTGTCTGTCGGGGTTGGAGAGTACAAGACGATTAACGTCCAAAGGGACCCTTATCGATTGATAGACGAAGATCACGTGTGATAAAGACATAAGGGCGGTCAGAATATTGCCCTGCTGGGACGCGTCGCAAACCGCGTTTCCTTCTATGGAGCTTTAGACAAGACCAAGGTACGGGTGAAATACATTCCATGGATATCTTCAAAGAGCTCCATGTCTCCATCACAAAGGCATGTGAATCTTCTTTTGAACATGCTTTCCAGGAATTACAGGCCAAACTTGCCACCCATCAAGCCGGTCTGACGTCGGCCAAGAATGACGCAGCCACTGCCAATGAGGCCCGTCAAAGAGCAGAATGCAGAACACAAGAGCTTCAACGCGAAGTGTTAGCACTCCAAGAAGAATTAAGCCACTATGCTTCCAATCCAGTCGATCTGGAACCTCCTGTGAAGTGGGTTGACCTCGAAAATGAATTTGCGCCAAACCACATTTGGCGGGCTGATATGGAGGACGTGACTCACTTACGGGAAATCCTCGAAACGAAATACAAGTCCCTCTACAATGATCTGCAGATATACTGTCAGAGCTGGGGCAGCTTGAAAGCCAAGATTTTACAGCATAAGAAGAAATTGCGCCACGTGGACAGACAACTGCAGCGGGCTGAATTTACCCTCATACTTGATGGTGCACTGGTCACGTTCCAGAGAGTGCAAAATTCAGATACTAGCTATGCCGATAAAACTGCTATATTATCCAGCTCAAGTACTGCACAAGACAGACAACAGGATCGGGGGGTGTCCAGCAGCTCAGGAAAGCCTTCCAGCTCCACTCAGAACCGAACTAGTTCAGAAGACACAACTTCTGCAGTTAAATCTGAGGAGCATAGCCAGCATCTCCCCTACCCTCCCCAGGCAGAACCGTGCCCTACGCAGTCTTCTCCCAGATGCGACCCAGAATCTTCGGAGTCGCCTTCGGATGTCCTGCACCCGCTGCCAAATTTACAAACTCGAAAGCGAAAGCGTGTCATGGCTCCTTCTCAGCGCCGCGCTCCAGGGCGCAATTCTGGTCGACCGATACTCGTGAAAAACGAGACAATGTCATCTAGCCCCTTGCAACATTCGGCTCATATCCTGGGACCGTCTCTCCCAAGCACCCAGGACCTAGATGACATTGGCGATGCTGTACTGACACCCACAAAACGAAATACCAACCGAGCAGCGCATTGGGATGACTCTGCTTTGGGGGACCTGAAGCCTGTGTCAGGCCGATTGTCTGTATTACAACCAATTGATGGCAATTCACGAACAGCAAGAATCTCCAACCCGATATTTGACAAAAGGAAGAGATCCATAGATCCACGTGCAATCTTATCAATGTCCGAAGATGGCGATACCGATGATTGTGGTGCCCATTCACACCCTTTAAGAAGCACTTCAATGCCACTCGCCGCATCATCGAAAACGAAGGCTCGCTCAAACATCGCCGAAGGTCGCCTAGAAGGTCTTCTCGAGAAAGCGTTGCCCTCTAAATCACCTCTCACGTCCTTGCGAGGCGCGTCGGGGCCCAAGATTACGCATGATTCAGAGAAAAATGCTATCCAAATGGGCGACTGTGGGCTTGCCAAATCAGTCCCTTCCCAATCACATGCACCACGAACCAACGATTCCACAAGCCAATCTGGCCTCACCGTTCATTACGACGATGAACCTTACAGATCACGCCCTCTACATCGGCTGACTCTGGATCACTTCAAAATCAACCTGGAGAGAAACGAAGGACTTGATTACGCATATGGCGCAGTTGTTCGCAAGAAAGATGATCGGAAGTGCCTCGCTGGTTGTACGCGAGCTGAATGCTGTGGAGGCCGATTTCGTGCGATGGCTCGCCTTGGTGGACTTCCTGCCAAATCGCCCTCGGAACAGCAGGAGGAAGACCAGCGAGTCTTGGAAGAGTTTGTGGGAGAAGACCGCCATCTATTAGAAGGCCTGAGTGCCCAAGCCCGCGACGATCTTCTCGTTGATGCTCGGGCCAGAGCTATAGCCAACCAATATGGAAAGCACCGTCATAACCATCAGCGTGCTCGGTCACCCCCTGGCTTCTGGCGAACTGATATGCCGTCGACACAAGAACTCGAATCTGACCGAGAAGCTGCACAAAGACTAGAGCGAGAGAAGGTAGAGGAGCGATACCGCGAGGCGATGCGGCCCGGGGGTTTGTGGACCTGGGCAGATGAGTGAACTAACATGTACTTATAAATATTATCTATCTGGGACTATTGTAAATCTCATCAAGATGTTTGATCTATGATATCCTGAATGTCATAAGTTGCCCAACATGGTACTGCTAGTAATGCATAATGTATGTAGTAACTTAAGGTATACTCCCGTTCGTTGCCGCAAACAAGCTGGACCTCGGTCCAGCTTGTCTTGGCGGCCCGTGACCCGCCCTCAACCTCTCACCCACTTCTCCCTCGCGACTGCGCCATGAGCGGCTGCATCGAGTTGGATGATGGAAACCGTTCGGAACATCCAGAATCCTATCCCAGCCACGATGCTACAGCCATCAAAATGGCTGTCACTCTACGAAGACTTTGTGACTAAGAATGCCAGCTCTGTTGGCCAGGTTGAGTCCGCCTTGAGGTCACTAACCTATATCATTCCAGGTAGGCGAAAGAACACCGAGGTTCTTCTAAGATCCTTTTCGAATTTTTCGCTAATCATTTTCTGTCTTCCATTTATAGGTCGATATCGTGAATCTGAAGTCGCTTCGGAGTGTGGTAAGTTCAAGTACCTGCAGCTGCAGGCATGCATGGGGGACTAACTGACAATGCGATACAGTACATTCGGGCGTGCAGCTTTTATCATTATACCATGATTCTCTCGTCTCGCGGGTAGTCTCCCGACTACCTGCTACCGTTCCACGACCGCCACCGACTCCTCATACTCGCTACACCAAGTACTGGACCTCGCGTTCATCACTATATCGCCGTGTAGCTCTTGCGCTTCAGATGCTTCAATACACAGAGCTTTTATGGGAAATGTCAGCGCGGCGGCGTGGTCAGAAGACTCGTTGGCGCATTGTTGTCTTCATCGAATTTGCCAAAGCAATTTGCCGCCTGCTACTCCTTCGATTGACCAATTCTCGGCCGCTGGTGAGCCCACCGTTGCCCGAACGTGAAGTTGACCCACGGCCAACGGACGACAACGAGGAAAGTGACTGGAACGGCATGGATACTCCTATCAGTGACCGATCTTCAGATCTGAGCTGGACCATGCCTCGTACAGGGTTATCCCTTCCATCCCTCCCAGATGTCAACGACGTGTCCAACTATCTTATCTCAAAAGTACTCACCGCAGATGACATCAAACCTGCCAAGACCTTACTGCACCGGGTTACTGGTCAAGGCCAGCTAGCGGAGGTCCTCTATATTCTACGACCTGTTGTGTATGCATTGGCGATGCAGCGGTGGAGCGGCGACAAGCGGAGCTGGCGCCCGTGGCTGATAGGATTTGGTATGGAATATGGTTGTCGTCAGCTTGCTAAACGAGACTTCCGTGAGCGAGTCGCCGGTGGACTCCGGGGACTCACGGGTCTCGAGCGAGAGGAGTTGAAAAAGCGAGGATGGTCGATGGGCTGGTGGTTGATGCGAGGCGCATTCTATGAGAATATCACCAAGTATGAATACCATCCTCATATTTTACTTGTTATCATCAGACTAACATGCCGCAGATCATGGTTGCGCAGTTTAACCAACAAGATGAAGGGGAAGCCACTGCTCGACTTGGTGGGTAGTGTGGTGGAAGACTACGAATACCTGTGGGACAACTACTACTTCTCGACTGCCACCCTATGATTGCTCTGTTCTGCACAGATTTCTCTTCTTCCATGATACCCGGCTTATTTTGACATTTCTTCTCCATGACGTTGTGCCTTCACAACACTTCTTTGTTCTTTGATTGAAACGTATCCCCATAAGGGGTGGGGGTATCATCGATTGTTTTAATAGCTTCATTATGTCTAATTCACTTGTTCCCTTCCGTCATATGATTTCTGCTTGTCTGCTCCCATACCAATCCCGTAGCCCATCTTGGCCAGAGCTCTTTGTGGGTCCAGACGTCAACAGGAACTCGAGTCGGCCATTTCCTTCCTCGTCTTCCTCGGGCCAGTCCACTCGTGCTCCACCCTTCACATCCAGCATTTCTTTAGCTGTACCCCAGCTGAATCGACACTCGTTACCCCAGCCGAAGACAGGGTCCATGTTTCGTCGGAGCCAGCCGACACACTTCGAATCGGAGGGATAGCCACTGCCCCATCCCTCTGGGGCATCCGACGCACTATCGCCAGACTGCTGGGCACTCAGCACAGCCTGGTATAGCACCTCAAGCGCGACATCACGTGTCACTTTCGCGGCCACACTGGCCGCACTTACACATGGGTACAAGGAGTCCGCTTTCTTGGCCACAGTGATCTTCAAAGATGGGAAAATCCGTTCCAGCTTCTGCTGGTATGTCGCTGGATTTCCAATGGTATCGATGTATACTTCTTGTACGTTGACCGAGCGATCCTGCACTACCCCTCGAATGATCTCAATTGTAGCGTCCATCGCTTGTGCGTTCAGATTGTAGACGGCGGAACTTGGCTTCAACATGCCCGAGGATATGTCACGGGCCGACAACACTTTGATCGCATAGCCACATGATTCGAATAGATCGGTGCCCGGGGTGTTGAGTACTCGCATTAGGTTGGCGCGCACGCCGGGTGTGAGAACTTTACTGTCGTCGAAACTGTGGTTTTGGGCCAGAAGGGAGTGGTGCAGATCGATTGGCAAGTAGAAAGCACCATAGACCATTGGGCCGAGAACAGGACCACGACCAGCCTCGTCTACACCAAGTACACATGGTGTGTTTTCTGCTGATGTATGGGTTGTGATAGCTGCCGGACAAGGAGTATAATAGGCGTAGGATTCACCTGAGAGGAGACGAGCCGAATTCACACTGGGAGGAATAAAAAATAAATCTTCCTGACTTGAATTGGTTTCCTTCATAGTGTCACGATATTGATCAAGGAAAATTGAAAGAATCAAAAAAAAGAGATGAAGCGTGTAAAGGGTACAAAAATCATGGACAACGGCAACGCGTCGACCGCTCGGGTTTAGCGGCACGCGTCGCTTTCCCCCAAATTCCGCATTCCCTCCTTCCCCTCCGTGAATCTTACCTAGAATACCGGCCAGTTACTAAGGGGGTGAAAAACCCAAATATTTGATCGCGAACCGGCGCAAAATCCTTCATCTGTTCATATTCCCCAAATTCTGTCAAAAATGGCTCGTGGGGCCAAGGCCCGCGAGTATGACTACTCCGCAGTAGGAACTCAAGGAAGGTGAGTGGCGCATGATTTTTACCGTTGGAACTCCTACAGCTGGCTAAACAATGTGATCCATTCAGACGTACCGGTATTACCTTGAAAGAAGGCAAACGTGACGAACATGGCATGGAAGAAGTGGACGGCCTTTTTTCATCTCCTGAGAAATCACCTGTAAAGGTGAATGGCTTTGACGATAGGGACACCGAGGACTCGATTGGCTCCGATGGGATGTCCATTGATGAAGGTACGACGTTCTTAACTTGAACATATCCACAGAGAATTCTGACGAGATTGGATCTTAGGCAACGCGCCTGGTCCCATGGACTTCCTCAATGCCACCAACGCTTCGCGAACTGCCGTATTGCCTCCACCCGGTCGTTCCCCTGCAAAGGGCCCTTCCACCCGCAGATCACCGGTTTTGCGCTCAACACCAGATGACGAGGACATATTATCGCCGAGCCCTTCATATGGTAAAGGCTTGACTAAGACCCCCAGTTCGCGACAGGAGGCCTCTCCATTGACTACTCGATCAGTAAACGCGGGTGTCTCCAAGCAGAGAAATAATGCCCAGAAGGCCACAAAAGCGCAATTAGTGGCAGCTGAGTCCCCTGTTCTGCATGACTTTTCAGACGGCGAGGGTGATGAAAATGCCAATTCGTTTCTCCCCGAAGACAATGACTTTGAAGACAGCTACGAGGCTGGGAATGAGACTGTGATTCCGGACGAGGACATTGTCGAACCTGCTGTGCAAGAGCAGAGTGATATCGAAAATGACTCGCCTCCATCCGCAGAAGACTTGCGCCCGGCGTCGAAGAAATCCACAACAACCGCCAAACAGACAAGAAAAGCCCCCGCAGCGAAGGCGTCAAGGCCAGAAAAGAGCGAAACAAAGACCGGACGGCGAGGCCGACCTCCGAAAAACCCACGTCCTCTCGATGAGGAGCCGGCGGATGCCAGGCCAGCTAAGAAGCAAAAGACTCCAAACAGTCAGCCTCAAGCGACCCGTGAACCTTTGGATCCCGAACTGCATAAAGTTGTTGAAAATTATACCCAACGTTCAGGCCCTTTGAAGGGCCGCAGCTTATACATTCTCAAGAGAGAGAATCCCACAGACCAGAGCGCTACACATACTCGCTCGGGGCGCACATCGATCCGTCCTTTGGCGTATTGGCGCAATGAAAGATGTGTCTACGGGGATGGAGAGACTGAAGAGGGCCACCGCTTCCCACTATCCACCATCAAGGAAATTGTTCGCACTGAAGAGCTTGAGCCAGAGCGGTTGAAGAAAGGCAAACGTGCCGGTCGAAAGTCAAAATCCAAAAAGCAAGCAGAGGAGTCTTCAGATGATGAAGATGAGCATCTCGATGTCTGGGAGAAAGAAAGTGGTGTTCTCCATGGTTTTATCCCCAGATGGGATCCTAAGTCTCAAACCAGCACCAAGGAGGAAGACGTCATTGGTAAGTGCAGGTCTTTATTTTGCCATGATTTGTTTTGCTTTTGCTAAATCCCATCTTGCAGATATTGCGTATGCTCCTTCTGGTATCGAGACAAGAGAGGTCAAGGATTCCACATTCCGGTTTGCAAAGCTGTTGAGCTCTTCTTTCATCGGATCAGGGGTGGTAGAACTTCCACCAGAGGGTGTGAAGAGACCCAAGAACTCAAAGAAGATGCACATGGTTTTTTATGTCTGCCATGGACGAGTGCAAGTGGATATCTCCGGAGTACAGTTCAGCGCTGGCAAGGGATGCGTGTTCCAGGTACCGCGTGGTAAGTCTAATATCTCATAGCAATATGCGATTTCAACTAACGTCAGCCTACTATAGGAAATTACTATAGCTTCCAAAACGCCCATGCTAAAGAAGCTCGGCTATTCTTCACACAAGGCTGTGTTCCGGCGGAGGATGAAACAGCCTCATCCAAATCCAGAAATGCTGTTCAGGAAAGCGAATTCGAGGGTGAGCCTGGGCCTGGGCCTGAGGCCGAAGATGAAGGTGAAGCGGAAGTCGATACTGAACCTACACCGGTTACCAAAAAGGTCCGCGGTCGTCCCAAGGGCAAGCAAAAGGCGAAGTAAATATTGCCTTGACGATCTGTATCCGTTTTGTATTCTTCGTTTCTGATTACTTTCCATGTCACGGCGGTGTTGATAATGTGCCACGATACCACATGCCTCAAGCGTTCAATTGTCTTATTATTCTTTAACCGAGATGTTGGTTCTATCACTTTAATCTATTGGGCGCTAAATCGGTGTCGAGGTGGAGGGGGAGTAGGAATTGGCAGTCGCATCTTCTTTACAAATACTCATGTTTATCTCCCAAATAGTCATGAAATCCGATTAGATTTCCTCCATCAGGTCATCCAAGTCATCATCCAGCCCCAGGGGAGGAAAGTCCCCGACCTCCAGCTTGTCCGGCTTCACGAATGCACCTCGCTTCTCAAGGCATTCGAAATAACGTTGCCCATTGACGCTGCCATCATTCTTCCCCGTCGGCTCATCCAGCTCAACACCTACCCAGATTGGCTGCAGCTCTACGGGAAGCTCCCCTTCCTTTTCGAGTTCGCGGCCAGGCCCAGACACTGGAATCGATGGCACAGGCCCAACAAACCGAATGGTTCCCCGTCTGATATGGGGGGAGAGGATGGTAGAATAATCACTCGTTTAGACACCGCAATGCCTATGGTTGAATGGTGAGATCGACATCAAATCATTTTCTGAAAGACACGTACCTCGAGAGACTATCTCGGTCTTGTCCTTTGCTACTTGGTGACGAAGGGACTCTTCAGGTGAAAGAGCATTGGGATCAAAGCGACCTAGCTTCAGATTCTTCTTCCACGCCAAGACAGAGTTTGGAAGAGACTCATATGTCTCCGTGGGGAGTTCGTATTTCTCCACGGATGAAAGGTCGGTAAAGTTGGGCCTCATCGCTTGTGGGCGTGAATCGTGGACCTGTGAATGTATTTTTAGCAATCAAATTTCAAAAAGGAAACCCTGTATGGTTCTTCTGCCTCTCTTGTCGGTCTGATCAAAGAAACCATCGTAAGAGCATACCAAAAATTCTGATCAACGCCAAACTCCAGATAAAAAATAGGTTGACAAGGTATACTCTCAGGATAAGACTGATTATATAAATTTCCCAGTACAAGAGAGACAAGCTCATGCAAAGAGACTCGGTAAGATAAAGAAATCAAGACTTACCACTATCTCTGTTCCTTTGACCAGCCCCCAATCTCCAATAGCCCGGTCATCATCATCCGCCCATTGATCAGACCGACCAGGTACCTTTACAAGCAGGCGCTGGCTGCCCGGTGGAACACCAGTCATGGTCTCCAACTTCCCCTTGAGCTGCATCACCGTCCACGTGGGGGTGACACGGCGTTCAGTGACGAAGCGAGGCTCTGAATCAGCAGTCCGTGAAAAGGCAGCATTGGTAATAAGAACGGAGATATCCGCTGGGGTAGGCTGAAATGCCATCTTGACTGCAGATTACCCCTTGGGTTTTTGATGCTTTGATGTGGGTTCTGTTGGGAGATGTTAGAGCCGGCGATTGTATCAACAATGAGGGGTGGTAGGTAATAAGAAGCAATGAAAAAGCTCAAAAGATTGGTACCCCTGGACAGCAAGAAGGTAAGGACTTGATGGCACCAAATAAACCCTCGAAGGCATTTTTGATATTGAGCAAATTCATCACGACCAGCAGTCTCTTCGTCTTCGGAGGGGGGGGGGGGGGGGGCAGGGATAGGGATTCAAGATGAAATACAGCTAACATATACCATTGGCAGGGAAAACATTCATAGCAGATGGCAGTGTACTGACCGTTTGGACCGAAGCGAGTGATGCTGAACACAATGCACGAATCACGATCCATGGGCCCTGGAGCCAGAGCTTAGTCATCAGAGGCATCTTTCCGAGTTATATCAGCCCATCAGTGAGCATCTACGCTGATGAGGAAACTAGAGGGATTGGAAATTGAGCAGAACCCCGATTAAGCTATCATGGAATAGGCGAACGGGTTTTAGTTGAAATTTGGTTGTCACGAGAATCACAGATCTGGTCCTACACTACAATCCGGAGAAAATCGACAAAGAATTCTCGGAGAGTTTGGAGTGAAAGCTAAACGGGTATTAATACCTATTTCTCTGTTATCCATCTCTACGACCGATAGTCATTACTTCTATGTTCTCTATTAGTAAAATTGAATCTCAGATTTGAAACATTAAAATCCCCAAACCACGTGATGTCGAACTGGAATCGAAATCACCAAAACTCAGTCAAACTGACAAGAACAACCCGCAACCATGTCTCACGCTGAGGAGTACGAGCAACAGAACGTGCACGAGGTCTATCAAAATATTGCTCAGCATTTCTCTGCCACACGTTATAAGGTACAGTTGTCCATATGGTCCATCGGGCTTGCCACTTACCTCATCCGTAGCCATGGCCTATTGTGGAACAATTCTTGCAAAATCTCACACCTGGATCTGTTGGTCTTGATGTGGGCTGTGGAAATGGCAAGAATTTAATGGTCAATCGCAATGTGTTCATTATTGCTTCAGATCGGTAAGTCTACAAAAATACGGAGGAATATCTGATTCTTGTTTTTGAATATGGATTTTTCGTTATTTGGTTATTTGGTTATCTGGTTATTGGGTTATCTGATTATTATCATAATCTTCCCCTTCTTTGCTGAACATTCCTGACCTGATTCTTTGAATTAATTGAAACAGATCGGAAAATCTGGCCCGGATTGCTCTTCAACATCAACCACATTCGGCCGTCGTGGCCGATATTCTCCAACTCCCGCACCGGGATGGGTACTTTGACTTTGCAATGTGTATTGCTGTCGTACATCATCTGTCCACCCCGGAGCGGCGAGTGCAAGCTGTTGCCGAAATTCTTCGAACCGTGAAACGCGGCTCGGATACGCAACCAGGTGGTACTGTCCTGATTTATGCTTGGGCCCTGGAGCAGAAGAATAGCCGCCGTGGTTGGGACAAAGGGGACCAGCAGGATGTCATGGTTCCTTGGGTTCGGAAGAATCCATCCGCACCGGAAGAGACCCAGACGTTCAACCGCTATTATCATCTGTTTGAAGAAGGTGAATTGGAGCGAGATATCGAGAGTGCTGGTGGTCATGTGGTGACGTCGGGATATGAGAAGGACAATTGGTGGGCCATCGCTACACCCAAGGTCAATCCATGATAAGCGGTTTGTATTCCGAGATCCAGCCTCGATATAATCCGCCATAAATCAGAGGAGAATGCCCTCCAATAAAGCATAAAAACATCTCCTCAAAGAAAAGAAAAAGAGAAAAAAAAGAAAATTGGACAGCAAAAGAGAAAACGCGCAAAAGTTCTGCAGAGGGATGACGGAAAGAAACGCGAAAATCTCTATTCAAAATCACGACCTCCCACAAATCACGGTGTACCTTCAGCCGGCGCTATGCAAGTCGTATCAGAAACAAAGGAAAACCGTAGGTGGATCGTCATCACATCTTAGGGCAAAGTTCGTGGGGGCATTCCCATATGCGGGCCCATCATTCCGGGTGGGGGAATGCCCATATCAGGTCGGCCATAGTACTCTCGGGTTTGGGGAGCTGGTGGTGCAGGTGCATATGCAGGAACCCCGGCAGTAAGTTCTTCGAGGGATGGCAATTGAGGGGCCATGCCTGGGTGGCCTGGGATGGCGCGGGAGATGGAACTCTTCCGTGGTCGTGCCAGAGAGGTGCTAGCTCGACGAGTTCTGGTGGCGGGGGGATCGATCGCATGACTTGATAAGGAAAAGGGCACCACGCCAGCGCGGCGGGCCATCTCCTGTTCCCCCAGTTGCCAGTGCATGGCCTCTGCGGCACGCCATGGGATAGCCATTTCCTCGGCCACCTTTGACCACATCTCTGCTTTGAATCTATTTGAGGATTTTGTTAGCCAAAAAAATGGTTCTCCCGTTGCTGTTATTGCTCTTCTTGCTCTTCTTGCTCTTCTTGCTCTTCTTGCTCTTCTTGCTCTTCTTGCTCTTCTTGCTCTTCTTGCTCTTCTTGCTCTTCTTGCTCTTCTTGCTCTTCTTGCTCTTCTTGCTCTTCTTGCTCTTCTTGCTCTTCTTGCTCTTCTTGCTCTTCTTGCTCTTCTTGCTCTTCTTGCTCTTCTTGCTCTTCTTGCTCTTCTTGCTCTTCTTGCTCTTCTTGCTGTTCTTGCTCTCCGATCTTGGTTTGGTTGGGTGGTTGAGTTCGCCTACCTTTCATATAAACGAGCCAGCTTGTTCTTCTTATCCTCATCCCACTCACTGCGACGCTCCAGGTAGTTTTGATAGTGAAGACGGCAGCTGATCGCACTGCGACCTGGCAACCGTTTGCTGATATCCTCCCATTTCATACCACTACCTCTCAGCTCAATAATCAAGGCATCCTCCTCGGGTGACCACTTCGACTGCTTCTTGGCGGGAGATTCTGCTGTATGAGCTGGCTGTAGGCGCTTAGGAGCGCCAGTTGGACCGGTCTTGGTCAACGGCGGTGGCACAGCCATCGGCGGACCAGTCAAGTAGGACGTTCCAGGCAAGGGACCAGACATCCTAGGTGGATAGAGAGGGGCAGGGTTGCCCGAGGTTTCTTCCTCATCTTGGGGCTTGAGTAGCAGTGAGATATCCACTTTGGCGGGCGGCAAGATAGGCCGGTTTTGTAACGCAATCATAAGCGCGATGGGGGGTGGCGTCTTGTGAGTTTCTTTTCTCAAAAGTTGAACTGGTCGTTTTTGGGTTTTTTTTTTGCCTTTCCTTGCTCCGTATAACAGATATAAAAAGCCACAAACCACCACAAACCACCAAACAAATACCTTTTCCCACGGATCAAGGAAGTGACCAGAAGGGGGGGTTTGAGATGCAGTTTGGGAAGGAGGGGGGGTAAGAGAAAGGAAAAACTGATGTCTCTCTCCAAATGAAATTCGCGGATGATCAGTTCAGGAACCAAGGACTTGGGGATCAAATGCTCCGTTGAATCTTCAAAGCCAAACACAGTTTGGGTCTTGTGCAACGAATGGTGAGGTCAGAGGAGCTGTTTCTCTTTTAGAGGGCAGAAATGGCGGGACCAGGTACCGTGGATGAGATTCGTTCCAGGAACCGAGATAGAAAGTAAAGTAGAAAGCAAAAAAGCCAAGAGTAAGTAAAGTAAGAGAAGTAGAGTAAGTAGAAAAGTCAAGTCAAAAAGTTTAAGAAAGATTATAGAAGATTTTAGGTTAGAGAGTCCAGAACGCTGGATGAAACGAACATTGGTATAGTATTGTAAGGGTAAAAAGAGGATCATAATTTAATATTTTTATTTGGTATTTTTATTCGGTTTTAGTTGGGTTATTTTGGTTTAATTTAATTTAATCAAATCAGATCTAAATGTATTTCCTTTACATTTGGATTTTAATTGATTTTCTCCAATAAAATATAAGAAAGCTTCTGTTATAAAATATACATATATATATATATATATATATTATAAAAAAAAAATTAAAAAAAAAGAGGTAATCAGAAGAATAAAAACAAAATGCAAAGAACGAGGGGAAATAGAAAATAGGAAAGAGGAAACAGGAAATAGGGAAAAACGAGAGAGAGAGAGAGGAGACCCGCATTCATCCTTAAGTGAAATGAGAGAATGCGTAACAACACTTTAAACCCAAAGTTAACCAGTCAGAAAAGTACTTTTAGCCCAGACACTAATGCCATGCCGTTGTGACTAAAATATGTCTGGACCCAGATCGGACTCAACGGCTTTCTGCTCCACAACCATCACGAGGGGTATTAAACCAATTATGCTCAATCTGGGGGTGTTCTTGTCCCACTTATGGTTTTTGCAGCCTCAGTGTAACCAGTCGGGGATTTTTCTATCTTAGGGCTTATTTTGAGGGGTCAAGGGCTTTTTAAGGGCTTTTTTAAGGGCTTGAAGGGGCTTGAGGTCGGGACCTTTGGCTTATTTTCCCTTTCTCCCCTCTCTTTTTCTCATTTCTCTCTTTCTCTCTTTCCCCTCTTTGCCCTATATATAAAAAGCTCAGAGCTCGTTAATCTTAATCTGTTTTTTCTCTCTGAGTATCCACTCATTGGTTCCTGGTTATCCCTTTCTCAAACTGTTCCCATGGATTCATCTCAAGCCAATTTGGTCTTCCCCTGGGTTGTGAAGAGCTCCGACCTCGGTAACGATCTGTCAAACCATGAAAAAAAAACTGGGTTCTTCCAGAAATTCCCGTACCCAATTCAAAAAGCGGGAATGTGGTGTAAAAAAGTGCCATCGTTCGCATACATAATGTCACACTTTTGGGATCAGACCTATGTGAAATTGGCCTGCTCCATGGGCCTAGAATCCAGATTTGTTTGTATTAAAGTAGCTGGGGCCCGATCGCATGAAGGACCGGATCGGCGGCATTTCTCTATACATATGTTTCCAACCAGCGAGCTAAGGTCTCAGATTTGCTTTAATTTACTCTCCTAATTTAAAGGAAGTTAACACTTTGAACGACGGGGCTAAAAGGGGGCGTAACGGAGTACGGACACAAGTTCTCAGATTAAGGGACTGGTGGGTCGGAACATCCATCTCCCCTTTATCTCCCGTTACCACTACCCAAGGTACGTACATAACAAAAAAATTTACAGGCAACGGGCAAACTGCAGGTAAAGTTGCTTTAATTCTCCGTGATTGGACGCAATGTAACGCAGCTGGCACGGAGCCCCAAGTGGCAAAGCCAACCTAATGCAGCCCAATCCTACTGGGAAAACCAACTTGCAAAGTGGCGGTGGAGTGTCAAATGCAGGTTCTGCTCGAACATGAGTTCCCTCTATACTGTAGCCTGGATCATCCGAAACACCACGGATCGGCATTGCAACTTGTCAACTGGATATGATATCTGTCCCACTTCCAAGAGTCCAGAGCTCTGAATCAATAGTCAATACGGCGAGTCACTGGAGACTTTCATGGCATGACTAGGAAAATTAAACTGGGGCAACGGTCGGAGTGGCTCGTCGGAGTGGCTCCTCGGAGTCTCAGTTGAACCCGAAGCGAAGATGATCCATGCCGATCCCCATGGTAGGAGGGGTGATGATGACGGAGGTATAGGAGAGGGGAAGCTTTTCCATATCCAAACGTCTTTTGAACCGTTCAAGCCAACCATCTCCACTGGGTGGAGACTTGTAGTCAACGTTCGATCATCGCGACTATGACTTAAGTGGAAGTGACCGAAAGAGCTGGTGGCGCAGGATATGCTCTATTTCGTGATCACCTGAAATGTCCGACACATCCACTCGAGACCCAGGTCATCTCCCTTCGGCTTTTCAATTTCCCTGTTTGAATTGGGGGCTTTTAATTTATGGGTTTCTGTCACTGGGACTTTCGGAAGGCCCGAGAACGACGGGGGGAGTTCCACCTTGTGATGGCAGAGCTGAATGAGTGGCGCCCAACCGTTTGGATGGGGCAGTGCGCGCGCAACGGTGGATCTTCAGTAGACGCGAGGAACGCCGTTCAATAAGAACGAAAAGAAGACAAACATAAATATAAACATAAACATAAATAAACAAAAAGCCGAAAGTGCCCGAGAGGGTGACAAAACCCGAACCTTTGTTATTGGGGAAAAGAACCTGGTTCCGTCAAGTTAGATAGATCGCATGGGAAATGGAAAGCAAGGCTGGGAAAGAGATCGACCTGCTCGGCCTTGAGACTCGGCCGGATCTCAAGGTCAATGATCAAATGTAAACCAATCATCATCATCATTGATTGAGTGCTTTTCGTCAGGTTGCGCTCCACCCCGGAGCCTGAAACACGCTTAGTCTTGTGGAGATATGGTGGGTTCCCATGGGGAGATGAAAGAAGTAAAAAGTAATTTTAGGGTAGGAACCAGTTCCTGCGGTAATTACAAGTTGATTACAGGCTGGTTACAGTTTAATATTGAGTATTTGGGGGTTATTTGGAGTATTTTCAGTGCTTTGTATTTTGTATTTCTCTATGATGTATTTTGGGTATGGTATTATGTATTAACCATGTATTTTTGGGTACCGATGAAGTATCAACAGGGATGATCCTTATGACACTGGACACCTCATATGGTCGAGACTATGCAATTAAAGGAACCATTCAAATATTGGGCTTCATGTTCTAGGCCTCCAGTGATTTTGGACATCTGGACCATTGCGGAGTCTGTTTTCTCGGATGATAACCACGGTTCGGTATATTCAACCTCCCCACTATGAAATTGCAAAATGAATTATGAAACTCGACAGTCGATTATCTAAATACATGAGTTCATTCATGTTTATTCGATTTTCCTGCAACATTTGACATTTGACATTTTCTTTCTTGGTTAGTAGGACTTGACTTCTTTGTCACATATCGAACTCGACATCCATCTCTTTGATGCGGTCGAATGACCTCCAAAGACCAGAGGGAAAAGAAAGAAAAACTTGAAAAGAAAGAGATATCTCGTTCTAAATATGGTTGTGCTGTCCACGGGAAAGAATAGTTCCTGGCAACGGTTGGATCTCTTTTGTTCCTGCCCTAAAGAAGCAAAGCTAGAAAGAACGGTCAAAATAGATTGGGAAATAGACTCTCTTTCACTTCATCTTCCAAGATTCTTTCATGGATTGGCTGCGTGCAAGACATAAATTCAACATGGTCGAACGGTAGAAGTCAGTATTTCCAATGCTTTTACCAAGTCCAGGCTGACCCTGATTACTTCTATATTCTATATTGTATATATTCAACCAGTACGATGCCTATCCCAAGAGTAAGTGAGCCAATCTTTGAATGTAGAGGAGAATACTGATTCTGGTAGTGGCTTGGCAATCCCTTCTGGCCGACAGGGCTAGCGGCGGCGAGTCACGTTGGCTTCAAAAATAAAGGCCAGGACTGTTACAAGATTGTCACCATGCAGATACTTTTGCACTTTCCAGCATTTTTGAACTGGCTTGCTTATTATAGACAACAACATCTCGGACTCCAGAAGATATGCAATGTAACAATGAAGGGCGTTCCATGCAAACTATGCCTGATTCATCTCCTGGCTACCAACTACTGGGGTATTGATAACAGGGGAGACCTTAACCAGGATTTCAAGAATCTGAAAGACCTTATCCATGCGACATGGAAGCCTGAAACACAGGGACAGCAGGATGTGGCAGAGTACTGGCCGGAATTTCATAGGCAGATGAAGGACCAGACGATGTCTATGCTGTAAGTTGGCTCTGGCCTGGGTTTGCAAAAAATGGAACTGATCAGTCTCCCACAGGCAAAAGGACTTAGTCGATCTCTTCCGGCTCCGCACTGTCATTCGCAGATCCTGTCAGGGTCGGCACGCTTGTGAGGGAGAGTGGATACCTAACGAGCATGATATGATGCACCTTCCCTTCCCCGACCCAGAGGACGACGGCAAGGGACCAAAGTCCCGATTGGCAGACGCTATTTCAGATTATCTTTTTTCTGAGAAGCAGGTGCCTACTAAGTGCGACACATGCCACAATGACCGAATTGACGCCGAATATTTTACTCAACCTCCCGAGTGCCTTATAGTGCACCTCAATCGAATTAAGATGGATAAGAAAGGGGCACCCTGCAAGGTCACCGACGCAATCGAGATGTTACCTTATTTCGAGCTCAGTGCTTCATGCCTTGACCCACGTAGTAACGTTGATAAGGATTACCGCGTTCAGTATGAGCTGGTTTCCGTGATCATGCATCACGGTACGACTCCTGTTGAAGGCCATTACTATATCTTTGCCAAAGGACCAGGCAACAAGTGGGCAAATTTCGATGATCTGCAAGTCACTCGTTCCGATAAATTTGATGACTGGTCGAAAATGGCCCTCAACAAACGTCGCGCCTATATCTTTGGCTACCGTCGAATAGACGTCAAGCCGGGCACGGAGAAAATCACCTACAGGGAAACCTCGTCAACCGATGAACGAGTGGGGGCGATTGAGATTGAAAGGATAAATGAGGGCACCCAAACCAAAGGCATTGAGGAAGTAAAGAAAGGGCACCATTCCACAATGAAACTGAAGTTTACCTCCGCTGATGGACCCATGGCTATGGAAGCCAGTGTCACTACCAGCGAACCAATGGCGGGGATTGAATTCCCGGAAAAGCAAGGTCTGTTGGAATTGACCTGGGTTGACGATGATGAGAATATTATCAAGGATCTCAACATACAGGGTGTGCTGAAGAATGTCGTTGGCCGGAAAGCCAAAAAGAAGGCCGCGAAGGCTTCGAAATTTAAGGAGGAATTCGATATTGAAAAGCCCAAATCAACCAAGTCTACCAATTCAGCCGAGGCGGTCAAGTCTGTCAAGTCGGACCGTTCTGGCAGTGGATCGAACAAGTCAACCAAGTCCAAGAAGAGTCTACCTAAGCCTGCTAAGGGTTCTAAACCCATAGGTATTGAGAAGAAACGAGGCCTTAAGGGCGCGTTGGATGCAGCCAAAGGGATGCTATCACCCAAACGTGTATTAGGACGTCAGAGGGATGATGGTAAGGGAGAGAAGATGGAAAAGGAGAAGGAGAAAGCAAAGAGAAAGGTAGAGAAGAAGACAAAGAAGTGATTTGATGTTTTCTGTATTTTGATTTATTTTGATTGTTACAGTCACTTTTTCTTTTTGCCTGATTATATTAAAGTGTTGTCTATAGTAAGGATTTTCTGCTATCGTTTTGAATTTGTTGGTTGAATATATATTTCGCGTTTTACTGATCTTATCATATAAATTTGGTTCTTTCCCTCAGTACAATCTACCACCAACATTTGAATGTTCGTCTCTGACAGGACGCTGGAGTTCAATGGAGTCCCTTCAGCATATCACACCCACTGCAGACTTTGTGGATAATCTGATCCAGCAGTTGGCTGAATTCCAATCGCTTACTCAAAAACTTGACCCGCCAAGGACGCAATCGGGACAGGAGAGGGAACGACAGAACCCACTCTCGGGACTTTCGGCATCACAGCTGACAAGAGTAAAGCCACTGATGCTTACATTACATTGTTTATTCCCCAATGACCTGCTCCCAGCCCTTGATATCCTGGATCGCAGGCTCGTGCAGCGCTTGGTGCGCGAGGACAAAACGGGAGCAGTGCCTGAACACGACCACGAATTGGCCGAACACCAGGATATGGAGCAAACAGAAACATCATACAGTAGACCTGATTCCCCGGAAGATATCTTCTTCGTTATCTCTGCCTCTACTGCCCCTCCACCGGGTGCTCCATCTAGATTCCTCACGCAGGAACAGATAAAAGGCTACGAGGTCCGCTTGCGTGCGTGGGCTTGTACCTGTCCTACCTTCACCCTATCGGCATTTCGCGACATTCAACCTAGAATAGATGTCTCCGCAGGGACTTCTGGCACGGTGCTGCGAGATCATGGACCTGGCTGCTATCCATTTGGTGGGACTCTCACCTGTGTCACAGACAGGGGTTCACCCCCGGTTTGCAAGCATATTTTAGCTTGTATTCTGTTTGCTCGATGTCCTGGGCTATTTGGGGTTAGCGGAGATGGCAGGCACCCGGTTGCTATTGAAGAATTGGCGGGCTGGTGCGCTGGTTGGGGAGGATGAGTGGCCAGTCCGCTGATGTACTTGCACAAAATTCTGCACAGGGAGTACATGTTGATCTCGAGCCCCCTGAATATCAGTTTCTGGAAAAAAGAAAAGAAAACAAAAAAAACTTCGTCTATCAGTGCAATAATCAGATGGACCGGTGCTGATCAGTGCCCCACGCCGAAGCGAACATTGAGAACTACTCTGCAACTGAAGTACGGGAAAGAGTCATATCCTTGGATTATCCGTATTATACACTGCTGAGCAGTTCTAAGCGGTCATATCATATCGACGGGCATTGAATTCTCCAATCTAAGACAGGTGAGGAGCATTTTAGCTCTTCTTCTTGCTCTTGTCGGAGCTGTCCTGTTCCTCCTTCTGGTCGCCATTGGTCGATCCATTGACCTTCTTGGCATCCTTATCACCCTTGCCTTCTTGCTCCCGCTTCGAGTCTGTCTCCTCCTGTTGCTGCCTGTTTTGAATCTTGTTCTCGATCAGGTCGTGGAATGCAGTGATAGCACGGATTAAGCTGCTGATGTAAATGGCCATGAGCTGGTCGTTAGTCTTCACACTCATAGCCCGAGCAAGCTCGCTGTTCTCAATCTGTGTCTCCTGGCCGCTGATTCCTGGTGTCTGGGCTGGGGTCGACAGGTTGGGAAGAAGGTTGAAGACGTCCTGGAGGTTTCCCAGGATGGCGTGGTTCACTGGGAGCTCGTGGTCGAGGACTTTCTGAAGATATTGTCCGATATCGCGTAGTCGCAGGTGCAACCCTTGCAATGACTGCAGCTGTGAGGTGATTCGTGTAGAGAGTGTGCCGACTGCGACATCTCTGATATCCCGGAGAAGGTGTTCCACGCCAATTTCTTCCGCTTCTTCGGCCTCGATTATCGATGGGGTATGCACAAAGGTCTTTGAGGTTGTGGTACCATCCTGTTATGGTGGAAAATACATCGGTTAGCTCCATGTCGACTGTATAGGAATATGTGGGTTAAAATCAACAAAGCAACGTACATCCTTGATCTCATCAACAGCAAAGTAAGCATCTGTAGGAACGCCAACTTCCTTGGGCTGAACATCTACAATGACCAACAAGGGATTGGGGGTGTATTTCTTGAAGAGTTCATTGATTTCAAGATCTGAGGCGCGTAGCTTGGGGCCAGAGTGGTACCAGCCGACAAGCTTCTCACGGGCATTGATCTTCTTGAACATATCTCTCATCGACTCGACGAAATTGTGGTCTAGGAACCAGACAGATGGGTCCTTCTCATCTTCCTCGAATGGTACTAGATGTGGTGGCCATGGTCAGCTCTCCGAACACCATGGATCTGATCATCACATTGGAAGCTTCGATATACATACCTGCGAAACTGTTGGATACCCGCACTTTGTTGCCGATGTTTTCACCCAGCAGTACACCAACTACACGCTTCCGAGTACCCTTGGCTGTCCGTCCGTAGTGATCGGCGACAGAGAGCAAGACTAACGGGGCAACCGTGACGCTGCGGTTGACGAGGGATAAGGTGTCCGCCGTGGTGGCAGGCATGATGGGAAGTGGATCCGACGAGGAAATGCGATAGGGGAAAAATCTAAAGAGAAGTTTTAAAAAGAGTGAGATAGCCGGATGGAATGGTACGAAGGTGGGAATGGGGAACTCGTAGCAGGGCGATGATGCTCTGTGAGAGAGAGAGAGAGCTTCGGTGTTTGCGCCACTGCGGCTGGTGGTCTTAGGTAAGCCAAAGGCTGGTGTTTGTAGCTTTTTCTTCTATGAAGGTCAATAGATTTGGTGAAGGTGGACTGAAAATGTCTTTAGGTACAATATACATATAAAAGATAGAGATCATAATAAACCATCATGAGCTGCAATTGAGAATTGAGTCTTCAATATACTATGTACTGTTAAGAGCTACGTACCGTTGCCAGCCTCCGAACCTCGGGCGCTAAGTCTTAATTCCTTTCCGTTTCCCCGACCCTTCCGTTTCCAACCACGAACACACCTTTCATCCTTAGATTTCTCCTCTCCTCTCCTCAGTCACAATGGCTCCCATTACCGACGAGACCATTTCCGGTCTGAAGGACACCATCAGCAAGCTCGAGTCCAAGGTTGTGGAGCTTGAGCAGCGTCTGGTCAATGGCGGCGAGAAGCCCAAGTCGTTGACCGAGCAGATGCGCATCATCCTGATGGGACCCCCTGGTGCTGGTAGGTGAAATATACTTCAGGTGATTAGAAAATTCATCGTATGTTTATTAATGTGTCGCAGGCAAGGGCACCCAGGCCCCCAACCTCAAGGAGAAGTACTGCGCATGCCACCTGGTACGTCGTCGCGATAATTCTCTCCTCCGACTACAACGGGAATTCACAATGTATTCTAACGATTGCTACCAAAATAGGCCACCGGAGACATGCTGCGGTCACAGGTCGCGAAGAAGACCGAGCTCGGAAAGGAAGCCAAGAAGATCATGGACCAGGGTGGTCTTGTCAGTGATGAGATCATGATCGGCATGATCAAGAGCGAGTTGGAGAACAACGCTGAGTGCAAGAACGGGTAAGATTATGGTAAAATATCCACTCATTTCCGGCTGACTGACACACAATGGACAGTTTCATCTTGGACGGTTTCCCTCGCACTGTCGCTCAGGCCGAGCGCTTGGATGATATGCTTGCGGACCGTAAGCAGAAGCTGCAGCACGCTGTTGAGCTTCAGATTGACGACAGCCTACTTGTGGCCCGTATCACTGGCCGCCTGGTCCACCCTGCCTCCGGTCGCTCCTACCACAAGATCTTCAATCCCCCCAAGGCCGATATGAAGGACGACGTCACTGGCGAGCCCTTGATCCAGCGCTCCGATGACAACGCTGAGACCCTGACCAAGCGTCTTGCCACCTACCACGCCCAGACCTCCCCCGTCTGCGAATACTACAAGAAGACCGGCATCTGGCGCGGTATTGATGCCAGCCAGGAGCCTGGTCAGGTCTGGAAGAGCATCTTGGGTGTTTTCAACAAGAACTAAGCGAGTTGTTCTTGATTTGGGAGGAAGGGTCAAAAGTAATTCCAGCCCAAAAAGGTAAGAGGTTTGTCGGTCTAGCTCTGACGCTCACCGGTTTTCTTTTGTTTGGCCTCGGTCTGGGGAGTATGTAAGCTTGAACTGACATAATGTTTAGCATATAGACGAATAATCTGTCTCGTATGGCTCTGTATAGTATGTGTACTTTGGTACCCAATACATTTTTTTATCATTCCATTTATTTGCATTGTTAGACGAGTAGATGAAAGATGAATGAGAATGATAAATCTTTGATCAATAACTATTTGATAGTGAATACTAGCTAGCATGTACATAATGTGATCCTTTATAGCTGCAGTGGGTACTTGGTCGACTCAATTGACTCAGGATACTTCAACCCACCCTGTCTGCGCACCTCATCCATTACCTCCATGATCACAAGGCTCTCTTCCCATGGCATACCATCGCTCTCCAGCTTAACATCTCTCAAGCAACGGGCAACCTCATCGGCCTCCCAGTACATGCCACGACCCTGAGCCGGAAACGAGCATTCGACATCACGGATCTCTCCGAGACCCTTCTTTGGGATAACCCGATACCGAGTAGGCCGGAAGGGAGGTCCGAATACTTGAATCTCACCCTTGTCACCCTGAATGCGGATTGGGGGACCGGAGGTACCCTTCTCATCTGGATCATTGGCGACACGCATACTAGTCATGGCCACGCCCTGTGAGTGCTTGACATGGGGACCATTGCTTGGTGTAGAAGTAGGGAAGTTGAGCAGAACAGTGGTGGATTCATCCGACCCTGTCAGATGATAGGGTATAATCTGCGAAGTAACAGTAGGTGCCTTTCTTTGGTCTCGGGGAAGAGTGTGGTAGAGGGCTTGGAAGACCCAGGTGAGAGAGTAAATGCCCACTTCAAACCAAGTTAGTCAATAGTCGTAGTCAAAGGAGCAAAACACCCACAGTCCAATAGCACACCACCTGCCAGATCCAGGTTCACCATACGGTTCTTAGGACCCCATTTATTCTCAGGGTCATCGCTAAAACTGGTATCGGCGATAACTCGGTAAACCTCACCAATAGCTCCCTGTTGGATCAGCTGACGTACTTGAATACTCAATGGGAAATAGCGAGTCCAGACAGCTTCCATAAGGAAGAGGTTCTTCTTGCGAGCTGTTTCACACAGGATCTTGGCTTGAGCCGCATTGACTGTAAAAGCTTTCTCACACAGCACGTGCTTGCCGGCCTCGAGAGCCAACATGGCATTCTGATAGTGATGAGAGTGGGGTGTGGCAATGTATATGACGTCCACGCTGGGGTCAGAGACGAGCTCCTCGTAAGATGCGTATGCTGCACAAGGTCCTGGAATTCCAACGTCCACGATGAACTGGTCGGCCCTTTCCTTAGAAGATGAAGAAGCGACAGCGGCAACTTGGTGGGCAATATCGGAGGCATCGCGAGTCGCAGGGTCCTGGAGAAGGTCAAGGGCGAACGCTACATTGAAAATGATTAGCTGATAAGTTGTTTTCTTGGTGAAGCCTATAGAATATCCTACTTTTTGCGATTCCGCCCGTGGCTGTAGATTTATAGCTTATATTAGCATTTGTGCATCTCGCTTCATTTGGATCTGAGGAAGCTTCGGGGAGGTCCATACCCATAATTCCCCATCGTGTTAGGTGCGCCATTATCAAAGTGACTCGATGATTGAGTAAAAGATTGTATGTTTAGGAGAAAGAAAGGAAAGAGTGAGAGATATATGGGGGTTTCATTCCGGTGGGGAATAATCACAACGGAGATACACCGAGCGGGGCAACAAAGCAACGTCATGATGCTACAATATGTGAATGTAAATATTTATATGAAATTGGTTTATGACTCCATCTTAATACGAACATTAGACCCCGGTGATTCGACGCCCTATAGAGAATTAGTGATCTAGATGCGAGATCAGGGAAACGAGATAAAAGACTTAAAACGCACCTCGGCTTTACGCTTGCCAAGCACTGAGTCGGGGGTGGCTGTTCGAGCTTGAGGTGTGAAGCTGCGTGGAGCTGGGCCATCCTTGGTGACTTCATCGTAGCAGGTTGCATGATAGACTCGACCATTGACAGCGACGGCGTCCTGCCAGATCCAGTCTTGCACCTCTTCGGACCAAGTCGATTCGAACTTCTCCTGACAGATGGGACAAGGGGTGTTGCGCAGCACGGCATCGTTGGGGGCACGAATCCACTTCTTCGGCGGGCCTTTCTTGGTGTCGTTACTATCGGCACCTGCAGTCCCTTCGGCAGTGGCCTCGGCATCTTCTGTGCTTTGGTCGTCGTCGGCCTCACGAGACTGAATCCAGTCCTGTTGTTTCCGGTCAGTCTGACATGTCGCAAAAACCAAATCGAATCATCGAAGTCTACATACCCCCTCATCGACATACCAGCTACGAGTCTGAGCTCGTTTGGTAGCCTCAACCATGCGCTGGTTGGTCTTGAAGTGCCAGTCCAAATGCCGGGCTTTCTTTTCTCGGCCCTCTGCAGTGGCCGGGAAACGGCGGCCACAGGTTCCGCACCGATTCGATTTCGCATCGTAAAGAGAAACGATGAGCGCCATTCGAGGACTATTTTATCATAAATGAGTACCGCAACATAGGTAAACAGCCGATCTTAGTGTCAACACTTACATCTTCATGGAAGCAGTGTTCATGGGAACTGTGGATGATGAGCCGACTGGGGTAGTCGACTGAGGAGTTGCAACCGGAGGCGTGGTTCGCAGTTGACCGGGAATGAAGAATGGCAGAGATCCCGGGGGAGGTGGTCCCCCGGATCCCATTGTTGGCGGGGCCGATGCAGGAGGCAAAAGCCCTCGTAACCGGAGAGCGGTAATAATGGGATTCTCGGCTGGTTGTGGGGTATTGCTAACAGGGATCTGAGGCATTGTAGGCATAAGGTTGGCGATTTGGGGAGGAGGGGTGGGTTGTTGGCTCACAGCAGTCGCTTTGAGGAGCTCTGCGATGGTTTCGGAATTTAGCATCTGCGGGAATGGCTGGGATGCAAGTTGGGTTGGTGGTGTCGACGCTGGAGGAGCCGGGGCTTGTAATGAAGGATTGGGAGCCTGAATAGGTGCTGGCTGTTGGATTTTAAAAGCGGAAAGTTGATTTCGAACGAGTTTCCGCTCCTCGGGAGAAAGCTGCTGCCGCTGCATGATGCCCTGGAGATCAAGCAGTGCTTTAAGACGCTGCTGAGTTGTAGGATTAAAAGGACTGTTCGCAAAGTCGTTTCGTGCTGAGGCGATCAAGGCTTCCAGGTCCCGGTTCAGAGCTACCGAGTCCACATCTTGACGTTGTCCTTGAGGTGGTGTCTAATACAACTGCATCAGTATGAGTAAGGAATGGCCGCCAGAAAATACCTACAGCGGTTCTTGCCATGCCTCCATGATTAGCATAAGCCTGGTTTTGTCGAGACATGCCCGGTGGAGTAGGGCTATTGGTCCAGCCCGTTGGCGTTACGCTACCACGGCCGCGGTTGATCTCCGGTTGACCTCTTAACCGTTGTGAGTCCAGAAATGCAGTGCGGGCCTTGATCAGAGCATTTTCGATATCGCGGGTGATCTGGGGCGGAAAGACCGGGCGTGTATCCAACGAGCCAGCGGCCGGCTCCTTCCATGTCTTGAGCATTTCGTCCAGCTTGCGGCGAGTCTGCGAATCGACGAGAGTGTACGCATTTATAAATGTCTGAAACATCTTCCGACCCAGGAAGAGAGTGTAGGGGCTTCCAACATTCTTCACAATGGAATCAACTACATAGAGAGCGGGCAATTTTTGCGGCGGTGGGATCTACTGGACGGTCAGGGAATCCGAACTACATCTTTGACAGGGGGAAGAAGACCTACAGATCGAATATGATCCTCCAGTACCTTGGAGATAGCCTCCGCATGTTCCGTATTCTCTTTGGCGATGACGGTCAGATTGCTGATCTGAAACCGATCATTGGTGATGAGATCCTCCAAGGAGCTTTTGTAGTCCTCTGCTACCTCATCTGAGACCGAGGTTGACATGGTGAATGGGTGGGGTAGTGAGGAGGACGAAGCGGAGGAAAAGCTGGAGAAGAATAAGAATGTTAGTTTGCAAATGAAGCACCAACGGTTCTTTGATATGCTGTTTCGTCTTGCTTCAAGCTGTCTTTGTTTTTTTCTGCCCTTTGTTTTCCTCCTCTTTTGGTTCTCCAATCCTCTTCCTCAATTTTGGTTTTTCCCTTGCTTTTGGATTTCTTTGGGCTTGTAATGGGCCAGGTGTCACTATCAACAGAATTTGTCCTTCCTAGACCGGGTGATCCACGAAGTGAAATTGCCGGGACCAACACGAGATGGAGAGAAAAGTCGGAACTTGTAAAATGCTTCTAGCTATCTTGCAGACTTGAATCAACAACAGATACTCCAAATCTAGACCTTTTCCCGTGACTTGATTTCCTTGTCAAAAAGATCAATCGATAGGAGATGCAACGCCGATGGGCAAGGATAAAGATCAACCACAGAAGAAACCACCCAAGTCCAACAAGTTTATTAGAATAGAAAAGATGGAATGCAACGCTGAGAAGGGGGGAAAGTGGAGGTTGTGAGGAGAAGGACAAAAAGGGATTCGACCGAAGGTTTGGTTCGCCGGTGGTCATGTGACTTTAACATGACGCATTTCCCCTTCACTTCTAAATCCATTTGTACTCGATTTCAACCATTGTTTGCCGCGTAACCATTTCAACTAAACTAACATGAAGCTCCTTTTTGTCGCCTTCATGGCTCTGCTCCCTTTGGCGCTGGCCGCTAAGTCACTCAAGTCCGTTATCATCACCTTCCCAAAGGGAACACCTTCAAGTGTCATTACGAATGCAAAGGATTCAGTGGTAGCCTCGGTAAGCTGTCATCTTATATTCCGGCATATACATGGCGAAAACTAACCCTGCCGATCTTGGATTTACAGGGTGGCATTATCACTCACGAATATACCTTGATCAAGTATGCTTACATCCATTTCATCTTTCATCTCGTCTTGTCTCTAACATAGTCTTTCCAGTGGGTTCGCCGCAGAGGCTCCTGTAAATGCCCTCCAGACTCTCTCCACGGAGTCTACCGAATATAAACCGGTGATCGAGGAGGACAAGGTGGTATCCGCGAACGGAGAATTTGTGGGTCAGGAGCATGAGTTCTAAACTTCCAATCCTCTCGGGATTGGATGGAATTCTTTGAGCATCAGGTGGCACTTCAACAAGATATGATGAACGTTGGTTGAGGGCCATAACAACCCATGATACTATTCAGGAAATTCCCAGGCGCAGTCATTTATTTATATTTGTGGTTTCGCGGTTAATATTGATCTAATGGATTTGGTGTATTTGGTGTCCTCGGAGTATTTCTCTATCATGCTTGCAAGTCATTGATTGAGGGGAAGCTCGGTGTTGAATTGATTTTATAATATTACTGGTCTTTATTTATTTTTATGATAGAATGTATTTGATTGTCTATGTATGGATTGCTACAGTAGAAGATCAAGCTAAAATTGGGGGGACGATCACCCCCGCTAGTGACTCGGCGCTCTTCGTGGCCCCCCGAACGCGCTCGCGTGGATCCGCAACTCTCCTCCCAACTCCCCTTCTGGTCCAAGGGGATTACAAATGCTACATTCGTTCCTTTAAGCGATTTGAGTGCCCTCATTCGACATGTCTGTGGAACACAACGTGACCAAGGTTCTGTTGGAATGGATCAACAGCTTCTCCCTGGGCAAAACACTTCGCGGCCCGGAGGAATTGACTGACGGAATAATCCTATGGGAGATCCTCCAAGATATCGATCCACAATACTTCCTCGACGAGATCCCCGAGCGCAACCCCGAAAACCACTGGGTGGTCAAATGGCAGAATTTAAAACATGTCCACAAGCTTCTATTGAGCTATATCCGACACCAGAATGACGACTCGCTGCCATCCGGCCTCGACCCTTCCCCAGACCTCGAAGCCATCGCGGAGAAAGCTTCTTCCAAAGAAACAAATAAGCTGCTGAAACTCCTGTTGATCGCAGCCATCAGCTCACCCAACGCGGAGACATATGTGCAGACGCTCCAGGGATTGACCACTTCCACCCAGGAGGGTCTCAAGGATATCATTGAGGAGGCACACAATGGCCAGTATGAGCCTATGCATGCGGCAGACGAACTCCGCGAGGATCTGGCGAAGCGAGATCACCCGGTAGATCTGGAGCTGCAATTCGAGGAGCGGGTCGGGAAAGTGCTTGCGGAGAATGATCGTCTATCACACGAGAAAAAGGAATTGGAGAAGGCACTGGAGGACCTACACAATCGATTGGCACGCTTACAGGAGAACAATGATACCCTTCAAAATCGACTGGCTTCCACCGAGGATCGTTTGGTAACCTTGAAGTCGGGGAAGGGCGATTTGGGGTTTAATGCCAAGGCATTGGAGAGCAAGACTCGACAACAGGATGATCTCATCGCATCTCAAGAGGCCAAGCTCACCGCCGCCCAAGATGAAGTTGATAGTCTCCGCATGACCGTCGAATCCTTGAAGGTCAAGAATCAAAGATATCAAAAGTTACAAGATGATTATGATGAGCTTCGCACAGACAGAGATCAGTTGGCACGCAAGGCGAATGCAGCTGAGAAATACCGCCAGAAGCTCCAAGCGAGCCAGGACTTTGAGAAGGAGAATCAGACCCTTAAGAACCAGATCAAAGATCTCCAGCAACAGCTGAAGGAGTCCGACTCGCAGCAACGTTGGACCTCAGAGCATGATGTGGAGCTGGAGGAATACCGCAAACTCCTTCCCCGCATTGAGCAGGAGTGCAATGAGATCCAAAATCTCAAAAAGCAGCTTGAATTCAACAACCACGCGCTCACTGAACGACTTGAAAGTGCCGATGAACAACATGAGAGAGACGATGCCTTGATCAGTGAACTGCGAGAACGCCTTCGAGAGTTGGAGGGCCTACCCGGCAGTCCTTCGCCAGGTTCTGAGACACCCAAGATGCAAGGCACACTGTCCAAAGACTTCGAATCCATGAGCCTAAAGGACTCTCAGATGTATGTACCTCTCTTCTGTGGGTTTTTCCCGGCTAACAAACCACAGTAAATCCGACAATGACGATTTGAAGCGAGACGTAGAATCAGTGAAGGCACCGTCTGCTGTAAGTTCCATGCTTCCTATGCTCATGCATAGGCAATCGTGTCGCTAACACCCGTCAGCCGGGATCGCATACAGAGGCCTTTTCCGAGAACTTTCACACATCTGTGCAACTCGCCCGCTCTAACTCCACGCAAAGGTATATTGGCCCAATATTCCGTTCTCAAATTATCGCTAACAACACACGAAGCGATGAATACTGGAAATTGTATGAAACATATACCGGCACATTGAAAAGACTTGCCGAGATCCAGGATAGTCTGGAAAACACCAAAAAGGACCTGTCTGGCGCACAGACCCAAAGTACGTTATGGTCACTTTCATATTTGGGTATACCACTAACAATAGCCAAGTCCGTTTGATCGACATGGAGAAAGCAGACATGTTACGTGCACTTGAAGAGCATAACTCTGCCGAGTTAGCCAAGCTTCGCGGCGACTGGGGTAATCTCACCCAGAATATACACCATCTAGAAGCGGAAGTGGATGCTAGCCAAACCTTGGTCCGTGAAGTCTGCGCTGAACGAGAGGAGCTACGCAAGATGCTCGATAATAAGCAAAACGAAATTAGCGTGGAAGACCAGGAGGTCATGAATGAGATGCAAATGCTGTTAGGTGAATTCGAGATCCATAACAGCGAGGGTGGTGAAATTCCTCAGAAATCAAGCTTCGAGCTGCTAAAACAGTGTGCCGGAGTATTGGAGAAAAATATTGAGCGTCTCGCTCAGCGTGCGGAGGTCAGTTTATATCCTGATCTTGGAGACATGCCATGCTAACCTATATTTGGGTATAGTATATCCAGCAGCAGAACGAACTCATCAAGTCACTTCGAGAAAGCATGAAAAACTATGAAGAGAATCTGGACGATGGCATCCCCAGAGAACGTGAAGTTAGTTCCTCCGAGCTTCCCCCTTCCCAGCATATTACATCATTCTAACCATGTTTGACCCCTGTAGATTGAACTCCAAAAAATCATTGATGATCAAGCCAGAGAGCTCAGCCTTGTGAGCTCGGCCTGGTACCATCTCCAAAGCCGATGGCAGAATAACAACATGACCATCTCACGCTATCGACAAGGGGCAAGTATGACGGACCCACGAGGCTGGCTGGCTAAGCAAAGAAGTGTGGTTGCTGGCCAATAGGTCTTTTTGGGTGCATATATCAGTCAAGTCAATTTCTTTTCTCTGTTGCGTTCATTAGAGGGTTTCTTTTATATCCCCTTAGACCCTCTTTCATACCTTTCAGTTGTATGATATGCTTTCCTGGCATATAGATTGCTATTTTCTCTTCCTTCACATATATTGGCGCTCATTAATTTTCCTTTCCTTTCTGTGGCTGATCCCTGCCGAGGGAGCTGGATCACAGTTTATCTGTATTTGGTACTGATCTTTTAGAAGCCTGTTCATGTTACACATTGACTACAATTTCTTCTCCTCTCTGTATCATGTGCGAATAGGTGGTTTTAAACCTGGATGTGATAGAAATTTTTAGCCTATAGGGCAAAGTGTCTCATGATGAAAAATGAGATTCAAATCTGAGAATTTTTGCACAGATGGTGAAGTAATGTACATGAAAAGAGGCGGCGTGTGCCTCTTAAGTAATAAGACAATACATAGTATAACACAATGATACATCAACGAGTATGACCCGATGATATGCAATGGCACCCGAATTAAGAGGTGGCGCCACTCATGCCCACTGCCGGGGGTGTCTCAAGACATCCATGATCTCTTTTTCACTGGCCTTATCCTCACCCAGCTCCTCTTCATCAACATGCATATTTTCGGTCCTTGTGCCCGAGACTGGATCCATGTAGGCCCAGCTGGCGGTGCGTGGGAGACTCATGAGGATACTTTCCACACGGGCGTTGGGAGTTCGCAAACCGAAGCTTGTTCCACGGTCATAGATCAGGTTGAATTCAACATAGCGACCACGGCGGAGCTGCTGCCATTGTTTCTGGGATGGGGTATAAGACATGTCCTTTCGACGTTCAATGATGGGCACATAGGATGGGAGGAAAGAAGCCAGACCGTCCGAGACGAAGGAAAATAGGGTCTCCTGTGGGTTGGAAGACGAGCTGGAAGAAGATTGGAGGAAGTTGGCATCAAGGTCATCGAAGAAGATACCGCCGACACCACGGCACTCGCCACGGTGGGGAATGTAGAAGTACTTGTCACACCATGCCTTGAATTTGGGGTAGTAGGTCGCATCATGGCGATCACAGGCATCCTTGATGGTCTTGTGGAAGTGCTGGGCATCCTCCGGGAAGAGGTAGGTCGGAGTCAGATCAGTGCCCCCGCCGAACCACCAGTTCTTGTCACCGCTGATAGGATTCTTCGGGTCCGAAGTCTCGAAGTAACGATAGTTCAGATGCACAGTAGGAGCCATGGGGTTGTGCGGGTGCAAGACAAGTGACAGGCCGGCAGCGAAGAAGCTGAGCGATTCCACATCGGCACCAACGAAGGACTTGTGATCGGCACGCATCTTCTCAACAGCGGGCCGGGGTAATTCACCATAGACAATCGAGACATTCACGCCCGCCTTCTCAAAGACATTTCCATCCTGTAGCACGCATGAAATACCACCGCCACCATTGGGGCGCGTCCAAACATCTTGCTTGAATTCCACGCCATCAATTTTGCTCAATTCCTCGACAATTTTCTGCTGGTGGTCCTTGATGAGCTTCTCCATTCGTAGGCGCATGGGCGAAGACTCGGTGATGGGGGATGAGTGCTTCAAGGCCTCGTCCAGCTCGACAATAGACGGGGAGTCAAGCTCGGTTATTTCTCCGGTGGCCTGTATTATACATATTAGCCCATGCCATTGCCCAACTACTGTTGAAGCTTCCTACCATGGAGTATATGAGTGCGCCAATAAAAGGCACACCAATGGCGAGCCGTAGGTAAGGACGCCAAACGGTGAATTGCTGTGGCGGCTTGGGATCCTGTCCCGAGGTATAACCGCGGATTGACCTTCCAGTGTTGCGACTGGGAGCACGAGCGTTTCGCGCCGAGAACTGGGTGAATGTCCTCCGCAGAGGCATGAATGACCGCGAGGCCATTTTCGCGACGGAGATCGTAGGGAGCGTACGTGAGAGGTTCAAGATGTTAAAGCTCAGGCGCACTGATGCAGCAGCTGTCCAGAGAAAGAGCTTTTGAGTTTAATTGTCAACAGAAGTGATTCGGTCCCCCAAACGTCTGATCATTTCAGGAAAAGGCAGGTCTCGACATCATGCCACGACCAATGATGAGTTTGCATGGTTTGCATGGATGAGATAATCGATGAGATGCGATCCGTGATTGGTTGGCTCTGTTCTGCACAGAGTTATTCTGCATGGATAAGTCGTGTCTAGATCCTTTTCAATAATAAATGAATGGAATATATACTTCTTTCTAATATTTCTAATATAAACTAACAATTAAAAGGCCTGTTCAAGTGGGCACTCAAGTGGTATGCCTGAGAAGATGTCTGTGGCGTGTTATACCATCGATGGAATGAATACGTGCTTCGTATGTTGTATTGTCAATAATACTACCTAGTACTACCCACCAAGGTACTAGTAAATTCTCTAGCTCTGCAGCCTAGAGACTTAGAGGATTTACTGTTGAGCTCTCTATGATTACTAGTAGATTCGTTCATCCCCGAAAGATAACCTGATATATTAGAAAGTGATATGTATAAAGCCGTGGCTTATAGGCTACATATACAGATGACTCAAAGTTGAAAGTAATAAGAGCACAAAATTGATGCATCCTGTTCCAAAGTAGCCTAGACCAAGGAGTAGTCATTTGGTGGATCACAAGTGGAGACGCTAAACCCATTGTTGGGGATTTCAGGTATTGGGGAAAAGAGGCTCTGGCTACAAGAAAGTCATACAACATTATATGTGAGTTCAGTTTGGCTGAAATATTCTTCTATATAACATGATCCTCTACCAATCTTTGCTTTGTAAGGTAAGTGACTAGCTTAAAATCCAGTATATACTATAGCTGCTGATGTAAATGCTTATCAGTGGAGAACCCGCATTTTGCCGTAAGTGTACCGAGGGTCTAGCAATGGCCAACGTGACTAACATTTGTTTTTAGGTATGGTTTGCCAAAGGAAATTAGAATATTGATTAATCTTTGGAAAAGTAATAAAAGTCCAGTAAAATGTGAATTTCCTTTGCAAGTGACCTTATCCCCGTGACTGTACAGTGACGCATGCCTCACCGCCTCACCGCCCCCGTGATACTGCTAACTAACGTCAGCGGGGAATCCCCCCCCCCCAGTTGCCTTTTGTCATCCTCACCCCTCTCTCCTCCATCTCTCTTGGTCCCTTCAACACCTTTCCCATCTCCGTGTCATCATACTGCTTCTATCACCACTTTGTTCCCTCGTTGGAATATACCTCTTTTCGCTCCACCTAGACCCCGCTTGGCTTATCAGCCTTATCAACTATGCGGTCCAAGTTCAAGGACGAGCACCCCTTTGAGAAGCGGAAGGCTGAGGCCGAGCGCATCCGCCAGAAGTACACCGATCGCATCCCAGTGAGTTATTTCCCCAAGTTTTCGCTGGGTTTCATCAAGATACCGGCTTTACCGGCCATCTCCTTGCCACACCCCCTTCTCCTCACCGCTTCTTCAACTAACAAGTCCAACCTTAGGTTATCTGCGAGAAGGTCGAGAAATCGGATATCGCTACCATCGACAAGAAAAAGTATCTTGTACCTGCCGATCTCACAGTGGGACAGTTCGTCTACGTGATCCGTAAGCGCATTAAGCTTTCCCCAGAGAAGGCGATCTTCATCTTCGTGGATGAGGTCCTTCCGCCCACCGCCGCTTTGATGAGCAGTATCTATGAAGAACACAAGGATGAGGATGGTTTCTTGTACATCACGTATGCTATCTTCCTTCCCGACATTTTCTTGATAATATTCTGACCTGATGTGTACCCAGATACTCCGGCGAGAACACCTTCGGTGACTTTTAGAGGTTGACGTACAATGGCTGTCATCTACTATCCTGCAAGATCTTGACTTTCCAATCCGAAATGTAACAGATTCAAAAGCCAAGAGCTACGCATGATATAAGCAGGTGGAAATCGTTCAACTTTGGGGATTTCTTTTTTTTTCTTTTTACGGACATGCGGCGTTCATGTGGTGTTATGCACATCTTGTTTTTTTTTTCTTTTCTGCTTTCAATTTCTTGCTAGGCACTTGCCCATTGCTAGCCTTTTTAACAATGAAATCAAATCGAAATCATTACTTGATGCTTCCTTGATGGACGTTTCCGATAAGTTGAAAGAGGAAGTCAAAACACATCGGCATTGTGAGATATATAGATATAGAACAATTTGATCATAAAGTGAAGAGTCGGTGAAGAGAATTATTCTGCTGTTAGATTGTTAGATTGTTAGTGTTATATGTGATGGATCTAAAGTAAGAAAACGGTTCGACCCGTTGGCTCCGACTCCGGACCCTAATTGGGATTAGCGCCAACTCGTGCTCAGATAAAATTTACAGGCACATGTTCCTGACGCATTTGCCCGGTATCTCTCAACCCCCCAAAATTTCCTGCAAAATGTCTCCCGCTCTCGCTCACGGTGCTGGCGCCGCCTCTCAGGATGTCAAGAAGGAGTCTACCCTCGCTCGCGTCCTTGGTTCCGGTACGAAAGCCTGTCATTTACGAGATCCCCCAATGCTGACTTGTCCGTAGGCTCTGCTGGTATCGCCGAGTTGGCTGTCTTCCACCCTGTACGGCCAATTTACTTCGCAATTGAATTCAATTTCAATACTGACATTCTTTAGGTCGACACCACCGCGAAGCGATTGATGAGCAACCAGACTCGGGTAAGACGAGACTCCAAATCGCAGAACGTCTTGCGCCATGACCATTGCTAATCCAATTATCGCTTAGATCACCACCGCCAACGAGTTTAAGAAGGTTGTCTTCAAGGAATATGCCGATGCCTCCGCTGGTCGCAAATTTACCTCGCTCTTCCCCGGTTTGGGCTACGCCGCGGGTTACAAGGTTGGTGATTCTTGGGAGATTTGAAAAAACCCCTGGATTGGTCTAACAGTGGACTGATTATCTCGACAACAGGTTCTCCAGCGTATCTACAAGTACGGTGGTCAGCCGTTCGCTCGTGACTACTTGGCTAAGCACTACGGTAACGAGTTCGACAATGCCTTCGGAAAGGGCAACGGAAAGGCCATTATGCATGCCACTGCTGGCAGGTGAGATACCCTGCCCGAGTTACTCAACTCAATCAACGATAGTTGCTGATCTTTTGGACTAGTTTGGTCGGTATTGGAGAGATCGTCCTGCTTCCTCTGGACGTCCTGAAGATTAAGCGTCAGACAAACCCCGAGTCCTTCCGTGGCCGTGGTCTCTTCAAGATTATTTCCGATGAGGGTATGGGTCTTTACCGGGGTGCCGGCTGGACTGCCGCCCGTAACGCCCCTGGTTCTTTCGCCGTAAGTGACTCCCACCCTGAGAGAAGGATACACTCGCTGACACATACTAGCTCTTCGGTGGATCTGCTTTCGCCAAGGAATACATTTACGGTCTGACCGACTACAACAAGGCTACTTGGGGCCAGAACTTCGTCGCCTCCGTGGCCGGTGCCAGCGCCTCGCTGGTCGTCTCGGCTCCCCTCGATGTCATCAAGACCCGTATCCAGAACCGCAACTTCGACAACCCCGAGTCTGGATTCCGCATTGTGTCAAACATGCTCAAGAACGAGGGGTACCTGAGTCTGTTCAAGGGCTTGACCCCCAAGCTGCTGATGACTGGTCCCAAGTTGGTTTTCAGCTTCTGGCTGGCACAGACTTTGATTCCTGCTTTTGGTCAGGTTGTATAGTGGTCAGATACATAAGGAGTTTGTTTATAGCCCTGGCGTTCTTCGACAAATCCCCCCTTCTCGGAATATCTTCTCTTTTCTTTTCTTTTCCGGTCTTTCGGGCTTTCTCGGCTCTTCTAGGGACTTGTGTATTTTTCACCCTCATATACTACATGATTTATTTTCTTCCGATTGGGTTTAGAGCGATAGTCAAAGAAGAAAAAACGAAAGAGCTTATTTCGGTTCCGCCTGAATCTCTCACCTTCGTAACTAATGGACATTGACTGTCAAATGTTGTCTAATGGATCTCCGATCTGGATAAAATCACGTGATCTCATCGAGTCTCCGAACGTTTCCCCGATGCTTCATCCAGCTCCACCTCAATCCCACGCATCAGACCAGAATCTTACCATGCCTGCCTACCTCCTCTCTCGGTAAGTGATCACACCCACGTTACAATCAATGTTCCACAATCCAATAGCCTGCGAACCCCGTTTGTCGAGTTCTACTCACCGTTCCTTTCTTGATAACAGAGTCGGCGACCCCATCTTCGCCCTTACAATGGGCGTTGCCGCTGTCATGTCCCGAATTCGCCGCGACCAGATCGAACAGAACCCCTCAAGAGCTTCAGAAATCGGATACGGAACTGTCGTGCAGCTCGGACAGCAACGGTTGCAGCGGTGGTGGAATGGCGACTACCAGGATCTATAAAGGCACTCTGCGAGAGATCTGCTCTGATTATGAATCTTGGTGTTTGAATGGAGACACTGCACACATACTGCCCACTATCCATTTCGCATATGATGGGTCTGGGAGTTGGGGTTTATGATTGCTATCTGGAATGGACTATGCTTCCATGTATATTATGATTCGGTGAGCTTTCTGTGATTGATTACATCGATTGTAGCACTAATGTATTTAATCAGTCGTATTATTTTATGTATTATATACAAAATCCCAGTTGAAAGTAAATACTCCAAATTGCTAGGATTTATCTACCAATCGCAACTATCGTGTTAGTTTGCAAAATCGATTTCTTTAAAACAAGCTAAAATTTATAATAAAGCAGACAGGGAAATAATCAATTGATCATGAGCGCTTGAAGCTCGAGCTTGAACAAATAACTCAGAAAGCGAAGAAGTACAACTAACGACTACAGGAAAGTGATTTAATTAAAAATTTTGAATTCGCTAGGACTTTTCTTTTCCCAGCAGAGATAACTATGTATCTATGCAATCATTCGCAAAAAGGAAAACTCGATATCCCATAAGGTCGTAAAAGAATAAAAGGAAATAAGAAAATGAAGCCAAGAAGAAAGCATCATGAAGTTAAGAGACTAGAACGATACGCTTAGTCAAGCTCCTCGGGCTTCTCCTCAACATCATCGGGCTGGCGGGCACCACCGGCACCGGGGGCACCGGCAGCACCACCGTAGGCAGCGGAGATGATGGGGTTGGCAACGCCCTCAAGCTCCTTCTGCTGGGACTCGTACTCGTCCTTCTCAGCAGTCTGGTTGCTGTCGAGCCAGCTGATGACCTCGGAGATCTTGTCCTCGACGGTCTTCTTGTCCTCCTCAGAGATCTGGAGCTTGCCCTCGGACAGGGTGTTCTTGAGGGAGTAGGCGTAGGACTCAAGACCGTTCTTGGCCTGGATACGTCCAGCCTCGGCCTCATCCTCGGCCTTGTACTTCTCGGCCTCAGAGAGCATGCGCTCGATCTCCTCCTTGGACAGACGACCTTTGTCGTTGGTGATGGTGATCTGGTGAGACTTGCCGGTACCCTTCTCAACAGCGGAGACGTTCATGATTCCGTTGGCGTCAAGGTCAAAGGTGACCTCAATCTGGGGAACACCACGGGGAGCAGGGGGGATACCAGTCAGCTCGAACTTGCCGAGCAGGTTGTTGTCCTTGGTGCGAGCACGCTCACCCTCGAAGACCTGGATCAGGACACCGGGCTGGTTGTCGGAGTAGGTGGAGAAGGTCTCGGACTTCTTGGTGGGGATGGTGGTGTTGCGCTTAATCAGGGCGGTCATGACACCACCAGCGGTCTCAATACCGAGGGACAGAGGGGCAACATCGAGCAGCAGGATCTCGTTGGTGGACTTGGAGGAAGTGTCACCAGACAGAATAGCGGCCTGGACGGCGGCACCGTAGGCAACGGCCTCATCGGGGTTGATGGACTTGTTGGGTTCCTTGTTGAAGAAGTCGGAGACAAGCTTCTGGATCTTGGGGATACGAGTGGAACCACCGACGAGAACGATCTCGTGGACGGAGGACTTGTCGATCTTGGCGTCACGGATGACACGCTCAACGGGCTCCATGGTGGAGCGGAAGAGGTCCTGGCACAGCTCCTCGAAGCGGGCACGGGTGATGGAGGTGTAGAAGTCAATACCCTCGAAGAGAGAGTCGATCTCGATGGAGGTCTGGGCAGCGGAAGAGAGGGTACGCTTGGCACGCTCGCAAGCAGTGCGGAGACGACGGAGAGCACGGGCGTTGGTGGTCAGGTCCTTCTTGTGCTTGCGCTTGAACTCGTTGACGAAGTGGTTGACGAGACGGTTGTCGAAGTCCTCACCACCAAGGTGAGTGTCACCAGCAGTGGACTTGACCTCGAAAATACCCTCCTCAATGGTCAGGAGAGACACATCGAAGGTACCACCGCCAAGATCGAAGATGAGGACGTTGCGCTCACCCTCCTGCTTCTTGTCAAGACCGTAGGCAATGGCAGCAGCGGTGGGCTCGTTGATGATACGGAGGACGTTAAGACCGGCAATGAGACCGGCGTCCTTAGTGGCCTGACGCTGAGAGTCGTTGAAGTAGGCAGGGACAGTGATGACAGCGTTGTTAACGGTACCACCGAGGTAAGCCTCAGCGGTCTCACGCATCTTGGTGAGGATCATGGAGGAGACCTCCTCGGGGGTGAACTGCTTGGCCTCACCCTTGAACTCGATCTCAATGACGGGCTTGGTGGCCTTCTCGACGATCTTGAAGGGCCAGTGCTTCATATCAGCCTGAACCTCGGCGTCGGCAAAACGACGACCGATGAGACGCTTGGCATCGAAAACGGTGTTGTGGGGGTTCATAGCAACTTGGTTCTTGGCGGCATCACCGATGAGACGCTCGGTGTCGGTGAAGGCAACGAAGGAGGGAGTGGTGCGGTTACCCTGGTCGTTGGCAATGATTTCAATGCGGTCATCACGGAACACACCCACACAGGAGTAGGTGGTACCCAAATCGATACCGACAGCGGGGGCCATTGTGAATGTGTGTGTATGAGTCGTAAAGGAAATTCGTGGAAGTGACTCGGGGTAGTGTACAGAAGAAGAAGTGGGAGGATTAAAAGGGGGGTATTTAAGTTTGTGATAAGAAAAAAAAAAAAGAAAGAGACTGAGAGCAGCGAAATCCTGCTATATAGTGAGCGGTGAATTGCTCAGAAGCTTCTAGCAGAGATGTTTCGATCGATTTCCATAAGTTTCCATCCCCTTCTTTCTATGCCCCAGCAACCAATTCCACTTACCTGGCGGGTTCCAGATGGGCCCAGTGGATTCTAGCTTTGTTCTACCAGTTACAAGTATCTTCCTAACCATTCTTTAGGCTTCAATTCCTGCATATTGGACGCCTATCAATGTTGTCATGGAAGTATAAGTTTTTTTCTTTTTTTCGATGGCGGGGCAGAAAGTATGATGTAATCGTGAGCTTTGTCTGTGCTCAAGTTTCAGTTTTGCCTTTTCTTTCCGGTATGAAGAAGGTACGTCACAGCTTCTCACAAAACATTTAAGTGGAGTATTGTGGTATCTGTATTGTCACATATCAAAGGCGTCATGATGAATTCATGTGAATCCACAATTGAGTCAGAGATCACAACAATTCAACTTTGGGTTTCCATCGACACCTCAGGCAGAAAAGGAAGCTAGAAGCTAGAAGCTAGAAGCTAGAAAATGGAAAATTCCAGACCTTTGACACCTGAAGGCTAAGGTGTCCATATTGCATGATTCATGACATCTGATAGATCGTCTACGCCACTACTATCCAGTAATCTACATGGAATTTATTTCATTTGTCATCTGTTCATTGCTTAAAATCAGGTTTGGGAAAAGCGCCGAGGTCGATATGCTTTTCTCATTCTGCTCTAAGTAAATGTAAATCATATCTGAGGATCACTTCGAAATGTAAGCCCTCGTTCTTCCATATATTCAATGGGTTGGACAAACCCTGGAATGCTTCCGTGGTTGAATACTTGATTGGTATGGAAAGGTCGCATTGGTCTTCAGCTTTACCTATTCTAATCTTAAACAAAGGATTGTTGCTTTTACCCCAGTTCCTTCTTCCTAATCCATACACATTCTTAGTTTTGCTGATGCTTACCTCTTCGGAACTGATTTATTCCTTTGCCCAACATGCCTCTCCTGGGATCATTAGAATGGCATCAGGCTCCATGAGAGGACCCTGCTTCTATCGATGTTACGAGCAACCAAGTGGAGCTTTCTGAATCAAAGGCCATCAAGATCGTCCCATCTGACGAGGACAAAACTAAGTACAGGCTGACACAGCCACCATTGAGCAAGAGAGCCACAATAATCCTGATATCGCTGCTTTGCCTCTGCCAGGGCAATATTCAACCTGACCTATACCCCAATTGTATTAGCGGAACTCTGGAGTGCACCAAGTATGAATCCGGCCGTCGCGATTTCCTTCATGTGGGCGATTGTCTGGGTGGGACACTCCTACGCTGATCTCCAACACTAAAAGTTATGACCCCTGACTACCACTTGAACGGGACAGCATATCCGCATAACTTTCCAATCTACATGGGGCTACACGATGTAAGGGCGACCCGGTTTAGCTAGGCCAGTTTACCAGCAGCAATCACTTGGATGGCGACCTTTGGCCATGTTCAAATAATGGACAGTCTAAAGAATAAATCTTATTGAAACTCACAAGGCCGCTAGATCGTCATCGGAAAACGGGATTCACCACCAGTATTAGGACCACCTCAATATCATTCAGAGACAATACAAGGAGATACCACGGCGGTGGTACATCGCTCTTTTTCTGACAGTAATTGTCATCATCGTAACCATTATTGTGTCCGCAAATCCATTCATCCAAATCGTCACCGTGTTCGTGGCTCTTGCTTGCAGTACGTTCTATGTTATTCCGTTCAGTTGGTTTTACTCGATTTCCAATTGTTGGGTTCAGATCGGGTCGTTTGATGCGCTGGTTTACGGCTATTTCGTTCATACCTCAGCCGGTTCTAGCCACTCTATGTAGAGCAGCCAAATATTTCACTCAGGTAACACTAGGGGTATGTTGTATGCAGTCCTCGGTCTCAAGAGAGTGTTCGCTGAAGCCGAAATTCACCCCTGCCTTGGAGCTTTCGCATCGGAGCTGCCGTGCCGCCCACTCTATTTATATTAAACAGTTTCTTCCCCAAATGGCGAGTTGGTCTTTGGAACGTTGGACTTTTTTTGCTGGCCTTGCTACCTTCTATGGAACTATCAGTACAGGTAACACATCCGCCATCATTGGGGGACATCATGATGTACTGGGCATATTGGCACCATTTTGAATTATGGAAGTGGTACAATTATGTGGTTTTTTTAACGTTTGATGCAGGATTTGACCTAAACTTGTTGCTTATTTTCTTATTTTTCAGAGCGGGCAAGCACATCTCGATGCCAAACTGGTGAGGTAAATAACAAGCAACCAGTTGCACGATACTTTGCTTTGACTCAGGGTTAGAAAGAAGGAATCAACCAAACTCAAAACCCTCAGCCATGACTAGTGAGCTTGGGGCCAAAACCCGTGAGATGAGAATCAGTCCGTGAATCCGTGACCAAACCTTAGACAAATCCCAGTGGATGCCTCAGGGCACGGCCTGTCACGGGGTCCCCACCAAGTTGAACGAATCATATCACGGGATCTCGCCTCCCTTGCCGTTGCTTGTTGTTTTGGTTGGAGAGCTACCTTACTTCGCAGACCGTCTCTTTTAAATCCTCCCCCCTCCCTTCTCCAATCCCAACCCATAAAACCCACACATTTGTTCTTAACACCACATTCCGAATCCCAAAAATGACTACATTCAACGACCCCGCCGTTCAGGACAAGGGCAAGGGCAAGTCCACTGACCCTACCAACGAGATGAGCATGGACGAGGATAGCTCCTCAGAGAGCGAGCCTGAAGTTGTAAGTTTGCGCCATTGATTTCCCTAAATCGAATGATTCAATCATGTACTGACTTTGCGCGTCTATAGGAGCAGCACGGTACGCGCCCCCTCACCTCCAAGCCACTTCATCTGCAAGTGCCATTGCCCTACGCATGTGCCTTTACTAGGAGCAGTGACATTACGCGAATTGCTATGGCCCTAAACCAAGTCCCTTTTTTACTGACTCAATGACAGAGGAGGATGAGGACATGGACAACAACCTCGAGCCCATCAACCCAAGCAACATCATTGAGGGCGGCCGCCGCACACGAGGCAAGATTATCAACTACGCCGAGATTGCTGAGCAGAACAAGATCGGTGAGGATGATGATGATGAGGACGATGAGGAGTATGAGGGTGGTGGTGATGACGACAATGACCACGCCATGCGCGGGTAAACACTCTGTCTCCACAAACGACTCAGGCAATATGGAAATTGCTTTGAAGGGTCATGTTAGTCCGGCGCCACGGATAAAGGGGAGGCTTATGTTTTGTTTCTCCTAGATACGCTCGGGTTGTATTCTCTGTTGCGCTGGTTGACGCTGTCAATGATTCAATGAAACTCTGTTGTGATCAATTCTTCTGAATTGAGGAAGGATATGCAATTGTTTAACGCCCCATTCATGCTTGTGTATTGTGTTACTGCATGTCTACCTTCAAACGGTGTATTCCAGTAGATTGTAGAGAACAAAGTAGTAAATTGCTTGACTTTAATACTTGGTCGTCTTGAAGCGCATTCTGCCTACATCGAGACCTAGGTTATGTATATTTTAGATCCTCATACTTTTCCAACCTACTAGTCATTGCATATGTCCTGTAACTCCACTTTCTTATGTTTTGTTTCCCTATTGTTTAGCCTCTGTAAACACTGCGTCATCACGTGCGCCGGCCTCGGATTTACGCTTTGGCCACCTTAGTGTTTTTGTCCGCAAGCAATCAGGGTCTACCTAAACTCTCCAAATATCATGGATTTCATTAGTTGCTAGGACCACACAATGTCCCTAGGTGACCACTGACCAAATATCACAATTTGTTTGACTGGTGAATTCCTAAAATTCCTCGGTTCATTTCTGGACCCTGGACAAGAACGTCATGGCTTCACGGTATAGTCCCGACCCTTCTCCTTTCCATACGAACACATTTCCAAAAGGCCATCTACATCTTCCATCCATAATAACTAACAACCATGAATAGATTTCCTCGCCAGCGTGATCCACGCTCTTCGTCCTCCCTCTTTGACTCCTACGGTGGCGGCTCCCGCCCGGCGAGCAGGTCGCCCGCTCCGGCCGGTGGATATGGTTATGGAGGCTATTCTAGCCCAGCTGGGAACAACTATGGAAATGGCAGTGCCGGTGGACCTTCATATCGAAGCGCGACTCCCGACAAGAAGTAAGCTGACTGGCTGCTATTAGAGATGGGCGTCGATTGTTTAAGTTCTAACCTCTGCCGTAGGGGCCACTACTCTGATGCCGTTCTCTCGTCACTCGAATCACAAAATGATGCAGAGGTAGAGGGTATCACCGCGAAAGTGAGGATGCTAAAAGACGTAAGTGACTAAAATCCTTGGTCCGACGCGAGGGCGTGCGACATTGGGTTTGTTGCATCAATCACTAATAACCTCTCAGCTGACTTTTGCGATTGGCGACGAAATTCGAGATACTACTCACATAGATGGCCTGGAAAGTTCATTTGAAAGTACTCGAGTACGCCTCCGCGGGAACATGAACCGCATGCTTCGCATGGCTGAGCGCACTGGCGTTGGCTGGCGGGTATGGCTCGGGTTCTTCTTTGCTGTCTTCCTCTTGTTCTTCTACGTGTGGATATTCTGATTGCCAGATCTATGGCGATTGGCTTATACATGCCCTCGCGCTACGCTTTATTTTATTCTTCCTCAGCGAGCGTGTACATTGCCGTTTCGCTTTCACAGGGCGCCCGTACATACGGTTGTTATCAGTATAGCATGGCTATGTTCCTGGCTACGGTGTTTTTGGCGTTAAATTGGGGATTCTGGCTGCGCTTTAATGCATGCCATGTGATTATCATTGTGCTACATACAAGATCGATAATGCTTTGTGTCCTTTAAATGTTTTCCAGCTTCTGGAGCAAGGTAATGGAATTATAATAAGTTTCATCAACATTCCATATAGTTCCTGACTTCGAGGCTTGGTATCTTTAACGCAAATGCAATTCAATAGAGACACCAATAACACCATGCAAAATAAAGACTAGTCGGTAATTTGAAGTAACCGCTCTTCTACCATCAATTGAGAGAGTCTCGTGGTCTACCAACGTGACGAGGGAAGCGTCGAGCAAATCCACTGCGGCTGCCTTGACTTGTGACCGAGGCGCGCAGATCCTCATCCTCGAGGAACATGCTGCTAGAGTCCAGGGCATCGCCACCACCACTCCAACGATTGATGAAGCGACTCTGAGCTTCAGTCTCGCGCGCCCGGCGCATTGGTGGTGTCGGCAACATGCCACGACTGTTCGGAGTGCTTGTCCTGAAATTCTCAGTGAGTCGGTTGCGGACAACATTGTCATTATTAATCTCCTCCTCTTCCTCCTCCTCATCAGACTCTTCCTCCGTATCCGTATGTTGCCATTCGCCGTCTTGTTCGGATCCGCTCTCTGCAGCATCGGGAATATCAACGTCCAGATCTCGACTCATCTCCTCGCTCATCCCCTCTTCAGCCTCAGGAATCTCCGCATCCAAATCAGGTTGGTTGTCAAAGTCCTCGTCGTTCTGCTCATATAGCCCACTCTCCTCGTAGTCATCGTCAGGATATCCTTCGGGAATCTCATCATCCAAATCTCGCTCCATGTAGCCATCCTCATCGCCGACGTCCTCCTCTTCAAGGCCCTCCTCGCCTTCTTCAATCAACCCCTCAACATCCGCATCAGGTATCTCGTCATCCAGATCCCGCTCCATGCCCTGCTCCTCCTCATCTCCTTCCTCTCCTTGTGTCATGCCTAGATCATCATCCATAAGGCCTTCAGCATTCATCTCTGCTGCCGCTGCCGCCAATGCCTCTTCACGCTCAGCCTCCTCTTCCTTCATACCCAGCATTGTCTTAGAGCATCCCGCTGGCTTGATCCATGAGTATCCAAAAGACGCGATATTCTGTTTCCGGGAGCGCAACGCCCGCTCCTCCATAGCGAGAGCCGACAGACCATTTGAGGGACAGCGCGAGGGCATAAAGGCACGGCGGTTGTTATTGTTGTTGGCATTGCGGCGGGCGATGTTGGCACCGGCGTCGTGTGATTGTGATGGTGAGGTAGAGCGATATGGTTGGGATGCGCCGAACCAGAGCTCATGGGACTATGTTTAGTGAGAGGTTATGTATTAGTTGTTCTCTAGGACTGATTTGAAGGTTGGCTTGATACTTACGTCGCGAGGGGTGAGGAAAGGTAGGGACAACATTGTTAGGATCGAGGTGAGTTGGTATATTGTTGCTTGAAATCTGCGTCAAGTCCGAGTGAATATGGTGGAGACGTAAGGTGATTGCTCTGAAGCTTTTCGAGAGGTTGCGACAATCTTGCTACCTGTTGCGTTGGATATCATGCGGTTGTGTAGGTGAAGGGCGGAAATGGAAAAGTCGGCGGGTCGGAGCTCCGCAAACCAAAACATTTAGCATTGCGGGGAGTGACTTCCACTTTTGTAAGTGAGTAGAACTCAATTCAAAGGTAGAATTTATCATCAATGATGTTATATTCAAGAATAAATCACTATACATGAATCTGCTGTTGATTACATGCACGTGCGAAAACTTATGACGTAGTAGACTCAAAGGCCACATAGAACATTATTAACTATTATATATACAACCAATTTACGTAGCTTTCATCATTATTCCTCCGCCTGTTAGACCGAGAGTCACCGAGAACGGACCTCGTATCTCAAACCCTAGCTTCCGCTAGAGCTTCTCTTCATCTTCACTAGCTTCTATCCCCACCACAAGCCCTTCATTCTGAGCTCTCTGTAGTACCTCTTTCATCAGTCGTTGCCCAAGTCCTTGCCGCCGACAGGGTGCGGAGACCACGACACCTTGTACATGCCAACGATTCTCATATTTAGTCTTCATCTGGGGAGACTCCCAGTACTGTTGTCCATCATGTTCAGCGAATTTCATATCGCATTCATAGCATCGTGATCCATAGACCGGTCAGGCCGGAAGAGGTTCATAATTGAAACTCGTAATTGAAACTCGAATCTTAAAACCACCATGCTCTCAATAAGCGCCAGAGGGAGCGTTCATTCAAATCAAACGCATTGCAGCACGGTCGTTGCCTGGTCGGACGAACTGTGCGTACGCTACAGGAGTGGCGGGGTTGGCGGCATCCACGGCTACAAAGCCAATGCTCCGAGGGTTGAGGTAACGACCTTGGACCATCTGGACAAAGCTACAGATGACATGATCGTGATATTCATGACAATGCGGACAGAGAAAGGAATTGAGAGAAGAGTCGAAGTACGCTGTAGCAGCTAAAGAGCCATTATTGGAATGTCGGAACTCTGCGTACGGCGAATCAGGAACTTCTCATATCCTACCAGCTTTAAAAATCACTTTTCAGGTCCTGCAGATTGTCTATCGGAAAATATCACTTGAATGATGACTTTTTAAAATGTTGGAGTCCATATTGAAGAAACAATTGGTTAAGGCATCTATTTGGTTAGATCATGTGATTGAATTTGATGAGTCATTGGCTCATATGTCTGATTACCCTAAGCGGAAATATATCAAGTCTCAACATGAGAGCAACACATGTGCATGAGGGAAGATTCGTACTTTTTACAAGTTGACAGATCCATTGTTCCTGGTATTTAATGAAAGTACGGAGTACGGAGTACATGTATTGACTATGGAATTCCGTAATTACCCGACTTTGGCTATGAGAGTGCCAACAGTCCGGTGAGCCAAAAGTGGACAAGGACGATGATGAGATGTCTCGGAAAAAGTCGGGTTGATGTACACCAGGTTTACCCCAACTTCGATGGATCTCGTCTTAATATTCCCCATTACACTATTGGACGTGATAAAGCGGTGAGAGATCCACTGTGGATATCTTGAGGAAACATATACAAAGTCCCGAATGCGTCCAATTCACGACATTTCAAGCTTGAAAATGCTTTCGTGATTTAATATCCTCAAGCTTAGGTATGGGGATTTGATAGTTGATAACCAAGACCGGATTTGGAAGCGTAGAAATTCATCGCCGCATCTAGAGACTAGAGATAGTCTCGAGGGTGCCATTCTAATATGTCCTTCTAGTCCAACAAAATAGTTTAGCATCAATACATGAAAATGCAACTTTATCTTCTTGTGCTAGCAGTGGTGTGCGGAAAAGCGATTGCGGCTCCAACAAAGCCAAATACATCGGCTCAGTTGATGAATAGCCTGGTAAGACTATTGATGTGCCATTAAATGTGGCTCCGGGTACATTGATGGCTGACATAGTGGAATTTGAAGCCATCGTTCCCCTTGGAAATGACTACTTTGATGGGACAAGACAGGCAATCAAAGCAGGCGACGGTAAGGAAAATATCACGGTGTTACCTAGGTAAAAGGCTAACTTATTCTGGACGCCGAAGAATCCGCCTCATCGATCATGTATCTACGAAGATGCCTATCTGGAGTTTCGAGCAAAACATGCAATCCACTCATGGGCCCACGAAATGTAGATAATACTCCGTACCGAATTATATAATACGAAGCAGTTCAAGTTAGTTAATTAGAGTTGCACTAAGCGAGGAAGTAGTTCCGGGACAATTTCCTGAACTACGGTTACGGTTTACATGGTATACAGGTCCTGTCCCACCTGGACTGTAAGTTACATGACCTATTTATTTTTTAAGAAATCTCACTCATGCTAGGCAAAAAGGGAGAAGATATGCTCTCTTTGCGGAGTACGGAGTACCGATAGGAATACATGCATTCCGCTCGGGAAACGAGGCGAAGCTTAATAATAGGTGGGGTGTCTTCTTAATATCAAGGCAAATCTTATCACACTCACCCGCTTCACGTGTCAGGGGGAAGATTTGGGCTCCGGGTGAATGCTTAAGTCCGAAGTTTCAGTTCCTCCGTACTTTGACGGGGTAAATAAATCCCGGAATCCCCCAGAACATCCCACGTAGAACGTGGATGGGAGGGGAAGGGGTGATCTGGGGTTGTTTGCTTTCGAGTGAGAATGTAGGTAGTTTCCCCCAAGCCGCGATAACCAGTTTGGATGACATTAAGCGATGGGGAAACAAAGTCGGGATCCAGATGCAGACCGGAGAGAGGCTGGAGGGCCCCGAAATCGGGGGACGCACGAGCAATGACTCTAGGTAAGACTATTGGTCAGATCAAAAGATGTAAAATGTTAGGAAGAGGAAGATTCCGGACAGCCGTTGTCGGAATGGGTGGTATTTGTGTATTGGTATATACGTGTAAATTATCAATGCGTGGCCCCTGATCTGACCTGCACTAGTGGGGCGAGGCTCGGGAACTGGGGCTTTGGAGATGTGTACACTTCCAGGTTAATTTTCAATTTCTATCTTGGCACTCTCTATAGCCTGCCGTCCAGTCAATCAAATTTTTAGTATGTAATTGGTATTGCTTGGATATCTACCGCCAAGCCTCCTTGATTCAATATCCTGGCGCGTAAGGCAATAATATAGGAACTATTGACTGATTAAGCATTGCATGCAACTGCCCCACCAAAGACCGTCCGGGCCAACAGGTGTCTTGGAGAAAGCTGACTTTCTAGTTTTCGTGGCCTGTTTGCGTCTACTAACCAATGATATTGTCGGATTCTCTGTAGGGGCCGCTCGGTGGACCCACCACCCGGGTTTGGTTGACCATACGGCATGTGGATGTGCATGAGATCATGGGCCAGGATGGGGGAGGAGAAGCCAAAGCGAATAAAGAGAAAATCCAATAGCAGAAAACTGATATAGTCAAAGATATCAGTACCTTTATTCATGTATTTAGCTCCGTAGTACAAGAAAGAACTAATTACATTAAGAGGCGCTGCACAGGTCATCCGTATAGACACGAAAATTAAGGTACGAATACAATACAATACACCCCACGAGGATCTTAGACTCTTGACGTAGCAGAAAGCTAATCGTTTGGGTTCGGAGGTTGCAATGCCTTACCTATGATTGGTTGATCAACGCTTATCTTGACGGTTTGCTAGCCGTAATCATAATGATTATCATTACTCGACCCATTATTGCTGGAAGCTCTAACCTCTAACGTCCATTTGGAATGTACCCCCCCTCCCCTTCTACTGTTTTCATCCATGAGGGGCTCTCTGAGTAAAAGAAATATTTTGTACATGCTATTTTGTAATATTAAAACATAAAAAAAAAGAAGAAAGCAGATGCTCTTCTTGGCTTGAATCATTTGCTCTAGGTACTGAATTTATTCTCATTAGTTCAGTAGATTCATTTGCCACTTTCATCAAGTCAAAAATACCCCACAGTGTAATTTATTTCCCATCTCTGGGGATTTCCCATCGGAGCAACAGCCTGCAATCCCCGGACCTATTGTCCTGCCGTAACCGCTGCTCTGCCTTTTTTTTTTTATTTCCCCTCCTTTCTCTTCTTCACTTCCCCTCCCTTACTTTACACCTTCCCTTGCAGAACGGGTCTTCAAATTGAACAGATACCTTCCCCCGTCCTGCACCCGGTGACGACATTACCGTATCGCCCTATCGAATCTGTCCCGCCAAAAGAATCCCCGGCGGAGATCTCCAGACACCATCGTTCTAGAAAAGTCCCCTCTGTTTGTTCATTCTCTGTCGGCCCCCGACAGGAAGAATGGGTCTTAACTTGGAGGAAATCTATGGCAAAGATCTAAGTGAAGAACAGGCTCCCCAGGAGTATTCGGAGTACCAGCCCAAGAAAGGTTATGGCTGGGCCAACACACTGCCCGAGCGGCAGGGTCTCTATGACCCCGAATATGAAAAGGATGCCTGTGGTGTGGGATTCGCAGCGTAAGCAGACTTTGGAACAACATTGACTAACAGTGCACTAACTCTCAATTCCATTTTCTAGTCACATCAAGGGTAAGCCGAGCCATAAGATTGTGAGCGATGGTAAGTCTTTCAAGCCCCAAACTCCAAAAATTTGCGGAAGCTTGCGCTGACGTCGTTTCGGACAGCCCGCAACCTGCTGTGTAACATGACCCACCGTGGAGCCGTTGGTTCGGACGCACGAGACGGTGACGGTGCCGGTGTGATGACCAGTATCCCACACAAGTTCTTCATTAAGAATTTTGCTCGTGAGGTAGGTGTAGACCTCCCTCCGCTGGGCCAATATGCTGTCGGCAACTTGTTCTTCAAGCCCGACGAGGAGGCCCTGAAGAAATCGATCGCCAGCTTCGAGGACTTGGCAACCTCGCTCGACCTGCGCGTCCTGGGATGGCGTGAGGTGCCCCGTGACTCGACAATTTTAGGTCCAGCCGCACTTTCGCGCGAGCCCATTATCATGCAGCCGTTTGTAGTTTTCAAACCCGCCTACGGCGAGGGCAACAAGCCCGAGATCACTGATACAGACAAGTTCGACGCACGGACCTTTGAGCTTCAATTGTACATTCTGCGGAAGCGCGCCACTCACGTTATTGGGATGGGCAACTGGTTCTACTTGTGCTCTCTCAGCAATCGGAATATTGTTTACAAGGGCCAGCTTTCCCCTGTACAGGTCTACCAATACTATCACGATCTCGTCAATGTCGATTACGAGGGCCATTTTGCCCTAGTCCACTCCCGTTTCTCAACTAACACATTCCCCTCCTGGGATCGTGCTCAGCCCTTGCGATGGGCCGCTCACAATGGTGAAATCAACACATTGCGCGGAAACAAAAACTGGATGCGTGCCCGCGAGGGAGTCCTTCGATCAGACGTCTTTGGTGACGAGTTGGACCAGCTGTACCCCATTGTTGAAGAAGGTGGCTCGGACTCGGCAGCTTTTGATAATGTTCTGGAATTGCTCATGATTAACGGCGTACTGTCTCTCCCTGAGGCTGTTATGATTATGATTCCCGAAGCTTGGCAGGACAACCCAGCAATGGACCCGGCCAAGTCCGCCTTTTACGAGTGGGCGGCTTGCCAGATGGAGCCTTGGGATGGTCCGGCTCTGTTTACTTTCTCCGACGGTCGTTACTGTGGTGCTAACCTTGACCGTAATGGTCTGCGTCCGTGTCGTTTCTATGTTATGGATGATGATCGTATCGTTTGCGCCTCTGAAGTCGGTGCTATCGATATCGACCCTGAACGTGTGGTTCAAAAGGGCCGTCTGCAGCCTGGAAAGATGTTGCTGGTAGATACCGTGGCTGGGCGCATCATCGATGACTCGGAATTGAAGCAGACTGTTGCCCGACGTCACGATTTTGCCGGCTGGTTAGACAAGCAGCTCTTGAAGTTGCCTGCTATCAACCAGCTACTTCTGGATCAGAAGGTGGACCTTTCTACCAGCCTTGACGACAACACCGTGCAGAATGACCCTCGTCTCCGCGCCTTTGGGTATTCCTTTGAGCAGGTAAGCCTGATTCTTGGTCCCATGGGTGCGGATTCCAAGGAAGCCCTGGGCTCCATGGGTAACGATGCACCCTTGGCTTGCATTGCCCAGCAGCCTCGTCTGCTCTACGAATACTTCCGCCAGCTGTTCGCTCAGGTCACTAACCCGCCTATTGATCCCATCCGGGAGGCTGTGGTCATGTCCCTTGACTGTTACGTTGGTCCACAGGGTAACCTGCTGGAGATGGACCCTACGCAGTGTCACCGATTGCTGCTGCCGTCTCCTATTCTGAGTAATTCCGAGTTCAACGCCCTCAAGAACATTAACCTCGCCCACAGTGATTGGACTGTGCATACTATCGATATCACCTTTGAGAAGAAGAAGGGTACTGCTGGCTATCTCGAGGCACTGGATGCTATTTGTGATGCCACCACTGAAGCCATTCAGAATGGCGACAAGGTCATCATTCTGTCTGACCGTGCTACCAGCGCTGACCGTGTTCCCGTTTCTACATTGTTGGCTACCGGCCTGGTTCACCATCACCTTGTTCGCAACAAGTGGCGTTCGCTCGCTGCTTTAGCAGTTGAGACTGCTGAGGCCCGTGAAGTTCATCACCACTGTGTCCTTCTTGGATATGGTGCCGATGCCATCAACCCCTACCTCGCCATGGAGTGTCTCCTCAAGATGAACCGGGAGAAGCTTATTCGGAAGGATCTCCCCGATGAGAAGGTCATTGAGAATTACAAGGCCTCCTGTGATGGTGGTATTCTCAAGGTCATGAGTAAGATGGGTATCTCTACTCTCCAATCCTACAAGGGTGCCCAGATCTTCGAGGCACTCGGTATTGACGACAGTGTTATCGACCGCTGCTTTGCTGGTACGGCCAGTCGTATTCGTGGTATTACCTTCGATTTGATCGCCCAGGATGCCTTCGCTTTCCACGAGCGTGGATACTCCTCGCGTGACATCGTCGAGATCCCCGGTCTCCCCGAGTCTGGCGAGTACCACTGGCGTGATGGTGGTGAGGCCCACGTGAACGACCCCGTCAGCATTGCCAATATGCAGGATGCTGTTCGAAACAAGAACGACAAATCTTACGAGGCTTATGCCAAGGCAGAACATGAGCAGATCAAGAACTGTACTCTGCGTGGTATGCTTGACTTTGACTTTGAGCAGAGGACTCCCATCCCCATTGACCAAGTCGAACCTTGGACTGAGATTGTCCGCCGCTTTGTAACGGGCGCTATGTCTTACGGATCCATTTCTATGGAAGCCCACTCCACCATCGCTATTGCTATGAACCGTCTGGGAGGCAAGTCTAACACAGGTGAAGGTGGTGAAGATGCCGAACGCAGCGACCGTATGGAGAACGGTGACACCATGCGATCTGCTATCAAACAGATTGCCTCCGGTCGATTCGGTGTGACTGCGAACTACCTCGCCGACGCTGATGAGCTGCAGATCAAGATGGCTCAGGGTGCTAAGCCTGGCGAGGGTGGTGAGCTGCCTGGTCACAAGGTCCTCGGTCCTATTGCTCGTACTCGTCACTCGACTCCTGGAGTCGGCCTGATTTCCCCTCCCCCTCACCACGACATCTACTCTATCGAGGATCTGAAGCAGCTTATCTACGATCTTAAGTGCTCTAACCCGCGTGCTCGTGTTTCCGTCAAGCTGGTGTCCGAAGTCGGCGTCGGTATCGTCGCTTCTGGTGTCGCCAAAGCCAAGGCTGATCATATTTTGATTTCTGGTCACGACGGTGGTACCGGTGCCTCGCGTTGGACCGGTATCAAGTATGCCGGTCTTCCTTGGGAGTTGGGTCTTGCCGAAACTCACCAGACTCTTGTTCTTAATGACCTCCGTGGTCGGGTCGTTGTCCAAACCGACGGTCAAATTCGCACTGGACGTGATCTTGCCATTGCCTGTCTGCTTGGTGCTGAAGAATATGGCTTTGCAACCACTCCCTTGATCGCTATGGGCTGTGTGTTCATGCGAAAATGCCATCTCAATACTTGCCCAGTTGGTATTGCCACGCAGGACCCTGAGCTCCGCAAAAAGTTCAAGGGTACCCCCGAAAATGTCATTAACTTCTTTTTCTACGTTGCCAACGAGATGCGTGCTATCATGGCCAAGCTTGGTGTTCGTACCATTAACGAAATGGTTGGTCGTGCCGAATTGCTCAAGGTCCGGGATGACATCCGCAACCAGAAGCAGGAGCGTGTGGATCTTTCGCTTATCTTGACTCCTGCTCACTCACTGCGTCCTGGTGTTGCTACTTACAATGTCCGAAAGCAAGACCACCGCCTCCACACTCGTCTCGATAACAAACTGATTGCCGAGTCTGAGCTTGCCCTGGAGAAGGGTCTTCCTTGCCGGATTGAGTGCGACGTAGTCAACACTGATCGTTCTCTTGGTTCCACCTTGTCGTACCAGATTAGCCGACGCTACGGCGAGGCTGGTCTTCCCCAAGACACCATCCATGCTAACATCAAGGGATCTGCAGGTCAGTCTTTCGGTGCCTTCCTTGCCCCTGGTGTTACTCTGGAGCTTGAGGGTGATGCCAACGACTACGTTGGCAAGGGTCTGTCTGGTGGTCGTCTCATTGTGTACCCTCCTCGCGGTGCCGCTTTCAAGGCCGAAGAGAATGTTATCGTTGGTAATACCTGCCTGTACGGTGCTACTGGCGGTACTTGCTACTTCCGTGGTGTTGCTGCTGAGCGTTTCGCTGTCCGTAACTCAGGTGCTACCGCCGTGGTCGAAGGTGCTGGTGACCACGCTTGCGAGTACATGACTGGCGGCCGCGTTTTGATTCTTGGTTCGACTGGTCGTAACTTTGCCGCTGGTATGTCTGGTGGTATTGCTTACGTTCTAGATATGAACCAGGACTTCCACTCCAAGGTCAACATGGAAATGGTTGAGGTTTCTGGTATCGAAGAGCCCTCCGAGATCGCCTTCGTCCGTGGTTTGATCGAAGATCATCACCACTACACTGGATCCGAGCTTGCAGCTCGTATTCTCCTTGACTTCACCCGTGCTCTTCCTCACTTTGTCAAGATCCTCCCTATCGATTATAAGCGCGTTATGCTGGAAGAGGCTGCCAAGGCTGCGGCCGCAAAGAAGGCCGAGTTCGCCCTTCCTCAACTTCCCAGCACGCCTGTGCATAGTGAGAAGGTCAAGGCCAAGACTGATGAGAAGAAGGCCGACATGCTTGACATTGAAGATAGCATCGGCGACTCTAAGACCGAGAAGAAGCGTTCTGCGTTGATCTTAGACAAGACTCGCGGCTTCATGAAGTACAGCCGCCGCAGCGAGAAGTACCGTAACCCCACCACTCGTACTCGGGATTGGGCTGAACTATCCAATCGCTTGAGTGAGGATGAGCTCAAGTACCAGTCCGCTCGCTGTATGGACTGCGGTGTTCCGTTCTGTCAGTCAGATACCGGTTGCCCAATCTCCAACATCATTCCCAAGTGGAACGAGTTGGTCTTCCAGAACCAGTGGCAAGATGCTCTTAACCGCTTGCTCATGACCAACAATTTCCCCGAGTTTACTGGTCGTGTCTGCCCCGCTCCTTGCGAGGGTGCCTGTGTTTTGGGAATTAATGAAGACCCTGTCGGTATCAAGTCGATTGAGTGCGCCATCATTGATCGCGGTTTCGAGATGGGTTGGATGGTTCCTCGTCCGCCCCAGAAGCGTACTGGCAAGACCATTTCCATTATCGGATCTGGCCCCGCCGGCTTGGCTGCCGCTGATCAGCTTAACCGTGCTGGTCACTCAGTTACCGTTTATGAGCGGGCTGACCGCATGGGTGGTCTCCTCATGTACGGCATTCCCAACATGAAGCTTGACAAGAAGGTTGTTCAACGCCGTGTGGATCTCATGGCTGCCGAGGGAATCAAGTTCGTGGCTGGTACCGCTGTTGGTCCCGATTGCGACGTTACTCTTCAGTCTCTTCGCGCTACCAACGACGCTGTCATCATCGCAACTGGTGCTACAGTTGCCCGTGACCTCAAAGTTTCTGGGCGTGAACTGGAGGGTGTGCACTTTGCCATGCAGTTCTTGCACAAGAACACCAAGTCCCTTCTGGACTCTGGCCTTGCCGACGGCGAGTACATTTCTGCCAAGGACAAGCACGTCGTCGTTATTGGTGGCGGTGATACTGGTAATGACTGCATTGGTACCTCGGTCCGTCACGGTGCCAAGTCTGTCACCAACTTCGAGCTCTTGCCTCAGCCCCCACCAGAGCGTGCCAATGATAACCCCTGGCCTCAGTGGCCCCGTATCTACCGTGTTGACTATGGTCACTCGGAGGTTAAGACCCACATGGGCAAGGATCCCCGCGAGTACTGTGTCATGTCCACAGAGTTTGTTGACGATGGCAACGGTCGCGTCCGGGGTATCAACACCGTGCGTGTGGAGTGGACTAAGAGTGCCACTGGTGGTTGGGATATGAAGACTGTGGAGGGTAGCGAGCAATTCTTCCCTGCCGACCTGGTTCTTCTGTCTATGGGTTTCTTGGGACCCGAAGACCGTCTCCTTGGTGACGATATCACTCGTGACCAGCGCAAGAACGTCAAGACTCCCCCTGGCCACTACTCTACCAATCTTCCAGGTGTATACGCCGCCGGTGATTGCCGCCGTGGACAGTCTTTGATTGTCTGGTAAGTTTCACTTCTTCCATCTTATATCAAACTATCTCTCTTACTAACCCGATATCCTAGGGGTATCAACGAGGGTCGCCAGTGTGCCCGCGAAGTTGACGCTTTCTTGACCGGAGTCAGCTCCCACCTCCCTGTCACCGGTGGTATTGTCCGTCGGCCTGCTATTGACTCTGTTCCCCAGCTGGTGGAGACCGAGGTCGTTGCTTAAAAAAATGGTTAAGATCGCCGAGATCCTTTTTATGAGTATGACGGACAATGATGAATGCATCTGGTGTGGAAAAGTTTCCCAAAATGGGATTTGATCATTTTCTAGACGAGGATATCCATCAAATTTTTGATGGGGAGATTCTTTTTTGATACTTGCGTTTCTTTCGGTTATCTGACTTGCACACATGGTTTTTGGCTTTTTTTTCTTTGCTTTATCTGACAGCAGCGTTCCTCTATGCAAGGTGTTTAGAGCGTCTGTCATGCGGTGCTTTTTTTTTTTTTTGGTTGTACATAGTACCCTGTCTTCGTGTCTCTTTTTATCAATTCAAGAACTTGAATCATCTATACATAGTATACATGTTGAGTTAGAATGTTTCGAATGGCTAACAAGATGAAGTTCTGTGGAATGTTCATAGGGAGTGGAACAAAATCCCTGATGTCGTAAATTATAGTAAAGATTGCGCCTAGTACAAAATGAATATGTACAGTTTATGATACAAATGCCAACAGCCCAAAGAGATCAACCCTGGGGGGTATCATGCTGCGGGTTTCTGCTGAGCCTCCTCTTCGGCTTTCATCTCCCGCTCTAGAGCCGCAAAATCACCCCGGAAGGACTCCTTCGCAGGATCAAGTCTCACATCCCACACGTCCTCACTGCTAGGACCTGTCTTGTATTTGATTGCCTTTTTCCGGTTGTGGTCCCGAATGGCCTTCCTGCGCAACTCATCTGACCAACCTCGGGTTCTCATACACAACCAGAAGTTATCCCAGTGTTCACTGCAGGACCGCAATTCTCCGTATCGATATACATTCACGAATTGTCCACCAAAGGACTGGCAGAAGAAGGCGTAGTCGAAAGCTGTGCGGCAGGACATGGTGTCGGCATAGAGGGATTCAGGTGCGATAGATGAGGTGGGTTGGTCGGATTGAGTACCATTTGACGGCAATGAAGAAGATTGAAATTCATCGTTTAAGGAACTGTCTGCTTTTCGGAGGTCGGCCAGGAGCTGGTCGAATTCCAGGTCGGCTTGTTCGTCTGGTGTCAACTTTTTGGGTGGTGCATTTTGAATTGTGGATTGCGCTGCCACTGGGGGCTTTGCATCATTAGAGATGTCCGTTTGAGGACTAGAGCTCCATAGCCATCCCATTGTTGCGGAGAGTATTGGAAAAATTGGCCTTTAGTTGCGAGAGATCATCTGCGACAACGCGCGGGTTTTCGGGCGATTTTCGGGATTATCACGTGCTGATTAGATAACACCATCCGATAAAGTGAAATGAGCTGACTGACATCATTGATGGATCGCATCCTGATCAACCTGATCAACCCTGAATTTCCCCTATCTCGTATTTTTTGATTCCTGCTGTGATGTTGCGAATATGAGACCCGAATTTCGTACAGTATTCCCTGCTGCATGGGCTCGGAGGATTCCCTCTGCCTCTGTCTCTCGTTATCGTCATCCACTGCGTAATGCTGCTCATGTACGGCATATATCTGCGATCCAGTCAGGGCATATCAGGTTGGGGGAGAATGAAGGGATTATTTTCATCAATAGTAAGGTTCTCTGATGTGAAAAGTCTACGGCATTCTGCTAAAGGAAAAGTTTAGATATTTACCCCCATCGGCTCCAATGGCTGCTACGGGGTCCACTCAGCCATGTACAGCCTCTCGAGGGGCTGTTGAGACGATTCGACAACCCCGATCTGGCTGCAGCTGATCCTTTTCATATCGCCCGTCGTGTCTTGCCTCGGAGCTTGAACCTTGAAATCAAAGAAGTGGTCCCACGATACAAAGAAGGCGGTGCATTCGTCAAATATGAACGCAAGCTTGGCGCCACAGATGATAGCATTAGTAATGCGATGAAGGATCATCTTGCTAAGAACCCGATCCGGCCTTGGTTCAATCCATTCCAAAGAGCAGATGCCGAGATAGTTCAGGGCAAACCGTGGATTGAGGATCTCTATCGGATCCCAAGCCAAAGTCTGAGAGTTGAATTTCTCCCCGCCTCTACTGAAGGTCCACCAGTAGAGCTAAACCAGGAAGCCATTTACTCTCTCTTCCGTCCTTTTGGGAAGATTCTGGACATACATCAGCAGCCGTCAGATTCAAAGGTTGAGCCCAGGTACGCTATTCTGCGCTTCGAGCGTCCTCGATTCGCCGTGCTGGCAAGAAACTGCTTACACGGGTACGAGGCATCCGAAGAGGAGGGAGGGGGAAAAGCCGGCACCAAGTTCAAATTAGGGTATGAGCGCAAGATTAGATTGTCTATGATTAAGGATTGGATCATGAGCCACCCACGAATTATGTTTCCTGCTATCGCGGCTCTGGTGGCAGCAATCACCGTCATTGTCTTTGATCCTATACGAACGTTCTTCATCAAAGTCAAGATCAAAGCCACACTTCACACAGAAGACAATGCTATTGTGCAGTGGGTTCGGCAACAAGCCAGCAAAGCCAACAAAATGTACTTTGGACAGCGCAAGGCGGATCCCCGGGGCTTGACAGCCATTTGGGAAGATCGGCAGAACGATATCTCACAGCTCCAAGCATGGCTAACAGAGACTGCTCAAACATTCATCGTGGTTCATGGCCCAAGGGGCTCGGGCAAGCGGGAGCTAGTTCTAGAGCAGGCATTGAAAACCCGTCACCACAAAGTGATCATCGACTGTAAACAGATCCAGGATGCTCGAGGTGAAACCGCCAAGATTTCTCGGGCAGCAGCTCAGGTTGGCTATCGACCAATCTTCTCCTGGATGAATAGCATTAGCAGTTGGATCGATCTGGCAGCACAAGGTATGATTGGTACGAAGGCTGGATTCTCTGAGACCCTGGATGCCCAACTCAGCAAGATCTGGCAAAGTACCGCAGTAGCGATGAAACGAGTTGCGCTTGAAGGTCGTCGAAAAGAAGACAAGGACTTTAACCTAAATGACGATGAGTACCTTGAGGTTCATCCCGAGAAACGGCCAGTGGTAATCATCGACAATTTCGTGTACAATTCCGAGGATAGTGTTGTGTTCGACAAGCTTACGGAGTGGGCGGCGGGGTTGACCTCCGCCAACATTGCGCATGTCATTTTTCTAACTACCGACTCCTCCTTTTCCAAGCCTCTAAGCAAAGCACTTCCGAACCAAGTCTTCCGGACAATTGGTTTGGGTGACTGCTCTTTAGATGTGGGCCGTCGCTTTGTCTTGAATCACTTGGATTCCGGGACAGCTGAAGGCGAGGATCGATCTAAGGGGCCAAAGAAGAAGCTCCAAGACCTAGACGAGTGTATCAAGATCCTGGGAGGCCGAGTCACCGACCTTGAATTTATGGCACATCGGATTGAAGCGGGAGAAACGCCTAGAGGTTTGTTCTGCCGAGCCAATTAATATGCTATCTATACTAATTTCCTTCGACAGCTGCGGTGAACCGAATCATCGAGCAATCGGCTTCTGAGCTTTTAAAGATGTTTATTCTCACAGATTCTGCCTCGCCACAATGGACTACTCAGCAAGCATGGCACATCATCAAAGCTCTTGGGCAGGCGAAGGATGGTCAAATTCTTTACAACAAAGTCCTACTCAATGATCTGTTCAAAAACAATGGTGAAACAACTCTCCGAGCACTTGAACAAGCAGAACTCATCTCTATTGGAACTGTCAAGGGATTTCCACGGTGGATCAAGCCTGGTAAGCCCGTTTACTCGGCAGCATTCCAGCAGTTGATCGGGAACAAGACATTGGAAGGCCGGTTAGATCTTCTTATCCTCGGTGAGTTGATTAGTACCGAGAACAAGAGTATCGGCAAGTATGAAGAAGAACTTCAGCTGCTCGGTTCGCTCCCCAAATATCCGTGGGAGTTGAACTCGCGAATCGAGTGGCTATTAAGCAAATTGCACGGGTCGCAATCCAAGATTCTCCAATATGAAAAGGAGAGTAGCAAACTGAAAAAGATGCTACAGAGTGAGAAGTAAGAACATTTGGACTTTTTTATCATTGACTCAATCAATTTATTGGAAAATTCTTGTATAATTCGATGAACTTCAAGTAATCCTAAGGCAAGATCTTTCACCTGCAAACCTTTGCTTTTTTTGTGGTCCCTGACTGGTCAGTCTGCCTAGTACATACCTGTAGTGCCTAAGATTATTTATCGAGGGTATCAGCGACCTAAAAGCTGGAATTCTCAGTACATTACGAATAGGAATATGTAACAGTGAAGTGATTGAAAACGCGGGGTGGAACCGGACAAATATCCGCTCGGAGTTGACCCGATAGCGACATCCACTAAGGAGATGGTGGTATATAAGCTACCAATGCAAGCCGCAATTGCTCATTTCTTAGAAGAGCCAACATTTCTGAAGAATAAGAAGATGCAGAATACCAGAGATTCTGAATCCAATCAGGACTATGACCTTAACACCCCAATCAAATCTACCTCCGGCCTACGTCAGGGTCTAGTATCTTATGGAGACAAGCACTTCTCTCTCTTTCTCCGAAAGGTATTCATTAAAGCTCTTGGATATTCAGAAGATGCTCTTTCCCGGCCCATAGTAGGCATTATCAATACATTTTCAGGGTTCAATCCCTGCCATGCCAACATCCCACAGCTCATAGAGGCTGCCAAGCGTGGCATTCATCTCAATGGAGGGTTAGTTAAATTTCTCAATACTTCATTGTATATCAAATCTCACATTGAATCATTATTATCAGATTGGCGGTGGAATTTCCCACTATTTCCGTCGCTGAATCCTTCTCACACCCAACGAGTATGTTTTTACGGAATTTGATGAGCATGGACACTGAAGAAATGATTCGGGCTCAGCCATTGGATGCCTGTATAATGATTGGAGGTCAGTATCTATCTATGACTACTACCGTACGACTCTTTGGCTCACATATACAGGCTGTGACAAGACAGTTCCTGCCCAATTGATGGGTGGAATTTCCGCCAACAAGCCAATCCTTCCCTTGATCACTGGGCCTATGCTACCAGGTAGCCATCGTGGGAAGAGAATTGGTGCATGTACAGATTGTCGCAATAACTGGGCAGCATTTCGAGCTGGCGAGATCGATGTTGAGGAGATTTCAGCTATCAATGAAGAACTTGCTCCAACAGTATGTTCCCTCGTTTCCCGAATAAATCCCCTCGCCCGACTAATATGGCTGTAAGATTGGAACCTGTGGTGTCATGGGAACTGCGAGCACGATGGCCTGTGTTACCGCTGCATTGGGAATGATGCCACTTCGTGGTGCTTCTGCTCCAGCTGTATCATCTGCACGACTGCGGATTGCCGAAGAGACCGGTGCAAATGCGGTGGCCGTTGCACAGGCAGGAAGGAAACCACAAGACATCCTGACAAAGGAATCGTTTCTGAATGCCATTACAGTCCTTCAGGCGATTGGCGGGTCTACCAATGCTGTGGTTCATTTATTGGCAATTGCCAACCGGCATCCCGAGCTCCAGGGGATGATAACATTGCAGACGATCGAAGAAATAGGTCAAAAGACTCCTCTTCTCATCGATCTTAAGCCGAGTGGTGATAACTATATGAACGATTTTCATAATGCGGGAGGCATGCCTGCGCTGCTACATGTCCTTCGACCGTTGCTCCACCTGTCTGCTATGACGGTCACCGGGCAGACGTTAGGAGAAGTTTTGGATGCAGCTCAATCCAAGCGAGTCTCTTTTTCACAACAGATTATCAGACCGCTCTCGGATCCTCTTTATTCTTCATCATCTCTCGCGGTTCTGCGAGGCAATCTTGCTCCCAATGGCGCTGTTATCAAAGCATCTGCCTCGAAATATCGATCTCTGCTCTCTCACACTGGGCCTGCTGTGGTATTTGAGAACTCGATCGACCTCGCTAACCGGATCGATGATCCGGAATTGCCTGTCACAAAGGATAGCGTGTTGGTCCTCAAGGGTATTGGCCCAATAGGCAATCCTGGTATGCCAGAAGCAGGACTGATTCCTATTCCTAAGAAGTTGGCAGCTGTGGGAGTGAAAGATATGTTGCGGCTATCTGATGGCCGCATGTCTGGGACGGCTGGGGGAACCATTGTCCTCCATATCTCACCCGAGGCAGCTGTTCCAAACTCACCATTTGGGGTAGTGGAGACGGGTGACTTGATTGTTTGTAACCTCGAAGATCGCAGACTACATGTCGATATAACTGAAGAGGTTTTGGAGGCTCGTATATTACAACGAAAGCAGAGGCTTGAGGGAGAGTTGGGACCAGTTCAAGCGAGGAAGCAGAGGCGGGGATATCGCGGGTTATATGAGCGATCCGTGAACCAAGCGCATGAGGGAACTGATTTTGACTTTCTCACTGCAAATGGTGCATCCTGAGAGTAGAGTCAACCAGGAAAGAGATTTAAAACAATTGATGCTTCATCAAATAAAATAATATGAAGAGTAATGGAGTTTGGAGATACGGTTAAAGAAGAAAGTTCGGAACAATGGGTTATAACCGACTTGTAGGGAAAAGTAGTAACAAACATCATCTGATGACTCCCACCACATGTGACCGCCCATGTCGTCCGGTATTTGGGTGCTGTAGTCATCCCGGGAGACACAAGGCACTGCCGAGATCGTCATGAGGCGACCTCGATGGGCCTCTTCCTGGGCTGGATGTTCAATTTTATTGATATGATCAACTGATTTACCTACTCGATTTCATTGTAAATTGAACATGTGGTTTGATAAACGGAAGAATAGTGAGTTTTGATTTTCTGGGCGATGTAGATGAAGCTATTCACAATGTACTTCCACCTTGTAAGTACTCGGTGAGATCAGGCGCAATTGACAAGATCCGAGTTCGATTCCAGATTATCCCAAATGAATCTCCTTTAAATTCTTCCAATTCAACAGCTTCAGCAGTTGTAAATGCATAATCAGATATCTTCATACTTTCAATATTACCCTAAGCCCTATATTTCCCGATTGGGCTAAATCTGACGCGCGACGCGGGACGCGTTTTCCGTTATCGCCGATCCAACCTGGAACACTCAAAGGGGAGAGATAATTTGACTCCGCATTTGTGATATTGATATTTTGCTTTTCTCAGTGTCAGGATATTCTCAATGAGCTCCGACACTTTTCGCCCTCGGGGCCGGCCAGCCCGTAAGTCACAGGCTGAATCTATGGACAAATACCATGGCTGGCTAACATAAAATCTACCACCCAGACACTCCGGGGACGACGACCCTAGCCTACACGCCAGATGGGAAACGAGTGATTACTGCTGGATCAAACTCGGCGATTCGCATCTACACCGTCGACCAAGATGGCGAGCCTAAGACTGTGGACGAGGGCATATTGGACGGATATGTTGGAATTGGTGCCACGGTATGCGAGCTGGGGATTCGAGCTATGGGATACGGGAACTGACAGGGGTAACAGAATGACTCCTTTATTGTGGGAACTGAGACTGGTCAAGTCTGGCAGTTTGATACCGTGTCGGGTAAGATGGGGACTCAACTGGTCCGGTGTGCGCTGCCCGTAAGAGACGTGACCGTTTCCCAGGATGGCCAATGGGTTGCAGTGGCAAGCGAGTGAGTGGAAATGACAGACCGGTGTCAATTCTATAGATACTAACAGGTGCCACTAGTGAGCTCACCGTGAAACTTGTCAAAGTCGACGACCAAACCGAGACCAAATACCTTCGCGATCAATTAACAAGCGCGAAACACGTTACATTCGACCCCAAGGGCCGCTATGTGACCGTGTCGGCCATAGATGGCATTCTCTCCGTTTATTCACTAACGGAAGAGGAGCCGGAGTTGGTCCGCAAACTCGATGGAGTCATTCGAAAACTCGAGCCCGATGCAGAGGCATCATCCAGAGCCGTCTGGCACCCGGACGGTACTGCATTTGCCGTGGCGGAAGCTACTCGAGACATTGCAGTTTATTCAATCTCCCACTGGAAGAAAGAAAAGAGTTTTAACGGTGGACACACGGGCGACATCACAACACTAGCCTGGGCACCCAATGGTACGCTCTTAGCCTCGGCTGGAGCTGACGGTCAGATTGTGCTCTGGGAAACCCGCACTCAAACCATTCTACACCGGTTTGATTTTCCAAATGTCATCAACCTTGCATGGCACCCAAGTGTAAACTCACTTTCGTTCACCACCTCGGATGGAGAGTTATTCATCTACGATAAATTCGTCCCAAAGGACCATGAGTCCCAGCTATTGAAGCCGCTTCAGGCTGCCCCCATCTACCCCGGTCCATTGAATGACATTTCCAACAATGTCCAGCAGACATTGGCTGACCGGTCTAGGGAGGCGATCAAGCGGGCAGCTCGCATGGCGTCCCCGGATGAGCTGGATGATATTCTCGGCGATGATGCGGAGATGGAGGATAATTTCGTCGAGGATGACGATGGTGCAGGATATGTCGACGATTTGAATGAGTATGGAAAGAGACCCAGGGGTCATTTGGATGATCTGGAAGGCTCTCACAGCAAGCGCATCTCCTCTGGCGGCGTGCAACCAGAATCCCACCCTCCTATTCAGCCTGGTAGTACACCGTGGGCAGGTAGCAGAAGATATCTCTGTAAGCTGATGAGTTGATACGTTCATTGTTTTTTGTGTCTTGTTTGCTAATTATCTCAGGCCTGAATTTGACTGGTGCCGTCTGGACTGTGGATCAAGAAACACACCACACAGTGACAGTGGAGTTTTATGACCGAGAACTTCATCGGGATTTCCACTTTACGGACCCATACCAATATGACAAAGCATGCCTCAGTGAGTTTGCGATCGCAACAATTATTACTTTCCGCACTAACAAGCTAAATCCACAGACGAGAACGGGACCCTATTTGCCAACAGCCCATCAGATGGCCCTGCTACTATCTTCTACCGACCTCATGAGACATGGACGACCAGGGCTGATTGGCGAACTCAACTGCCCGAAGGAGAGGGAGTGCAAGGTATGAGACGAAGTATCGTTGTTTTATTTTCGCTGCTAACCATTCTCAGCTATGGCACTAAGTAATTCTTATATTGTCGTTCTTACGACGAAAGACTACGTGCGAGTGTACACTTTATTTGGGACCCCCTATCGAGTATACAGACAGAAGAGCCAGGCCGTAACATGCGCCGCATGGCGAGACTACATCATGACCATCGGTAACGGCCCGGTAGGGCCTGATGGGCGATATACCTCATTGCGATACACAATTGAGAACGTTAAACGCGACGAAATCTGCCAGAATGAAGACGTTGTCGCTCTTCCATCCGAGGTCAAGCTGCAGAGTGTTTTCTTTTCCGATCATGGAGTATGTCATTCAACCCCTGAATGTTGACAACAGAACTGACTTTTGCAGGATCCGTGCATCTACGATACCACCGGTGTTTTACTAGTATTGCAGCACTGGCGCACACCAGGTCAAGCCCGATGGGTGCCTCTTCTGGACACAAAGCAACTTGCCCGATTGGCCGCGGGTCGTAAGGAAGAGACCTACTGGCCAGTTGCCGTGGCACAAGACAAGTTCCACTGTATCATTCTCAAGGGTGGTGACGAGAATCCATACTTCCCGCGACCGCTGCTCAGCGAATTTGATTTCCAGGTACCCATTTCCAGCCATGCAGTCAGTGATCCTGAAGAATCAGAGGCAGTAGCGGCAGGACGCAGCGCCAGTATGAAGTTTGAAGAGGCCTTTGTGCGAGGCAATCTTCTTCTGTCACTCTTCCAGGACCTCTTGGAGTCTACCAATGCGACAGCCAGCCAACGTACCGAATTGGCGCGTAAGGAATTGGAGATCGACAAGACCTTGCTGCAGATGCTGGCCATCGAGTGCAGAGAGGGTGAGGAGCGTGGTATGAAGGCGCTTGAACTAGTAACCATGATGAACGATCGTAATGGTAAGATGCTTGAGGCAGCAGCCAAGGTGGCGCAACGCTATGAACGTGGTGTCTTGGAGGATAAGATCCGTGAACTTGCCGAGAAAAGGATGATCGGTATGGATGATGATGAATTGGCCTAGAAACTTGATAAACAAATTCAGAGAAGGAGAACTAAAAGATTCGATTTTGTACTGAAGAGAGTTACTGTGTTGTATAAAGTCCGTTATGATTGAACACATTCTATACTGACGCATTCCGATTGGTTCGCAACTTCCAAGCAGAAAGTGGAACGTTTGACTCCGCAATTGATTCAACTTCAACTTCAACTTCATGACATGACAAACAGGTAAAAATGCCAAAGCTGGCTTCGCCTTTTCTACACCTTAAGGTTCCAACCTTGAGCACGGCGGGCCGTAGCTTTGCATCTTCACGACTGTGTCGACTTGCCCAAGCGCGACATGGTATCTTGAAAGAGCCTTGGTTACCTCCGCACTCGACCGCACCTCTCCTAACAACATATTTCTCCCCAACTCAAGTACAAAGAGAAATCAACGGACTAGAGACAGGTCCACAGAGAGGCGACCATAAACCGCCAGATGAACGGGTATTGAAACTCGGAAAGAGTGAGTGCGAACAGCAACCTCAAAACGAATCCGTTTTAAACTTGACCATACAGCTCTACGAACACTTTCTCCTCTTCTTCCTACAATATTGTATAATACCCTTCCTGCGAAAATTCTATCTCCGAGCGTCAACCTCCACCTCTTTCCATCGACACACCCACACCTCCCCACTGTCAAAGGACGCACCCTATACCGCGCTGCGCTGTGGACCGTTCCGGTAGCATGGAGCAGTATCCCATTATTAGGGAATGTCAAGCTGCAGATCCTCAGCGAGCGCATCGTGCGCGCAGGCACAGTCCTTGACCCAGAGCGCGCAGAGAATCACGAGTGCGGCGATGAGCGGTTAGTCGTACGATGGAAAACTGAGCCTCGAACCGACAGCCTGCCATTCCACGACTCACAAAGGGAGGCTTTTACCGGGAGACGACAAAACAATCCGAGTTCCACGCAAACCTCTGTGGGCGCAAGAACGACTCAGCCGTCACCCACACATGGCGATGCATCATCACCCTCGAAGAGCAGCGCAAATAAGGGACTGAGTGTATTGCTTGGCGGCGAGGAGCCGATCTTCAAGCTCTCCAAAGAAGAGCAATTTACCGGGTTATTCATTTTCTCGTTTGACGAGGAAGGGCGTATCTTGACGCATACGATTGAACATGCCGACGAGGCGAATGGATGGGATCGCACCGCTAAGTTTGTGACATTAACAGACTGGTTGATTGGCAAGGCGCGCGGATCGCTGGATCCGATACCCAATCCTGGACTAATTATGGAGTCTTGCGAGGATTATCGGCGACGACTTGAGTCCTCTTAATTGGCATTAACAAGTCCATTAATCTTTCATGATTTCTCTGGCAGGTCCTCGGGAGATCTTACTAACATCACCACTCTTACCCTACTTGTAATATATATACAGTACCCATGTCAAAGAGGCACGAGTATGATAAACCCCACTCCTTGCATGCAATTTTAGAGATATACATAAAGAGAAGTCATTCATAGCCACCCAAATGCAAACAAAATACAGTCATTCTGCCACACGACCAGCGAGCGAAGCAGAACACAGAAGAATAATTCCCCTCACTCCGTCTTCGAATGAACAACGGGCGACTTCAAGAAACCAAAGACTCCAACAGCCACAACGCACATGGCAATACCACCAACGGTGTATGCGGCCTCACGACCAGCCCACCAAAACAAGGAGCAGAAAAGGATAGGCCCGGTAGCCCGTCCCGCCTGACCCCACCCACGAAGACGGCCCATGACAGCACCGCGGTTAGCATCCCTAGCCTCGAAACTACCCAAGCTGTTAAGGCCTGTTACAACGGTGGCCGTCGTCACAGCAAGCAATGCACCAGCAGCATAAAGGCCTGCGACAGACGAGATATGCGCGAGGCAGAAAAAGGACAAAGCACAAGCTACCACACCAGCCCGGACCGTGACCAGCGGAGGCAGACGGCGGACGAGAGTACCCTGGAGAAGGGAAGCAATAAGACCCATCATGGAAAGGAGACGTCCATTCAGGGCCGCGGGGCTGGCCGTGGTGGTTTCAGCGTAGAGCGTAGCAGTCAAGAAGGGAAGAGAAAACTCCAATCCTGAGAATGGTAACAGGAAGAGGAAATGGATAGCATTGAGGATGGCTGGTTGATTGGTATGCGGTCTCTGAGCGGAAGAGTCCTTCTTCGCGTCCTTCTTCGCGTCCTTCTTCACTTTAGAATCCTCATTCCCAGTCTCGGTCTCGGTCTCAGTCTCAGTGTTGATCTCCTGCTCGAGAGTGGTGAGTCGCGGATGCGTCTCAGGCAGACAAGCCCAGATGTAGAAAGTCTCCAAGGCGATCAACAAAAGCGACATCAAAGCTGCACTAATAAAGGGATTCGCAGCAACGATCTCAATAGAGCTCAGACCGGCACCGAGCAACGGACCGAACGTAAAAGCCACGCTAAAACAAGCGCCAACCAGAGCCATGGACGCGCCACGATGCGCTTCATCAGTAATATCCGCCACAATAGCATTGGCCAATTGCACATTTGCTTCACTGAGGCCTCCGACAACACGACTCGCCAAAAAAGTACGGAAATCCGTCGCGGAGACCCAGAGTGTCACGCTGAGAAGGTTGCCAATCATTGCCCAAAGCAATGTGCGGCGACGACCATGTTTATCCGACAGGTGACCAATTACTGGGGCGACAACGGCCTGAAGTAGGGAGAAGAGGGAACCGAGGGCTCCGCCAAGGAGAACGATATCATAGCGCGAGTCGATGGGGCGGGCGAAGGAATTCTTGTAGGCATTTAAGTAGTGGAAGATGCGATTGAGAAGAGAGTTTGGAGATGGATCTTGGGCGCGATAGAAGGATAATAGCGATGGGAAAAGTGGTAGAATGAATGTAAAGGAGATCTGGTCTGATTGTTAGAAACGTGGGATGATAAGTAACAATACTTACAAGATCTAGCAACAACGAGGTCATCAAGACTTTGAGAACTTGTTTACGTTGGGCGCCAGCGATAGCCATGATTGTATGTTTGTAGCTGGCGCACCATAGGAGTAAAGAATTGAAGTAAAAGGGTGTGAAGGAGGGAAGGAGTGAAAGTGGGAAGAAGCTTGAAACAAGGTGATGGAAGGGTAAAGTGGAGTATGGTGGAGCTGACTACTATTGGGTTTCATTTATGTTATCAGATCTGCCTCAATCCCCTCATTAGCATACAGAAATTGGGAAATATGCAACGCTCGAAATCAAAAGATAAATATGGAGGAGCTTTTTACACTCCCAGAAGAAAATTCGTTGCGTTCGTCATACATCACACCAACTGAGAGACGGTGGAAAAGCGAACCGCACATGTCCATACCTCCTTGATCATTGACCATCTGCAGGTCCACTGGCGCTAGCGCTGGCACCGCCACCGCGTTTTCCACGTCGGCCACCACGAGGCCGGTCACCAGCACCGCGGTTCTCACCAGCAGCACGGCTCTCACCACCACCACCACCACCACCACCACGGCTCTCACCACCAGCACCACGGCTTTCACCAGCACCACGGCTCTCACCACCACCACGGCCACGACGCGATCCATCACCACGACTGCGTCCATGGCGGTGACGGCTTCGACCAGAACCCTTGGCACCATCGGCAGCTTTAATTTCGGTATCGGCAGGAGTGGCTTGGAGGCCAGTCTCGGTCTCTGCGGGGTCACGAGGAACCTTTACCCACTCATCATTCGTTGGGGATGAAGTAGAGTCGGCCACCTGATTCGCTCCCCCAGCAGTCGAACTCTGGGCTGGAGGAACTACCTGGTCGGGCTGAGTTGTGGTCTTCTCTTGAGCGGCGACTTGGGTGCTAATGGAAGTATCCTGAAGTTCGGTCAAGCCAGCATTGGCGAGGGTTGGGTCTGAGGTAGGAGCAGTTTCGGTAGATTGTTCGGATTCCTCGGTGGGGACGAGACGGTTGGATTCCCTCTTCACGTCGCCATCTAGAAATGCATTAGCTAGAAAAGCCAAAGCTCCACAGATAGCAAAATCACTCACAGGTCAAACCCAAGAATTCACCCTCAAGACCCAAAACTGGCTCATCCACACCTTCAATGAGCTTTAACATCGCCTTGACCGCATCCTTGTTTCCAGCGTATACGTGGTAGAGGACGGCCTCAAAGGCAATGCCCTCGGCGGACTGGTCCTCAGCACGGCGCATATGCGCCGCGGCGGAGAGGAACTTACCCAGGTGAAGTAAGTTCTCGTGCATCACGCGTGAATTAGTCTCAGTGGCATCAGCCAGAGCATTTGCGCGCACCGCTGCCAGCTCCTCCTGATGGATCTTATCCAGAGCTGCCTTCTGCTGGTCCAAAGCCGCCTTCTGGCTGGCAATCTTCTCCTCGTATTGGGAAGCAAACTCCCTATAGTGACCGATTTGTTCTTCAATCTGTGTAACGGCAGCCTGGAGGGAAGGCTTCTTCAGCGCTTGAGCTTTCTGGTCCGCATTGATCTTCTTCTCCGCCACGAGGTCATCCAGAGACTTTCCAGGGTGCTCAGCGAGGATGCTATCCAGTTTGGCGGTGGCATTCTATTTAGATTGAAGCATACTTAGCGACGATGGTCCAAATATCAGGGAATAATTAGAAATTAACGTACCAACTTCTTCACCGCGTTGCGCAGGCTCCTGGACGCATTTTGTTAGCTCCTGAGGGGTAAAGAACGAGATTAAATACGTACTTCTGGAGCTCCCTGAGGTAAACGGGCTCCGAGTCATTCACTTCTGTGGGACTTTGAGGGCTTTGAGGTTCTTGAGAGATGCTTGAAGCTTGAGCGTGTCTCTTGCTCTTAGCGTGGGGTTTGTGGGAAGTAGCCATGATAGAAAAATGGTGGCACAGTGAAAATGAAGACGAGTAAATTAGAAAAATAAGTGCGTTGCAATAGGAGAAATTCAGAATTCCAAGTAATGGGAAAGTGAAGAGTACGAAGAAGAATGGAGATGCGGGTGGAACTTCCACCGTGGAAGTCGCCCGAAGCTTTTCCTGATCGGTACAGCCCACATCAATCACTTTAGCACTTACATCCACACTTTCTACATACACATAGAATTGAATATATACTTAGGTCACTGCAGGAATCCAAATAATAAATGAAATATCTCAATTGCCCGGGTATCAAAATCCTTTAACGCCAATGCGCCATCGTGACAAGCACAGCTCAAGCATAGGCACAAGCACAAGAACACACATCAATCAATATCATCTGACATAGCTTGCGATTAAGTGTATAGTGTCATCATGGAAGCAAAAGAGCCCCAAATTGAGCCCCAATCATCCTTGGAATTTGCGTAATGACTTCTACATGCGACCAGGCTTGTCAGTATGTGGGACGCGGCCATTGGCACTACCGGTTATACCACGGATCCGGATCGGATTCATAACGCACCTCAGTAACCTTGCGGATGGAGTTCGCTGAGATATTCTTTTCACCGGACTTGCGCGATCGGATGGAGGCCTCTCGCATTAATCTGCTGGTATTATTAGCGCCACTGAAGACAGCCTGGAGGATGTATAGGTTGCGATTCGAAGAGTGAGGGTCAAAGTAGGTAGGATGAGGTCGTACTCTTGCATGAACAGCATGTAGTCTAAAAAGATCTGTAAACCAGTCGAGGCATTAGTGACGTCCCAGTCGCATGCGTTGGGTTGGGTTGAAACTTACCAGAATATCAGCATTCTTGCTCACACTCTTGTTAGAGTGCGCCTTAACAATACGTTTAACAGTCCCACGTGGGTAGAGCTTCTGTGTGGCAGCCATTGCGCATTTGCAAATGATATGACGAAGGGAGGGAACGCGGGCACTGTTTACGGGTGGAGTGGTTAATGCTTGGATTATGTAACCCTTATCTATATTTAATTACATCAACGCATTAATGGGCTTCTCTGACTAACTAACTTAGTTAACTTCATTTTATTACATAAGGTAAAATTAGATGCGTTGATATTTCTACAAATATTTCCATGTCTCATGAACGTCTCCGAAGAAGTCGCCAGGCAGCGAAAACAGCCGCCGATCCCAGGGTCATCCGCCAGGCAAGAAATACATAGATCGCCACCCGTAATCGATCATAGTAGCCTTGTAACATGATACCTACTGCATAGGAGGTTCCGTCGACAGCCCGATCAGTAGGCCCGTAATAGCGCCCGACCCCTAGACCACCAATTCCGACCTCATTGTGGTCATGAGTAGCCTCGGGGGTAACAGCTAAGGCGGCTGTTCCACTGTCGGATGCGGTATCACTGGGGCGAGCCCCTAGCTTGACCTTTTGCTTGTTGCGCTTTCGCAGATTATAGGTCAGGATGCTAACGATCAGTCGGAGATCTGGAACCGTGAAAGTCGGATACTTCCACATCTGCACAGCTGTGTTGGGAGGAAGCATGTCCAGGAAATCGGCCAAGATGCCGAGGGTCAGACCCCAGAGCAGGAGTGGACGATCCGCCTCACCCGAGTCTGCTTGGTTGCTGAGACACCATGATTTCACCTTTTGTATGAAGGAAGGCTGGATATTCTCCTCGGGAACAAACCCGGGAATTGAGGTGCACCGCAGGGTTTCTGATGGAAGCAGTCGAACTGCGGAGAACTGCATAAAGCCCATCAGAGACCGAACGGCTATTCGGGTGAGAAACCCGCTTTGTTTAGCAAACCGTTGCGACATATCCACATACTCCACAGTACGGAGAGAAGATGATAGAAGTGCTCTGAGGGGGATCCAATGTGTTGATGCCACCTCGGTAGGCTGTAATTTGAGGATCGGGGAGTCGCTCCGAGTGGTGAGAAATACAAAAGGACATAGAACCATCAGTCTAGGGGTATAATGATCAGCTTTCTTCATTTCACGTTAACAGCAATTCCCATAGCACATACGGTTGCGACCCCCAGCTGGTCGTCACCACTCTTTCAGGAAGATTCCCCACGTGAATGCAGTCATCTGTAGTCAGGTCCAGCCCAATTTCCTCTGATGCTTCTCTGATGGCTGCTGCGAGATCATCTTCATCCTCCGGGTCTCGTTTTCCTCCAGGTAACGCGACATGACCGGTCCATCGGTCGCCGACTCGCGTCGCGCGCTTGATAAAGAGAGCCTCCGGGTCACCATGTTGGACCCACGGCTGGGCAAAAAATTCGTCTAGTCTTTCTTCCACGCCCAATGATGGGTCCCCGATCGAAGGCGAGGTCGGCCAGTGATCATAGGTCGGGCGAACCCGGATAATTAGGGCGACGGAGGCACGTTTTTTGCAACCTGATGGATTGGGAACATGGGGATAAGGGCGTTGGTGAAGCTCTGACAATATATTATGCAGGGAAAGAGAAAGCCCTGGCTGTGGAGAAGAGGCGTCCATTGGTCCAATGTCAATCGAAATATATACAATTTGGGCACAATAGGGACTCGTCGTAGCCATGCGGCAGGAGCCCCGGTCATTACTATTCGTACTAGGCCCTATATAGACTAGTGTAAACGACGGGTAAGAAGTGGATTAAATTACGTAAAGTTATATAATACGGATTAATTAAGCTACTTCTCTACTTGTCGGGCTATAGTTGATCCTAGAGCTTGCCATTCATTTACTCTGATTGGTTAATTTCTCAATGCGGCAAGTCAATGAGAGCCACAGAGAGACGCACGTGCGTGCTAAAGCTATTGACACTAATCACTTGGAGACACTAACTTGAGGCACTAATTCTTTTTCTCTAGTGCTTTGCGCATCCGGGAAAAAAAAAGTTCCAGAGATTGAGAGAAAAGCTTTTCCACAATCAGTCCTGCTGATTCACATGGTGGCCGCCTCTTACGCCCTTCTCTCGCTCTCATCCCGCTTCTCTTCATCTCTCCCCGCCACTAGATACCAATCTGAGAACAGCCTTTCGGGCCCGAACCAACCCCACTGAGACACTATGCGGTTTGGGAAGACCCTCAAGAACTCGGTTTACCCGCCGTGGAAGGGCAAGTACATTGACTACAACAAGCTCAAGGCCCTGTTGCGCGAGAATGATGTCACTGGCGAGGACGCCAGCGACTCCGATGACAGCCTGTGGACTGAACAGGATGAGGAAACATTTGTGCAGGAATTGCTGAATGTACAGCTGGACAAGGTCAATTCCTTCCAAGCGGAGACCTCGAAGCAGCTCCGTGAGCGTACATCAGCCATTGAGGCCAAGCTGCGCCCATTGGCTCCGTCTGGAGAGCAGGAGGCTCTCATCCCCGATCTACAGGAGAAGCGCAGACTGGCGACAGAGGCTCTCGAGGAACTAGACGGCATCACCAAGGAGGTCAGTGAATTGGAAAAGTACAGCCGCATCAACTTCACCGGTTTCCTCAAGGCCGCCAAAAAGCATGACCGCAAGCGTGGTACTCAGTACCGCGTCAAACCATTGTTGCAGGTTCGCTTATCGCAGCTTCCCTTCAATTCAGAGGACTATTCGCCTTTAGTCCACCGTCTGTCGGTGATGTACTCCTTTGTCCGTGAAACTCTGACCGAGGACGTCGTTCAACCTTTGAAGGAGCCTGAGCGTGGCTTTGGTCGCGATGTCTATTCTTCTTACAAGTTCTGGGTTCACGCAGACAACATTCTGGAGGTGAAGACATATATTCTCCGCCGTCTACCTGTCCTGATCTACAATCCGGGAACCTCAAAGAATGCGGACACCCTCGACGACCCCACCATCACCTCTCTCTACTTCGATAACCCACAGTTTGACCTCTACAACCAGAAGGTCGCCCGTGCATCCGAGGCTGGATCCCTGCGGTTGCGCTGGACTGGACAGCTGAAGGATAAGCCGTCTATCTACCTGGAGAAGAAGATTGTGACCGACTCTGACAGCAGTCGGGAAGTTAAAGTGCAGCTCAAGGAAAAGCACATCAAGGAGTTCCTGGATGGCGAGTATCACTTGGACAAGAAGGTTCATCGGATGGAGGATATGCACAATGGAGAATCTTCGGAAGCAGAATCTCTCAAGAAGGACGTCGAAGAGTTGCAGTCGTTCATCAAGGAGAACAACCTGCAGCCCATGGTGCGGGCCAACTACACACGTACAGCCTTCCAAATCCCCGGCGATGACCGCGTTCGAATTTCCATGGATACCAACCTCGCCATGATCCGTGAAGACTGCCTTGACCCTGAGCGTCCCTGTCGAGACCCCTCCGAGTGGCACCGTGTCGACCTCGATGATAGCGAAATGTCATACCCATTCAGTAGCATCCGAACCGGTGAGATTGTTCGTTTCCCCCATGCTTTGCTGGAAATCAAGCTACGTGGGAAAGCCCACCAGGCGGAGTGGGTGAATGATCTCATGGCTTCGCATCTTGTCAAAGACGCACCCCGTTTCTCCAAGTTCGTCCACGGCACGGCCCAATTGTTCGAGGATTATGTCAACAGTTTTCCGTTCTGGCTGGGTGAGCTCGAGAGTGACATTCGTCGTGATCCCGAGACTGCGTTCTACGAGGAACAAGAACGGTTGGCGAGACGCAATGAGGAGGACATCGCAGTCGGCAGTTTCCTTGGTGGCGCAGGTAGCCCAAGTGCCAATGCACTGGCTGGATCTCCTTTCAGTCGATGGAGCGAACCCAGGCATCACTGGGCGTTGCGTAGGCCTTCTGGATTCAGCGAAGTGCCGGCAACCCGCCGTCTCTCCCACGTTGAGCCCCAGCGCCGCGAGGTGGTACCCCAACCCCCTGCCGAAGCAATTCAAGAGCCCGAGGACGAACCTTCTAGGCTCACTTCCATTCTAAAATCACTTGGTATCTCGAAGTCAAACTGGACTCGGCCAGAGAACGTTCCCCTGCCTCCTGGAGTGCGGGATCCTGGCATTTGGATCAAAGACACTGGTCCCGTCCGTGTGGAAAGTAAGGTGTGGCTGGCTAACCAGCGAACCTTCATCAAGTGGTTGCATATCAGTATCCTGTTGTCAAGTTTGTCACTGGGTCTTTATAACGCTGCTGGCAAGCACAACAAAATCGCCCAGGCACTGGCCGTTGTATACACATTCTTTGCCCTGTTTTCCGCTGCCTGGGGCTGGTACATGTATGAGAAGCGCTCCCGACTCATCCGCCAACGGAGCGGCAAGGACTTGGACAACTTGTTTGGCCCTCTTGTCGTATGCATTGGTCTCGCTGTTGCTCTCGTCCTTAACTTTGCCTTCAAGGTAAGACTCTTAATTTCATTGTTGAATGATCATTTTGCTGACAATACTAATAGTACAAATCTGTGCTTGAGCAAGCCCGGAACAATGATCCCTCACATGGAGTCCCTGTTCACAACAACTCATCTGCACTGTTCACTGAGCAAGTCCCATGGAATGTTGGTAATCAGGCACAACAAATTCTTTAAGTGGATGAGATGTCTCATGAGTTAGTCCTTCGGGAAATTTTCGAGCTGGTTAGGTCACAGTGCCCTTGTATATGAACTCTTCAGTCATGCACGACACGACATATTTGGGACATTTTTTTCTTGGCGCATTCGTGGATTTGTATTTTATCATGGATAGCCTGCATAAATTGCATCAACTTCATACTTTTTCAACGCAATTCAAATTAAGTTAAATCTATTGATAAAGTATACTTTGTTAAGAATCCAGAAACGAGGGGAAGGAAGAGGAAAATGATAGTAAATTATTAGTCAACTGGATTTCGCTGACAAATTGAGTTAGGATCCGCGTTAACTTATAGTTACACTAGTCTTTATCTCCCGTTCCCCCTCATACAGCAGAGCATTTGACAACAGAAATCATGACAAATTTCAAGATCCAAATCATCTCCGACAGCGTCTGTCCCGTACGTAATCTCAAAATATATCCTCTAGGCCTATATCAGACTAATCAAACCCAGTGGTGCTATGTCGGCTACCGACGCCTTTCCCGCGCAATTAACATCCACAAAGCCAACAACCCAGCTGACACATTCACTCTCAACTGGCGCGCATTCTACCTAAACCCAAACTCACCAATATTCCCTGGTATCAACAAGAAAGACTGGTACGTGGAGAAGTTCGGGGCAGAGCGCTTCAAGGCTATGTTCGCACGACTATCAGCCGCGGGCGAGGCCGATGGGATTGCATTTAATTTTGGAGGGAATACGGGATCGACGCGGGATTCCCATCGTGTTATTTGGTATGCTGGTGAAGAGGAGCTTAAAGGTACTCAAGCAGCAGGTACAGGGACGGGTGTTGGCGGATTGCAGACCCGGGTCGTGGAGAACCTGTTCCGAGCTTACTTTGAGGAGGAGAAGAATATTACGGATGTGAAGATTTTAATTGAGGCGGCTGTTCAAGCTGGGCTGGATGGTGGGGAGGTTACTAAGTTGCTTGAGTCTGGTGATGGGGCGGAGCATGTTGATGCGGAGGCGTTCGCGGCGTCTAGGAGGTTGGTCTCTGGGGTTCCGCATTTTACAGTGCAGGGGAAATATGTGGTTGAAGGGGCGGATGAACCAGAGACATTCTTGAATATTTTTGAGCAAGTGAAGCAGGATGAGTAAAGAGATAAATATACAATGAATAATGGTTATGGCTTAGCAGCATACATCATTGCAAATTTTGATGAATGATTGATTCATTGAAAGAACAAAAACATCAGTACATCGTATCGAGGCAAGCAAAAGCTACCAAAGCACAATTCCCAGTCAACTCAATGTCGATATGCAAGTGGGTATCTCGAGGTCTAACGAAAGAAGCTCGTTTAGTCGAAGCCATAGTGAGCTCATCGAGTCATCGCTTCCGCTGAACGCCGAATTTATGCAAAGACAACGAGCAACATGGGTTGGAAAAAATCACCGAATTCCTGCATGCAATAGCCTGTAATGTAACCCATGAAAACAGAAAGCAACGGACAAAAGGGCTGCAAATTCGAAACACAATACAACGCGATAGAGCGAGGAAAAGAATACAATGCCTACCAGAATAACGGAAAGGCAAAAGTACAAGACATGGAGCAATGGGTCAGAATATTGATATGGGAATATTAGCCGAGTCGAGGTCATCTTGAAGTTGAATAGAAAGATTGTCATCACAGTTCATAGCGAATCATGAGAGTAGGATCGACAAGGGCTTCAGAATGCGATGCTTGCTTGGCGGTCATGTCCGGTGACCTGCTTCAATTGGTAACCAGGAACAAAGTCAAACCACTCGGATTCAGGGTTGTAACGGTAAGCCCTGAAGTCAACACCGTAAGGCTTGGGCTCCAACATGTAGAGCACGCCCATCTCAACATCCAGATTGGCGACCTGGTCACGTTGCAGACCCTGGAAGTAAGAAAGGAGTACACGGGCAGTAGATCGGTGGCTAACCAGTAGAACGTGATCAGTAGTACGCTCAACCTCGACAATGACGGCCCGCAAGCGGTTAATAATGTCGAGGTAACCTTCTCCACCAGGTCCGGGGTATCGGTAAAAAAGCTTATCCTTCTTGCGGTGAGCATATTCCTCGGGGAACTTCTCCTGAATCTCCTTATAGGTCATGCCCTCCATCCTTCCAGAGTGAAGTTCATCAAGCATACGCATTTGCTTGACGTCATACTCTTCTTCATTGAAGTAGTCGACTGTTTGGACGGCCCGCTTCATCATCGATGACCACACACAGAAATTTCGGGGCTGGTCATGAGGGATATAAGAAGGATTCGGGGGAGTGCTGTCACCCGGACGAGGTGGGAAGTGCTTCAGCAAGTCCTTCTGGCGCTGATATAGCTCCCACTTTTCCCGCTGGGAATTGATGAATCTAGTCAAGGCCCTGGCGTATCGCTGACCATTCTCGCTGAGGCCAGAATCTCCACCAATTCGACCGGCCTGGTCATCCAGGCTTTCGCCATGTCGCGTGATCCAAATTTGGCGTGGAGAGAGGTTAAAGTTGAGAAGATAGTAGACAACCTGTGATGACAGGAAACCATGCGTTTGATGGGCGACAACCTTGCGACCAACATCAATCATTTGGATAAATGCCATGCCCATTTTCTCCTCGTATTCGCCTAGGGGAACATACGACTTCTCGTAGAGAGCCACACGCCTCTTGAAATCCTCCAGTGACTTTTCCGGGTCTTGGCCCTTGTAGTCAGGTCCAGACAGCTTCAGGCGCATATTGGCCTCGAGCAAAGTCTGGTCCACACAGCTGCTTTCAAGGAACAAGATGTTCAATTCTGGGCCAGCCCGTTTCCGAATATGATCAACGACAGCCTTGCGACGCTCCATGGTACTGTTAGTCGCATCGAGAATGCCGACGCTGCCGCCTTCATCCAAAATGTAGTCGAGAAGCTCATCAAGAGTGTCGAGGGCGACTCGCTCCCGAAGCTTGACAGCGTCTTGATTCTGCGGGTCAAAGAAATTCGCAGTCTGGTCCATTGGTTCTGGAGAAGCTTCTGTGGTGGCCTCGTCCTGGATTGACTGGCCAGGGCTCGCATCAATTGACGGAATTACCGTGCCTCCATTCTGCGAGACAGAAGGTTCGACATCCTTGCCGTTTACAAGGATCTTAGTAGGAACAGCTGGGGGTGGAAGAGGGGCTTCCTCCGGCGGAGAGTATTCGCCTTGATTGTGTTTTCCGACGCTCACACTCAGGCGGCGCACCGAGTCGACGAGGTCCCGGTGGACATTCTTCGGGCCCTTTTCTGCGGTTCGAGGGGCCGGTGTGGGAGACCTGCCAGCTGCAACACGACGACGTGCACCAACGTTGAAGATATGTGTGTCATGCTGAAGCCAGTTCAAGTAGCGGGCAAGTTTCTTGGTGATGTAACTCTTGCCACGGGCGGGGAGGCCGACCATAACGATGACCAGCTTTGCACCGACATCGCGTTGAGCAATTCGGCCATCTGGAGAGACCTTGGACTTGGTCAGGCCGGGAATATCAAGAGTGGTGGCTCGGACTCTACTGCTCGGGGTGCCTGGTTGTGTACGACCCGATCTGCAGGCAGAAAAAAGCGTTAGCCCAGAATTTAAGCCTATTGAAATCGAAGGATCACACAACAAGTGAATGCGGCTCAGCCACAAGGGGGGAGGGGGTCCAAAGCACGCGAGCGTGCATCAAGCTCCTTCCCTCATTCCCATAGGGCGGGATAGACTTGACCGCACATTGCAGTGTCGATCAAGCCGATATGTCCTCGTTCATAGGCTGGGGATCGGAATATTCAAACAACAAGGTTCTGGGGGTCTGGGGTATTCGACGACTCAGAGGCAGAGGACTTACATCTGTGGAGACGGCGGTGCGGTAGAAATCGGAGTGTCAGTCAAGGCGGTTCCGACTCCGCCCTTGGGCGCCTGTGATGCCTTGTGGACATCGGAATGCAAGTCATTTCCTAGCGCTCTCCCGACCACAGTTTTCGGAAGCATCACTGCTCCTTCTTTACCCGAGCCAGGGCTAGATCCATTTGAGATGCCGTTGAGTCGATGGTTCATATTCCTTTGATCCCCCCGGGATGAAGGGTCTGAAGTGGCGGACGACATGATTGCCGACCGTGCAATATCGGAATGTTGCGCCATCCCCGGTAAGGAGGGCCTTTTCCGGAGAAGCAAGCTTTCGATATCTGAAAAGGTTCCTTTTCAATAACAAAAAAGGATCGTTTCTTGATGAACAGGATCTGATGAAAGCCCTGTTGAGAGACAAAGAGGGGGAGAAAAACAGTTAAGGCGGGAGCGGATGACTCAACTCCGGGGCCAAAACGTCACTTTTCCTAATATTCCAGCAGTCAATATGGTCAAAGACTTGTCAAATTTTGACCTTTTCGATGTTCTTCTTTGCTCTGTGCGGTGGAGATGGAGGGGAAATATCAAAAGTCGAATGATCAAAAGTCGAATGGATTTGAAATCCTCTGTACGGAGTGATAACCCAAGACCTATACACTTCAAATAAGTCAAGGATTCTATTTTTGTTACTCGTGTACAAAGATATGACAAGATATATTATAAGGGAAAGGTCGAAGCAGCCACAGTCGGATGAATGAAATCACCAGGCAGCTTAAGATGATGATAGAGTCCACTCTGGGTGGGGATCATTGGGGCTTCAAGACTCACGGAATGATGTCAGGGGCGCAGAGGGGAAAAAAGGTACTGTAGATCATAGATCATAGATCATAGACAAATATGATAGGAAAAGTTGGATTGGGAGGCTCAATCTATATAAAGGTTCCAAAGAACAAGTCTCCAGACGTTATCTAACCTAGAATGCTTGGCTCAAGACATCTCCAGGCCAAATCATTATGGTGGAGCAAAATCACCATGGCACCATCCCTGTGCTGATATGATACAGTATGACTGGTCTAATCAAAAGAATCCACACCAGTTCCCACGGTCAAGCAATTTCTCGATCCTTCTTGGGAATGCGGCGCTAATTTTAGCTCTAAAATGCAACAGATAAGGCCGTCTAGTTGAGATCTGAAAATAATCAGGCCAGCAGCCGAGTTCAAACCCGGCGTGTCCGGTGTTGGGGCGGCGTTGTGCAACTGCGCGTCTCCGCTCGGGCAGAGTCCTCCCTTTCCCCATGAGCATACTCGGCTTACTTGGCAGTTCCCGGGCCTCAGTGCTGCAGATTGATTTCCGACCAACCGTATGCTCTGGTTGCTCCACGGTGATCGTCCCGCTGCCGGTCCCCGGCACTCCCGGCAGGTGATAAGTTATCTCGGCGGTGACACAGAATCCTTAGCGCTTGGCGGTCACGCAGGGGGCAACACACATTGCCCAAGGATCAGGTAGTTGGAATATTTTGGATAGGGAGTGAATGCTCCCACATCCCTAGGATGCCTCCGTTATCAGTTTTGCAGAGTAAGTGTCAGACCGATCAAGCACACGTATGCCGCAATACTCAATGCGGTCAAGACCACCACTGCATTTCCGCTGGTACGGAATTTGTGACGATGGATACCATCCTCCCCGATCTCCGAAAAGAACTGGCGGTTTCCCTGGGAGCGGCGAAATAGTCCAATCATCAGGACCCCAGTGCCGTAAATCGCGAATAGCGCGCCGATACTGTAGAATTCGGCGGTGAAGATCTTGAGCACGACGAGAGCAAAGGAGAACTGGGAGAGGGCGGTTCGAACATATGCGCCTTCAAAGGTTCGCTGGGCTGCGCGCACCTCGACAATTTCATCTGAAGTTAGCACTGCCGAGCGGGCGCGGTGCATTCGAAGGTGGTATCGATCCGCGGCTCGACGCTATTTGGTGGGGTCAGCTAGGGCCCAGGACAAGGAGACTGGGGGTTCTTGGGACTCGAAACATAATCAAAGCTCACCTCGAACATATCGTCTACTCCTAGGGTCTTTCAAAATAGTGCAGTAGTAATATTTGGGAGGAGAAGAGTGAAGAGTTGCGCTCGTGACCAGGTACACATTATGTCACCAAAGACCAAAGTAAGCCCAAATGCCAGTTCACGTGGATGCTTATTTAATCAATGCAAACCAATGCAAAATCCTAGAATTATTCAACTTGACTTGACTTGACTTGACTTCTCTTATATTTTGAATTGTTTCGAGTCGAATGGATACCTAGGTATCTCTCTATTTGTTTCATGAACTCAGTTCAGTTTCGAGTATTGGTTTAATACTCCACCAATCTTCCATGGAATACCCTGATCCCGTTGATTCCCCACTTATGACGTGAAAGGGGTCCAAGGGTCCAGGAGTCCAGGTTCAGGGCTGACAGGATTTATGAAGTAAAACAGATCTCGGCCTCGGGCCTCCAGATCTCATCGCATCTCGCTTTCGCTTTCGATATTCCGACTCGATTGAGACACTTTATACTTTCCGAGTAACACCTGATTGGATATTCGATACGAATGCGAGGGATCGCCACCACAATGCAGATCTTATTTACTCCAGGCCAATGACTACAGTACTGTTTTGATAATTAGGGACACCTGCGAGATAATGTAGTAGCTTTTCCGCCTAGGGCTGATGTGGGTGGCTCACGTGTGAATTACTCGATATTTCAAACCCCCTTTCTTCAATCTTGCTCCATCAGCATGGCTTCGAGCTTTCTTCAATGTCTGCTTCAAAGCCCTGGCTGGGTGGCAGCTACACTATGCACCATCGTAAGTTTGAATACCTATTCATTCAAACCTAACAGCCATAATAATTCTACTCCAGGTCCTGGTTCATGCCGTTGGGAGAGCAATTTATAATGTCTTCTTTCACCCCCTTCGGTCCTTTCCTGGGCCAATATTGCACCGCATGTCCCGCATTCCGTATTGCTGGAAGTTGTTAAGGGGCACTATCCCGTATGATGTGCTTCATTTTCACGAGAGGTACGGTGATATTGTACGCGTTGCCCCAGATGAGCTAGCATTCTCCAACGCCACTGCATGGAAAGAGATCATGGGTCATCGCCCAGGCATCGAAGAGTTTGGGAAGCTGAAAAACTTCTACCGACCGGTTAAAACCACCCCGGTGAACATTGTCAATGCCCAGCGCGAGGAACACAGTGTTCTGAGGCGCCAGCTCGCGCATGGATTTTCTGAAAAGTCGATGCGAGAACAAGAGCCCCTCATCCAGGTGTACATTGATCTCCTCATTCAGCGCCTCTATGGTAATTGCGCCGCCGGGGCAAAGGCGATCGATCTTACTGCGTGGTACAATTGGGCGACCTTTGATATTATTGGAGATCTTGCCTTTGGAGAACCATTTGGTTGCCTTCAGAATTCAGAGTATCATCCTTATGTCCATCTTATACTTGCATCTGCTCGTGCGGGAACGATTTTCCAATCCATCAGGTTCTATCCGATCCTCAACATGCTTTTCAAGGCACTGATCCCCAAATCTTTATTCTCGCAATTTGTACGACAAGCTAAGCTGTCCATGGAAAAATTGCAAAGAAGAATGAAGCTTGGCAATCACCGGCCTGATCTAATTGAAGGGTTATTGCGGAAAAAGGACGAGCTGGTTAGTCTGGTACCTGAACCTTGAATGTTCCTGTGACTGACGGATAAATAGAACCTCAGTCTTGAGAATCTTCAGTCGAATGGCAACATTTTGATTATTGGGGGCTCTGAGACAACTGCCACCCTTCTGGCGGGGGCAACTTATCTTTTGCTATCGAACCCCGTAGCTCTTCAAAGGCTGACGGCAGAAGTTCGGTCCACTTTCAAGAATGAAAAAGAAATCACCATGACCTCGGTCAATCAGCTAACCTACATGCTGGCATGCTTGAATGAAGCTTTGCGGATTTATCCACCCGTTCCGACTGGTTTGCCTCGCGTTGCTCCTACCGGAGGGCGTACTGTCCTTGGTCGGTTTGTGCCTCAGGGTGTAAGTACCATAGACCATGTTTTGGGATACAGATTACTGATAAGAACATAGACAATTGTTGCGCTACACCACTGGGCATTGTATCATAACGAGAAACATTTTACAGACCCGAACTCCTATCATCCAGAACGCTTTTTAGGAGATCCTCGGTATGAAAATGACAATTTCGAAATCCTCCAACCGTTCCATGTCGGGCCTCGAAACTGCCTAGGAAGAAAGTAAGTTGATTTGCATCATGCTTTGTTGAGTTTCCGTTGATTTTCATGCTACAGCTTGGCATATGCCGAAATGCGAATGATACTGGCGCGAGTCGTATTCAATTTTGATATGAAGATCGCTGAAGAAAGTAATGGATGGATGGAGAAGCAAAAGATTTATCTGTTCTGGCAGAAAGATCCACTCAATGTGCACTTAACGCCAGTAGATGCACACAGATGATGATAAGTCGTGGTGGTACAGTAATGTTTGAAATCAAATTTACCTCTACACTGTAAGACTTTCTTTTCCGAATCATAGCCCAAAACACCCTAATCCATACATAGTCACTTTGTCAATCCCCTGGTTTTTGCAATAGAACCTGTATTTTACAAGATGTGCTGAGACCTTTCTTGATGTAATCTACACGAAACTCCTATACGCATGATACCACTCACTCTACGCTCATCTCCCTTAGCAAGGATCTTCCTTCATATATGAGTCTTACGCACCACCATACGTTGAGCTTACAATATGGCCCCAAGGCTTCTCCCCTTGAAACTATATCTTATACGCGCGATATTTAGAGCCAGTTACTAACCATAACTCAAATAGCCAAAGGAGCTGAATGCAGCGGGGTCACGATCATAAATATTGCCAAGGAACAGAATATGTGAAGCGTAGGGGTGATTTAGCCGAGATAACAGAGACGATCAAAATCGACCTTGCCGTGATATCATAGCTGGCGCTTTCTAATAGTACCGGAGAAAATATTCATGCAGTTTGACTAAGAGCTTACAGCAACCTTTTTTGGTGCTGTTGTATGCAATAATGATGTAGTGGTATTTGATAAAGACTCATATATGTTTGCTGATATCTACCTCAATTCATGCAGCAAGGAAGTTTTAACAATCTGCAAGAAAGAATCCCCCTCCGCCTTATCGTAGAATGCCTCATTATACACTAAATTCAAACAAAGTTGGTCTCGAAAAGTCCACACATGACACACAGATTGTCTATTGATCATATCCAAGCCGCCCGAGACTCGGTCGATGCGGATTCCTCGCTCTGCAGTTCCCTTTTGTCTCGCCAATAGCTTCTCGCACACGCCGAGGCTGCTGATATCCACATCAGTTGGCGAAGGAGTGTTCTTCGGCAGATTGCGAAGAAGGTTGCATAGCCCGATAGCGTATTCCCGATGCGCCGACATGTATGCATGGCTTAGACCTTTGCGGTACTCGTCATGGTATGCCTTTGCTCGATCTTTCCATGACGACTCGGATGAAACAGGGAACATCCAACCTGTCGTGAAGATTGTGCTGGCATATTGGCGACTAGAGTATGACTTTGGTAGGAACGGGCGTAGACTGTAGCGTATCGTACTTGTATAGTGTTTATGCTGATCGTCAGCAGTAGCAAGCGCATAGTTGGCTCCGGCAATTGACGCATGTACCGCTGCTGTCACTGAGAGCTTCCGAGCCTTGCAACCTTGTACTACGGTCTTTGTCTCTTGCTCACTGAGATGTAGACGGCTAATGCACGTACCACCTGGGGAAGTCTCGTCTAGTGCGCGGCAGGTGATTCCGATGGCCCCAGCGGCATGACCAAAACTTGCAACATACTGCTGGGCTAGTTGCTTATCTTGGCTCTCCGACGTTACAAAACTGGACAGCGCTTCCTCAACACACGGGGCTAAGCGAACAGTCTCTTCACCCCATGGCAGGGAAGAAGTATCTAGAGCAGACTGCGCGGCCAGCTCAAGAAAGTCGTCCATTAGAATCAAGCCTCCGATTCCATCCGTTCTCCAGTGTTGCGAGCGGCCCAATAGCTCACCTGTCTTGGGGAGAAAGGTCATAGTAGCGTATGGAACGCGAGTGGTAGATACGATGACTTCATCGGCCGTCTTGTCCTCTATCACCTGAAAGGTTTCTGCCGCCCATTTCTCAAGCGCCATCAGATCCGGTATATCGTAGACATATTTCGTTTCATCTACAATATAGGCGGCGATCGTGGGATGACTGAAGCGCAAAGCCTTCCATGCCTCACGGAAGCGTAAGGATAGATTTTCCTGGACGAGTGAGCCTAGCGGGGTCACCGAGGCAATGATGTTAACAGCCCAGTGTTCACGATTGAACGGACGAGCGGCATCACCAAGGATCTTGATGAATGTTTCATTCTCGCCGAGTGGACGTTCAAATTGTCGTTCGCTCACTTGAGACCATGTCATGGTAAATTGTTCGCCGACTTAGACCAAATCTTGCCAGGTTGCCTACTTTGTTTGGTCACTTCGCATGGAAGATTAGATCTATTAAATTCCAAAGCAAATTACGGTATTATGACAATGACTCATTCGTCGTTACTAGGGAATACAATACGGTCTGACAGGGATTGCTGGGGAATGGCTTCACTCAGACTAACGTGTCTCAAGCTAGGCTTCGAAAACAAACATCTAAGAGTACAGAGGTAATCTGAATTCAAATAATACTCTACGGAACTCGATATCTTGTATAGATGGAAGATTCCAAAACTACTGAAGTGCTCTAAAAGCTTAGAAAAGGTCAGAAACACAATATTGAATTGGAATCATAGCCTAATCTTTTATACTGGGCAGCAATGCTGTTACAGAATCGGGCAAGGATCACGACCAGGGTAGACCAAGAGGCGGGGTCATACTCTGAGAACTTTTCAAGCCTACTTGTACATAAACAAGTACCTAAAACTGCCCCGAATTTTTTTTTTAAAAAAATCCAACAACCTATGAAAGCAACATTGACTGATCTTGAGCCATCTGAAGAACTTTCACGCTCTTGGATCCCTCTTGATCGCGCCATTAGCACCTCGGCGAGAGACATTCAGCCAAGCTCTGAGCTGAGGATGTTTATTCGGGAAAGAGATTTCCTTATTAATGAGACTTTCATCTGGCTATATCACCTTCACTACTCCATAGAATCCTTTTTGCCTTTATCTCAGTCCCAGAAAGTACGTATAGTGTTTTGACTCTCAGTAAATTTGGTACTTCCCTACGCGAAGTCAATCCCGTAACCGGCATGCAGGTAAAGCGGAACCGGGATTGCATACATCCTTATTTCTTGAACTTCTTTTTCTCCAATAGAGTCCAACCTCAACCCAAACCATTTCGGTTTAACCCCAAATCCATCTTGGCGGGTCTTAAAGACTCCCTTCTCGCCCTAGAATGGCTACCCACTCAATGACAGGTGGCACCACCCTCCTCCTCCTCGACATCCAAAATGGCACAGTCGAGCCCCTCATGTGCACAGAGGAATGGCTCAATCGCCTCTCCACAGTCCTCTCAACGGCACGCAACAACAGAATGAACGTAATTCACGTCGTCACGGCCTTCCGCACAAACTACCCTGAAAACCACCCAAACAATTCCTCCGTCCCCGGCGTTGCAGCACGTGGACTGTTCAAAGAAGGCGACGAAGCAGTCCAAGTCCACAGCTCTGTCACTCCAGCTCCTACAGAAGCAATTGTCACTAAGCGCCGCGTATCTGCTTTCTTCGGTACAGATCTCGATATACTACTCCGTTGCTCGAAAACCGAACACATTGTTGTCGCGGGACTTATTACCAGTGGTGCTGTTTTGTCTACTGTTCGACAAGCGGCGGATCTCGATTACCGTATTACTATCTTGCGGGATTTGTGTATGGATCGTGATGAGGAGGTGCACCGTGTTTTGATGGATAAGGTTTTTAACAGGAAGCATACGGTTGTTACTTCTGATGAATGGTTGTCGGAGCAGAAGTTATCGAAATAAAATTTACTCATACTCACAAAATTTCATGAATCATGTCAATCTTTGGGCGTCTTCTACTTGAATCATTCTCTGTTCCCCAATAAGATAATCTTAATTTTCCACTGGTTCCTGATTCCTGAGGCACCAGTCCTGACTCTCAAGCATCTTCAATGGACTGGATGTACGGCTTGTGAGTTCTTCCTTGGTACTCGAGACCAGTATCCTGAGATAAACGAGGTAATTATGGAGAAGGGGATTAAGCCTGTTGAACAGCACAATTCCTCTAAGTTTTGTGTTCGGATAACAGAGGCTTTGCTTGACAGAATGTGGTTTGATTATACACATTTCATCTATGTACAGAGAATCTTGAATCGTGACTTCTTCCATCTAATTTACAGCTTCACCTGGTTCCGATCCTGGGATCCGGAGCAGCATGTCGGCTCGGGGTGCTCGGTAGACTTGTTGAACGACTGCGAAGACTGGGGAACATCCAAAGCAGGGTTCTTAGTGAAGAAACCATCTGGCTTCAGCATAACGCTAACACGCTCCATGGGCATGACTGGGAAATCCTCAATGCGAGGATTGTGAGTAAGGCCAAATGCTAGAGAATGTAAGCGGCGGACATCAACCAGAAGGCAGAATCAAACTTACTATGCCATAAAACGACATCTTCATTCTCGACAGCATCGTTTCTACCAGCCCAGACCTCCACACCGTCGGAGCTCTTACTCTGATTTGTGAATTCACCCGCGGCAAATAGCTCATCATCTTGATACTTGGTCACCCAAATCGGTCGAGTCGCAAACTGAGCACGCTTCGTTCCAAATGACTTTGGCGAAGCCAAAATCATTTGACTTGGTGATGTCTGCAGCTTGTAGGCGATGGGGTGATGCGTAATCGGGTTGACAATATTATCGTTGCGAATCTTAAACACACGGTGACGATCCACACTGGTAAAGGCGCTGCCACTCTGCTTGATGATATTCTTTTCGGTAGTGTAGCCTACAGACCAAGGATTCGAGTCATCCTCAAGCATGGCAACACTATCCTCGTAGTAAATGGTATTCTTGAATCCATCTAGCGCGGGGTCAATGCGCAGAGAGAACATGTGCTGATGGAAGGGAGCCATGACGCCGGGACCAACATTCGTACCCCATGGTACTGTCTGTCCATTGGTATTGTCGAAAGGCACCGTGGACAAAATACCGGTCGCGCGAACCTCCAGCTCGATATTAGCTGCTTGATCGAAGATAAAAGCGAAGATGTACTCGTAATTAGCTACGGTGCAGATCATCTGCACCACCAGCTGTCTGTTGCGAACCACTGTTGCGGCACCGGTGCGGTAGTTGGTGTGCTTGTGCTGGAGACCGGCGTCTTGCTCGTGCATGCAGATGACATTCTTGAGCTGGATGGGGGTACCCTGGGCATCGGTACGGAAACCATCGAAATATTTGATATGGCCTAAGCAGTCACAGCCCAGTGCTAGCTGATTAGCTGTGATACCAAAGCCCACGTCGCCGACGTCAAACGCCTGCTTTCGGTGATAAGGACCACGGGGATCTAGGGTTGTTAGCCATATTCTAGAAGATTTACTAGTGGTAAGGACTATCACAAACCTCCATATGGTACTGTCATCTCGGAGAATGACAAACGATAGAATGTGTTACGACCATCGTAGGTCACATTATGCAACACTAGTCCTTCACGGTTATTGAAGCCGACGCGGAATCGCCATTTCTGCCATGAAACCGCATTTCCAATGGTAGTGAAAGAAGCACCCTCAGGCTGCTGCACAATGTATGGTTTCAGATCTGTGCGCAGCGGCTCATCCAACAAGTCATGGGCGTACTGGACGGCGGGCACAGGCTTCCACGGTTGCGTTTCTGTGACCTGGTGATCAGCACCACCGGGTAGGAAGTCCATGCGGACCAGCTGGTGGGTGATGCCATCAAAGACCGGAGAAAATTGGCAAGGAAGAGAGTATTGGTTATTGCCTGGGTGGTCTGTTGCGACGATGTACATGTAGCACTGGAACAGCCGTCGAGTCTCCTTGGAGTCATCGGTGCCATAGATCCATGGATCCAGGCAGACAGTCATGCCAGATGGGAGATTCAATTTTTCAATCTCCGCTTTGACAGCTGGGTGGTTCAGACAGACCTCCTCGATTTCGAGCATTTCGTCCACATCGAGCGGCCCCTGCGGATTGTCAGTTTGATGGAAAGATTTCTTTGGGTGAAATGCATACCTGAATTCCCTTGGGAAGTTCCTTGGCGGACACGATGGACTTAGTATCGGCATTTAGCAGGGCCTTGTAAAACGACCCGTTATCCAGACGGTGGAACATGACCATGAGCAAACGTGCCGGCTTTTGTGGACGGGGCTTGCCTAGTCTTTCGGCTTCAATGTAGGGAATGACATCTTGCTTGATGGGTTCCTGAAGATCGATTCTCTTATAACGCAACTTGACGCCTGGGAAAGCGGATTCCAAAATCCGAACGGCGAGTTGGATCTCTCCCGGAGTAATTGGGTCAAAAGGGTGAAGGCTTGCCATGATGAAAGCAATATTAAATCAGATGAACTTTGGATGAACCGGCGAATATGACAGTCTTATATATCCCACATACCCACGTCCCAGTCGAGTAAATCTTTCGCGTGGGTGGGGAGTTGGTTGTCATTGGTTGATGTTGATCCACCCGGCGCGACATTTGCCATTCTTGGCTTAGCGTCGCCTGAAGCCAGATAACCGTTGAATTCTTATTGGCTAATGAAGTTGGAGATATCGGAGTTTTGGGGTAAGATAAACACGATCACTAATGCTAGCACTCAAGGGCTGTGCTAGACCGTTTATGGACATACATCAACCTTAAAGTCTTAATGTCCATGCACATATGGTTCAAAGGTCATAATATGGTCAAAGGTCATAATATGGTGATACGTTTATCGCCACCAGGGTGTGCTGTATATATATTTCCCTTGATCACTGGAAATCTCAATGACAATCTTTTCCGCTGAGACTCCCGCTCGCTGAAGATCAATGCCTTCCTGGACCTTTCTCAACCCCCCCTGGATTATATGAGGATCCGGCTTTGCTTGGAAAATATCTGCAGCCAGTGCGGAGGGCATGAACTTGTGCCAGATAGCATCACCCACGTGTGGAGCGGAAAGGCCAGGATCCAGACAGTTTATTATAAGGGTGTTAGGAAAAATATCATTACCAACACGGGAACTACCACTCACCAAAACAAGGCGTCACATTGTCGGGGAATGTTCCCTCTTGATAGTTGACGATCGGAAGCTTGCCTCCTCTGATTCTCCCAAGAATCTCACTACATGTAGTTTGGGTGTCTTTAGAGGAAATGCAATCGATGATGTGATCACCCGGCTTCAGAAGACTGACAATCTACTCGATAGATGTGGTCTCCTTATAATCGAAAACATGGGAAGCATCGAGACTCTTCACATACTCGTGGTTCGCCTTGCTCGCTGTAGTCACGACCTCAAGACCAGATAAAACAGCGAGCTGGATAGCCGAACTACTAACCGAGGAAGCACCTCCCCAGATTAGAATCTTCTTTCCGGTGGGTACAGGTACCAATGAAGGGAATGGCACCTCTATGTGGATGTAAAGGGCTGTTGCGGCGGTATCAACTGAGATCGGGAGGACGGCTGCATTGGCCAAGGGTATTAAAATTGGGACTGGGGATACCAGGTTCTCGTTGCAGGTGCTATAAAGCTGGTACCCCGTATTAGTTGATTTTTGTGTGAGGAATCCATCGCAGTGCCTGTAACATATTTTTAGCTACTAGCTCTGCATGCAGTTGATTTGAAATTACCGTAGTATTTACCCAATAACCCGCTGACCGAGCTCAAACTGGGTAACCTTCGATCCAAGTTGCGCAACAGTGCCCGCAACATCAGTGCCGAAGATGAAGGGATAGTTGAGCCGCATTTTCTGCATCTTCCAGGGAAAAATTTATAAGCGCAAGGTCCAATAGCATGAGTGCCATTGCTCTCCTACCTTCCAATCCATAGGATTGACAGCTGCGTAGGCAACCTTTATGACGACTTCATTCTCAGTGGGATTTGGCGCTGGCCCTGGTCCAACCTGGAATGGTCGAGAACTGGCATTTTGTACCCAGGCGGCTTCATTTATAAGGGATGCCATGTTTTTAATGTTAGAAATTGAACCTTAGAAGACGTTTGGAACCGAAAGGAGATATGTATGAAGCTTCAAAGGGGGAAAACCATGAAGTTTTTATGTTGGATGGGTTTCAGTCAATACCTCCGCTAGATTTTATCTATTTAATTATTGTTGACAAAAATACAATTGATTATCAATATTTTGTATGATTACCAATGTCAGCAATCACGATTTCTAATATTCTGAAATTATTGATCCTTCGGATACCCTATAATATGGCAAATTTGAAACGTAATCTTTTTCACTTATATCGCTTTCACACGGGCATAAAATCCGACTTGACAAAGATACGAATTATCATGCCACCTACGCCATTATAAGCCAAAGAATTCCATTTAACAGAAACTCCACGTGTAGTCGTGACTTGATGGGTAATCCAGGGCTGAGAATGTCCCACGCTAGGGGCCGAAGGAGTTAACTCCATCCACCTTTCAGCAAAAGCGATCCCAAGCCAAACAGAATAAATAAATAAGTAAGTTAGTAAGTAATTAAATAAATATTCGACTTCTAAATCCCAAGAATATGATTTATTCGAAATAATACCCCAGTGATGGCCATTGGGCGATGTGGCGGTCTTGGAAGAAACCAAGATGGGATGGAATTCAGGGCTACAAACCATATCAGATCTCTCTCCCTTCCAAGATCTGACGCGACTCAACATTCCTTCAAAAGTCCAGACTTCCAAACGCGTTTAGACTATAAATTCCATGTCACGTCCCTCGGCGCGTGCTCAAGCTGTCTCCTAACTTTGCGACCATGATCCTGTGCATGGATTGAAGCGACTTGATTCTACTAATAATTACACTTTATAGCATATTGTTTTCCAAATCTCTTCTAATAAGTTATCAGGATATTCCCATTGTCTATTTGCACCATTCAAAATGCATTGGAAAAAATCTACCCTTTTCATGGCCACCGGCATCGACTGTGCCCTAGCAACCCGCCGACATCTTCATGGACACGGCCATGGCCATGCTCATCTCATGCTACACGCCGAGAAACTGGAGCCTCGAGACCTGGCTTGGGCTGACCAGATCCCAGCCGACATGCTCATCGAATTTCGCACCCTCACAACAACAATATATGAGGATTGCGCCCCAACAAATACAGTTTATATCACCACCACCACGATCGAAGACATGTCCAAGCAAACTCACTTGCTTCCTAAGCCTAGCCTTGCTGTGAAGCAATCTCTGTCTGAAAAGCCGGAAGCTACAACAACGGTACATATGACGAAGACCGTGATGGATATTGTAGTAGAAACACCCCCAGCCAAGACGATAGGCTCTGTTCCTGAATACGGTGATACCGACGGGCGTATCGACAACGTGACCGCACCATCCCCAGAGGTCGCGCTGGAGACAACGAGGACTGGAATTCATTCTACGACGACAGTTACTTCCTCATTGTCTGGGTTTGGAAATGCGACCGTCACAGTTGCCCTTAATGTTACAGAGCCTTCTAGAGAAGCACCAGCAAGAGAGGCACCAGAAAGAGAGGCGCCAGCCATCGAGGCCCCAGCGAGAGAAGCGCCAATAAGGGGTACAGCTAGAAAATCGCCCCCTAAAGGGCTAGAAGGAAAGGAAGCCACCATCGAAGGACACCTCATTCCCGAACCCACACCAATAGATCCAGCCCCGGGAATCCTCCCAACACTACCCGGCCTCCCCCAGCTGCTCCCAGCAACAGCGATTCCAAACATAAACTCAATCGGCCAAGCCCTCGACCTAAATGGACACCCCCTACCAAAGAACATCCGCTGGAGCTACCTCCCAAAAGACAGCGAGATATCCACCAAAGGATTTGGAGGCCGCAGCACCCCAAAAGGCTCAGCCGTGAAATATTGCGGCAATGTTGGTATACCCTGGGGTAGCAACATTATCGCTGTTAGTCCCACGGAAGCGCATCGCTACAAATACGTCGCCCGGTTCACCGGATCAAATACAGAGCCGTGGACAGTGACGATCTGGAACAAAGTCGGTCCAGACGGAAAGATGGATGGGTGGTACGGACATTCTGCGTTGACTTTTGTACTTGCGCCTGGGGAGACGCGGTATGTTGCTTTTGACGAGGACTCGGAGGGTGCCTGGGGTGCTGCGCCTGGCACAACAGGACTTCCGGTGGATCAGTGGGGTGGATATACTTCTACCTGGGGAGAATTCAGTTTTGGAGATGGTGAGAATAGTGGATGGTCAGGTTGGGATGTTTCGGCTATCCAAGCACAGCTTGGTCATGATGATGTTCAGGGAATGCGGATTTGTCAGGCTGATGGAAAGGGTTGTTCAATCATCGAGCCTAATGCTAGGAGGGTGGTTAATGCATATACGCAGTCTGAACGGCATTATGATGGGATCGGAGGTGCTGCTGCTCCAGGGCCGGTACGGTTGGTTGTAAATTTGGATTATCGGGGAGTGGTATGACTTGTTTGGATGTGTAAATATGCATTTTGCTGGTGGCTTCAAGTTTTTATATTCAGTACGCAGCTTTTCTTCAATACTTCAGGCCCCGTTCTTCATCTCCCAGCGGTCTGCCTCTACATAGCAGGAATATTCATGGCTGCAATGGTCCAGACCTTGCCACCCTGGCTTGAGGCCAATCCAGTATAAGTAGCGCCGGCAGCTGTTGCGATAGTATCTCCAAAGGTAGTGTCAGCCGACTTGAGAGTGATAGTAGTGTTGAGGTACTTTTGAGCAGCGATAGTACCAGTGCAGTCATCATCGCACTCGGTACCAGTTCCGTATCTGTTTTCTGTTAGTTCCAGTTGACACGCCTTTCCAAGCTTCAGACTTACCCGGTCATGTAAGGTCCGGCGGCAATAGAGTAAGTAGAGAGAAGATCTCCAGTCTCAATATTGGTGACAGTTCTAACAAACGTCAGCTCATCCTCTCCAACGATTCTATGATGTGAAGAATTTTGCTTACTGCTTCCAGGTCTCACCGTCACTCTCAAGATTGTACTCGATGCGCACTTGATCAATTCCACTAACGGGACTTCCATCACCGGAAAGTTGACCGAATGATCCGAATACACTGGCACGGACACACCACTGACCCGTGGTCGCGCCACACCATGCATTATCAGGCCAGCTTTCCAGGGTTGTCTGAATCAAATCACCAGTGCCGTTGGACATACCCGGCCAGAGGAACAGCTCTCCATTCTGAGCTGAAGGGGCTGCACCTGGGATGATAGTGGTCACCGCGCTGACGATGGTAGACTTCGACGGGCCGAGCGACACGCTTCCACCCCAACTATCTCTCTTAACAATTCTGGAAGGCTCGTTGAAGAGTCCAGCACTAGCAAGGCTAGCACAAGTAAGAAGAAGAAGGGTGGACTGCATGGTGAATATGTTCTCTTCGATGCGAGAAACACGCCTTGAATGATTGTCTGCTACAATTTGGACCAACTACAAGCCTAAAATTTATTCTCCTGAATCAAGTCTCCGTGAAGTCTTGAAAGAATATTTTTGACTAAAGTTGTGAGACAAGACCCCGATATTTCAACTTAAAACGCATTAAGATGAGACGCCAAGTAGCTGAAACAACGGCTTCTCCACTCACCTCGCCGATGGTTGGCGGATCAAGTCTGACTATCATGGTCCGCGAAATGAAATCCAACACGGCTGATGACCCGAAGGCGGAAATTTTCATTAGGAAAAATGCTCATATTTCGATAAGGGAAGACCTCCGAAGGGTCATTCTCCACTGTTATTGAAAGGGAACAGCCCAAGCTAAATAAGGGGCCGTTGCCCGAAGCAAATTATCCTAAATATTCACCCCTTGTCTCTCGCTGGATCACGTCAAACAATGGTTTCGCACTGAACCATCCAGCCTTCGGAGTGCCCACCGTTTTGTACGTGAGAGCCGCATCGGCATCGTCAATTTTAACCGTCGCTCTACCTCGGCCTGCTGCCGCCGCATCTGCCAGCAGCTGTGTATGGCAGGACTTCTCCAAACTAACGAACCAGAAGACGGTTTCCTCGACCGACTCACCAACCGTCAATAGCCCGTGGTTCTGCAGAAGAGCCGCCTTTTTATTTCCCAAAGTTTCAGCAATCTGTACGCCTTCATGCTCCTCGAGCACGACGCCATTGAATTGCCTGTACACCACATGGTCCTTCAAAAGTCAGCTCGGCATATCAAACACCAAATAAGAAAACGAGAACAAACATTATAGAACGCGCAAGAGTCCTGCGAAATGATATCAAGCGGTTGACCCAACGAACAAAAAGCCCTTCCATAAAGGCTATGCGTATGCGCCGCACAGATGACATCAGGCCGCGCTTCATGAATAGCCGAATGAATCATAAATGCCGCGGCATTGAGCATCCGATTCTCTCCACCATCAATAACCTGACCGGTATGATTAACGCGAATCAGATCAGAAGCCCTCATCAACGAGAATGCCGTTCCAAACGGATTCACCCAAAAGGTGGTCGGCTCCACAGGATCCCGAAGGGTAATATGTCCGGCCACACCTATTCAAAAAGGGATCAGTAACCTGCCCAGATGAGAATCTGCAAGTACATGGATGACTAACCTTCGTCATAGCCGAATTTGCCAAAAATGCGAAACGCCGCGGCTAGTCGGCCTTTCAGGTACTCTCGTTCTTCGATCTTATCCTCGAAGATGGGCTTTTCGAGAACAGTCATCTTTACTTTCGCCTTTTCGGCGCGTGCCGCCCGGTGTAATTCATGGGCCTGAGCGCTGACGGAGCTGGCGAGATCGGTTGCTATAGGAGGTGCCATTTTGGAAGATAGTTGATCAAGGGAAGATTGCAGTCATTGAAGATATTGAGAATGAAGCGATTTGAAAGTTATCTCTGATCTGAAGCGGGGTCACCGACATTCAAGCGCTGTAATTGGATTGTCATTAAGCCGAGGCCAAGGTGCAGGTTCTCCGCATTGCCACTGATAGAGTTCGCGGAGGTTTATCCGAGGTTGTGGCTTCTGGGTTGGAGATAGATGTCAGATATAAGAGATAAAGAAACAAGGTATGATTTGCTGAGACAATATGGACTGCTCAAGTGCTGTATACTGTACAATCTGCTAATGAAGTTTGAAAGATCATGCCGCTTCGCATCAAGGATATAGCCGAAATCAAGCATAAACGCTCAACAAATCTCAAAGTATCTCATTAACATTCATTGAAGAGGAAGGTATCCATGTCTAACCTCTCCCATCAAAGCATCAAATAGCTTTCGGTCGGCTGCGGTCATACTTTGGATGGTCACCGGTATCTGATCGACATGTCCTACCAACGGTTTCAGGTCCGCCTGGCAAAGAGTTCCGATCTCGGGAAGATCACCAGCTTGAAAGTAGTCACGAATCGCTTTTGCTGTGCACATTGACGGAGCGGCAATTGTGGTGTGCTAAACATATTTTAGGGGTGTTTTAACTCCAAGAACCGGACAAACTTACGCCTTCTGAATCCTGCTGAAGCAAGACTGATCCTGGAAACTTTTTTGACATATGCCGAGCACTATTTCCGAGTTAGAGCTGCAGGTATAGCGGATATTTTCCAAGGTGCAAGAGACATACTTGTATAACGGCGTTACTGGATCCAGGGTATTCGATACAAACAACAATGGATGTGATGTGATGATCCCATCCCATGGCCCTAAGCGGGTTAGCATAGTAGAAACAAGCTGTGGACTCATCTTGCGTACCCGTAAATTTATATTTCGTTTTAGCTTGCCATCCAGCACATGCGAGCTCCATCTGAGCCCAATAATCTCCCAAGGTCCTGCTATCAGCCTTGAGGCCCTTCCACATCTCTGTGAAGCTTTCCATGGTGTGATCAGCCAGAAACTCCGCATCTGTACAGAGAATAGCCGCCATGGCATATAGCGAATTATCCTGTCCCTGAGTACACTGTGGAGACCATGGTCCCATGATGCTGCACTCCTTTGATGGACAGGCACTGAAGTGCCGACGATGCTTAAAATCCGCCATAGGGATAGGATCCCCACTAGCAAGTGCGCCCATCTTCTCCGCTAATACTGGGAAAGCAAGTAACGGCTGATAAACTGCTATGCGAAGAATGGCTTTCACGTCTGTCCAGGTGATGACCTCGGGACCCCGAGTGGGGGAGGCCATGACTGGGATAGAGGCGTTGAGAATCTGGTTTTCAAGTATCCAGTACGCGGTCTGAATTGCGTCTGAACCTCCAAATTCGTAGAAGGGGCAGCCCTCGGGGCCGGCAGCATCACAATAGAAGCCAAAGCGGTCGAAAATAGCATCCGCATCAACAATAGGGTTTGGGCCTCTGTCTTCGTAGTACTTGTCCATATTTACGATGCCGTCGAGGACTGCCCGAGAAACCCTATCTGGGAAGAGAGCTGCAAAGGTTGCGCCTAGGAGTGTGCCGTAAGACCGGCCCCAGTACAGGAGCTTCTCTTGATTCTGGTGCCATTTTGTCCGCTGGATAATCGAGCGTTTGGTGTCATAACCATGGCACCTATCATGCGCATCCTGTGCCTTGCGACCTTGCTTTTCACGCCACTCTCCATGGCGCTCAATGATGGTGAGCATATCTCGCGCGACAAGCGCAGTGTTGACGTAGGACATCATCGAATCATTTTGCTGAATATCATTCATCTCGTATACAGAGCAGCCTAGATTCAGCGCCTGCGTACGCTGCCAGCTTCTCTGGAATGCATCTCCACTACTCCCAATCATTCCCTCGGCCTCGACCACCAACTCCCAATTGCGCTGGGAATTCTCGTTTGGAAAACATGTCACGGCTGGCGTGGTGTGTCCAACACCACGGGGATCAAACCCAATGACATCGAAATACTTGTCCTCAAAGCCACCTAGCCCCGAGTTTGGGTCGATTTCAGCGTCTACAATGGTCTGAAGATTGCGGCCTGAGAGCGACGCTTGTAGAGTTCCCGAACCACCGGGACCGCCTGGATTGATCAACATAGCGCCTCCATACCGAGGGTCCCCGACAGAGACCTTGGCGGGGATCTTCACTATCGCCAGAACAAATTTTCGCGTTTGACTTTCTAACCGCTCATAGTCTATTGGAACCTCAAGACGAGCGCAAAGAAAGCCATCTTCACACTTGTGATACTCCAATGTTTCCGAGGGCTGGATTTGATCCCAGCTGAAGACTTTGTGGACTAACGGGTCCGAAGCCTGCAACTTCTCCACAGGAAGCAAATTCTCCCAAAATCTAATGACAGCCACAGTCGCGAGAAACGCAAAAACCCAACCAACTCCCTTCTCTCGCCATGATTTCACTGGTCTCCCTTGAAGAGGGTATGTACCTGTGAATTTGCGGTCCATAGCTCACGCGACTCCGTTATCAGCGCAAGGACCCCTCAGCGAGTCCTCCGATCCGCGAAAAATCCACAGGACTTCCCTTCAGTAGAAATGCATGGAAAATGTTTAGGAAATGACTGACTAGATAAATCAAACACAACAAAGCGGGAAAACAGAGCTGAACCACGGCTCGCAGATCGAAAGGGTCCACTGAGTGGGGGGAATTCTGAATGCAAGGCCTATCACGAGTTAGGAATGTAGCGGTCGATCACGATACGCCCACTCAATCTCGCTCATTGGTGCAGATACAGACCGCTGCATAAGAAATAAAAAGTGAAATTGAAAGGATGAGGAATCGGCGCATTCTGATGGGCTGGACGGGCGCCGAGCCCTGCAACTGTGAAATCTGGGATGTGGGAACATGCAACATGATAAGAACTGGAGCAGATAGGCTTGATGTGCATGAATGTCGGCACTCGTGGCTTTCTAAGTTGTCATCGTGGTCATCACGGGGTTGACAAGGTAGATTTGAGTCGCAGAGGGAAGTGACACAAACCGTAGGCAGAAAACACAGAGCCGCTCAGGTGCAGTAAATAAAGCTACCTACCAGGCTACCACAACACTTTGTTTTCTACCCCCATCCTCAAAATCTCAAATACTCCGTCTAAGAGCTAAAAGCTTCCTATAAGACAGAAAGAAAGAATAGGAGAGGACAAGATGACAGCTCAACTTAAAGCTCACATCGACGAAATCGGCAATTGCTCCCTGAGCGATACCATCCAAGCCATCGCAGACCTTCTTCCAGGTCTTACAGGATACGTATCCCCAACCTGCCAATACGTGATTACTCACCAAGACTACTCAGGCGATGCACCTTTAAATGATTTGGGAGGAATCTTTCTAAAGTGCGCTAAACGCTGTACGAACGAGAACGCTTCATTCCAAACCCGCCTTCTCCACCACTCACTTGAGAAACCCATCGAGGAGCTATTCATCAATCTCTACAACTTCGCCAAAGCGGGAATTGAAATTGGTCTGATCAAACGCGAGCCTCTTGATGAAGAGCAGGCTGCAGTATGTGCTTGCTGTCGTGGAGACCCGGATGCCGTTATCCTCCTAGGATTCCATCAGGGCAAAGCTTTTTACTACATGGAGAAGGAGTTTCGTGATAATTGGGGAGATGCTGCGGAGTCTGCTTGGTCTACTTCTTGGAATGAAGAGACGGATGAGCCTGTACATCGTTTGATGGCTTCGAAAGCACAGGTTGAAGAGGCTTTGGCGCGCACTGACGTGGTGGTGGCTAGACTCTAAGCTTTGCTTATGTCTATGTGCTTTGACTTTGACAAGAATTTGTAGTCTACACGGGAGGGAAGTGGCTTGATTGGACTTTGATATTGGGGAATTATGTTCTTAAGGTACATACTCGTTTATACAATTTGGTCCCTGCCAAGCGGGAGAGAATAGCTGCTGGACGAGTGAAGGGGAGCAGTGTAAATTGTTGTTTCCCTGTTTACCAAGAAGACTTGGAATATATCACACTTGGATTTGTTCAACTCCGACCACGCCTTCGGCGACCACGTTGTGGGAGATTGGGTCGTTCCCCTCTCGATGCCCTCGGTGATTGCGGAGGGCGAGAATCCCAAGCCCTCTCAACATTCACCAGATGCTCAACGATTTCGTGAAAATCGTCAAAGTCTTGCCATGATTTGTCCGACCTCTTCCTGATGGGTTCAAGAACACGATCCCACAGATGTCTCAATGGGTTGTGGTCCCGTCTGTTCCAGCACTTCTTATACCGCATCATGACAAGCGAAAAATCCCCCACGCTTTGGTTGGGTTTTTGTTGCAAAGCAGAGTATGCACGACGATTTTTCACCGCACACCCTTCGGCTGGTAGTACGCCCACGAGGAAGTTGCAGAAGATCATCCAAGTAGCCCTGGGCAGCTGTTGGATATACGCATTCCATTGATCTTTTAGCGATTCGCTTATCACGGACTTTCCGGTTTGAATCTTCCTCTCGTCGTTGCAGAAATAGTTGTCGGACCGTTTGAAGTGGATGTCCAGGGTACTAATGAAGTTTCGAAATTCTGACCAGCTCGACGCTTCGTAGACTGGAACTGCTGGCCTCGGTGCAAACGATTTGTTAGGGGCTGGAGATTCCTGTGTCGGTGCGATACTTTTATGGTGTGTTGGAACAAGCTCTTTCGGGATTCCACGAGCTGGCGGGATATGCGCCGGTGGTATGTATCCAGGAAGCGAGCCTTCACTGGGTATTCTTGGAGGCGGGTGCTCATATCTTGGTGGTGAATGGTCTCTAGCCGATATGGATGGCGACTGAAAGCGCGGCATGTGTGGTGAAGGGAGAATGGATGGTGGGGAACGAGCCATGTAGCCCCTGAATGGGGATGATTTGCTTCCTGGCCTGTATGAGGAACACTCTCCATCTGGTCCGGAAGACGAGCGTGGTATGGGATATCTTGGTGGCGAACGCGCTCTCGGCCATTGGGGTGGAGAAATCGGCCTTGTCTGCTCCTCAGGTTGTTTCCTGGGTAATGCTTCAAAATTTTGCTCCAGCCTCTTCTCAGCATCTGGGAAGGTAGTCGTTAAGGAGATTTGTGGCTCTATTGATGTTTCTTTCTTTAAAAGCTTAGCCGATGGCAGCTCAGACTCCTCTGCCGGGCGCTTTGCAGATGGTGTTGTTGCCTGAAGCGTTCTGTCTGTTGCAGACGCATCCCCATTGGCTTTGTTTGAGGCAGCAGAAGCTACCAAGGACTGTATTTTCTGTTTCCATATTTCAGAGCGTTGTGTAGATGACTCGTTGACCGAAATTGTGTTCTCGTTGTGGTTATTGATGGGCATTGATTTCTCAGCTGTCGGACTCATGACAGTTTCTAGATATCCAGTCACCATGCTGCTCGCGGACGTACTCGCTGAAGTTGTTGGTCCCAGTCGCTGATCATGATCTTTCAGTGCTCTTTGAGCCGCTTTTTCTCTCTCCCTTGCTTGCTGCAAAAGCAGATGTTCCTCCGCCATTTCAGCATGCATCTGAATAATTTGCCGTTGTTTTCGTAGTTCATCCAACTGCGCCCTCATCTCGCGCATCTGGATATCGAGTTTTGTTTCTCCATTCGAAGAGGACATGACTGCTGATGCGACGGTGCGATAAGTGTCGTGTGTAAGTGTCTCGTAGGTGGAGTGAGTCGTCATTCAAAAACAATGGCGGACTTTGAAAAAGTTATTGTCAAAGAAGCAAGAAGTGAGGTACAGGGAGACCATTACTTCTGGGTGAGCACGGACAATTCAAGACTGTCCCCAGTCTTAAAGCGCAATGGGAAATCAACAGTAGGTATGTCAACGTGGTGGAGATCACTTTCCGCATGTTTTCTTTCCGGTAGTTATTCTGCCGCAATATGAGCTCCCTTTCAATGGCGGTCAGATGTCGATAACTGAATTGGCAGGCGGTGTACAGCCCACATATGCACGTGTCAAGCCAAGCAAGCCAAACGTTGACAAATAGAACAAACAAGAGGTGAATACGAAGAACTTTGTGCACGAGTACTAATCTTGTCAATATTTGCAGATCATGAATTGAAGTAATTACGTAATTAATATATATACAGTCAAAATGCGACCAGGAAATCCGACGCTATATTTTCTGCTCTTGACATCGGCAGCATTATTTCCCAGGAGAGCCGATCACGCAAATGAACTCGCGGTCGGGAGTATCCTCCAAAGCGTTCTTGACCAAGTTCCAAACATTCAAGTCATAGGCCTCACCAATGTGTCCAACAGGGTCAAGAGGGCAGGTAGTCTGAACCCAAATGTTGTTGACTCCATCCTCATGCACAAAGGCAGTGGTGGTCGGGGTGACTAGCTCATCATACTTGGAGGCAATGACAGTCAAGCTGTTCCCAGTCTGAGCAATGGGGTTTCCATCATTCAGACGCTCAACAGCAGGACCGTCGGGGCCGAGGTCGTTACAGGCAGCACAGCCCACAGTATCCAGGACATCACCAATAAGTTCACGAGAGAAGTTACCGGCGATGTAAGCGAGGTCGTAGAGGTTGGCAAAGGTAGTGGCGTGAGTGGGGGGAGCGATAGCGACGATCTTATCGATGAGATCCGAGACGCCTTCGAATTTGGGGACGTAGAGGGATTGGAAAGCACCTTCGGAGTGGCCGACCAGGTTCACCTTGCTGCTGCCGGTCTTCTCGACAACCTCTTTGATGTAGGCGGCGATCTCGGGAGCGGATTCGTTGATCGCCTTCAGGCCGCCCACGAATGGGAAACCTTCGTAAGCTCCATAGGTCTTAGCGTACGTGCAGTGGCCCTGAGCTTGGAACCAGTATTGCATGTAGTTCAGATCTTCGTAGAAGGTGGCACCCAGGCCATGTAGGAAGACGATGGGGTTGGACGAGCTTTCGCAGGAGAAATCGTTGATTTCTGATGCGTGGGCTGCAGATGCGGCCAGCAGGGCCGAGGTACACAGTTGACGCAATGAAGGCATGATGAATGATTTAGCGATTCTGTGACCCATGGAACGTGTCGGGCTATCAAGGTTTTTATGGGAAATGGGCACGGACAAAAGCTATTGGAAAGAGATCTGATCTATCTCCTTTTTTTCTTTCAGCTCATTTCCACGATCGCGACGGATCCATTTGTGGCTGACACTATTGATTGCAGATCGGACACATTCGACTATGATTGGTCAGTATGGTGGAGTCTCAATCCGATGGGTCTTAGTTCAATAGCAGTGGGGAAGCGTTCCTGCAGATTCCATCCAATGAAATAGCAGCTTGTCTGCTATGTACCTACGCTAGTCCCGATTGGGACATGAATATTTTTCTGAATGTACTATTAATATTCAGATATGTACTGGAGTACATCAGATTGATGCATGCTTTTCGGGGATATCCCAGAAACTTAGCCGAAAGGATATCTAGTGCTCATTAATTCCAAATCCACGAGCAATCACATGTGGATCATTATCATCATCATAATCATCGACACGCCTGGTTGAGCGGGGTACCTTCACGAGTCGAGAGCTCCGACATACCACCACCCCAAAGTGCCAGGGAATGACGCTTCTCAACCAAGGTCAAAACCTCGGTCATGAAAGCCCGTTCGGGCCCACCGTCTGGGAAAGCTTCCCATGCAACGCGCGTGGGAAATGCAAGACGATTGATCATGTTCCCTGGCGCCGTGAGAATATAAAATTCATACGTGCGGCAAATACCGCACCCCAGTTCATACTGCTCTGGAAGACCAACCCGATCCTGTGGGCGCGTGTCTATCGAAGACAGAATCAGGCGGAACGCATAGTAGACACACATAGTTTGTGCAAGGAGGAGGTTCGGATAAGAGAGCCTGGTTGGTACGTAGACAGCACCTGTGCGCAAGTCACGTCTTTTGAAGATTGGGAAGCCCTGGTCCCCCGTTTGTTCGACTTCCTCGGGTGGGCCGTCTGGATAGCACTTGACCCAGTCGTGATACCACTGATAGAAGCGAGCGGTGAGATCGGTGATTCCGTTCCAAAGGGCAGCCTGTTTGGCTGCAGTTTCCTGGGCGCCCATTATAGATCGACCCTGTTGCGCTTCCTTAAACGCATCGGACTGGGCCAGCAGAGCAGGTACTTCAGTGGCGAGGTCGAGTAGATAATGCAGGATATCTTTGGTGGTCGTCCCAGCCGACCACGGGATCGTCTTCCATTCTTCGCGAGCTAAAAATGAAGGCTGTCGAGATGCCAGTGCACCACCAATCCAGTAAGGGCGAAGCTCAGTAAATAAGAGATGTTCAACACCATACATATGATTTTCTGGACCTCGATGCTCAATTAAGCGCACCGCACCTTTGACGTGAGCTGGCACGCCACTTTGAGTGGTGCGCTCCACACTCTCAAAGGCGAGCAGAAGTGTCACTGTGACTAGGGTCGCTTCTGACTTAGATCGCTCTGGATCAATCAGCGCATCCTGCAATTGGCGTAAAACGCGCGGGTACAGACGAAAGCCTGAAGCTTCCAGTTGTTTATTCTGAACAGACCGACCAAAGAAAGCCACGGATACTGCTTCAAATGCATCTGAGATGAGCGGCGAGAACATTCTAATCCCCGCAGCAGCCCTTAATGCTCCCGCGCGGCCAGACTTCATGTCAACCTGAGGGCTGAATGCGTCGACGAAACGTTCTACAAAGACGTCCACAGCTGGTCCATGCATGCTGATTAAAGAAATTGCACCAGATGACCCAGAGGAGTCTGACCCGCTGCTCAAAGATATTCGATCCTCATCATCCTCGTCAACAGTGAGCGGATCATTGAAATTGAGCTCCGAGTTGGAGCTTGTTCCTCGCTGGCGGAATGGGATAACGGACAGTGGGGAAGCACGCGAAGAATCGTAGCCGGCATATGCTAATAACCGTTGCATGAGCATGCCGCAATGGCTCCAATAGTACCGAAATGGTTGGCCTACCGTCATGGCCCTCCCAAGGCCCTACCTGCACCAATTCTTTCTTTATCCCACCATGAGCGGATCGAACCTCGCGTACAAGGTGGTCGACCACACTAAGCGGGGCCGAGCGAATAGACTCAAATAAGCTCTCAAGCCGGTCCAGCCGTTCTAGATCGGGATCGTGAGACCCTGCAGCACTTGGTCAACAAGTTCCACAATTGGATGAATCGGACCGCCAAGGATATCCGCTAGACGCGACCAGGGCGTGGCCACATACCGTCTTGTCTCTCATCTATCCTAGCCCTCAAGTCTCGGATCTCCGCCCGCAAATTTCGAATTTCCTCCGCCTGGCTAATCGGATGCGCCTCCTCGTGAGGCACCGTTTCGTAAACGCATTTCGATGGGTATCCATGGGCGCAACATGCGTGGCAAGGCTTAACACGGTCACACTGGTAAATCGATCGAAATCAGCTTCGTGATCCCTATTGACCTCAGTGGGACGGCAAGGCTCGCGGTGCGGGTGTGACGGTCCCTCCCGTCGCAGGCGATCTGAGCACGGGACGTACCTTGACCTTGCGGAGCCGGCAGACCTTGCAGGAGCGCGACTGGCGGTTTGGCGCCTTCCTGACTCGTAGGTCGGGGGCGGATGGTCGCGATTCTCCGACCATGGGGACGCGATTATGGGGTGGAGAGAGAGGAGAGAAGCATGGCGGCAGCCAACGACACTGCGAGATTTAGGTAAGTCAGATTCGACCGAGATCTGCTTCTCGGAGCGGTGGGTCGTTTAACAGGGACCCAGTTGTAGCTTTAATAGCAAGCTCTATGGTGACTCTGATAGGGTGCCGAGATAGTGGTTCAGCTCCGCCAATTGCGACCGGCTCCGCCACACGACGACTCCATTGGCGTGATGGGAGAACCTGAGACAGAGAAGGCTGTCAGTCGCCTGAAATGGTAATGAGGGGTCAGTCGTTGGGACTACAAGGAGACTTGTCGGATTTGATGGAAGAGAAGTTGTGGAACAGGAGGCCAATTGGCAATAAACCAAGCGATATTTTGGGAAGCTCTCAAGGCACTAAGATTCCATCATCCCCAACGGTTTATGCTAGGTTTCAGATAAACAGGAAGACTAAAAACCCACTTTGCTGAGAGAGAAACTTTCGATGTGAATCTCACAGGAATCACGGATTCATGCATTTATCCACTCGTACCTGTCGGTAGGCATCCGAGGTCACCTGATCTGTAAAATCCTTGTCTGCTGAGTAATGGACATAATTAATCAACCTTGTAAAGTTGTACTACTTGGGATTACCGCCGCCTTTTTGGACATCCACTTCTCTTTTCTTCTTTCCAGATCGCTACTTATAATTAGGAGAATACTTCGAGTATTAAACGAGTACGGTACGGAAGATTGTGGAGTACTGGGTAGGATATCGGGTAAGATTCTAAGTGGAAGACTGAGTGGGAGACTGGGTACATAACACTTTGCGAATATAGAAGCAAATATTCTCTTATTGTTGAACAGTCCTGAATCAGCCCCATTTAGAATAAGCTGAAACACATTCACTAGTGAGTTAACTTGTTGGTTATATACGCTGACTAATATTCTCGAGAACGCTAGTCTAGTGCATTTCTATTTGAGATGTAATGGTTTTTGCTTTCCTTATCAACAACTCTCTAGCCCTTTGATCAACGAAGACAATGGTAGGTTAAGCATAAAAGTTGGCCACACCAAAAACTAATTAAACCTGTGCCTAGGCTGACGAAAGTCCTATTCAAGTACATACTACAATAGGTTCTCTTTTCGCAGTGACTGCGACGATTGAGTACGCGCGTACAGGCCGTCCCAACCCATTAGGTCCAAATTACTCAACAAATACGGCATTGGGCCTGTCATTTTTGGCGTTTGTTGCAGGCATATGGAATTTCGCCCGCAAAGGCTCGGCTGCTTCTGTAGCGACCGGCCTCGCTTTCTGTGCTCTCTACCTCATCAGCTTTATATGTCTGCAAACAGATCAATGGTATGGGAACGAAATCGCCTTACTGGCCTCTATCTTCATGGGGGTTAGTTTCCAGCCATGGGTTATCAAGGTAGTGGGACGACCTCTTCCTAGGGAATCTTGTCTGCTTGGCATTTACGGGACTGCCACGTTCGCGAATGCCATTCATTTCTGGCTAGGGTTGGCTCTGTCGCTGTCTTTCGCAATATTGGCGGCTAGTAATGACGCTGTTCGATACTTCAAGCTTCAAAGGAATGATACTGCCACTTGAAACCCCTGTGTGAGGGCTGGTTAATTTGCTGAGCTTGATAACAGTATATGGCTTCAATCTAACGTGCTGCTCTGTCTCGAAATCTGCTCAACGCAAAATGAGAAGGAAACTAAAGCAAAGCAACGTGCCAAGGGGCGCCCCTTCAGCGAAGTACCTCAGGATGCGGTCGGTACTCTAAGCCGGACTTGAAGTGTGCATTCAAGAACACATTTTGCAACATTGCACATTGATCGGCATGCCATAATGAAATAACATGAATTGACTTCATGAATACATCTTAATTTGAAGGCTTACATATGAGATCTGAATTAAAATATGCGGCCTTTAAATATCCGGGGATTTACTCGCATGCAGGAAACCGGATGTTATTTGAGGCCCATGCGCTAGAACAGACCAGGAGATATTGCGTGAACATCCCATGTTCCAAATGAGGTCAGACCAAATAAAAGACCTCGGAAGAATAAAGAGCTTCGGGTAGAGGTTTCCCCTCCCTCAAGCAGACGATCTTCGGAGCAAACACCACCCTGAGAAACACACGCGGGGAAGAAAGTCAAACCCGCCAATCGACACCTAAATGGAATTCACGACTCCACCGCAAACAGGAATATTCAACACACGGACTTGCTCCGAATAAATACAGACATCTGGCCATGACAAAAGGCCTGGCACATTTCATCACGAGAACCGTGTGCAGGAAACTCTCGGTGTACGTGGCTTGACTCTCTACCCCAGATGTAAGTGGCTTTAGCCGCGTGGGGTGTGCCACTTTGTTCGAGCCTATCACTGACGAGGAAATATTTCGCGACGCCATCGATTTACGGCGTCTCTCCGCGATTTTGATTGATCTTCTTCTATCATTGGCTGGTGGAGTTGGAATGGTCCCCCACGTCCCACCATGTACCCCAGAAATCCACCCTCGGGGTAAATGCGATCGCTGGGTAAAAGAACGGAAGGAGGTCAACGACTTCGTATTAGGTTGATCATGCATGCAACATGGTCTGATCCGAGGTGCAGCGAAATCGATAAAGATGTGGCCCGTCCCAGGCGTCAAAGGCGCTTTTGTTCTAGACCAGATACTCCCTGTTTATTCCTAGGTTGGGTCCCCTTCTTCTATCATGGATAACACAGACTATGCCCTCAGGTCAGAGACTGTCATTGGAAATTCCGCGCTAGTTGATAAGCCGTCAGTCTCTCATGATGAAGCCATATTCAGGGCCTCGTTGACCGAGGAGGAGAAGGTCATCGAGCGCAAACTGCGCACTCGCATTGACTCATTGATTATGCCCCTTGTGGTCCTGGTGTACTTGTTGAATTATATCGATCGGTAAGCTTCACTTGATGTAACTCTGGATGCCCATACTAAGTACTACGTGACTAGCAACAATTATGCCGCAGCAAAGCTTCAAGGCCTCACAGAGGACCTTCATCTCACAGGTACACAATACCAAACTGGCCTATCAGTTCTCTTCGTAGCCTATATCCTGATGCAGGTCCCGAGTAATTTGCTTCTCAACTACATGGGTCGACCATCTCTCTACTTGGGATTCTTCGTTGTTGCATGGGGTCTCGTGTCAGCCCTGACGAGTCAGGTCAAGAACTTTGGTGGTATTGTGGCTTGTCGCTTCCTGTTGGGATTGGTCGGTAAGTTGTACATACACAATTGCACGGGAAACAACTACTAACCCTCATCTAGAGGCGCCGTTCTTCGCAGGTGTACTTTTTTACCTATCCAAATGGTATACGAAGAATGAACTGGCTTTCCGAATGAGTATTTTCTACTCTGGATCGCTCGTCAGTGGCGCCTTTGGAAACCTCATTGCAGCTGGAATCCTCCACGGCCTGAAGGGAAAACGTGGGATGTCGGCATGGCAATGGCTATACATCATCGAGGGTTCAATTACCGTCTGCGTCGGCATCTTGATCGTCTGTCTCCTCCCCGATTTCCCAGAGACCTGGAAACTGCTGTCACCCGAGATGCGTCGGGTAGCTGAAAGGCGCCTTGCGATCGAGGCAGCCGAAGCAGATGTGGACGAAGAAGGTGGAATTAGCCAGCTAAAAGGCCTGAAGATGGCGATGACCGATATCAAAACCTACGTCCTAGCTCTTGCTTACATGTGCATCACCGGAGCAGCCGGCTTCCAGAACTTCTTCCCAACTCTGGTAAAGACCCTCGGTTACAACGACACCATCTCACTACTGCTAGTGGCACCACCATATGTCTTCATGGTCTTCTACAGTCTCTCTCACTCCTGGATCTCAGACAAGTTGCAAGTTCGATTCTGGTTCTTCGTTTACCCAATAGTAATCACCATTGTGGGCTTCGTCATCTTCATGACCGTCGGCAGTTTTGGCCCCCGCTACTTCTCCATGTTCTTGATGGTCTTTGTATTCGCCCAGAACGGCACCCTCTTCTCTTGGATCGCCAATGCTATTCCCCGCCCCCCTGCCAAACGCGCTGCGGCCTATGCATTTATCAACTCGATTGGTAACTCAGCTAGTATCTGGACACCGTACACCTACTTTGCTAACGAGGCTCCGTACTATCGAACTGCATTGGGTATTTGCATTGCTCTGCAGGCAATTGGAGGAATGTGTGCGTTGTTCATGTATCTTAATCTTCGAATGCTCAACAAGCGACAGGAGCTCTTGGAGAACGAGGACCATCAGCTTACTGACAAGGAGCTTCGTCGGCTGCAGGTCACTGCGGACTTTGAGGGAATTGACCTTGCGTCTGCGAGGCAGTTGCAAAAGGGATTCCGGTATATGCTATGATAAATGTTTATATGACGCGTTAAGCAAGAATACACCCAATGTTTTGATGGAATTTTACAAGTCTGATTTCTTAACCTAATTATCAAGTATTTGAAGGTATGCATAGGAGGAAAGGTGGTGGGGGTAGTGAAGGTGGTAGGTGATCATGGTGATCAATAGTAAAGGTAGTGAGGGTGCGACATTGAGGATGGAAAAATAAAGGGGGAATTGAGAACGTAGTAAGAGGTTAAAGTGAGGAACAGCCCTGGTGCCAAACTTAAGAGATTGCCTTCAGAGTGACTTCGATGCTATGTTAATGTAAGCTTCCGTAGGGAGATTTCAAGAATTTCCTCCTTAGTCAACGCTGTGTCTACAGGTCCTGAGTTCGATTCCGACCGTACCTTTTTTTCCCCTTACACCTTATAATGCTAAATAAATATTTTACAAGCTAGACTTGGACACTGGATTGCATGACATCCCCGGGTCTATGTTCTCCACCGAGATCCACTCTAGTGCGGAGATTCGGATGACAGAATCGAGCCACTTTGTGCTCCCGGATTCAGCCAGGACCTGCTAGAACACCACATGATCTTCACACCGGAACTTAATCCCTCGAATAACCGCCACTGTTTCACCTTACCACCTCATAATTCCTACTCATATCTTTCGATCATCTCTTCCACCGTTACACCAAAGCCAAAGCTACATCCTGCTTCCGTTGATCGATACTCCATCCGCACCATCCCCACTTCCACTCCACCTCCCGCCCGCACCGTACGCCATGCAGTCTATCCTCGTTCGATCCTTCGCTCGCGCAACAACTAAACCCGCTATCGGTCGATCATTCTCTGTCATCCCGTCCGTTATGGCTGGAGCAGACTCTGGCACAGCAAAGCCGCAAGCCTTCATGACCGAGTACGCTGGAGACTTACCCGTGGAAATACGTCAACGATGACGCTGATTTGGAGACAGTAACAGGAAAGACCAATTCGCTCGCCGCGAAGCTGCGAACGAAGGAATGTACATCAGAGAACTTGAGAAGGAGAAGTCTGTTCTATCTGCCATGGATTGAGCCCTTTGACCAAGTCGCTAATTCTCACAGAATTGAACTCCTGCGAAAGAAGTTGAAGGACAACAAGAAGCACTCAGAGGAACTTGACAAACACCTGTATGAGATCTCTGCTCTCTGTGGTCTATCGCCGCATATGCTAATATGGTGTAGGGAGGAACTCCTTGCTGGACAGGGTGGCGAGAAGAACTAAGCACCCATACTTTTATCTATCGGTCGCGATTGTGCAAACCTTGAATTGAATTGGAACAGAATATGTTATACCTACATGCAAGAATGGTCGTCAATCCCTTGAGAAATCTTTTTTGAATCTATTGGACGCCTTGGTGCCTTCGCAGCTCGCGACCATTACTACATCAATTTTACGCGATGATCAAATCTACACAATCTTTTAACCTTCTAGGCAATGCGCCTTCTTAGATCTTGGCCTGCCATCTCCACCTATAACCGAGACATGTCCATCGTGCCATGACGAACATGCCCAATGCGACAATCAGCACGCTTCCTAGATACCCAACCATTGCTCTCTTGCCCACTTTTTGCAACATTTCACCCCCAATTGGGATGCAGATCAGTGTCCTGTGGATACACCAATCAGTTCATTCTTTTATGAAGAAGGGATGAAGAACATGATACTTACGCTATGCTGACAATGGAATAGCAAATCCCGAATCTTCCTCCAACTTCACTCGCCTTGGATATCTGTCCGATACATGCCGGTGCTAAACTCAGGAAAGAGCCCGATGCAAGCCCAAACACTGCACTGAACATATAAAGACCGGGCAAAGTGTGCCCAAACGGTAGCCAAATGACGAAAATGGCTAGAGCCCCGAGAGCGATAAGAATGGCTTGGGTGTTGATCCGCCCGTATTTGTCTGCAATGCCACCAGCCATTAGTCGGCCAATTGTTGAAAACCTAGCAATTCAATCTGTCAGCCCACATGTGAAGAGGAATTAGAAGTTTGCTCATACGCGCTCAGCACAGAGAGCAGGATCACACTAGTAGAAGTGCTGAACCCCTGCATCACGACGTATGTCGGATAGAGACCAATTCCGGCGAACACCTCCAATTCCAAGCCTGTATACGTGTCAGTGGCTTCGTCGACCGTATATGAGAGACTATTGTACTTACTAAAAGTCCCCAGTGTCAACCAAGTGAACCTGGCATCCTTGAAAGCCCGCAGATTGATAGTCGACCGGCTTCGACCTTTCGGCAAGCGAGACCTAACCAGTACAATTCCCAAACCACAGAAAACGCAAATAATGAGAGCCAACATTCTAATGGCCCACTTGTAACCCAGACTCGTGAACGCCGCCCTTAGAATCAAGGGAAAACTCACACCACCAACGCCACTACCAGCCATCGCAGTCCCCATCGCCAATCCAACCCTTCTATCAAACCAATGCGGCACAGCCGCCAACGCAACAGTACTCAGCAGCGCCGCTCCAGTGCCCGTCAACACCCCCATTGTCAAAATAAAATGCCAATACAGCCGACACTCTGCCAACAGCAACAACCCCGCCACATAGCATCCAGACCCCGCAATAAGAATCCCCGTCGGTCCATACCGATCAAACATCGATCCCACCTGAGCACTCAAGCCAAGCCCGAAGAACAGAAAAACACCAGGAATCCAACCGACGGCACTGGTAGAGTAATTGGATAACTGATGCGTCGCAAAATAACTCTGCAGCACACCGGTGGAGTTCATCAAGCCATATGTACTCATTAGTAAGAAGAATGACCCCATGATTACACTCCATGATCGGAGACCGCCATCGGGAAAGTCACTGGGACCCGGGTCTAGAATGTGTGTTGTGACGGACGACTGCTGTGCTGGTGGTTCGATGATTGAAAATACCACCTCTGGCTGCGGGGCTTCTTTGTGTACAGGGTACATTGTGGCGTGCATATTAGCTGATGCCGAAGGTCCGTCGCACTCTATTGAGTAACATTGTTCGGTGATTGTGTGCTTTTGCTCGGCCATAGTAAATATCTGGATAGAAATGTTTTGCGAAGAGCAGATTTGAAGCTTTATTTTCTATCGGTTGTCTTTCCCGGTATCAGTGAGTCACTGCGATAGACCTGCATTGTTCACGAATGAAGATTGGTGGGCCCTGGAAGAAAATTGGGTCTCGAATGTATAAGGTGTTCGGGGTCGCAATCGGGAAAGGCGTGCCAGTGTGGGGTTAACAGGAGCATCTAAAAAAAAGGCTAATCTGGTTCTCACTGAGATGTACAACCAAATATCACCTTGATTCCACTTGGCTTAAATTCCACTTTGAAATACAAGGTTCTTCCAGATGTCACTCGGTAATTGTGTAAGTTCCAGGGTCTATATTTCGGGCCAGGATAAACAGAGCGGGGTAAGTTTAACTTTAAAACTGGGCTAGTGTGGGTATAGAACTTATGAGCGTGGAAAAGACCAATGTTTTGGCTCAAGTTGTACCTTCATTGGGATTAAACATGTTTCTACAATCACGGCAATATTTTTACCAACGCACTCAAACTCTAGAAATTAAAGCACCTGTCTATACATGATTATGAAGATCAACGGACGCCAATTCTCAATTCTTATTGGTCGAGCTGTTGCGCGACCGTGCCCAGGTGGCATGATGCAGTGGCGAAATTCATGCGACGAGACTTGACGGAATTTCCTAGCAAAACCCATACTCGCATGGTATGACGCGGTATGGCTTGTCCATGACACAAACTTTGAATGGGTCGATATCAAAAGTTCCAACCTTAGATCAAAACGCCCGATGTTCCCTCTACGCAAACCCCAATTCCCCATCTTTACCAACTATTCTTCACCATGCAAGCTACCAGAGTTATCAGCCGCAACCTCTCCCCAAGTTTCCATCGAGGGAGAAAACAACTGCGTGTAGTCAACCCGACTCCTCCATCATACGCAACACACAATCCATCGATCGATTCAGATCAGCTTGCCTACCGATTATGCGAATTATCATTACAAAAGATTCAAAAAGAAGCCCGGGCTTCAGAGCCTGATATTCGGCATGTGTTGGCGTGTACTTCCATGCAGCGTTTAGCTCAGCAAGATCTTATGTATCGACTTGACACGTTACAAACTGCTATGGATGCCCCCGCGCTGCCCCTACTTCCGGGAGCGGATGAGCCGTTGATGGGGGATGATGAAGAGATGGATATGAGATCGCTTGAGATTGCTGTGTCTGAGCTGGAAACTGCTAGTAGAAGGAGCGAGCTAGCTCGATTTATCTGCTTCCAGCAAATTAAGGATATGTGACGTAGGGTATGTTTACTTCTGATACACTTCCACAAGGCTGTATGGTCCGTACTAATTCTCTTTATGTAGCAGATAAACAAAATTTATCAGGGACTGTTAAAAGATCATTGATAGGCGTTTGAACATTTGAAAGGTTATATCGTATCATGAAGCGAAATCTTATTGCAGGAAACGGAATGTTTGTAATTAGCGTAGTCCTACCAAAAGCTGTATATATCCAGGTGGTATACGTAAATGTACACATCGCTAGGTACGATACTGGTATGCCTAGGTACGTGACCAAGTATATCCTATTCCTATCCTATCCTATATGTATATAGCGGAACGGAGATTTGCACAATCTATTCACAGATTGCGCATTTTCCGCACATGGGCCTAGTGATTAGGTGTGTAGCTAAGTACACAACTGAGTATATACCCAAGTACATGGCTGGGTATGCGACTAGGTAAGTGACTAATTATGTACTGACATAAAGTATTTGCGTGACTACTAGTAGGTATATAAATATATGTATTTTTATATATATTATTGCATAAGCAACTGCTTATTTAACTCTACCTACAGTATTACTTCGTATATAAGTGCGTATATCACTATTTACGCTACCTAACGTGATCCACGGTCGCCCGAGCGACACGGCCGCGCGAGCGACCCCACCAACTTTTCAAAAATCACCAATTTTCAATGACTATTAAAACCACAAAAACGACATAAATTTTGTTATCTAAAGCGAGTAGGGCAGTAAGTATATGTATGCCCTTTTATCCCGCACCCAGAACATGTCATTTGCCGCCGAATTATAGGCATAGAAGGTAAGGTAGGCTCAACAACCGCATTTGTAGATACCTCTGGTAAATATATATCTTTACTTACATCTTCATCCTTGTAGACCACATCATCTTCACCACCCTCTAGACCCCCAAAGATGCCTTTCTGGGTAGTAAATTTTGGTATTGTCTCTCTTTTTTTGGTCTGTTTCTTATTGGTAGCCTCTAGCTGGGCGCAGCGATTCTGGAGAAAAATATGGTGGTGGACCACTTTGATAGTCATGTTGTAGGTCTTCTCAATCTCCCTTTTTGTTGGTGAAGAAAGGATTGAAGAAGAAGATTCTAGACCTTTTTTGATCCGAGATTGCGATTTTGTGAATTTTGAGAGAGTCCAAAGAGTATTTGGATCACTATCACTACCGGAAGAGAGTGGTCTTTGAGAGATGATCTCGAAAGGAGGAAGAGAATCCAGGCGCACATTTAGCTTTTCCAAGACTTTATTAGCATCGAATGGTGCTAATCCAGTAGCTGAAAAGCTATTTTGTATAGTAGAGGTCTTAAAAGCACCAATTCTCGCATCTGCGATTATTTCAAGGAAATCCTCCTTATCAATAGAGTTCACTCCATTCCGCATCAAGGTTGAAACCGCTCCTCCATAAAGCCTCTTCAAAACCGAAAAACAGCCCACATCCAAAGGTTGTAAAAGGTGAGAGGCATGAGGAGGCATGCAGATTGCGATAATTTGGTTTTCTTCGCAAAGTTGGTCAAATTCGGGGGTCAAATGACTCCCATGGCCATCGAGGACCAGTAGGCAATATTTTCCCACTCTTGTCCCAATATTTGGAATAAAAAGGTGTTTCAACCACCATAAACCAATTGTATTGGTAGTCCAGCCATTTTCACTCATAGTGAGACGTGCTCCTTTTTGATTCAAAAGGAGAAAGGGGCGTAGATGCTCTGGAAACATTTTTCCCTTGAAAATGAAGAGTGGAGGCATAACACTTCCAGAAGCTCGAATACACTCAATTGTGGTTACCCATTCACGATTTCCAGCCTGCAAAAGAGCTCTTTTCCCGTGGTATTCTGCAGAAGTGATAATTTTTTGTGTTGCGCCGATACCCATAGCAAAACCACTCTCATCAAAGTTGAAGATATCGTCTGAAACAATACCCCACTTTTCAATGGTCTTTTGAACTAAATCAAACCATGGCTTAATGATCCGGGGGTCTTCTGAGAGTGCTCTCTGATAGTCGTATTTACGAGAGAGTCGAGTAGAGAGATTCGGGTGTCGTTTGATGAATTGAGAAGGCCAATTGATACCAGTGGTAGATGGTGTGTTTTTCTTTGCACTAAGTAAAAGATTGGCCATATCTCGCAACATAGGCAAAGTAAGAGCTGCACCTCTTGAGTCCATATCAAGTAGCCAATTCTCTATCGATTGCTCCTCAATTTGGGTGAATATGTGACCAGATGCCCTCTTTTCAGCAGCAGATTCGCGCCCATTGATCCGGGCCTTCAAAGTTGAGACAGGTATCTCAAAAGATCGTGCAGCAGCTGCAGCAGAGGGATATTTACCATCTTTTATAGCTTTTATAGCTAATAAAAGGCGACCTTCTTGCTCTATCAATTTTGTTTTTTTCTCAGAGCGTTGGGGTGGCATTTTTGTTGTGGTTAAAAAGTATGTATTATTATTGAAGTGGATTTTCGATGGGGTCGCTCGCGCGGCCGTGTCGCTCGGGCGACCGTGGATCACGTTACTATTTACATCACTGCGTATATCACTAATTACGTAATCATAAACAATAAGTTATAACTAGTTAACTTAGTATAACTATAACTATTGCGGCTGTGATTATCCTATACAATATTGGACTATTATGTGAAAAGATGAATCATATCAGTAATAAGTTGCGACTAACAAGCTAACCGTCCTAAAATAAGAAGTATAGCATACAATATCGACAGAGCTAGTGGCTAGTTGGATAGACCCCTTGATTTTGGGATACCTGATTGCAGGTGGCAAGAGGCTGCTATAGGTGCGCAAGTATATCTGTAGTCGACCTACCAATTCCTGACATTCAGCTATTGCTAAAAGAAGCATGACATATATTACTAGGACCCTTATTAGGACTCAGAAAGGACACATATATTCCTAAAAAGACACTTCACTTGAATGATCAAATTATGCATCAATTGGAACTCGCAATGAGCGTAGGATATCAAAATTGAAACTCACTTTAAATCCAGATGAACGCCATCGATTTGTTGATATGTAAGCCAGCTGCATCCAAGGTGCTTCAAATCGATTTTGACATTAATATCGCACTTGCACACGGGTGAAAGCGACGAACACCCAGTCTGCATGGATGACGGCAATTCATTTGGCCCTGTCATAGAAAATCGCCATGTCTATTTCGTGTGTCCTGGTGAGACGCGCTTCTCGATTTTATCGTTCATGTTGGGCAACTAGCATGACTGTGCCGTAAATTCCCAATTTTTGAACACTATAAGTATCGTTTTATTCTATTGCTAATACTATATCTACACCTATCAATCATTTTGAAGAGATTTTCCACATTACTTGAAAACTCTTTTTCTACTGACTCTTTCTGCTGACTCTTTTCTACTGACTTACCGACTGCCTTTTTTGGGACCAACGGATTGTACCATTGTTCTCAATTTCTATTCCGCATCACGGTGATTTGCTGCTTGATGCCACATAATCCCGCAATACGACCACCAACACCATTGAACTCATTTTGATACATATGCAAGCCAAGCTTGATTGTGCCCTGGAATCATCCAGACTTTCTTCAGACTCTTTCTCATTTCCTTTCTACCCTGGTCTCAATGGAGTCATTCATGCGGACTGGGACCATGCCCCAGCTCGAGAGTGATGAAACATTGCGTTGCATCAAGTGCCATAATGTTTTTGGATGGGAGGAGTTCATATCAGTGGTCGGCTACCGTCTATGCAAGATGTGTAGTGTGTGTCGCAAGATCCACCGTGAGGTACGTCGATGTGAACATGGGTTTTAGTGAATTGGACTTCCACTACTAACATATAACAAGAAGGATTTGATTTGGAAGCGTGGGAGGAGGGACAGGGCTCAGCGCGCACTTCTGGGGGTGGAGAACCTTGAACAGTGGAAAAGGGAGAATCCAGAGCAGTGGAAGCTTGAAAATCCCGAGCTGTGGAGGCTGGAAAACCCAAGGCTTTATGAGGCAGAGAAACGCGAATGGAAGGACAAGGAGAATCGTCTACGATGGGAAAGGGAGAACCGCCTGCGATGGGAGGCTGAGAATCCCGGAGGAAGGGCGAGGCGCCTACAATGGAAGGTGGAGAACGCCGGAGAAAGGCAGCGGGAGAATCACCAACGGAGGATGAAGGAGATTCGTGAGCTGTTCGAGAGGGAAAGCCATGGACGGTTGAAGGGGGAGGAATCTAAGCCGAAGATTCTCCTTTCTTTCGTTCCCAAGAACCAACGTCATTCTCTGGTATCCGAACGCAAGTACCCATCCCCTCTTAATTAAGACATTCTTGCTGATATCAAGCCTAGGGATGCATATTAGCCTCGAGCCGACTAAGACACCTACTCGAGAATCCTCTTCTCTCTCGCCTTGCGTCAACATTCCATCTACCGACCCGACAGAGATAGACTCAGATGTGGATATGTCGACTACCTCAGAAGAATCGGAAGCGGAATTACCAACCATTCCTTACCTTTTTTGTCTCTCTTGCAGCATTCCCCGCAATATAAATTTGATGGACTCCGGAATCTGTCTCTATTGCCTGGAGGAGAAAAAGTACTGCATCTATGGTGGCCACGATGGGTATCGGGTGACCTTCATTGACCAACATGGAGAGGAGCAAGTCCGTTGCAACAACTGTCGTGGTGAGGACACATCTGCAGATCCAGAGGCTGAGAACCTTGATCAGAAGGACTTGGAGGTCAAATCATTCGTTGGTGCCAGTTCTCAGGACGAGGGAAAGCCCTACGCTGAGTCTCAGGTCACAACGAACTCCAGGACGATCATTCCCGAGACAGAAATCTCGATTCAATCCGAGGGCGATATCGAGCCACAGGCCGGTTTCAATATGCAATTTGACCTGGATTCACAGGAAGAGATCGAACTTGGGGTTGACATGAAGCTGCAGCACCAAATCGAGCCCCGAGCGCGTACTGGCTTTCCGACAGAAACCCAACCCCAGGACGATACCAAGGCGCATATCGGCTTTGACCCACGAAGGAACCCGAAATATATCGAATCCTTGGCTGGGGTTTGCCAAAGTCTATTGAACAAAGCCAATGCCGAAAAAGAACGTATTTCTGCACTGGAAACAGAACATGAAGTTGAAAGTGACCCCGCATTTGAGCCTCTCGATGTGAAACCAGATTCTGCACATGAGATCAACATAAATAGCATTCCATCATTCAGACCCGAGTCTTCACAAGTCGGGAGATTGTTTTGGGATCCCATTTTTATCGATTCAGATTGAAATTTCCCTTTTCAATGCCGCGTGGTGTTTTCCGAAAACCATTTACTGATATATTATACACTGCTTTAGGACTTGAATTGACCCAGTCAAGCAGACTATACATTTATATTCGCTCTTTCTCGGCGAAAAATTCCATTAGATCCATAAGTCTAGCGAACTCCAACCCACTGACAATCAATATATCATCATTAGAAGCTAATACCACGTGAGTCCTACGAATACAGAGTTGTTCCATCAACTTGTGAGTGGGGATATTGACACCCTGACTAACATGCTAAGGCATTAAGGGTTGGGCCAAAAACGTGGGATCAAAGCACTGAACAAATGATGAAGCCAAGGATCTGTAGCTTGAGTGCTAGAATTTTTAACGCGACAACACCGCATAAAATGACCAACAAGACTGGTCTATTTTATTCTGCGCACCTGGATGGTCTCAAAGGCCTGCTGGGAATATAGTGCTGACAATGGGAATTAGCAAGTATGGTAAGTAGTCACAGACAAGAGATTTCTATCCTATATTACCTATATATCTAACAGCTTTCAAAAGTCTTTATCCATGGGAGCTGTTCCACGAGAAGACTTGCTGATTGAACGTGCCATGGAGGCGCTATAAGCGCAGACGATTAGGCTTCTCGGCCCCACAGCTCTCTAAATGCCACCAAGATAAGTATTTTGTACTAACCTACTTTGTCTAGGAGGGAATTCCCACCTTCAAGCTTCAATGGTTGCAATATGGTACCTGCCCAGGTTTTGTTTACCCAGTTGCTATTAAGGTGCTTTGACGGAAATCGAGTCACCTGACAGACAAAACCTCTCTTCTTTCATGATAGTTACCTCTGGAATGCATGGATTGTACCGGAAATAAGCTGAAGAGGCTGTTGGCGTGCTGCTAAGTGGAATTTAAAGCAAGATGGAAAAAGATCATATGTTAAACCCTAACATGTGGAGTAAATAGATTGATAATTGATAATCATAACTACGGACAGGGGTTTCCTAGTATAGTTTATCTATTGTTCCGAGTCCACAGGTCATCCTACTGGATATCGGTCAAGTGAGCAGCGGTGATACTATGAAGATTCTCCTAACCCCGATTTCAGATGTCTCAGATGTTCAAATGCACCTCAAAACAAGGCTGTGTCTAGCTGATGTGTCCATTGAATTAAACCATCAGCTGGGTGGATACGGGCATACCGCTGAGTCAGCGGCAGTCTGCAAACACCGGAGTCCGAGCTGCCACTAGTACCGACAATCGCCGATCAATCGATCATGGCAATTGAACGGAACGATCGGAGAGTTTTATCAGAACGGTGGTCAAACGCTCTACCATATTTTACATGGAAAAGAGGGAGACTAAAGATGCAATATTTAAAGAATGGAGTTTAAGTGAAAGATGACTCAGCGGAAGTTCCTGGTTCCGTGTCTTTATTGTTGGTGGGTCATCCCTGAAGCCTTAGAGATCCACCTTGATTCGAGAGCAGAAATTTCGTTGGATGACGTGGATCCCTGTTCTTTTCGACAAATCACTGTGTCCGAAAAGGGTTCCGAAGTTTAATGATCTATCGGGTTCGCCGCGTGGAGACACTGGTGTCGGAGGTCTATTCGGAAATCCCCCCTGATGCCGAGCTATGATTGGAAATCGGAAATTCGGTCACATTTGGAAACCCACTTGAAAGGTTATGGGAAATCGAACAATGAATCCTTTAAAGGGGCACGGTAGCCCACCGGGGTCAGCACCAAACAAATTTTGGTTTCATCATGGAGGGTTCTAACCACCCCTCATCGTCCCGGAGAGGGTCGATTGATATCAAAGGAGAGACGGAGAGTGCGGCAGTGACTGTCTTTGGAGATGATACTTCTGTCAAAAACAGCCCTCCATCCAGCTCTGCAGCTAGCCACAATAACGACTGGGCCTTACTCTCGCGGTTCCAACAGCAACATGAGCGTGATTTGAACTCTGGGTTCAAGCGCCAGGAATTGGGTGTCACTTGGAAAAACCTCAATGTGGAGGTGATCGGCGCAGATTCAGCTGTCAACGAGAATGTCCTATCACAATTCAACATCCCCACACACATCAAGGAGTCGCGCAACAAGGCCCCGCTCCGTACCATCCTGAACAACAGTCATGGTTGCGTCAAACCCGGTGAGATGCTTCTGGTTCTCGGCCGGCCGGGCTCGGGCTGTACCACTCTACTAAAAATGCTGGCGAACAAGCGAGGAGGATACAACTCGGTGGAGGGCGACGTTCGATTCGGTTCATTGACTGCCGAGGAAGCAAACAAGTACCGCGGTCAGATCGTCATCAATACCGAGGAGGAGGTCTTCTTTCCTACCCTGACCGTGGGACAGACCATGGACTTTGCAACCCGCCTTAAGGTTCCGTTTAAGCTTCCGAATGGCGTTGAATCTGCCGAGGCCTACCGCGAGGAATCGAAGAAATTCTTACTCGAATCGATGGGTATTTCGCACACTGAGGATACCAAGGTCGGTAATGAGTACGTACGCGGTGTCTCCGGTGGTGAGCGCAAGCGAGTGTCTATCATCGAATGTATGGCTACCCGTGGATCTATTTTCTGCTGGGATAACAGCACCCGTGGTCTCGATGCCAGTACCGCCCTAGAGTGGACCAAGGCGATTCGCGCCATGACGGACACACTGGGCCTCTCGACTATCGTCACTCTTTACCAAGCTGGTAACGGAATTTACGATCTCTTCGATAAGGTCCTTGTTCTTGACGAGGGTGAGCAAATCTACTACGGCCCTCGTTCCGAGGCACGTCCTTTCATGGAGGAGGCGGGCTTCATTTGTCGTGAGGGTTCCAACGTGGCCGATTTCCTCACTGGTATCACGGTGCCAACTGAGCGCCGTATCCGTCAGGGATATGAGAACCGCTTCCCTCGAAACAAGGAAGCTCTTCGGACCACCTACGAGCAGTCGCCTATCTATAGCCGAATGATCTCCGAATACGACTACCCGAATTCCGACATTGCGCAACAGCGTACACAAGATTTCAAAGACGGTGTTGCCTTTGAGACTTCTAAGCATCTACCTAGTAACAGCCCACTCACTGTGAGCTTCACCGAGCAGGTGAAGGCCTGTATTGTGCGGCAGTATCAGATTATCTGGGGAGACAAGGCTAGCTTTATCATCAAGCAGGTTGCGACTTTGATGCAAGCTTTGATTGCTGGATCGCTTTTCTACAATGCTCCTGATACCTCCAGTGGACTGTTTGTCAAGTCCGGTGCCCTTTTCTTCTCTTTGCTCTACAACAGTTTACTTGCGATGTCTGAGGTCACGGAATCTTTCAGCGGTCGTCCTGTGTTGATTAAACACAAAGGTTTCGCATACTTCCACCCGGCTGCATTCTGCTTGGCCCAGATCACTGCAGACATCCCTGTTCTTCTGTTCCAAATCAGCATGTTCTCGCTGGTTGTCTACTTCATGGTTGGCTTGACCATGTCTGCTGGGGCCTTTTTCACTTACTGGATCATGGTCTTTGCGACTACCATGGTAAGTAGCTCTTCACTCAACCAAAGTCCCCTGCTAATATTGACAGTGTATGACTGCCTTTTTCCGAGCTGTTGGTGCTCTTTTCTCGACCTTTGACGGTGCCTCTAAGGTTTCTGGATTCATGATCTCCGCTCTTATCATGTACACTGGTTATATGATCGAAAAACCTGAAATGCACCCCTGGCTTGGTTGGATTTTCTGGATTGACCCCTTGGCTTACGGATTTGAGGCCCTTCTTTCCAACGAATTCCATGATAAGGAGATCCCTTGCGTTGGAACCAACCTCATTCCTAATGGCGCTGGCTACACGGACTCGCGATACCAATCTTGCGCTGGTGTTGGTGGTGCGACTCATGGCTCTACTTCCGTTTCTGGTGACAATTACTTGGCGTCGCTTTCATACAGCCATTCGCATCTGTGGAGGAACTTCGGTATCAACTGGGCCTGGTGGGTTCTCTTCGTCGTCGTCACTATCATTGCCACCTCTAGATGGCAGTCTCCCGGCGAGAGCGGAACCTGCCTCGTTATCCCTCGTGAACGACTCGCTGTGCACAATCAGCGATCCAAGGGTGACGAGGAGGCCCAGGTTCAGGAGAAGACCAAGCCTTCTGAGAATGATGCCCGTGACTCTGGTGATATCGAAAACCAACTCGTCCGGAATACCTCCGTCTTTACTTGGAAGGACTTGAAATACACTGTCAAGACTCCTTCTGGTGATCGACTGTTGCTTGATAATGTTTACGGCTGGGTCAAGCCGGGTATGCTGGGAGCCCTGATGGGCTCCTCGGGTGCCGGAAAGACTACTCTGCTTGATGTTTTGGCCCAGCGTAAGACTGATGGTACTATCAACGGCTCTATCATGGTAGATGGTCGCGAGCTGCCCGTTTCTTTCCAGCGCTCTGCTGGATACTGTGAGCAACTTGATGTGCTCGAACCGTTTGCTACTGTCCGTGAGTCGTTGGAGTTTTCTGCCTTGCTGCGTCAGCCTAGGGATGTGCCGCGTGAAGAGAAGTTGAAATATGTCGACACAATCCTTGACCTTCTGGAGCTGCATGACCTGGCCAATACTCTTGTAGGCCGTGTTGGCGCTGGTTTGAGTGTTGAACAGCGTAAGCGTGTCACCATCGGTGTTGAGCTTGTATCCAAGCCTAGCATCTTGATTTTCTTGGATGAGCCTACCTCGGGTCTCGATGGCCAGTCTGCTTACAATACTGTGCGATTCCTCCGCAAGTTAGCGGATGTTGGTCAGGCTGTTCTCGTGACGATTCACCAGCCGTCTGCTCAGCTATTTGCCGAATTCGATACCTTACTGCTTCTCGCTAAGGGTGGTAAGACCGTCTACTTTGGAGATATCGGTGACAATGGTCAGACTGTTAAGGATTATTTCGACCGCTACGGCGCCCCTTGCCCAGCTAACACCAACCCTGCCGAACACATGATTGATGTCGTTTCGGGTCAGCTGAGCCAAGGCAGAGATTGGAATCAGGTTTGGTTGGAGTCTCCCGAGCACGTGAAGGCTTACCAAGAGCTTGACCGGATTATCGCTACCGCTGCATCTAAACCCCCTGGCACATCTGACGATGGTCGGGAGTTCGCCACATCGCTTGCGGAGCAGTGTAAGATGGTGACTACCCGCATGAGCACTGCCTTGTTCCGCAACACCGACTACATTAACAACAAGATGGCCCTGCACATTGGATCTGCTTTATTCAACGGTTTCTCATTCTGGATGATCGGTGAGAGTGTCGGCAGCATGCAGCTCCGTCTATTCACGATCTTCAACTTTATCTTCGTCGCCCCGGGTGTCATCAACCAATTGCAGCCGTTGTTCATCGAACGTCGTTCGATCTACGAGCAGCGCGAGAAGAAATCCAAGATGTACTCCTGGATCGCCTTCGTGACTGCCCTCGTGGTCTCTGAAATCCCCTACCTCTGCCTTTGCGCGGTGCTATACTTTGTCTGCTGGTACTACACCGTCGGCTTCCCCAACGACTCCAGCAAAGCCGGTCCCACCTTCCTCATGATGCTCCTCTACGAGTTCGTGTACACTGGAATTGGTCAATTCGTCGCCGCCTACGCTCCCAACGCCACCTTTGCCGCCTTAGTCAACCCCCTCATCATCGGAACACTGGTCTCCTTCTGTGGTGTCTTGGTACCATACGCCCAGATCCAGGCTTTCTGGCGCTACTGGATCTACTGGTTGAACCCCTTCAACTACCTCATGGGTGGCCTCCTTGTCTTTGACGTCTGGGACACCCCGGTGAACTGCAAGGAGAGCGAGCTGGCGATTTTCAACACTCCGAACGGATCCACCTGCGCCAACTACCTGGCTGATTACATGGCCACCATCGGTGCAAACATGAACCTGCTTAACCCGGACGCTAGTGAGAACTGCAAGGTTTGCGAGTACAAGCAGGGGAGCGACTACCTCAAGAATCTTAACTTGAAGGAGTATTACTACGGCTGGCGCGATATTGGTATTGTTGCCCTGTTCGCACTGAGCTCGTACGCTCTTGTTTACTTGTTAATGAAGCTACGCACCAAGGCCTCCAAGAAGGCTGAGTAAGCTTCCTAGATGTCATTTCAAAAGCTTGTTAATAGATTACATTAAGATCCATAGATGGGAACTTTCAGGCGTTGCAAGGGTTCTCCCGAATCTGGAAGTTCCGATATTTAATTTTAATGACCGCGGATATGGCGGTTAGACGTGAATACAAGATTAATTCAAATATTTGAAAATTCATCGCCATTGATCATCAATTAGAAGTCACCGCTTGTCTCCTCATCCCGGTTCAGGTCGATCATGAATTACGTCAATTTCCTTCCATATTGGAATCCTGTATCATGCATGTGATATGCAGATAAACCCTTGAAAATCGGATATGAGTCAGCCAGTTAGAGATGCATAGAGAGCTGCATGCAGAAGCACTGGCTTTCCGGGAGAGTGAAGGTGCATATCGGGAAATTATCCCGTCAAGAGATTACGGACATATGATTGTGAAATACTCCGTCTGTCACACCGCTACAAAAGTTTGCTACAAAGTTTGCTACAAATTTGAAGGTATGCTGCAAGATGATGTGCTGGTCCTTATCACTGTGTAGCGTAGACTGCATTGGTGATCCAAGGCTTTAGTACGGAGTATAAACTGCACACTAAAAGTGCTTCAATCATGCCCCACTGCATTAGGGGCATATATAGCCCCTAGTGTTTCATAGTTCAATGCACTCTCGCCAGACTTTCCTGATCTGATGTGATGACCCTTGCATGTGCCTGAACTCATGGATAAACCATTGGGCAGCATTGAAGAATCGGATGAACTTGGCAGGCCCCGCAAAAGGAGGTACAGGATTTACTTTAAGCCTTGAAGAAGGAGAATTAAGATAAGAATGCACGGATCTATCAGACAGTCAAGTTTGTCGTAAATGAAACCTCGAAGTTGAAATTAGTTAGAAATACTCCGTACAATTCGAGGAAATGTTTTGTTAGAACGGATTCCGGCAACAATTCAGCCAATGACGTAGTGTAAAGAGAAACCGACCAGATCGCGATCGATGTCCGAGCATTTAAGGCCAGATTTTAGTTACTGCATTGCATCAAACTACTGTAAACAGCTCCCACAGATCTACAATGCCGTGGTCATTTGCTCTCCCTCAGGGAGTATTCACATCACCGCTCCTCGCGGTCGCAACGCCCATAATTGGCGGAACCGCCACAGCACTCCTGGTGAACCGTACGTCGAAAATGCCTCAACGGGATTACCTCACACCACTAACCACTGTGTCACTTTGCAGGAAACAAAACCCAAAGCACCTACCGCGACCTCCGTCAACCCCCCTTCAGCCCACCAGGCTGGCTCTTCGGACCAGCCTGGACACTCCTGTACGGATTAATGGGATATGCGTCCCACCATGCAACCACAACAGCGTCTACCTCCACCCTGTTAACGGCCTCCAATGCTAGCGCCCAGACCCTGTACACGACGCAACTCGCGCTGAACTTCCTCTGGATGCCACTTTTCTTTGGGGTGGGGCGACCGGCCGCGGCCCTTGGCGATATGGCCCTCCTGGCGGGTAACGTGGCCTTGTTGATGGTCAACTGGTGGAGTGCGGATCGGACGGCGTTCTGGTTGATGACGCCTTATGCTGCTTGGCTGGGATATGCGACTTATCTTAATGCTGGAGTGGGATACTTGAATGGATGGAGATTACCGAAGAACAAGCCGGAGTAGACCTGCAGAGCTGATGTGGGACTTTGCTGGATCTCTACGAGCTGATAGGACTGTTCTAGAAAAGCATGTTTTTTTCCTATTTTCCTATTCTCCCGCTAGTATCATGTGGTGTGCGTCTGGGTCCACTTGTGGCGTCTGTGCTGGATTTTTTTCCAGGGCCGTGGGATAGTTGATAGTTGGCCAATTGATTCGTAGTAATCGATGTCGTGATTGCCTTGGTTTGGTTCTATGTATAAACTAATGGCTCCGGGGGTCCCTAGATGATCATTGCGCTGTCATATGTAACTCTCAGGAGGTGGCTATATCGAGGGATTGACCTTGACAGTGGATTCGGCTCGGGATCGACTTCTCGGGTAGACCGAGTGCCCCGATGATAAGGGCAGCAAAGGTTTTTTTTTCTTTTTTGGATTGCCTTTGTAGATACGTAGCTTGTATGGGATGGCGCTAAAAAGTTAGCTTGAACAGGGTAAATGGCCGGATAAGCACGCATGAGAAAGTTCGGTTCTGCTTTCTCGGTTCTGGATCGCCACTGACTCCACCTACGGATGATGTACAAGTGGTACGTGTTCTACTGCCCTGTAACACAAAGGGACAATAGGGAGGTGAGTGTAAACTATGGGTCATGTAAATCCTAAAAATCCTCTAAGATGATTTATAGAACGAATAGGAAGTGGAGATAGTGACATGCCTTGTGGATCCGAATCTAGAATCCGTTTTTGGTATAAAAAGTTCCTTTTAACCCATGGATCCAAAGGGAATGGGAAAGTCTAGCTTTTTCCTCCGATTCCATATTGGATCTAGAACGTTTTAGTTTGTATACATTATATCTTTTTTCCCTTCTTCTCTTCCTTCACACCACATTCGTTTCCATACTAGATCCTTAGACTTCGGTCTACATTTCTAATGTCCGACTCAATTCCTTTCCCACATCCGAGTCCCAACGAAGAATATTCCGAATTTCCTTTTCCAGATAATCAAAGCTTCGAGCGTGAAGCAGATGGCCGATACGAAGAGCTGCAGGCGCCTACGCCAACAACGCCAACAACGCCAACAACGCCCGAGCCCGAGCCCCGAATCGAGGTACCGGAAGTATCTGTACCTGAACTTCAACTTCACGAAGAGCCTCAAATTGAACCTCGCATCCGATCCCCTCGCGTGCGATTCCGCTCTTTAAGCCGTCTAGGTGATCGATACCTACACCCATCAGATTCCCATCGAGTGTTCTCCGAAAAATCAGACGCATCCAATCCCTTACTGCCGCCCGCGGAGTTGGCCAATATTCCCCTCCATGCATCCGGAACCGTCACCCCACCAGTCCCCGCACATTCCCGCGCTGGTCGCAGCCCGAACAGATCTGCCTTTTCGGAAAAAGAAAAATATGAGGACCCGGATTCTGTCGAACGTACCAGTTCTGCGCGACACCGATTTAGAGCTGCAGGTCAGCTCCTGCGCCAAAAAACGACTCGTTTGACTGAACGCCTCGGTCGCCCCGCAGATGATGGCGAGGCTTTGAGCGCCTCCCTCCTTCCCGATGACTTTGATGGTATCCCTCTGGAGGAATTACAGGCCCGTCGCGCCCGTCGCGATGCTGATGACCTGCGCGCACTGGAAGCGGGTGAACCACTTACCGAGCCTGCTCCCAGTGCGGAGGCTCATCGCCTCGTGCGCAGCATGACCATGGTCCAGGACCGCTTGAAGCGCAAGCCTAGAGGCGCCTACCAGCGGTCTGGTCAGACCACCCCCGAAGGCTTGCTGCGAGACTACACCGCTGCCGCCCGTCGTCGATCTAGCAATTTCGGCGGCGGAGGTAGTGGTATTTTATCGCAGCTGTTGAAGTTGCAGGCCGTGCAGACGGGGGGCTCATCGCGACCGGAGAGTGTTATCACCGATGACTCGGATAGTGAAACTATGTTCTCGTCGGGTGGTACCACCCCGAAGAAGGGCTCGCGGTCTCCGTCGATGCTACCCTCCATGCCTCCCTCTGGTGCGGCCACCCCGCGGAAAGAGAAGCTCAAGTGGCACAAGAAGTCCGCTCACCGGTCGACCTCGTCGTTGGTGAAAGCGTCGATGAACTTGAGTTCCGCGAGCTTGCCGGCAGCTGTGGATGCTATGCCGGGTAAGGGGAAGAAGCATAAGCGCAAGACGCGCTTGGAGGATGAGATTCGGGTTACCGTGCACATCGCCGAGATCATCTCTCGCCAGCGTTATATTATGCAGCTCTGTCGGGCGCTGATGCGTTACGGTGCTCCTACCCATCGATTGGAGGAGTATATGCAAATGACTGCGCGTGTGCTGGAGGTTTCCGGTCAATTCCTCTATCTTCCTGGTTGTATGATCATGTCATTTGATGACCCCGCGACCCGAACCGCTGAGGTGAAGCTGGTGCGCATGGTCCAGGGTGTGGATCTTGGACGCCTCGCCGATACTCACAACGTGTATAAGAACGTCGTCCACGATCTGATCGGTGTGGAAGAGGCCAGTCAAGAACTGGACGAGATCATGCAGCGCAAGCCACGTTACAACAAGTGGTTGGTGGTATTCCTGTATGGTCTCGCCAGTGCTGCGGTCGGCCCTTTCGCATTCGAAGCCCGCCCTATCGATATGCCTATGATCTTCCTCCTTGGATCCCTGGTCGGCTTCATGCAACATGTCCTAGCCCCCCGCAACGTCCTTTACTCCAACGTCTTCGAAGTCACCGCCGCAATTCTAACTTCCTTCTTCGCTCGCGCCCTCGGCAGCATCGAAGTAAACGGAAGCCGTCTCTTCTGCTTCTCCGCCCTCGCCCAATCCTCTATCGCCCTCATCCTTCCCGGCTTCACAGTTCTCTGTAGCAGTCTGGAGCTACAATCCCACCAAATGATCGCTGGTTCGATCCGCATGGTCTACGCAATCATCTACTCCCTCTTCCTCGGCTACGGTATCACCGTCGGTATCACAATCTACGGCCTGATGGACAGCAACGCCTCATCCCAAACCTCCTGTCCAAACCTCGACGTCTACGGCTCCGTCTATATCCGCAAATTCCCATTCGTCGCCATCTACTCGGTCTTCCTCGCCTTGGTTAACCACGCAAAGTGGAAACAGATGCCTGTCATGGTCTTCATCGCCACAGCCGGCTACATCGCAAACTACTTCAGTACCCTTAAATTTGGCAGCTCCTCCGAAGTGGCCAATACCGTCGGTGCTTTCACAGTCGGTATCCTGGGAAATCTCTACAGTCGTCTCTGGCACGGTCACGCCGCCACAGCCATTCTACCGGGTATCTTCGTACTCGTGCCCTCCGGTCTCGCATCAAGTGGTTCCCTACTCTCAGGCCTCACCTATGCCAACGAGGTCATCGCCGGCGACACGTCATCATCCAACGCATCCGATACATCCGTCTCTAGTCTTGGATTCGGTATGATCCAGGTTGCCATCGGCATTACCGTTGGCTTGTTCATTTCTGCTCTGATCATTTATCCATTCGGAAAGAAGCGCACTGGCTTGTTCAGCTTCTAAGCATTTCCTTGCATATACGACAGATTTCTTACATTTATTACTGATTTTTCATGTCCTTTGTTTTTCAGCGTGAGCGTCTCAAATATTTTGTTTTATTGTTTCTTTTAGCGTGATAGATTAGATCATAGATGAGATCTTGATACCATATATCGATATACGAATTTACCGATGCACTTGTGTTTCCAACATTGGAAAGATATAAATAGGATGTTCTAGACCAGATCCACTTATCTGGCCAATGACGCGTTTGTGGGGCCTGGCCACCTGTGCATGGCGTGGCGTTCGCCCTATATCCATCACATCGTCATTCAGAAGGCAAATGGAAACTATTGATAGAATTTATAGATTCAACAGTTTCAGCATGACGTCAGTTTGGTAATCTGTCTCACTAGGATTTTGATACAGAACTGGATTGGAATTTAGCGCCATAATCCGTGGCAATTCCACAACACGCCAATCAAGACGAAATGCAGCGTGACGATATCCGAAACCGACCGATTCAACTAGCATCTTTGACGCCGTAGCTGATGTCAATTCCTGCTACAGGAATGCAATCCCCACCGCCATCGCTCTCGCAACGGAGAACATCAACATAAACCTAAATCTCAACTCAAAGACAGAGACAAGGATGTTCTACTTTGACGGACGCGGATATTGCAATCCAGAGCACTAACCTGCCATCCTCTACAAGACTACATGTTTCCCCTCTATCAGAACCAAAGCCTTGTAGATTGCTCTCGGCCTATTCAGTCATGATTACAAAGCAGTGGTAATATTCCCATCCGTCCGAATCTCGTCGACGAGATGATCAGACTAGCCATTCCCCGGATGGAAGGAGTCTTCTGAAGGCTTTGCTCACTGATCTAGGAGTTATCTAAGGTCTCCTGCCGATAAACTTTTGGGACCATTGAGCTTGCTTGCGAAACACTTACTCCCGCCATCAATATCATCGTTTATATCTGTCGGAAGCAGCGTGGGCTGGCGGCTTCTTACAATGATAGTCATCAAAGTGATTATATGGTGAATCTTTTGGAAGAGGGTCACGATGTCTGTCTTGATTTTCAGCTACTGCGCTTCCCAGTCAAATCTTTACAAGCCAAAATAAACATAACAAAATGAGCCACCCTATCAACAAGTTAGCAAGTTAACATAAACCAAGTCATTCTGAAGAACCTACAAAGCCACTCCTGCAAAAACAAGCGCAACAATCGCGCGTCCTTTCAAAGCATGCCCATTGAAAACGGCTCCAACCCACGAAACAGTAACGAGAAAAACCGACGCCGCGACTAATATGAAATCGAACAAGATACGATAACTAGGATATGGAGAGCGTTTATAGCACAATAGCCCGATATTGATCAAGGACCACAATCCACAACCGCTGAGCTGCATTTATCGATTCTGTTAGACATCGATCACGTGAAATGCCAAGCAGTCAGTCACACTACCTCCGAGTCTCCAACTTACGAAGAAATAATAGTAAAATTCCTGCGCGGGATAATTCACCCCACTAACAGCGACGATACCACCAATCGCGGAAACAAGTGAAAGAATTCGTAACAAGAGAGAGAACCACGTCTTAGTGAAAAACCCCATAGTCGAGTACGTGTACAGAAGTCCATGGATGCTAGGGACAAAAACATTGAACAAAAATGCAATTATAGGTGATCGGTGCCCCTGAGTTAGAGTCCGATGGGGGCTATTTTCAATCCGAGTTTTAAGGAGCTAAGGATTGAGAGGGTTTCTTGGCAAATGGCGTTTAGTTGATTCAATGTTTTTTGGTTCTGGAAGTTCCATTTCTTTAATGCCAATGTCTATTGGGTTTGCTGGTAAGTCTAGAAATAGACGGAGCTGGAATCTGTATCAGATAAGAACTTCCTAGGAAACAACAACTTCAAGTTGGTTAGAATCCAATCTCAATACTCCATAACGGGGAAGAACATCGGGAAACCCCCGCAAGTGGAGAAGGCAACATGATAAGAAATCCCCGCCGATAACATTGAAACATAATAAGATGCAGACCCCATTACTTCCACGGTTTAGAAACAATCTATTGATTCAAAGGAACAATGACGAAAACAATGCAGCCATCGCTTCCCAAGCCATCTTCAACTTTATCACTATGGCATCGAACAACGCGCTCATTTCCCCATTTACATGCTAATCGCCTGACTCCCGTACCCGCCTCGACGAAATACCTTATTATTGGCTCAGGGATTTCAGGAGCCTTGACCGCTTGGAAATTGATTGAAAGTGGAGTTCAAGGCGAGGATATCCTGATCATTGAAGCTAGAGAGGCTGTTTCGGGTGCTAGTGGAAGAAATGCGGGACATATCCGACCGGGTGAGTATCATTCTGTCTTCCAACGCCATTCTATCTACCACTGACACCTGTGTATGTGACTAGATTCTTTCCGTGGATTTCTTGATTACGCGAAATTTCACGGACCAGAACAAGCAAAGAAGATCCTGGAGAATGAACGGGTTGTTCTGGAGAAGGTTCGCGCATTCGTCCAAGAGCACAATGTCGACTGTGATTTTAATTACCTGAGGACTTTTGAGGTCGCGCTTACGGAGGTATTTGTCGCCCTTCTTAGTAAATCGCTGGCGGCGTTCAAGGAGGCCGGTGGTGATGTTTCTCACGTCAGGTTCTACGAAGGGGAGGCAGCCAAGGCGGAAACAAGGGTCCCGGGCGCACTGTGTGCTTATGAGTCGGCTGCTGCATCGAACCATCCTGGAAAGCTGGTACAATGGATCTTGAATGACTTTATTACCAAAGGTGGTAAGCTGTGGACGCACTGTCCAGCAACGAGGGTTGAGAGGTCTCAATGTATGAATAATCCCTTCAGATGGGAGGTCCACACTCCGCGTGGTACTATCGCTGCTGAGACGGTCGTTCATTGCACGAATGCTTATGCGGCATACCTTCTGCCGGAATTGGAAAAGTTCATCACGCCTCGTCGATCTCAGGTCAACTCGTTTGTTCCACCCCTTTCCCTGTCCGGTGGGGATACTTTGAAACACACCATGGCGCTGAGATATCGAGCGGATCATTTTTTCTCGGTCAATTCGTTGAATAACGGTATGGTGGTGCTTGGTGGGACGGGCACTCGAAGCAGCGTAGATATGACATCCGAAGACCTGATCACGTTCGACGATTCCAAGTACAGTGATCGTCTCGCGCAAAACAGCACCAGGGAATTCCTGGATCTATGTCGGGAGCCGGACGCCACTCTACTCCGCCACGGTGAAGGGCTGGATCATGCGTGGACGGGGATTATTGGCATGACGGCTGATCATGCACCGTTAGTTGGGCCGATCGAGGGACTGGAAGGTCAATGGATTTGTGCCGGATTTAATGGTCATGGTAAGTCATCCCTCACTTATACTTTGATCACTACTGACAGGCACTAGGCATGGCTGGAATCTTCACCTGTGCTCCTGGCTTGGCCAAGTTAATATCGGGCCTTTCGTGGGCAGATACTGGTCTTCCAGAATGTTTCCAGTTTAGCACGGCGAGAATCCAACGGCTCAACCAGCATATAAAGAGCACTTTATAAGTCCATTGTGGGTTACGTATACCTAGGTTACTGAACGGAGCATTACAGCCTTCTAAGCTAATCATGGCTATTCTATTCTACTGAGTGCAATGATTGAATGGGAATTATGTATGAGTTTGAATGATTATAATTGCTAATTATCAAATCTCGATATCACAGGGGAATACATCAAGTCCATTGCAGACATACATAATAAAGCAGACACAAAAATTGAATATTTGAATGAAAAGAAGAAATAGAAGTTGATGATTCACAGAATTAACCACAGGCCCTTTTCCTCATCCTTTCATTCTCAGAGATGATTTCCTTGTATCGTTCATTTGTCGGTCTCCCATATCAAAACCCTTTCTGAGGGATGCGAGCATAACGAGCTAGTTTGCTCTCCTTGCTGTAGTAGATCCTCACGGGTTGTAGTCGCGGAATGGTAAGACATGATCCCAAGCTGGAAGTAGTAGAAGTAGTAAAGTTGGTGAATCAGGTTTGGACTGGAGATGATAAGAAGGAGAAAAGAGTTTGGTACTTGGAAGGATTCCCAATGATCCTGTAGCAAGTCATCTAAATTACATAGAGACCATGAGCCATACATGGTTCGGCAGCCTCAGGAATGGTAGGAAACTTGAAATCCCAAATTAGGACACTTCATGTACAAGGTCTCTCATCCTTCAGGTTAAGCATACTGGAAGATACCTACAGATCGGTCAGCATCAAGCCAATATGCTAGAAAGTCCGTTTAGTTAATGTGTGTAATTTAAAACTTCGATAATGTATCAATTCAAATAAATGAGATACATGACGAAAACTAGCTGGGAGCCGAAACTCGACAACGCTGGGAACGCTAATGGTCGATCGTTCACAAAATGAACTTGGAAATCAATAAAAAATGGTTGATAGCGTCAAAATCCGCAAAGATGCATCGAGAAAATCATCAAGGTGCATGAAAGTGCGGAAAGAATCATAAAAATATCATGAATCGTGGACTCCGTAACCCACTTCTCCCCTTTTCCTTTCAAATTTTGTTTTTTTCTCCTATTTTCTTTTTCAACTTTTTTTTCTCATTGTTGCAGTTTCATAAAGAGTATCATCTCTCTCCTCAGAAGTCGTGATCATTGAAGCTAGTCCATCAAGTTGACGTTGATGGTCGAATTCAAAGTGCTGAGGAATGAGTAACCATGCTCTTCAACTGCGTATCCAATGACTTTATTGCCGTTCTCTACATCCTCGAGGGTCTTGTTGGCTGCATTGTACTTGACAAACAGATCCGACTCGGCCTTTGGAACAAGAAATAGGCTGAATTGGGCTTCTGGAAAGTAGTAGCAATCAATGAAGATGTTCATTATTTTGCTGCGATCCTCGCATAGAAGACTGATCTTTGCTTTCCCCTTTCCAAGAGCTTCGGCTGCTACCCGTTTTCCACGTCTAACCCACGTCCATCGGAAGGGAATTTCATCGGGGCCATACGCATGATATTCAACCATGGAAGACAGGTCTGCGCAAACATGAATTCCTCGGCCATTTACGACAAGCCAGTCCTTTTTGGACGCAGTGAAGTTGTTTGCGGAATCGAATACCGATCCGATAAAAGCGGATTGTGGCTCGGATTTGGTGACAGGTTTGGCTGTAGTGCTTTGGCTAGACGCTTTCTCTGGAATAGAGCCTTTCTGCTTCGTTCCTATCACACTCTTTGCCGGCTCTTTTACTGGAGCCACCACCTCCTGTTTCACTCCAGTCTGAATTTGACCCCTCTTCACTGGAGTCACTGGAGTCACTGGAGTCATTGGAGTCACTGGGGGAACCTGCTCTGGCTTTGAGCCAGTCTGACCTTGATCCACCTTCATCACCGGAGTCTTCTTCTCCGAGGTGGTTTTCTTCTCTGGCTTTGACCCAGGCTGATCCTGATCCAGCTTTTTGATTGGGGTAATCTGATCAGTCTTCGGGCCCATCTTGTTTTTCTCAAGGGCTTTCAGCGGAGTGTTTCCCTGTTGCTTCGCTCCAGTCAAGCTTTCCCCGCTCTTTTTGAGCAGATATTCATTTTGGTACGTCTCCATGTTAGTCCCCATCATAAAACACCAGATGTTGTAATCCGGTTTCCATAGCTTTGGACGGGTGGCTGGATTGAGGTAAAAGCACTTTGCAGCGGTGTGGTACTTTTGCCCACAATACGCGCATTCCTTGCTGGCTTTCGAGGGCAATGTCTCACGTAGATTCTGCGCGTAGACAGATGGCTTGACCCCGTCGGGAGGAAAGTGCTTCCGCTCAGGGCCGATGTTCGTTGCGAGCTTTGTGGTAGGGGAATCGTCTGCTTCGTTCTCCACCGCGGCGCTTTTCTGCGCCTGCCTGTGAAGTGATGCTTTAAATGCCACCAGTTCTTCGCCGTCAATTTCGAGGTCCATTTTAGTGACTGCATCACGATCGGGAATGTTCAAGTTTCGACCTTGCTGATATTTCGGCTGATTATCAAGGCGTTGAATGATTTTGAAGCAAAACAAGTGGAAGTCCACAACATTAAATTCACTCCATAGATCGCATTCGTCTGCTCGTCGATTCAATTCTGAAATCGCGGCAGTCACAATGCAGCTATTTTCCTTCGTGTCAAGCTGGTTCACAAGCTTGCAGGCGGCGAAATAAGGCGGAATTTGAACCTTCAGTTCCCAAAGACGCTTGAAATGTTCCTTGAACTTCCAGATAAAGTCTTGCGGTGTTTTATGGCTCGACAACTTGATGGATGAAAGTGTGGCCACCCCATCCATGTCTGCAAAGACCCCTGGGGATTGGAATTTTTTTTTGGCTTGTTCCACAAATTCGTCGGCCAGCTTGATAGAACTTCCTTGGGACGCGATTTCCGCTAGCAAGGACTCCGAGACATTCTCAGCCAGATAGTGTCTCACCAACTTCGAATAGTCTAACCACCGTGTGGCCGCCTCGCTTTGCATGTCGGGTCTGGGGATGTGGATGTCAATAAGCTTTCCCAGGCCCACTGACTTCAAGCGGCGCGTTCTGTTGCGCAGCCAGCGGTTGAAGTCCTCGGGTTCCACCAGTCGGTCCATTTCGCTGAAAATATCGATGTTTATCTGGACAGGTAGATCCGTGGCTTGGTCGATCAGTACATTGTGGTCGAAGGAAGAGGGCTTCATTTTGGCAATGGTGATTGGTTTTCTGTCCTGGACAGGATTTGATGGCGATATCAAAGTGAGAGATCTTGAACATTAAAGGACACAAAAGTCCCAGGTACTAGGCTCGTGGATGAGAAAGAAGAGGACAAGAGAAGTGAGGGAAGAGGAGAGTTGAAGGATGGAAGGAAAGAAAGAAGAGGACAAGAGATGTTGGCGAAGAAGAGGGTTGTAGGATGGAAGGAGAGAAAGAAGATGGTGGGGGGAACAAAAGTAAACAACAACATTGATCGCCTGATAATACCAGTTGACTCTGAGGCTCTATCGAATATATTCTTTTGATCTAATTCTATATCGTACATAATCTATTTAATCTATCGATCATTTCCCCTTGGTATCGTCTATTGACGCACAAGAACACCACGGTAGCGCATTTTGCCCTGACGGAGGGTTTCCATTGCCTCTTCAACTCCCTCCCTGTTCAATGGGAACTTCATTGTGGTCGGCACAATCTTCTTGGCCGCCGCGAACTGCACCAAAGAGCGAAGGCTGTGTCGAGATGCCACCAGGGAGCCCTGGATCCGGATACCCTTGATGTTCATGGCCAAGAGCGGGACAGGCGAGGGCGCAAAGTCGACAGTCAATGGGTAAATAGATCCGTGAATATCCATCAAAGGAATGAGACTAAAGAGGTCAGTAAAAGCCCATATTACCCACATCGACTCGAGAACTTACGAAGGATAATCAACGTTAGCACTGCCGCAAAGCAGGAGGTGGTTCACCGGCTTGCAGTCCTTCAGCTCCTCACCCTTGCGGAAGACATGATACTCGGAGGCACCGAAGCTGAAAGCCTCTTGCCGCTTGGCTTCAGAGCTGGAGAACACAACAACATGGCATCCCATGGCAGAGGCCAGCTTGATGGCCAAGTGACCCAGACCACCGATACCCATCACAGCGACTCGGTCAGTGGGACGAATACCGTATTCAGTCAAGCAGGTCCAAACTGTGGCGCCAGCGCACATCAGAGGAGCAGCATCTGCAGAGTCGTATCCGTCGGGGATTGGAACGACACAACCAGCATCCCAGACAACACCGCCGCTGAACGATCCGAGATCATGGTCATGTGAGCCGTATTCCTTCTTGTTCTCGCAGTACTGGTCCCATCCTGGAGTTCATGTTAGCCAGCTCCTTTTCATATCTGACTAGCTCAGGACATACCAGTCAAGCACTTCTCGCAAGTCCCGCAGACATAGTGTGTGTATCCAAATCCAACACGATCTCCAACCTTGACGTCCTTGACATCGGGGCCAATCTGGCGCACAACACCAACACCTTCGTGGCCGAGAACCATACCAGACTTCAGGAAGTGCTCGTCCGTTCCACAAAGACCGGAGTGTGTGGTCTCGATGAAGACTTCATTGTGGCCCAAAGTGCGGGTTGTGGTGTCGCCAACAATCTTGCCCTCCTTCGAACCTCGAAAGACTTCAAATGTGACACTCATGGCGTTGGATGTGGATTGAAATGATAAAGGTGTAGATGGGGGGCGTTATCAATATAATTCTTAAAAATGAATGCCAACAAAAATCCGGAACAGGGTCATATTTAAATTGAAGCTCAGAGGCCCCATAGCTCTGAATTTTCAGCATAAAAACAATCTTGGCGTTTTTTATGTGCCGAGGCGTTTAACAAAAAATTGAATAAGGTTATTCTAGAGAATTCTACAGTACAAGTTCCATGGGCCCATAAGAGGCGATCGCAACCCATTGTGAAGGGAGCTCCGATGGTTCCACTAATCCGGTTGCTCCGTAGCAGGATATTTTATCGCTTGATCTACCAGTTCGGGAATTCGCCCGTTGAATTAAGGTCCACCAGGACCGAGTTTTCTCCTGGGGCGGTCCAATTCATTGCCCCGAGTAACAGAGGACTCGGCGACTTTTGTATCCACGTCATTTTTCTGTAAGTGCCGGGCCGATGTCACGCCCAAGGCTTAATTTACTCAATTTACTCTGTAATTAGTTTAGCTTCTTATTCTTATTTGGATCTGCCGCCCAATGTTATCACGTGATGAAAATGAAATTTTAAAAAATATCAATTTATTAGGCAAGCTATTAGCTAAGCAGGCAATTGCAAGTAAATTGATCAAGTCTAGACTGTCGCCTGCGTCAAGACTCATGTACCTGGATTGGCCACTCCTTTCCCTTTCCCTTTGTAGTCTTATTTTCATAGGTGTTAAGGACCTACTTTTTTTACTTAACAATAGATACTTGGGTACAGGTAGCTTGCGACCGTGGAAACAATATCCGGGAGCGTACCATTGGCCCAACGCACGTTGTATGGGCTAGAACGAGCCAGTGGTCTGGGAAAAGCATCATGGTTCCAAATCTTTGGGATGTCAAAGCCAATCTGTCCCGTGTCTCAAGGCCAAGGGTTGAATATTGTCAGTGCTCATAATCTTCTTTTCTACTTTGTGGGATCATTCCACATTCGACTGTTTTAGAATCTATTTTTCGGAAGATCTTCCAAGGACAATAGCAAGGAGAATGGAATCTTCACGGCAGGGTTTCGAAACCCTGGTCGTTTTCAGCTGGCGTGCCAGAGTGTCGGGTCTCTGTGTTCAAATCATCAATACAGTAGCTCTAATCATAAGCCTTTCCCAGATTCCCCCAGGCTTGCATATCCACAAATCAGCGATCCTCTTCCCCACTAGGTCTACCCACAAGGGTCCGAGATTTCTTTCTTCACGGTGTAATTAGAGCCCTGCACACATCATTTCAGGAGATTTAGTAGCCTCACACTAGTGCAGGGATCGCAGTGCATATTCTAGATTGAATACAGTAATGATTACCATCCTTCGCCCCGGATACTGCGAGACTTGACTGCGAAGGGTAAGCTAATCTCTCGGCCCACTCTCCCCAAATTGTCGGGTCTCTCTGATGTGATATCACCCCGCCTCCTTAAATTTCCCAGTCATTTTCCCTTCTATTCATTCTGCGCTTCAAAATCGGACGATCTTGCTACTATCATATCGAAAGCTATGAAGAAAGGAGATTCCAACTCTGGGGAAGATGGGGCCATCACGGTGGTAAGTGGATAGCGAAAGTGAGACCGACCGGATTTCCCGCTTATGTCCACCTGCAGGACCCCAGCTGTCAAACAATGGAAAATGGTGTCCAGTATAGCGACATCAATTCGTAAGTTTTTGCACTGTTTTGAACATCACTTTGTGTTATCTAACTTTGAATCAGCGAAACTTTTTCTCTATCCTCCTCGATATATCGGGGAGTGATGGAAAATGGCCGACGGTAGGCTGACCAGCACAGTCCTGACTGGAAATATCGCTGATACATTTACATTCAGGTATCAAACTATGCGCGAGGGCGAGTATTGGTAAAACAACATCTATGATTTGATTCCAGGTATGGGCGCTAACTTGGACAGGGGTCCTGCAGATGACCAGCATTTTGAAGCACTAGAGGCAGGGTAATTACTCTGCATTGTCAGAAAAATCACGTGCTGATGTAGACAGGTATCTTTCACAACTTGTGATGGACTCGGAATCTCCAAACGCACTATTCCAGTCTCCCATTCAAAATCCTCAGGTATCGCCATTACTGATCTTATAGCGTTGAAATGGAAGGCTCATTCATCTTTGCCACAGAATGTTCTTGATATCGGTACAGGTCGAGGAACCTGGGCAATGTGAGTGTACTCAGTCGAATGGAAACAAAAGTGGCTAATGGTATGTGATAGTGACATTGCAGATATGTTCCCCAGTGGTATTTTCTTCACCTACCCCTTCTGCTCGATTAAGCTGACCCTGTAAGCCATGGTTCGCGGAGTCGATCTTTTCCCACCGCCTATCGATTGGATGCCTCCCAATTGCGTCCTAGAGGTCGACGATGTTCTCCAAGATTGGACATGGCGCGACCCGTTCGATTTCATTCATATGAGCATCATGATAGGCGCCTTTTCCAAACAAGAATGGAAGAGCGTGTACCAACAATGCTACGAGTAAGAACTTTTCACGAATCGGAATGGGCATTTAAATAACACCAAGAATTACCAGCAACTTAATACCCGGGGGCTGGATCGAGCAATTTGAAGGATCCTGTAACATCATGTCGGATGACGGCAGTCTACCCGAGGACAGCATTCTTGCAAACTGGGGAGATAATCTCATTGCTGCCGCGAACAAATCAGGACACCCGATGGGCACACTCGATACCATGCGGGAGCAGATTGAAAATGCCGGCTTCGTCGACGTACACGAGAAGGTGTACAAATGGCCGATTGGAGGCTGGGCAAAGGATCCCGTACTCAAGGAGGCGGGGAGACTAAATTCAACAATGTGGAAGTCCGGCATGGAAGGGTGGGCAATGTATCTCCTCACACGATACGGTTCCCCTAAGCCGTGGGCGAAACAAGAAGTTCAGGTTCTAATTGCAAAAGCTCGTTCCGAGTTGAAAGATCCGGCACATCACGTATATATCCCAGCGTGAGTTTGCGACAGCATTGTCAATTCCCCCGAACTAACTTCCTCTTAGGCGACGCATCTGGGCACGCAAGCCTACCAATGAAGAGGTAGCGGAGCGGAGTAAAGGCACGCCAGAGTCTACTCGGACTGTGCAACGAGTTGAAAGGGCACCCGTGCCTATCTCCGAATCTCCCACATCCAGCAGATCCAAGTCGTCCTCACTGGAGAGGCCAGCCGCTGTGAACCTTTCTTATCTCCAAAGTTCACCTGATCTTGAGGATTCTTCCACCACAGATGCAACATCCCCACGTGCATGTTCTCCTCGTGATTGGAACAACATATGATGGCCTAGGGAATGATAACTTATTCTATGTGCTACTGGAAATCCTTGGGCTCTTATTACATCAACAATATACAAGAAACGCGCAAATCGAAACTAGCCTTGAAGCCTTCTGTTTACATTTCTTCTTTGCAGCACTCACAACATATCTATCCCTATGTCATTGGTCTGTGGAGTAAAGCTTCTCAAGACGACATGGGGCAATTCCGGGTTCTAACTAGTAGGCATCTGCAAAAACCAAGGGCGTCGCTGCCTTAGAAGTTGGGCATGTTTTCACTTAGCTATGAACACAATATCACTTGTTTTCAATGCGTCCGCGCTATTGGTTGATCCTGAATGACAGTGTGATCCTGACCCTTCGCGTGATAAGTCGATCCTTGGAGAAGGACGTGATCTTGAGGCTCATTCACTTCACCCCCAGTGACCCCACCCACTACTATAAATACCTCTTGTCTCACCTTCCGAACCTTCTTTCCTTCTTCCTCCATCACTCCTTTGAGTTCAAACTTCAAACTTCCATCTTCCATCTCTTCCATGATCCAATTTCAAAGTCAAACTCAACCCTCCATCTTCAAACTTTAACTTTGAAATCTTCATCCATGTTTTCATCAACACAAACAGCTTCACATCATGTCAAACCCCCTTGATGTAGTGTTCACTCACTTTGATCAACAACTTCCATCCTGGCCTGCCGAGTTCCAAGGTTTGTTTACAATTCTATTCCTGTGGCTTTGCTAACCTTTCAAGACTGCCAATCTTTCTTCCAGATGACCTTCCATATTTTGCTTCCACACCAAATGAGTCTGCTGAAAAGCCACTCTTCCTCCCTGAAGCTTTCATCCTACATCTGCAAACAGAATCTACGAACTCGTCACCGTCAACAAAGATGTTTAGCTTATGCTCCTCTCTGAACAGGCGTCACTTTTGTGTCGGGATAAATTCATTGAGGACTGAGTCAGGATAACACTTTGGGCTTTGAAGTCGTCAGCGACTTCAAGCTTTTCTTTTCTTTCATGTGGTGTGGAGGGACAACCCACTGGGCGCATTTGCGGTGAAGAAGCACCTGTTGTGGCAAGGAGGATACAGCCTCAGTCACGGTTCCATCAATGGCATGCGGTGAAGAAGCACCGGCCACAACAGGAGGATGTGCCACTTTTAGCGTTCTGTGGGATATCTGGGATGGTGGAATCAGAGACAGGAAAAAGGATGAACTTCTTGTTTATCTTTATGAAATCTCCATACTCATGTTGTCTTTGTTTACATTTGAAATTCTGGAACTAAAAATGACTCAATGAGACCCAATTTGCCCTTGCTTTGACTTGTCAACAAAAAGTTATGAGTCTTGGTCTACACAGTCTTGTCAATGTTCCTATTCAAATAATCACATCAATATGCCTACATCGCTTCCAGATCCTTTTGAGGACTGACTCCAGTACTTAGAATTCTGAATCTCAGTTTCAAAATCCTACGTCAATATGTAACTTCCAGTAATCAATGGCCCAAGCTGTTCAATATACTGCGCGCTCATTCGCTCCACCAATGGGATCCCATGTTCCCGCCCCACATGCAAAAAAACATCCACATTCCCACCATCAAGTGCGGGACGAAGGCAAAAAGAATGACCAGACTGGGGCTCGATCCCAGGACCTTATCGGTGTTAACGATACGTGATAACCAACTACACCATCCGGCCGATTCATATATGCGTCTCGCAAATTATGGTATATGTTCTTTGACTTGAGATAAATACGCGCTAAACCCAATAGCGTAATTCCTAGGTTACCATCGATATGCGATGACCAGTTACACAAATGATGTAAATTAATATTGCCCTTTAATCTGACATATTTATTCCATCTTTCCCTCTGTAAGTGGAGGTCTAATGTGATTTTCATAACCAATATTGAATCTAATTGAAAATGTCTATGGGATGACTGGGCGAACGAATGCGGGAACTAAAATGTCCGCGCAAAACATGCGAGGCCAACAATCTGCACCGCGTCGTCCAACGTCGTATCGACGACGCCTACGAAAATATTAATCTGACGTCAACTTCCACCTTGAGTGACTTCTAGTACCTACTCTGCTTGTCGTAAATCTACGGATGTAGACTGAAAGATCGCATATGGGGTATGTTGGAACCTAAGTTTTGGTGGGTGGGGGGGAAGAGCGATGCCGATTGCCGAAATAGATGTGCTAGAATTATCCGGGCTGAGGGATCACAAGATTGAAAAGGGCGTCATTAGAATGCCGGTGATGAAGCTAGAAGGTAGCAAGTAAATGATCAAGGCCGTTTGCGAGAAATCCGGGGGAACTTATGTAGGCTTTCCTCCTCCACTTTTATTCAAGGGAAAGGAGAAGGACAGATCTTACTCCTTTACGCTCCCCCCGAAACAGGAAAGACCCTTACCGCTGGTATTTACCTAATATCGGAGCGAGGTTTAAATCGATGATGGTTTTCTAGAGTCTATAGCGGAGTATATCGGTTGACCTCTACTAAGCATTAGTACTTCCGATCTGGGCCATGAGCTAGATCTGCTCGATTACAATCTGCCTTTTTTCTTCCGAAATACGATTAGATGGAACGCAATCATTCTCCTCGACAAAGCAGACGTTTGCCTCGAGACTCGATCCGCCTAGGATCTCCGACGCAATAGCATTGTTTCCAGTAAGCGGACTTGGCGCATTGACACTCACCCAGGCGACACCCACCCGACAGCTAGCCGCATTCAAGTCATATGCAGGTCGGTTTATATTGTAGGTGACCACATGCTAATCCTGGTGCGCTGTTTGAATGCTGCTTTTCTTGTTCTTTTTTGTTTTGATTCGTGGAAATTCCGTTGGCGCCCAACTCTTCAGCCCCATTCCCGTCTTGGAGCCCTAAACGCCTTTATTTTCCACCTGGACGCCCTGTACGCCCCTGAAGCGCTGATGCTGACGTAGGCTTCCCCTCTCGTGCTGACACATTCCCTGTAGATGCATCGTTACAGTCACAACGATTCGATCTGGCGCCCAAAGAACCCCCTACTTAGAGCCCCTTCTCAATTGCACTTCCTCTGTTAAGATACTCAAAGAATTTCTCAATACTTTAACTCCGATTATTTCGAGTACTGAATCTCCAAATTCTTGATCGTCCAGGCATAGACATGACTTACACGACTTACCTTTGGTGGTGTTGTGATTGCTCATTCGGGCCTCATAATTCTGCTGTACACGTCGCATGCATATACTGTGCGAGGAGGCGATGCTCGCTCTGTATGGTTGATATGGTAACCGATGGCAATCCAGAACCGGAATTCGATGTTTCCATTCAGTCGCCTAGCCCGTCCATCGAATCACAAGAATATACTTCTGAGGATGAAGTATTAGAAATATCCGAACAACCTAATGAGAACAATGGAGAACTCGATCGTGAGTCAATGAAATATTCATAGTAGCCCCAAATTAACGCTTGTCTACAGGGCGAAAATCCACACCTGCAAGAGGCCCAGTTCTAAATCCGCCTACCCCTCGACGCCAGGTACAGGAAGGGTCTATTGACGGCGCTATTCTTCCTAGCATAGTCCAGACAATGAACCAAGGATCCGTCGGCAAATCATCAGAAACGCTACGGAAAAGCTTGGAAAGAGACTCTGGTTACGCCTCGACATCGCGGCCTGCAATGTTGGCTCTCTCTTCGGAGATCACTTTCCGGCCAAACATCGGACCACCAGTTCCAGGAACACTGAACGAGACTAGATCTGGATATTACCACGAACCCCAGTCCCTTGCGTCCGACAATGAAGATATAAGCTCGCAAGTATCCGGCGACACTGACAACGAAGAAAAAATGGCCAGTCAAGCTCTAATCAGGGTATTTCTCGCCGAAGAGCCTCTCTTCCGAGACTTATGCCAGAACGCCATAGTTCAAATGAGCAGAGAGCGCTTTGTGGAGAATCTGCAACGATTATTGAAATCCTTTCACAAGAATCTTTCTGCAGAAGCAGAAACCGAAGCTGAAAAGGCTGTCGCTAGAATATTGCGGAGCAGGCAAGGAAGGCAGCGAATCAGCCAGCAGCTCGCTGTTCATATCCTAGAAGAGCAGGGAGAAGGCCTGAAGAGTGACCGGACTATTTCTGAGATGAAAATATTTATGCGAAAAGCCAGATCATTCCAAGTCCTTCTGAAGGATTTCATGATTATGTTTCTCCCTTCTGATTTGCAATGTGTTCTTCTGTCGATCCCTAAAAATAACATTTGGGTTTCACAGGAACAGGATTTATCGCTCATAAATCGGGCAAAAGGGTGGATAGAAGATCAAACGCAAGCAAGATGGAATTGGTGGCCACTGAAGCCGAGAAAACGGTTGCTCAGGGATAGTGAATCTCGAATGTTCTGGCAATGTGTAAGTCGATCTTAGTACTTTGTAGGTCAATGCTAAATTATAGAAGACTTGCAGTGCACAGCAGTGGCAAGAAATCACTACAGAGCAACATGCAATTGTGGAAAAAATACTCGTCCTCTCCGATGACAGGCCTCAGTCGCGATATAGTTGCAGGACAAAAATAGAGGTTACGACAACACCCACCTGGCTCAATGAAGACACAACTCAAAAAAAACATTCTTCACCATCATCTACCGCAGAATCAGCAGCAGCTCAAAGATATACACCTTCAGGGAGCGATTCATCCGGCTCGCTTCTGCGACGTGGATCGTCAACTAGTAACAATAACCATCCAGCGACAACGGTTCCAACGCAGCCTACCCCAACAAACCCCATTTCAAATCAAAATATGCAGACGAATCCAACAGTTCCAACTGTTCAATCCCAAAGCTGGATCTTATTTGGCGTTCAAGGTGCACAGCGGACTCTCACGCCGGCTCAAATCTTGGTTCATGACTACAGTACCGATTATAGTGTTTTCAAAGACATAAAAAAATTCTATCGAATGCATCGAGGTCTCCTGAGATTATGGTTCTCTATTTGGCAAATGGAAAATTGCGAGGTCGTCAAGGTACGGTCCAGTCGTCCTACTAAAGCCAGGTAGGCTAACTATTCACCAATACTAGTTCAACAGATTGTCCCTTAAACGTATGGTTCGCGAATACAGGGACCTTCCCGATCATCAAGACTACCAGTATAAGCCCCGTGCCGGAGCTATCGACGCGAAGAATCCTCCAATTTCGCCTCATTTATTTGAGGCTTTATTCTACACTTGTTGCGCCCCTTGCTCCTGGCCAATTCCTCATGACTGTATGCTTCCCCCGAATGGAGCAAGGTGCCTAGAACGCATTCCGAAAAGGTCAAGGTGTTTTGAAAGCGATCAAGGTTCGCCCATATGGGGCCTTGAAGCTGTCTTTGCTGTGTCTTTCCTTCATGTTCTTATCTACCACTGCATCATGGTGGCTGGCCCATTTGCATTTTTCTGGTGGTGGATTCGGACTCATCCAGGTGATTTACAGGACGCGTCTGTCCCGGTTACTATCGTTCTAGGTGCCTTATCTTTTTTTTGGAGTGCTGCTGGAATCCTTACGAATAAAAGGCTAGACTGAGTACCTAAAATTGTGAATCAATTCAAATATATAGGTTAGGTTGGGCGTCTTCACGCCAAAACTTCAGATGAACAAGTGCCCTGATCTGCATAAAAATAGCCTATGGGGTTGAACCACCTGGGAAGAGACGGAGAAGTGACTGCGCTTTATTGCTTATCGCTGTTGGCGCGAAGGTTCGACATTGTTAGTTGCGATACGATGCTAGCGCGATCCTAATGACTTTGGGCTAGATTTATACTCATTGCATCCCAGTGTTGTAGGACTGGGTAAATTTGAAATGGATAATATCGGGATCAAGCGATAATAATAAGCTCTCGCTTGGAAAACTTGCGCCGGCATTTGAATATATATTTACGTTAGCTGGATGCAAATGTATATATTTTGCAACTTGAAATCTAATATTTATTCAAGTGTGTCGAAATTTCATCGGAAATTTCCATTGCAATAAAGGATATTGAATCCAAGCATCAAGTACTGAAAGCAGGCCAAGACTTAAATAATCATAGCTGAGCATCCAGAAAGCCCCAAGGCAAAACTATTGCGGGTCGGTAGTTCTTGATCCACATTGTGGATGCATTGGTGTTACGAAATAAGATTTTAGTTTATAGGGACAATATCCCCACCTTTTTTCATCAATTGGCCGGATGGTGTAGTTGGTTATCACGTATCGTTAACACCGATAAGGTCCTGGGATCGAGCCCCAGTCTGGTCAATCTTTTTGCCTTCGCTTTCACCACTGAAAGAGTGGTTGACGCTTTTTTATTGCGTGGGCAGATTTATTTATTTATTTATCTATTTTTATTTATTTACTTATATATATATATATATATTTGCAAGCGATGGGATTTTCTTACCGCCGTAGCTACCTATCAGGCCCTGTGCAGTGGATGGACTAAGAATGTGAATCAAAGCTACGGGGTTACGGAGTTCAAGCGTTGCACACCAATAAAATTTCAACTGGATACACTTTGATTGATAAACTTATCAAGCTTCTGAGTGCATGAAGCACCCGATTCCAAAGAGACTTGTTTATTGTTTCAGTGTCAGCACGCCTGGCCGATAAGGCAGGTAGTTGTAGTCTGCGCTGTCGTTGGGATTACGTCCCTGGTAGAGAAGTTGCAGGTTGCACACATCAACAGTCATTGTTTGATCAGGGTTGGTGCGAACAAGATCGCCGTGGCTAATGTCGTTGGTCCAGGTGGCGCCACTGTTGGCCTTTCCAGCAAATGGATGGCTCTCAGTACCGGCTTGCACTGTCCACGAACCATCCAGGCTTTCAGCCGTGAATGAGCGGAAGTATCGTCCATTTGTCCCTATCGCCTCGACGATCATGAGGTATTTCTTGTAGCCCTGAACAGTGTACACTTGGACCGCCTCAAATAAGTTGTTAGTCGTATCACTTAAGATGATCTCCGATGACGTGCCGAAGTTACCCGGAAAATCGTCGATAGGCATGCTGGCTCGGTAGATCTTTCCATTATCTCCTGCAAAGAAAAGATACATATTTTCATCGTCTCCAATGACTGTCTGGTCGATAGCACCGGTGCTGGAGCCGGAGATGGTTCCAGAGAAAAGTGGCTGCTCCGATGACCATCCATTGGCGTTGGTGGGATCGCTGGATGTTCGATAAGAGAACGCGGTTGAACCCCATTGGTAGGCCAGAACCCAGATGCTCTTTGGCGCAAAGTAAAAGAGGGTGGGTGCAACAGTCGAGTGGGTCATTGCGGTTTGTTTCGCCGAGGCCATGTTAGACCAGTCTGAGAAGAGACCGAAGTTCATCGAGCCATAATTTCCATCAGATGTAACGATTGACCCATATACAAGATGCTGGCCGTTGTAGACAACGTTGGTGAAGTCTTTCAAGGACACCCAGTTTGAACTGGGCTCTGCTAGTGCATTGGTGGATGTCCAACTGTAGGTCGACGGAAGATCGCAGGTCGCTGCAACGCCTGGTAATGCATAGAGCAACAAAGTGCCAGCTGAAACAAAACCAGCAGTAATGGAATACTTCATTGCAGTGTGTTGCAGGTAAAAAATAACATAAGGTTCAAATGCCCCGGAATTGAAAGAAAGAAGGTCAAACAGAGATCAATCAGGCTTATATATCCACATGAGACTTGAGTTTAGGATGATTGAAGCAGGTAAACAGAATGTTGAAACCAATCATTCGGTTGTTTTCCCGGATATAGTCCGGTTCGAAGGGTGAATTGACTGGTAAATCGCTTGGCTTCATACAAAATTTCATTTTTGCCGAGAAGATAGCGGGGAAAGCAATAAGCAGAGACACAATGGCTGAATTTGAAACTGAAGAATTGCCTGAATACTTTTCTTCATCGGCGCTTCTACTATATGTGGTCAAAGTATGTGGGGTACAGCTCAAGCCTCAAACGGAAGTTCCCCGGCGGACTGCAACCTGCCCAATGACAGAGTGTCATATCAATGGTGGCTGCATGTTGGCTTCTCTAGTTCGGCGACCCGTTCCCTGTATGATGATTTAGGTTACCTTCATGGACCCTGGTGCATAGCCTAAATTTTGCTTCAATTTAAGGCAATTCTATGACAACCCATCCTTCCGTATGCCAGACTAATAGAATAATCACCAAATTTAAGTAGAAATTACAGCTCATATATGCATAAGCTAAGCTTCTTCCTTTTGTTTCTCATGATCGACCGTCTATTACTTGGGTACACCGCGGGCTTTTTGAACATACGCTCGAAACCCCCCAGCCCCCGTCTTTTCATGTTTTCTTTCTTTTCCTTCCACTTTTATTTTATTTTCTTTCTTTCTGCTACGTATAAATTTGGGGAGCCCTTTGACTCTTTAACTACGGTAGGGAAGAAGGTAGGGTACTGGATGAGAGACGGGGTGGGTAAATGAAAAGCAGACTGAGAAGGAGATATAGTATAATAATCAGTGAATCTACCGAGGCAGGCGCTGCGTGAAATGAGGGGCAGAAAGCCTCTAGTAGATTCTTAAAAGATATGTGCAAATCCTCAACACATGATAGGGAATTAGTGTGTTTATTAGAACCCATGATTCGAAGCAATAGAGTAGTGTAAGATTTGGAAAACGAGAAACTTTTGATCTGCGACTTGAACTTTGAGCCGATCAGGGGGAGTAAGTCGCCAAGGGAAGCGGCATGTTATGTTCGAAGAATCATTGAAATCGGAGGAAAGGGGCACAGCCTCATGTTGGAGCCGTGGAGCGCGACTGTTTAACATGGTTTTTTGGGGTTTCCCTGATATATTCAATCTACGCACGACCCGTGTTGTGTAGTTTTAGTATCATCAGATGTCGATCAACGAATAGAAAGCCAGGCAGAAAAAACGCCTGAAACGTCGTCAAAGGTAGTCATTTGCGCGTTCGCGTTACCCTTAGCGTTGGGGTGTAATACATCAAAAACGTCAAAGCGGAAACACTATGACATGAACACATGAACTTAGTATATGAGAGACAGCCATCCCGAAAAGAAACAAAAAACAAACATACTCGTGAAAAGGGACGCCGTTAAAAAAAGGGAAAAAAAGATCAAAGACAAATGGATCGACCAACCGGACAAATACGTTGGTGTCAGATACTGTCCTCCCTCCTCTTGACTGTCAAATAAGCAGAACTTGTGAAAGTCCCACAGTTTACAGTTTACAAACATAGGTATGAGGTGCGCAAATGGGGCAGGCGGCGCAAAGTAGTTTCCGTCGTGGGCGTAGTTAATGTATCCGCTGAGTTGGCGTGTTTCACTTCGGTGATCAAGGCGGGGCTCAAATATGAAACAAGTCCTAAGCCAGCAAGGGGTCCTTCAGCCACGACGTGCAGTCGGTCCTTATGGTCTCCATGGGATAAATGAAGGAGTCCGGGGAATATCCAGGTCCATCAAAGCGAGAATCAAAACGGAAGCATGAAGGCCCAGGGGAAATGGAAATCACTGAGGTAAACATCCATGGGCTTGAGGATAATCAGAGTGAATGAGAAATGGAATGGCCATACATCCAGAGACTCAGGGGGTAGCAAATCTGACGCGGCGGCGTCGGTCATTAATCATTTTCTCCGTGTCAACATAAAGACGGTCGAAGAACTGCATAGCGCTAGAATCCTTGAGGATCTTTGCAACTTGGGTTCCCGCGGAAATGAGCTGAAGCACGTTACGATCATCCTTGACGGGTCGCGAGCTATGCTTGGCAGCATGGCGCATCTCCAGGGAGTTTTCAAGAACGGTGATGAGCTGCTTGATCTGGCCGTTGTGCAGGGTGTGTCGGGGGATACGACGTCTTGTAGCAAGTCTTTTCAAAAGATGGACCCATTCATTCCATTCCCGGTCTGAAGGAACTTGGACTGGCCTTTTGTCCGTTTCCAGAGGAATGGGGAATTGGTATCTTGCAAAAAACTCATAGGCTGATAGAGAAAGACGGTCATTGACTTCGTGCAGGATTTTATCTTGTTCGGCAGCATCTAGGTTAGTCGGGAGCTGGGGCAGCTCTTCCTCTCGAGTTGGCACACTTCGAGAAGAAGGTGGGTCCAGGATTTGATGGGGGCCATCGAATTCATCGCCCCGGATAGAGGTTCGTCTCTGGGAAATGTACTGGGAGCTTCCTCGGTTTGAATCGGGACCTCGCCGGATGGCTCTTTCCACGATATACGTTGGGCTTTCCGGGGTATTCGGGGGTCCAACATCCTGCCGCAGCGGCTCGTGGACAGGATGATTCCATTCAGAGTATACAGGGACCGGGGGCATGGAGTGCCCAACTGGAGGATAAGACATGCGTCCCATGGACTGATTCATCATATGGCCGTAGTTATCCATAGAGGTTGGGGTTCCTGGGTAGTGAGGGCGTGGTTGTTCAAAATCGACCATGAGCGGACGGTTGTCCCTCACGCCGTAAGGTCGAGGTGTCGACGGTGCCCTTTTACCACTTAGCAAGGATAATGAAGGCCATGAAAGCGCCAGGGTGAGGAATGGAGAGACCACTATACTTGGTATAGATGTACCTTTGCCGAGCATGGATAACGGGAGGATTTCCCGGAGGTATATACATAGAGTTCTGAGCCATGTTGCTGCTGGTAGATGTGAGCCAGTGTTCCCTCCGAAAGCCAGCTGAAAAGAAAAATAGAACGAGGCAAGAGGAATGGTATTTGTTTGTGCTAACCTGGGGCGAGACAGAAAATCCAGCTTGCTGCTGACCGAACCCGCTCGAGATCGTAAGTTTGCTGGTGTCGACAATGGCTGAAAGCTCGCTGGAACAGCCGTCAAAGGGGGAGCAAAGGCCGGAACCATCGAGGCAAACGAATGAAATAAATGTGTATGGACGAAGACTGCGTAGTCCAGCGTACGTTGAAGTCCGAGGCCAAAATTAAAAGGCGTAAAAGGAATTTATGAAAGGGAGTGAAAAAAGCTGGCAAATCCTTGTGCGAAGAATCGCAGGGTGGCCAACTAGCGAGTATTATATATCCAGGACATTCGGGTGGGATCTTTCTGGTAGGTGTGCCTGACGCCTACAGCTGGACCGTGCTTCAACACACCAACAAGTGGACGGAGAGCCGCGTAGGAGCTTCACGCCCAGGGTGGAGAAATCACCATGGGAAACAATGCACCAGTGACCTGGATACTGTTATTAGACATGGGCCAAGTGCATGGAGCTGACAGGGAACAACCCCGGTGCCCCTGTGCCACACCGGTGTCTTTCCATGAATGAAGGTCGATCGATCGCGGTCGAAACCGGTACGTCTTGCACACTGATTCGAAGTAACGGGGGCGTTGCGGAGTGGCTCTAGGATGATTGGAGGAGACGGGTGTCCACATCGGGATGGGGATGAATTTGCAATACATAGCTCAGATCTTCACAAGCTCCAAGGCAGCAGGACCAACAGTAGGCATCGGTACTTCACCCTGCGACAATTGAGCTGCGGGCAACTCCTTTGGGCAGCATGTTGGGCAGGACGGCATGAATCTAGGTCAGGCTCTGATTTCTAGTAGTTTAATGACAACCTGAAAGTTGCCATGAGAGGATCTGCAAGAATAAGATGAGTGAGCCTGACGGTGGAGGCGGAGCACATGGCACACTCGTGATGTTCATCAACAAATGTTCTGTTGTCCGACTTCGATTGAGGTTCGATCTTCACCCGGGGATTGCGCATTGTGTAAGTATTGGGCAGACAAGAACTTGTGGCCCAATCAAAGCATGAGCCGAATTTTTTTGATTATCTCTGGTGGAGCGATCAACGTTCAATTTTGGTTCAAGTTGATTACTTCGGTCGTGATCCGCTTGGAAGTATAACCCGCTTTAGGGACTTTAGCAGCCCAATGAACCGCCCAATGTCTTACATTATGCATAGATCAGACTTGACATGACAAATTTTCCCCATAAAATGTATCGGATCATTTTTTACCTCGAGTGGCAATTAAAATTAGGATAGAGCTAAGGAACGCCTCTGGAGTAGGTGGCTCCCACAATGATCGGGGTTAATTGTTAGGGTCTCCATCTGGAAAGTTTAGTTAACTGTCAATGACATGATTGGTATCTGGGTTCCCTGATTGGCTTGAGATGGGGATTTCTACTCCGATACGACGAGCATAATCCTGCAGTTCCAAAGTAAGTCACCGATTTTACCTTTAACAATTCGAATCAAAACCGCGTAAGATGTCTTACCTCACAGCTTAAACGAATAGAATCCTCAATGCCAATGCGAGCCTCGTACCCCAGGATATCTCTAGCCTTATCTCCGCTAGCATACCGCACGGCACATGCATCCCGTACACTTCCTCGACTCAAAGTGGTGGTGGTCCCAGTCACCCAGGTGGCGATTTCACAGACCAATCCTGCAAACCACGCTAATCCTTCCGGGATTCGAATCTCGAAAGGCGGCACATGCCCGAATTGCGCCCATACTGCCAGACAAAAATCCCGAAAAGTGATGGGTTCATTATTTTGGATAAAGAACGCCTCACCAGCCGCTGTACGAGAGGTCATCAAGTTCTCCACAGCTAGGACGTGCGAATCGGCGACGTTGCTCACATGGGTGACATCCCACAAGTTCTGTCCAGTGCCAATAATAAACGGGGTCTCGGACTTGGCAATGCATGCATGAATTGCTGGCACCAACTGGCAGTCACCTGGTCCGCAGAGCACAGAGGGGCGTAAGGCACAAGTGGCCATTCTGTCGCTGGATGCCTGGAGAACAAGAGCCTCTGCCGTAGCCTAATTCTGGTCAGTTAGTTTCCTCTTCTTTCATAACCTCAGAACCATGAATTGCAACCTTAGATTCGCCGTAAATCAGGGAATTTGGCGATGTGGGCCACCGCTCGTCAATGTTGGCATAGGATGATCGCATATCGTCCGTCACCACGCAGCAGGTGCTGGTATAGATGAATGCATCGGCCCCATTTTCTGTGGCTGAATCCAGCATATTCTGGGTTCCAACGACGTTGGTCTTCCACACCTCCGTCTCCAACCTCCGATCGAACCGGTCAGCCAGCGCTGGGATAATACCAGCCGTGTGGATTACTATATCCGGCTGAACCTTCTCGAATGCCTTGCTAACCTCGGAAGCCGAGGTCACATCAACTTGCATGCATGCAATGCCCTCTGGTAGTGCATGTTGGGGGCGTGGGGGACTGCGGTCGATGACGGTGATGGCGCAACAGGGATGCTTTTCTGCGAGGGCGCGCACCGTTGCAGACCCAACAAATCCGGTGCCCCCAGAGATGAGAATCTTTTTCGAGTCCAAGATATCTGGGCTATTCTTAGGATCCATAATGAGGTTGGGAGAAGAACGTTCGAATTCCTGGTACAATGCGGTGACACCCGAGAGATCAACCACGTGTCGACTCAATATGTAGACGTCAACATCGAATGACTCGGGCTGCACAGTCCAATCATACCAAGAAATGAATTGAAAGGGTAGACATTTGAAGAAGATCTGGACATGTTTTTCAAGTCGTTATCTACACACGGTGTTGCTCAGTTGAGCAGAGCACAAGAGATGCGATACACGCAAATATCTAATATACAGATCCTCGACCGAGGTGAATTAACCAACAGTCGCGAAAGACGCGAAAGAAACGAGTCTTATAAAGGAGACTCCGCTGCGAACCAAACAAACTCCAGAGTAAATGCAAAAAGAAAGACAAGACCAAGGTATCCTAGTACACGCTCTGCCGCCTTAAAAAGACGGATCCGACAACCGACTATGACTTCGGATGCTGGATCTATTGCACGCGACAAAGCACCAAGCCTCCCATCTTCTTCTCCACACACTCGCGAGCCTCCATGATACCCTTATCTGTAGAGAGGTAGAGACTCTCACCGGGGGACCGCAGACCAGCAACATGGTGGGCCTCATCACCGCGAACGATTTTCCGCAAAGACTCGACATCAAGAGTGATCCGTCGCTTCGGTTTGCTGATCATGATGACCTTTCCCAAAACAGACTCGTTCTGCCAGTACTTCAGACCCAGCCAGAGACGTCTCGACGCAACATTATCGCGAGTGATGGGCTCCACCTCTTCGGTGGCGGTCGGGAAGCCAAGGATGGGGTGTGTCGGGGGAGGAGTCGGGCCTCCGCGGACGACGGAGGAGATGTAGCCCGAGTTCTGCAGGGCCTGGCAGAGCTTCAAGTGAAGATTGCTGTTGGGGATGGAGGTGAGACCCAGGCGGGCCTTGGTGGCATTGTTCAGATGGGAGCAGACGGCGGCAAGATTGACGAGAGACATTTTGATTTATTGGCGTAGGAATTGAACCTCGGAGGTTGTTGGACGAAGGAAGGAGAAAACTGCGGAGAGCCCAAATAGCAGTTCCCGGATGGTATGGCTGGCGGAGAAGGCGATAAAAAGGTGCCGAGAAGAATATGATAGGAAAACAATGTAAACAGCACTTCAATGACTGGGCTGAAGGAAGTCAATGAGCAACGGCCTGGTCGACTTTTGTTCCGAGTTCGCGATGTTTGAGTTGATCGCGATGGAAATTTTCGGAGAAAAGGTAGTTCCGGCCTGGCTCTCCGGAACAGCTCCTACTTACCAGTTGGCGAAGTCGCAGGTACTTACCCCACTTATACATTATTGATGTGATAGCCATGTACTAGTGACGCGCCCATCACAACTATAAGCGCCGAGAGAAACAAGGCGGTTAGAGGCCGCGTCTCACAGGCTCAGGCCATGACCCCTCCAAGAAGGCGCTATTTACTTGTATTTTCTCTCGTAAGTCTCCAATCTACTTCCCTGGCACATCTTCTCTATAATCACTCCATATATCCAAATTGACTGCAACCATGCCTCAACGACCGGGCGAGGAAATCCTGGTGAACGTGTGAGTTGGACTGACACTTCCCCGCACATCATATCCACGGATCAGAATAAATGTGGACCAAATTGAACTCTCTCTGATACTGCAATTCCATAGATTGGCTGATATCCATTACTATTTCACTACACCCACCCCCAAACCCCTCTATCATCGATTCGAAAAAGGTTCCTACCTATACATCTATCACGATGCTTCAAAGAACAAAGCACGAATCGAGATCGCCAATAATGCGGCAACGCCAGATCAAGATGCATTCCAAGGCACATTAGATAATGTCCATATACAACACTCCACCCAGTTCCCGACCTTATGCACCGTGACGGTGGATGGATACACAGGTGTTCCCCAACAAGAAGCTTCCCAGTATGACTGGCGACTCCCAAGCACCGACGGACAAAATGACTTAATCCGCTTGAACACGGTCGATATCTATTTCTGGACTGTGGATGACGCCGACCAATTCCTCGACTCAGCGAGGCTAGTTCTGGCAACTCCCCAACTAGAAACCGACCGAGACACAGCTGAGCAATCAGAGCAACCTCTAAGCTCTATAGTCCAGCAGCTCGAAAGTGTCGCTGTCTCAGACCCCGCATATCAGAATGGCCAAACTCCGGATTCACGATTCAACCCACCAGTGGCAGCGGCAGCGGCAGCACCAACAGCGCAGGCCGGTCCATCGATCCTCAGTTTCGCTCCGCCTCCAAGCGCCCCATCAACCCATCAGCGATTCTCGTATGCCGAGAGCAATTCCCCGGTTTCTCCGATTGCACCAGAAGAAAGCGAAGAACCGGAAATCCCAACACCACTTCCCTACAACCCCGCCGCCCCCGCCGCTCCAGAACCCATCAAGCACCGTGAGAAAACCCCTCCACCCCCAGAGGATGGCACGGGAACAGGTCTTGCAGCAGCAGCTGCTGCGGACGCAGGAGTGCCATACACACCACCGCACCAAAGAGGACCCAGTGTCGGGATTAGCTCGTTCACACCCGGTCCGCAGTCCACCACACTAGGAATGCCATACACGCAAACAGGATACGCCTCCCCACCCCCAAGCGCAGGTCTAGCCCACGCAAATACATTTCCCCTCGGAACGAGTTCTGCACTGCAAAGCCCTATGCTCCCATCATACCAGCAATCTTTCATGACGGGCCAACAGGTCCCAGCGGGTGGGATGTCGTTTGCGCCGCCGCCGCAGGATCCCAATGCTCATCTGTATGGGCAGGGGTATGTTACGTCACAGCAATCACCTCCTCAGCAGGGACTAAATCCGGATGACTTCTCAAGTTACTCGTATGAGCAGACGCAGCTGCCTATGCAGCGGGGTGGGTCGGAGTATGATATCCATAGTCAGGTCTATAGGCCTACTAAGGAAGAAGTGCACTCGCATGCGCAGAAGCATGCGCATAAAGCGATGAAGGCGCCTGGGGAGCGGCCGCATAAGATTGAAGATAAGGCGCATAAGATGGAGGGCGGAGTGAATCGGTTCTTGAAGAGGTTAGAGAAGAAACTCGGTTGAGCGATTTGTTGTTCCTGTTTGTTTGTTTCTGGTCGTCTGGTTTTCCTGAATTCCTTCTAGTTTGGCTTATTTTAGCTTGGGCTGCTGGTCAGTTCATTGAATTCATAAATCGATCTGAACCTATGAAAGCCGTCGATTCCCGTCCAGGTTTAAATGAGCAAAATTGGAGAGAGGAGTGGTTCTGAGAAAGTAGCATTGACTTCTAACATGGAAAAGCTCAAGCACGCCCCCTTGATAAATGACAGAAAAATACAATATGCTCAACCCGAAGAATGCAATCAATCGCTTAATAAAACAGTATGCTCTCGATATCAGAATATGCAGCCTCGCGAGACACTGGAAGAGACCAGGAAAAGAATACCCAGATGTCATCTCGAAAGTCAGCAGAAACGAATAGCCGCCGAGAGAGAAAAATAAGAGAACCACAACGGCAACGCGAAAAGAAATGGCCAAGTGGGAAGATCGAGCCAGGTGCTCTTGGGGTGGAATGTTCAAAGGTATTAGCACGGAAGGTTAATAGTATCCCAGAATGTAAAAATGAGGATGACAAGCGAATATGCCTTTTAGTTGAGTGCAAGAGTGACATAGTCGATCTCATCGACATCTTGCTTAGCCTCAGGCGCAGACTTCTCAGTATAAACAGGCTCACTGGAAATAAGCTCTTCTTCCGATTTGGTCGAAGGCTCAGCAACGAGGTCTTTCTCATCTTCGGAGATCTTATCGTCAGAGATATCGACAGCGACTTCAGTAGACTGAGGGGCCTCAAGTTCCTCTGGCGTGATGGTGGCCTCTACAACAACGGTAGCAGGCTCATTCGCGGGGGTGGAGTCAGTCGTGGTCTGGAAGACTTCCTCAGGAGATTCCGTGTGTACCTCATGGGCCTCGTTCTTAGGCTCAGCAGAAACCTCGATGGGAGCCTCGGCAGCATTTACCTTCTCAATCTGCTCAGCTGGACCCTTGGGGGCTTCATTGATAGCTGCCTCGGGGGCAAATTCCAGGGGAGCCTCTGCGGAAGACTCCACAGTGGTCGATTCGACTGGCTTGCTGACAGACTCCTCGACGGGCTCAAGAGCAGCTTCCTGCTTGACTTTGGTTTCAACTTCGGGTGATCCGATCATAGCGTCCTTGAGCTGAACAACCTCGGGCTCCTCCGGGACTACATATGTGCATTCTTCAACATTTTCCTTCTCACTCTCCTGCTCGGGAAGAGGAATCTTTACGTCCTCCTTTGCCTTCTTTGGAAGGGATTCCTTGTTGGATGCCTGAGACTTTTTAGTTTGGGGACGCAAAGCCGCAGATTTGGCCTTTGCCTGCCCGCGCTCAGGTGCCCGTCCCATGGATGGACGTGGAGCCTTGGTTGTGGTGCTCTTCTGGGGAGCTTTCGATTCCGGTCGATCGTGGCTCTTGCTGGCTGAGCTGGCTGTTGGGCGCATCATTCTCGCCAGGAATCCTTCATTGGCCGGCTTGGTGGAGCCAGCATCACTAGCACGCGAACTGGGCCGCTCATGGGTTGGACGAGTGGGGGAGGAGAGCCAGATGGCTGTCTGCGCACTGTGGTCCCTGCAGTATTCCGGGTCTGGCCTGGGCCGGCATTCTTCAGAGAAGATGGCTTCCTTGTGAGTGTTGAGGCAGTGGTGGTTGTTCGCCCAGCTGCAGGCCCCGCACTCCCTAACCTCGCTGCAGATGCTTGCGTTGGTGCAGTCATAGAAGCTGGCAGGCGAACAGGCCTAGTGGGTGATCGTGCGCGAGATTTGGCGCTATTCGGAGGTGATGTTCTCGAAGTCTCCTGTGATGGTGTCGAGCCGCGGACGGTACGGGCAGTAGCCTTCGCAGCAGGGTTCAAGGAGGCGCGACTCGGCTTATTGACAAGGGTATTTGCACGCTCCTTTGCGATCTCCCGGGCGGTAGGGGGTTTTGTTGTGGTGGCAGGCTGCTTGGCCGTTGACGAAGACTTGTTGTTCGAAGCAGTGTTTCTTGTAGCATTGATGGTCGACGGGCGCTTCTTGACTGTCTTCTGAGCCGGCTGCTCCGAGGTTCGGAGGGCATGTGAGGTTGTAGGTGCGGGTGCTGAGGCAGGCGCGACGGCTCCAGTCTCTGTCTTCACGGGCAGCGTCTCCTTTCCGGGACCATTGTCGACAGCAGACACCGCGTCTGCTTCGCCTTGATCATGTATCGTCGTAGCCGAGCCGGATTTTGGCTGGATGGAACTGACCATTTGATCAAGAATACCCTTCTGGCCATCATCCAGACTGCCGGGTGTGGGGGATGCCACACTCTGACGACGTGCCTCGACAGCCTGCTCATTGATTTTCGGTCCAAACATTCCTGGGCTATCACTCCGTCCACTTATTTTCCGTAATGGCGAACCTGGGTTTGACTGAACGACACCGTCGACAGTGACGAAGCTTGCACGGACTTTCGAGAGTGGGCGGGACGATCCGGGGGTGTCGGAGCTAACGGGAGATCTTCCACGCGAAGGCGGCGAGGTGACCTGGCTCGGGCTGTTCTCAAACTTGGCCAGCAGACTGCGAACACCAGGATGGGCGTTGTCCGACATTCTGAGGTAGGCCAAGTGATCAGGGGGCATAGGCGCAATTGAGGGGAAGAGGACGCGTCTGGGGCGCACAGAGACGCGAGGGGAGGAGTAGGGAGAGCGACAGGATATAGGCCGTATGAGCCCCCTCCTGGGGTAGACAAATCTCAATGAATACGGTGGTATTCTAAAGGAATCAATGGAAGGGAAAGAAGATGTGGAAAAGGGTCGATCAGGGAAAGCTAATGCACTAGTGACTGATTAGCGTATCCAATGGGGTGTGAAATATCTCTACGCCTTACAGTCCCTATACACTCCTCCCCTATTTTTGGTTTATTCAGGGGTATGGATTTACGTATGTCGGAATTATGTTTCAGATCATCTTTCTGTGACATGACATGATCTCATCCCCTTTTCTCCTTTCTCCTTTCTCCTTTCTCCTCTCTCCTTTCAATGCTCATCTCCGATCTTCCTACCAGTCCAATCCAAGCGTACTACGGGATATAAATGAACATGTTCCTTGTTTTCAAGATAATCATTACCAATTTTATTTGGTATTAGACACGTCTTTAAAACCTATAACTCCTTGCAGCGGGCAAACCGAAAAATCGAGCAAGTTGGCCTCAGGCAAGAGGTAAACACCGGCGATCCCACCATCCCATGGTTGTAGCTTTAGACAAATCCACGGTTCAGATTGATCTGAAGATCGAGTACAAAACGTTAGAAAAGTCATTTTTCATGTAACCTTCGGATATTTCCAAAGCATAGGATATGAAGCCTACAGCTTCATTAACATAGAGGACAAGTGTTAGTCTCCCCCCGTACTCCTCAGTTTTCTTAGTACGTAAATAGTGGGGAACCGTATGTATGTCATTTCCGTAGCGTATCTGCAGCTACCAAGATGGGCCCAGCACATGGCATATTGTACTCACCTTGCTACAAAGCACACCCGATACATACATAGAAGACCTAATCCCCGTGAGACAATTTCTAGTCAACTTACCGAATCATGAAAGACTGGAATTGAAGATGACGGTCTCACCGCCCTATCGGCCCCATTCTGCCGCTTGACATAAACAGCAGCACATGTCACAGTCCGTGGTGGCCAATCAACAGGCGTTATAAGTCGGCTTAACTAATCACCGGAATTACGTCAGCACATTGGGTTAGGAATACGAGCGCATATCTGCTGAAACTCTTTACTCTAAATCTATAGTTCGAGATGATCAAAAATGGTTGGAGTACCTCGCAGCAGTGGCTGTCGCGTCTGTGTGAAGCGTCGGGTCAAAGTAGGTGTTGGTGGCCTTAGAAATTGCCCATCAAGACTAACAAACGCCACAGTGCGATGAACGGGTTCCAGGATGTGCCAAGTGTGAGACATATGGGCAGCCATGTCCTGGTTATGACAAAGGCTTCAAGTTCATTGCTGGGAAGCCTTACAGAACACCTCGGCGCCCCCCTGGAATAGACAATGCAAGACCCAATATCCCAAGCCCAGGCTCATCCAGCTCAAGCCCCATAACAGAAACCCAATTGTTGATTCAAAGAGAAATCCCACATTCTCCTGTCTCCGTTGATGTGAATGTCTTACAGAGTCTGAGCGCTCTCATTGAGGATTTCTCATTCCCCCGTGTTTTGAACGCCCCCAGCTATGTGGTGGCCTCTTGGTTTGAATTTCTACCCTCCATTTATGGTCAGAGCCGGGCATTGGATGCGACAATCAAATCATTTGCAGCGCATCATTTTGGCCGGGGCTTGCAGAACCAGGATATGGTCATTTATGCTCGATCTGCATACGGAGAAGCATTGCACTGGCTTCGTAAGGCTTTGATGAACCCCTCGGAATCACTGTCTTCCAATATATTTTGCGCAGTTGTGTTGCTGTGCATGTACGAGGTAAGATCCTAAAAACGATTACCATTTTGCCCGCTTTCTGACAGCCCAGCTCTTTACGGATACGGAAGACCCGGAGTCCTGGATGAAACACGCAAAAGGACTTGGTCAATTAGTGCAAGCCCGAGGACCCGAACGCTACAACAATCAGCTTGATATCTCATTGTTGAAGTCTGCAAGGGGACTGATAGTATGTACTTTCGCTACCCATGAATGCCAGTACAAAAGCGTGCATTAAATTGATCGCATGTTCTAACCACCGAACAGGTTATGCACTCAATGTTCGCTGGCGAAGATTGCTTCTTGGCCTCCGAGGAATGGCATCGGATGATGCAACAGCAACACCTGGCTACGTTGCCGTTGGATTATCACAATTGCATCGAAAAATTCTTTGCTTACTTCACCCACTCTCCACGAATTGTGCACAACCTTTACCGCCTCAGAGAGAAGGACTACACAAATCCGGTGGTAATGATGGAGATATCGCAAGCTTTGGCTCAAGTTTTGGACATGCAAAATAAAATGGCTTCTTGGTATAATGAATGGTCCCAGGTTTCTTCCCCTCCAATTGAAGCTCTTTCTACGACGGGCGATGAGTTGTTTCCAATTATATTGACGTATGCGGATTTGGTTGATGCATCGGTCTATTGTGGCTACTATGCTTACATGATCATTATTCACGAAGCGTTGAAGACATTCGGATACCCAGGTCCTCAAGAAACCATGGTTTCTTACTTTCGCGATCAAATTTGCAGGTCGATTGAATACACGGCCTTTGGAGCGCTGGGCCCTTATCGAATTGGTTTTCCTGTACGAGTCGCAATTGAGACTGCAGACGATGTAACGAGGTCGTGGCTTCTGGCGCGCTTGAAAGAATTTTCAAAGACCTACGCCGCAGCTAAGCCCGAGAATTATAAGCCAATAATGTAATTAAAGATTCATATAGATTACTGAAGCATTTCGATTCAAAGACGAGCGACCATCACAGCCAATTCCAATTCCACTAATGTACCAAGACATCCACATCTCCTGCAGGGCTACACTTCAAGGTCTCTACTATCACGATTATATCAAATAATTCCATCCTAACTGCTCAATATTTATGCTTATAAACTTGGAGAAATTTAGTAATTCACTCATCTGGCTGGCAGGATAGTTTGCCCCGCCCCCTCTTTTGATAAGCCTAGTGGCTGACTCACAAACCATACTGGATGACTCACAAAGCATCTCCTTTCCATACATCAGCAATTGTACGAGACTCTACTGAGGATTTTGGAAATACATAAGTCTCGTGTCGTGTGTATAGAAATATCCCTTCAATGTTATCTCTGCTATCTTTCTGCAATAGTCGTTTAAAACCCCGCTAGGCCATTTGACATCATTGTCCGCGGACCACAAATAATCAACAAGATGGCAACCTGCACAAGCATCCCCGTGACTATTCCAAAAGATGGCTCACTGACAAAGACTACGATCAAAGATATTATTGGCACGTTTCTCGACAAAGAATGGCCAAATGTGGACCCCGAAACTATCGATGTGAAATACCTCACCGGATACGCAAACACAAACTGCGTGGTTGAACGACCAAATCCCAATTATGGAATACCCTTAGAACCTCTCAAGGTCTTCCTCAAGATCAACGGCGAATTTGACGGGGAGATTGAAGTTTTCAAGCACTTGGTTCCCGATAAGCATGAAGAGGCACAACTATGCTACGACTATGGTCAATCCGGTCTAGGTGCCAAGTTATATGGCTTCTTTCAGGCACAAGATGGCGCTTTCGGAAGGGTCGACGAGTTCTTGAACGCTCGCAATTTGCAGGCAGAAGACGTGGAAGACGAGAATATCCGAACTGACATTGCGAAAGCACTTGCCGGGTTTCATACCATGGAAACGCAACGGAAGAAAAACCCGGTCCAGCAATATTACGATACAGTCACCAGAGGACTTTCGAAGTATCACAAGATGAACAAATTGAAGAGGCTGGCAAATGAAGTAGGCGTCAGTATCGACCATGTTGTTGATTATGATTTTGTCTCCAGAATCAGAAAAGTCACGGACAGACTGGAATCCATTGGAGGAAAAAAGGGATGGTGCATCCATGACGTTCAATTTATGAATGTTATGGTGAAGATAAATCCCAAGCAAGGAGAAAGCAAAATTGTCCTCATCGATTTCGAATTTGTCTTTCAGAATTATCGAGCGTTTGACATTGGTGGGCACTTTCTGCAGAAGATGTTCAAGTGGTTTGACGAAGAGAGCAGGATTGTCAACTGCCGACCTTACACGGGAGAGGAGAAGAGGCAATTTTGCGAGGAATATGCAAAGATGTGGAACGAGAAGACTGGGGACTCGGATACAGGTGAACAGATTTTAACTGAATCTGAGCTGGGTGTGATGTTGACTATTACTTTTGAAATACATAACATGTTGTGTTTCTTGGATCAGGAAGATGCAAAGGATCCGTTGGAACTTCTGGGGCTCAACAAGTTGTTTGAAGAGTTTGTCAATCAGTATAAGAAGCTTGGGCTAGGCAATTGATGTCAGCCAAATCAGTTCCTGTTTCAATGCCCATGAGCCTTGGCAATCTGATATTCTCCCAGATGTCGCGTACCTTTTGAATTCAGCGCTACTAGCACATTTAAGATTGCCCACGTCTAACTTATTCTAGTCGTTTTGTTTCCTTTCCACCATGCATTATTACTGGCTTCCTACGATGCATGGTTCGGGTCAAAGCACATCGTCCATTATTCTTGTGGGGGTGTGATGATCTTTGACTGGACTTAGACCGGGATTCTTGAAGATGAAATGACTCCAAAGTAGTTATATGGATGTGATCTACCTTTAACCCACTGGGCCAGCTATTTCACGCCAAAAGCCAATGACTTTGCCCCTTTCACTACGAAGCCGTCAATGAGCGATTCCGACCGCGGTAGGGTAGCTTCAAGCCGTTGACCCGGTCCCGGCCTCTGGATCCGAGTTGTTACCGTGGCTAATTGTCACATGAAAATCAATGTACTCGATGAAGTGTTAAAATGGGGGAAATGAATAATGTGCATTATATGAATGAGAATATGAATTCTGCGTTTATTCAAGTGAGTAAAAAATCATTCAAACCTCGTATTCGTGATATACATATATGAATATGGCATGTATTCGCACTCATCTATTCCTGTCGGAGCCCTAGGCAGGGACCGAATTCACCGGAATTTTAAGGCTCCCAGTGGCAATGGTATACAGGCGTGCAAGAATCTCGATGTGTCTGAAGGGTAAATGCGCTGCATTGGTAGTTCAGAAAGAGCTTGCAGATGACGCTGGTGGTGGACGAATTAGGAGATCAGGCCTGACGCAAATGAGGCAACTGAGTTTGCACGGGTACTAGTACCCGATTGAGGTCATGATATTGCTATCGTTCCAACTTTGTAAATTATTTTAGTCATTCAAATGACATTTACCGGCCGAAAGATTTAATCTAGAGATATAAATACATCCACCAGGGGCATAGGAGCTATGACAGTAATATTCAGTCTTTAGCTGTTCTATTCCCAGTATGTCAACAACTTCTCAACCAGACAGTGTTGCCAATGCACGCTTAGGTCGACTGGCTCAACTTGGCATTGAATTACATGCAAACAGCCCGGAGACAGCCATTTGGCTCGCACTGGAACAGATATTAGCCGACTTCTTTGGACATTCTCTATTCACTGTCCTTGCATTTTCTGAACAAGGCGTTACAAGACTTCACAGCACCAATACAGAGCTGCACCCGATGGGAACAAGAAACAAGTCCCCCGCTGCGGATCATGACAGAGAAAACGTTGGAACTCCACCTCCACCACCCTGCCGCGCAGCGTGGGTCCAGCAGGTTTTGGTGGATGGCAATATTTGGCGTGGCTCCACGCGCGAGGATCTAAAGGCAGCATTTGAAGACTGGGAGCAACTTTGGCAGGCGGGCTTGGGATCAGTGATGAACATTCCTGTCCGACTGAATGGTGTCACGATAGGATCACTCAACCTTCTTGACAAGGAGCATCAGTACGATGCAGCCGATCTCAAGCTGGGCATCCTGATAGCACAAATCGTGGCACTTTTTGTTCATCGAGTGGCTGAAGAGACAGAAAAGTGAGTATTGAGACTGTATTCATCAAAACCTTTTATCCTGGAAAGTAACTAAAGGCATTGTCGAGATGCAGATAGTCAACAAGACACACAGACAATGTCCCTCAGATCTTGATTTATATATCACTACACGAATGTACTTGTCATTGAATCGGAGCGGTTGAATGAGAGAATTCGACATCATAGAAAGTCTGACAAGCTTAAAGTGAAAGATGCCGTGACACGGACTGGGTGATAAGATATTCATGTTACTGTCTGCATGAACATTTGAAGATTCGGATTATAAAGAACTATAGATTGTCCAGACCCTCGAAATATCATTCTTTTCCAATGCATCTGGACCTTATAGGGAGTAGCGGATGCTCTTATTTTCCCAATCGGTCTCATCTAGGTCGATTTGAGCTGCACTGTCTTCGATAGCTTGTCCACTTAAGCTGGCCCCAGCACCAAATTCTTGATCGCGCCTCTTATTCCATCTCTCCATCAGCTGTCTCATGATCATAATGATTGCGACATTAAGAACGAAGCAGGCAATCATGATGTTGAATGCAGTCTGGCAAATTTCAGCCCCCCAATCACCTTGTACTTGCAACAGAACGGACGAAGCCACTGGGAACTCACCTGATAAGTTGGAGCTTCTCGCGGCAAAAAGGTCAGTGGGCCGACAATGTATCCTACGTAGAAGCCAACAAATAACATTCCATTGACAGTTGCCTTCTTGGTATGTCCGGTGATGTTGCTGGACACGAGACTGAGGATTGTAGGAAAGGCACTAGCGTAGGCGCTGATCAACCATAGTCCACCAAGGCGACTCAGCTTGTGGGACTCTGGGAGCAGCTTGATCATCAAGGCTCCTGCCAGGGATATGATGTTGAGCAGAGCGATAGACACGCATCGAGCGTTCTTGAAAGTTATTGATATAATCACGGTGAAGGCGACATAAAGCAGAAGGAAAGCACCTTGTGACATGGTGAGAAGTTGGGTCTGCAAGACGCTGTAGCCGAAGCTCTTCAAGATAATGCTTCCAAACTTCAAAATAGTCTCATTAGCAGTGGGTTGGTTGAATGTGCGGGCTGGAGGGGAAAGGTAGAAGATGCATCTGATGATGCTGCACTACATACCGCCGTCAAGCCACCACCTGGGAGAGTCGTAAATATGCAAAGTAAGAAGAACAACCAGGACCGAGGATCCATAAGCGCTTCCATCATCTGCCCATGGTTCCATTTTCTGGTCTCGGCTGAGTGTCTCGCACCTTGCACACGGGCAAAAGCCAACTTCCTTTCCCTTTCACTGAGAAACCATGCGGTTTGAGGGGTATCAGGCAAAAGCCACAGAAGAAGGAGTCCCCAAAGAAAGGTAGCGGCTCCAAAGATGATGAAAAGGAACTAGATCGACAAATTAGCTACAGACTGAAACGGTATTTGGCTATAACAACTCAAGAGCTTACATACCTGCCAGCTTTTGACCGCACTGTGAATATGGGATATGGCATATGCAATAATACCACCAAAAATGTAGGCGACGCTGGCTCCTCCGTACCACAAACCATGCCGCAGAGCATGCTCGGATGGTTTATACCAAGTAGATGTTATGATCGTAAAACCCGGGTTAACTGCAGCCTCAAAAGCCCCCAACAAGATGCGCAGGGCAGCAAGGCTCCCAAAGTCATTACCACCAGCCATACACATCTGTATACCCGCCCATATCAGTCTAGCATATATCCAGCAGTGTTAACTCTCCGAAATATCCGATCGATTTTTGAAGGGTAAACGTACACCGAAATTACTACGACTTTCCCCACCGGGAACTTGACCAACAGGATTGAAGCTAGGGGGCTGGCTGCGAGAAATCCCACGTAGAAGAAGCTAGATACCCAAGAATATTGCGTTCCCACAAGTTTCTGTGACAGTTTCAGTCTTGGTCATTCATTCTATTAGTCTGAGTTGCAGGCAGACTTACTGCATCCTCTATGATACCCATGATTGCGGTATAGCCAAGAGATGTCTTGTCGAGATATTGCAACAGATACAGGATAGTCATGAGCGGAATCAAGCTGTTTCGTTATCAGTACCGTCCATATGACTATGGAATGGTGCACTGAGCGCTAATTACTTACTGTAAGTCAATTTTTCGGACGAGCTCGCGCTCCTCAGCAGGGGTCATGACCAAGTTTGATTCTGCCTCTCCTGTACTAGCATGCAAAGTTGCGAAATCCATTGAGGGCTTTGCCTCTGCCATGAAATTTTCCTTTTCAGTTGGCGCCATAGTGAAGGCGAGTGAAGGCAGTTGACACGGTACGAGTTTCTTCGAGTTGGACGTTCCAAAGTACCGTGAACGTAGGTGATCCTCGAGCAGGAATTTGTCTTGTACTTTATACATCATCAGTCCAGGTCATGCTTCATGATAAACAGGCATTGATATTCAGTGACCAATGAAATGCATGATAAATATCTTGTAGTGCTCAGCCAGCCCGTAATTGTTATCATTGGAGTGATCAGCGGGTACTCGTACCCGTAATTACCCCGGTTGTTTCACTATCTTTCTGGGGAAAGGCAGCCACCGGGTACTCGTACCCGACTAGCATCAACTTTATTTCGCCACGCGACGGCAGACATCGTGTGCTAAGAAACTTTTACGTGCCCTCGATTTCCAAACTGAGTTGGACAAGTTTCCCCGCAATGGCCGGGTACAAGTACCCGAAGCAAAGGTTATTTACCCAGCTTTCTACTGCCTTTTGTGCACTCTATCACTCATCACAGGCCGAACACGTCTGAACCCTTTTTCTATTCCGCGTGCCCCAACTCAACATTTCTCGACCCATTGTTTTTCCTGCGGACTCTAAAATTCGAATTATTGGCTATAATGACAGCAAAGACGCCCCCCGTGATACCTGATGAGGCTACTATTCCTTGGAACCTCCCTCTGCGGCCAAGATACGTTTTTTCAGGAGCCAATCTCATTGACCCGGCAAAAGGCGAGGTGTTGGAAAACGTGACAGTCCACCTTTACGACGGTGTTGTCAAGTCTATCAATGGCAATCCTAAGGAATGGGCGGATGACTCTACCACGATAAAGGTCGATTTGGAGGGCAAGTTCGTCTGCCCTGGTTTGATAGACTGCCATGTTCATTTGACGGCAGTTCCTGGGAAGATGGGACTTCAAGAGATGAAAAGTATGAACCCATCCGCTTCACTCTTACGCCAGCCACATGTCTGCAGGTCCATGTTGGAGAGGGGCTTCACAACCGTGAGAGATTGTGGAGGTGCACTTTTTCCTTTGAAACAGGCCATCGAAGAGAATGTGCACCCAGGTCCAAGACTGTTCATTGCCGGACACGCATTGTCACAGACGGGAGGGCATGGAGATATGCGTGGACTACTAGATAACAGTGAATGCTGCGGCGGAACGACGCTAGGTGTCGGTCGAGTCATCGATGGGGTACCTGATTGCCTGAAGTACGCCCGGGAGGAGATTCGCCAGGGAGCAGACTTTCTCAAGATTATGGGCGGCGGAGGAGTGGCCAGTCCGACAGACAAGATCGGAAACATTCAATTTTCGGACGAAGAAATCAAGGCTATCGTGACAGTCGCATCAAACGCAGGCACATATGTGACCACGCATGCCTACACACCCCAAGCTATTCAGCAAGCTATTAGACAAGGAGTGCTGGGAGTTGAGCACGGCAATCTACTCGACGAAGAGACTGCAAAGCTTATGGCCGAGAAGGGAGCTTTTCTCACGCCGACACTCATCACTTACGCCACGATGGAAAGATTCGAGGGTTTTCTTCCTCCAGCCTCAGCAAAGAAGAACAAAGAGGTGTTGGAGAAAGGATTGAACGCTATTAAGATTGCCGTCGATGCTGGTGTGACTGTTTGTTTCGGGACGGATCTACTTGGCAAGCTACACTTCGCGCAGTCGCGAGAGTTTGGATTGCGGCGTCAAGTTCAAACTTCCCTGGAAGTCTTGCGTAGCGCTACGGTTAACGCTGCCCGAATGCTCCGACAAGACAAATTCTTAGGCCAGATCGCCCCGGGCTTCGCAGCTGACATGTTGATTTTGAACGCGAATCCGTTGGAAGACATCACCATTTTGGACGTGCCCGAAAAACACGTGCTAGCAACAATCAAGGATGGTCGCGTTTATGTGTCGAGATGGTCAAAGCTTGAGACCGATCTGCATCGGATTGTCAATATCGCTTAGCAGTAAATTTAGAATTCAATTTCGTTCCGCACAAATGCCATCTAAGTGTCTACAATATCTAATCTGATTTTCCAAAATGATAGAGTAAAAATACCCAAGACTATTCATTCCCTTGAGGCCTTCGGTTCCCTGTTTTGCCATGGTTATAGCCCTGTCGCTTATAGGCCGGAGGGACAAACATCGCCTTGTACCTCAACAAAAACCCGCCCAAAACCTGCAAAGTCAAACGCGCCCACGAGAAACGACCCATGGGCCGGATCTTTGTCAGTGGACGTGTTGCATATCCCGGTGACTGGAAAGATGAATGAGGTTGGGGGCAGGTGCATAAATAATATTGATAGCCCATCTGCATCATTCCATCAGGTGATAATTCCAGTAAATGATTCCAAAGATAGATTACAAAAACAACAGTGCTGACACCAGTACAGTTAAATGCACTGATGCCTTTCCGTAAATCTGGGTACCCGTGGACGGCCGAGGGACCAACTCCGCATTTGTCTAGGTCTACATCGCTAACTTCCCTCGCGTAATTGTAATTGACTGCTCTCTGAATTTGGGTCAAGCTCGTATGTGTAGCTAGCTATTCTATACATTTCAATGCATGTATATGATGACTCTCTGAACACGTAATCAGGGTCGAACAGCATGTACCAATGGTATGGGTCACGTCTGTGTACTTGTCTGGTATTCTCTAGTCTCCACCACAGCAATTTAACATGTGGTACGCTGACTAATAAAGTTGATTACATGATCCATTGTTCCGACACACCCCTTCAGCTTTGGCAGTCCTGGCAAAGCTGCGCAGTTGCCATAAATGGTCACTTGAATCATTCAAAGCTTCTCAGAAGCAACAAAATAGACACAATTCCTTCAGAACTGCGATCTTTTCAAAACAGCCTCTACTTACTAATTAGGCAAGTATGACTTATTTTTCTTCCTCAATGAGATGACGCACGTCCGTCAATCCCAGCATCCTGACAAAAGCTTCATGCTTCTGCCTCGGCAGCATCTTGGTGAGTCCGTCCGCGAGCATCTGCGCGGTTGGTACCCACTTGATCCGCACCCTGCCTTCCTTGACTTCTTGTCTCAGCCAGTGCCCGTGAATATCAACGTGCCTGAGCTTGGTATCGAAGGGGGTATCCTCTGCGTTGATCAAGTCCACCGTACGGCGGTTGTCACACTCGATTGTGAGACCCTCCGGATATTTGAAACCAATCCTTCCAAATAGACGATCCCACCACTGTAGTGACCTTCCTGCGTCTGATAGGCCTAATAACTCAGCCTCCGTCGTCGACGTGGTCACGGTCTTCTGCTTGGTTGCCCTCCAGTCCACCGGTCCACCGAAGAACTGGCAAATATATCCTGCGGAGCTAGTCCGGTCACCCATATCCCCATACGAAGCATCTGATGAGAACTTCACCACTTCGCTGTCGTTGTCAACTGGACCGTATTGTATAGCCCAGAACCGTGTGGTATAGAGGTAGCAGATTAAGCGCTCAATTGCTTGGTGGTGCTTCGGACCAGGGTTGGTCAGGAACTGTGCGCAGATAGACGCTCGCTTTGCTGCGTCCGCGCGGGTAATCGTGGTACCATATTGAACTGAGCCCACTCGCTGCTGATATTGGTGGATGCTTTCGGCTGTAGCTTGCTCGTCGTATGGCTCTAGGATCTCCGTGGTTCCCGGAGTCCAGACCGGAGCTCGGTGAGCCAGGTTAAACCGCTCAGCAACACTGGCAAAATAGCTGTCCTGCACTAGCCAGAGCTTTCTCTCTTTGCGATTTCGTAGGATTCTGATCCCTAGAAACCACTCAGCGTCCCCTTGGTCAGTCAGCTGCCAATTCTTCTCGAGTTCCCGTTCTAGCTGCTGAGCACGCTCGCGGGCAGTGTGGTGGCCGGCGATTAGGATATCATCGACGTAGAAGAATACGATAATCCCATCCCCAACAAAAACACACGGATCCTCGGCAACCTGTTGTAAACCAAGCTCTCTCAGTACACGCGCTGCGTCTCGCTGCCAAAGTCGTGGAGCAATTCTCAGTCCGTACAGCGCCCGTAGCAGCTTCCAGCACTTGCCCTGAGTCATAAAACCCTCGGGCATCAGAGTGTATACTTCTGTTAGGAGCTTGCTGTTTAGGAAAGCGTTTACCGCATCTCGCTGTCGGATATCTAAGTCGTACGCTGCGCTCAGGGCAAATAGCATACGGGCAGTTCTGGCTGCCAGTGTGGCAGCTCGCTTGTCTGCGTCTGAGATCGTCTGGAGATCCCCACGTACGCAGATCCTGGCTTTGCACTTAATCAAGAACCCATCTTGATCAAATTTATAAGCATATACCCACATGAGGGGCAGTACTTGTATCCCACGATCCTTTGGCCTTTCCACGACTTTGTACGTCTCTTTGGCCTGTAGTCCGTCTAGTTCAACCCTCATAGCTCGGCTAAAACCTTCGCTCAATGGGTGTTTCCAGACGTCTCGGAATCGTTGTGGTGGAGGTGGTAGGTCATCTCGATGCTGCCGTAGCGACGGTTTTGGTGCTAGAAGACCGGTAGCAAACGCTTGTAAAGTGGTTGTTGTGGTATCGTCGCCGTTGTCGTCATCGATAAACATGGTGTTATAGGCGTAGTCTCGGTCTCGTCTCGATATTCGCACCCTCGGTCCCTGGATGATATTGCTGGTATCCACAGCTGCACAATCGCGATCTTGATCCTTAGGCAATGACCCTGCCAAGTCGTTCTTGGCCGATGTCGTACGATCCTCTTGCTCAACGCTCTCCTGTAGGGATAGCTGTAATTGGTCCTGGAGTTGATCCTCCGGGCTCGGTTCCCGTAGTGATACTGGCGAAACAGGCGTCTGATCTATTTGATTATGGTCCTGAGCGAGACGCTCAGGATCATCCCTCACCCCTTGATCAGTGGTAGTTTCCGCAGAATTGCTTCTAACTGGATAATCCGGTGGTGGGGTATGATCAATTGGGGTTTTGTGCACAAAAACTTGATCTTGTCCCGAGTGTGGTATTGTCGTCTCCTGTGGTTCTCTAGATCCTCCAGATTCTTGATCCTGTATG